CCCCCCCCCTCCCGGTTTTGTCCCTTCGTTTCCTCTGCCTGCTCGGTTCCTTCCCCCCTTGGCACTGTCTATTTGTTGATTGTGCTTGACTGGCCCTTGCTATACATGTTCGGTTCCCTTGCTTTGCCCGTGGATTACCTGTTCGACTCACTGGCTGATTGTTCGGTTCTTGCATATATTTATGGTTGTTTTCTTTTGGCTATTGAGCTCCCAACGAGAGTAATTACTGACTTTTTTTCTCTTTTCTGATTGGGTCATTGGGGTGGCTGTTTGGCTCCCTCTTTTCTCCTATATAAGGGGGGCTGATTTGAGGCTTTAAAAAGAGATTTTGGTGATGATTTTTGAAACTAAAACCTAAGGGTTTTTCTTGGATAGCTTGCAAGCTTTATCCACTTCTTCTTCTCCTCTCTTTGCCTTCGTCTCGGACTTTTTATCTATTTCTTCTCTCCGCAAGTGTCCACCCCATTTGTATCTTTCTTCTCTTTAAAAATTTGTAAGTTGCAAGGTGTCTTGAGTCGTATTTTTAGGGTGTCATTGCATCGAGTTATGTCTTTTATTTCAAGTTTAAAAGTCGTATTGTGTTTTTATGTTCTAATATAAAAGTTGTAAGGTGTCATTTGGTTTCATTTTAGTTAAATTTGTGTTTGTTAAAGTTGTTTTAAAGGAAGACGTCAAGTTTATATGCAATCTTGGTAGTCTCTACTTTTTTATTGCATCAATTTCAGGTCAAAGGGTCAACCCGAAACCGACTGATTTTTTAAACAGGTCGAATTGTTGAACCTGAACCCGACCCATTTCAGGTCTAGTTGACCCTAACACTGAAATTTCGGGTCGAATTCGAGTCGGGTTTTCAGATCATGTCAAATATTGACACCCTTAATTGGAGACCTCTGTAGTTGTAAGGAGTTTTGAAAGCTCATGCAGGCATTGTAGACTCTTTTCTTTCAGTAAAAAAAAAAAAATCAGACAATAACTAAAATTTTGTTTTCTTACTGTAGGCTGGTATTCCTGATGGAGTTATCAATGTTATCACTGGCTATGGCCCAACAGCTGGAGCTGCCATAGCTTCTCACATGCATGTTGATGCTGTAATATAACTCTTTTCTATCCTAATTCTAATTCAAAATTAAAGAATTTTATACAAATTGAATGTATAATTTTGTAATTAATTTCCTTCAGGTGAGCTTCACTGGATCAACAGATGTAGGGAAATTAGTTATGGGAGCAGCAGCAGCAAGCAATTTAAAGATTGTTTCATTAGAATTAGGAGGAAAAAATCCATTAATTATCTTCAGTGATGCAGATATAGACATGGCTGTTCAGACTGCTTGGCAGGCTGTTTTCTTTAATCAAGTAATTAATTATCCTCTCATCTAAATATTTTTCACATATATTATATTGTATTTAGGCTTCGTCTGCGATGGCTTTTTTACTGCTTCTTAAAACAGCTTTTAATAAACAATAAGAAAGCCGTCCCAAATGAAGCGTTATCTTATAAACATTCAATCTTAGGACTCGAGTTGTAAATTTTGATACTATTTCTCATTTCATTTGTTTTTTGAATGTTGGAGCTGTTTGGTTATATGTATGGGGTAGAAATATTATTCAAGAAATTGTTAATTAAATATGTTAATGAGATTATATATTATCCTTGTTCTAAGTTTATGATCAAAAAACTGTGCAGGGAGAAATGTGTTTTGCAGGATCTAGGGTTTATGTGCAGGAAGGGATATATGATGAATTTATGAAGAAGGCAATTGAAAATGCTAAAAATTGGGTGGTTGGAGACCCATTTGATCCCAATGTTCATCAAGGCCCTCAGGTATGTAGTATTAAGTTATTTTATTAGATTTTTTATACTGAGTTTTACACACAAAAAAATTTGTATGGTCGTTTCGGGATGGCTGCAACTATATGTAAAATTTGTTGAGGGAAAAATTATATTTTTGCCGGTTGGAAGAAAAAACATTTATAACTATGTAAATAATGAAAAAAGCAGAAAATAGAAAAAGAAGATTAAAGTACAAATAATCATACAAGAATTTTAATTAAGATTCACTCAATTGATGGCTGCATCTTATTGCCTCCACTAGATATTTCATTATAATTTGATTGTTAAGAAAATACAACCCTAATTTTTCAATATGGGGCAGCTAAATAATACAATAAAATTTTCAAAATGCTCTTAATGAAACGATAAAATACTAGATAACCACCCTCGAATCCACGATAGTGGGAGAAATTATTACATGCGGTCACTGGACGTTGTCCGGAGGCGAATCAGGATGCGTCATGTCACCATTTTGTTGTACCGGTGCTGTATACTGGGTGATGTGGCACATCTTGATTCGCCTTCAGACGATCTGGTGACTGCACGTAATAATTTCTCCGATAGCAAGGCTCCTTATCCTCATTCCAACCACTACCATGAGCGTCCCTGAAGGTAAACCCACAACTAAGTTTACATCGTGTGTTTTCTTCATAGGACAAAAATCAGATTCCACAATCTAATATTTGTGATTATTATACACATTTCTTCTTAAAACTCTAATAATAAATTACTTACAACTACCGCACTCATGCTGTCATGCAGATCTACCTATGAAAAATCTGCTAACATTGGCAGTTATCATCGTCAACCATCAATGCCTTATGAAACATTCAATAAAAATAAAAATAAAAAAATTATGTAGGATTTTAAACATATTTTTATTTCATATCAAAATATAAATAAAATAAATTAAAATTAATATAAAAAAATAAAAAAGAAAAATGATCCCAAATGACCTTTTAATTAAGAAAGTACACCAACAATTGATTAAATAAACTAAATTATAAGAATGACCTTAAATGAATGTTTAAACTTATCTATTTCTTCTCTTCTGACAAAAAATGATTTGTAGGTTAATAAGGAGCAATTTGATAAGGTTCTTAGATACATAGAGTCAGGCAAGAGAGAAGGAGCCACACTTTTAACAGGAGGAAAGGCTATAGGTGAGAAAGGGTACTACATTGAGCCCACAATCTTTACTGATGTCAAGGTAAGAATCCCTAGCCACTTGTTAATTAAATATTTGATTAATTTTAATTGTATTTGTATTAAAAATTATGTAAAAATTTTGCTCAGGAGGATATGTTGATTGCTAAAGATGAAATATTTGGTCCAGTGATGTCCATCATGAAGTTCCAGTAAGTTCTGTAACTCAAATTTGTTTAGATTTTATTTCACCCAAAAACTTAGATGTATGTGATTTCATTAGTTTCATCAATTTTAAGATTTAGTTTCAATTTCTTACTTATTTTTAACATTTATTTAAGGAAAAATATAACATTTAGACTTCATTTGGGACGGCTTTCTCACTCCTTCTAAAAGAAGCCATCCCAAACGAAGCCTTAGTCTAATTTTGATTGAATTTTGATGGTTTTCATTAATTCTGTTTTGATTAAATTTTTTATGATATCAGCTAAGGCTATTAGTATATATCATCTAAAATTAATGCAAAATGATAGAAACATAAACATATTCTCATGTTACTAGAATTCAACTCTATAATATTCATATTTTCATTATCAATTAATAGTACTAAAGAACATGTAAATTTAATCATGAATATTAATATTTACAATTCTTCCGTGATTGGATTAGGACAATTGAGGAGGCTATTGAGAAGGCCAACAACACCAGGTATGGACTAGCAGCAGGAATAGTGACCAATGACCTGAATATAGCTAATCGTGTTACGAGGTCGGTTCGTGCCGGCACGATTTGGATCAACTGTTACCTCATCACTGATATTAATATTCCTTTTGGTGGGTACAAAATGAGTGGTTTTGGGAAGGATAGTGGGCTTCAAGGAATGGAGAAGTATCTCAAAGTCAAGTCTGTGATTACTCCTATTCAGAACTCCCCTTGGCTGTAATTTGATATTTCAAATTGTGGCAATGTTGATTGAGAGGAAGTCATATTGTAATAGTCCAGTGTTCTACTTTGGCTTTAAGTGATAAAATAATAAACGCTTTGATTTGGGTCTTTTCATATATTTGATAGTTTAGTTCACGATATGTTCAAGTAGAAATGCTATTAGCGGGTTCTTAATCTACGCATTAGCCAAAAGCTATGATGCATGGACACGGATACGACATGAATACGGGACACGTCAATTATTAAAAACACAGAACACGTACATGGATTGGACACGAAAAATATCAGGAAATGTGATTCATAGAAAAAGAAACTCGCAAAAATGTCACAAACAAACAAGTGCTCTTGCATAATAAAGAGTTAAGAACTTGCCTTCCAATAGAACTTAGTCCAATAAAAAGGGATAAGCATGAAGTAGATTCATCCATGAGAAAACTCTGCAAATCAGCATTGCACAGAGCACATTTTTCTTGATTAGAGGAAAGTCCAGGACAGCATTTCCCTCCATCTAGCGCAGGAAAATTTCCATTCCAGAGGTAGAAACCAAAATCCACACACATGAGCATATGATGGCGAGTGCCCTGATATACATATCATTTTAGTCACAGCGATAAAAACAAGATAAAAAGAAAACATAAAATTGGGGGTTTGATGCAGTTCAAATTAGAAGCAAGTAGAGAAATTAAAAAATTTCTTTTGATTCCAAGAAACAAAAGAACGGGAAAAAGAATGAAGAGGAAGAACAAAACATAAGGCTTCATTTGGGACAACTTCTTTGCTGCTTTCTAAGACGACTTTTTAGTGTACAAAAATTTTTTAAATTAAAAGTTTTTGTACTAAAAAACAGTTTTATAAAGTAACAAAAAAGTTGTCCCAAACGTAGCCTAAGTCACAAGGATGCGTGCAAGCACAAAAAATCTCTAGAGAATCTAGGCCAAATAGATAGGCATATAGAATAAATCCTCACATAAGAATATCTAATAAAGATAACAATGACATGCTTAAGCAATACCTCCTTACTACATTTTAGAGTCCATTGATATAATGTTATTGATCTGCATCTCATCAAAATTCAAATTAGAGTATACTTGGAGCAGCTTTTTCACAGATTTTTCTTTTTAAAGTTGCCCCGTCTTTATTTGGCTAAATTTTTTTATTATTTTTCAAAAATTTATATGATGATAAGAAGTTATATTTTACAACTAAATCAGCCAGATTATCGTAACTATAAAAAAGTTGTATTGCAACATTTTCAAAAGAAAAACTGTTATAATATCCACAAAAGCTTTCAAAACACCTTCACAATATTTTTTACAAATAGCGACACCCACCCAATGAACCCTTAACTTCAACAGCTTAAAGACATAATTTCCATAATGTTTAGTAAAATGATATTTACACTCACAATCATCAAAAGTTGATTAAAAGGCTTAAATTAATTAAAATAATAAGGAAAAAGTGAGTAGAACTAAAATATTTTCTATGATGCTAGAAATGAAAGATGGGACAAAATGTTTCTTGTATTGAAGTTTATGTATTATACCTAGGCATTCTACAATATCCTTGTTGAACCTATACCTAATCATTAAAATAAGAACTCACAAATGTTTAAAAATATTTTGGCTAATTAAAAATAAAACAAATCAAATTAGAAAATGTGAGGATATAAATATAATAACACATAATCATTTAAGATTTGTTTGGGGTTGCTACAACTATTTATCGAAGTAGAAGTAGAGTAATTATGGAGAAAAGGATTTTTTTAAAGCTTTTGTAAGTATTTAATTTTTGTAAAGTCGGATAACAGCTTTCTCATAACTTTCATACTCTAGTAGACAGAAATTTCTAATAAAAAATTATAAACAAACAAAGCTGTGGCAGCTTTTTGTAAAAGCATAAGACCATTTATTTTAACTCAAAAGTGGCATAAAAAAGCTGGTGGCCAAACCATCAACCTTACTCAAATTAGCAGATCAACAAGTAAAGCTTCAGGAAAAAAAGTAACTCTAAAATTCAATTACTTATCCAAGGTTTACCTACTTCCAAATTAGTAGATCAACCACTCGCTGGCTGGTGTTGAGGAAGACTAGATGAAGGAGTTGCTGGTTCATAGTTCAAACATTGAAAAAGTTAGTGTAGGCCATATTTAAGTTTCAATGACTACTACTAATCCCTCAGCAATCAATGGGACAAAAACAAATTTATTATTGATTTACAAGCACCTTATCGTTTATAATCAACCTCTAGAGAATATTTTATGTAGGGTTTGGTCATTATATCGTATATTCAAGTATTTTATAACCAATAGTACATATCATATATTTGCTATAGCAAAATATCAAAAAGATCAAGCCTTTATACCACTACGTGGGGTCGGCAACATAAATCTTTTTTCTCCATTATGTTTTGTTAAGAGTCAAATTATCATTCAAATCTAATAAAAAGGTCATTTCTAGTACTTTCTAACCAAGTATGTTTAGATCTACCTCTACCTTTCTTAATATAGGTCAAATCTAATACATCTACTCTCTTAAACGAAGTAGTATGCATGTTGTCAGTCAGTTCATAATAATAGTAGTTAATATGATCATGAATTTGTGCAAAAATAGTAAAACACATATGCAATAACCGTAAAACCTATAAAATGATACAGTCCGAAGGCCAATAAAATAGTTTAGTACGGAAACAATGAAATTTATATGAATGTCAAAACAATAAAGCAGTTAATAATCATAAATCATACATCATAGTAGTATTATCCAATATATGAAGAAATTATATAAATCAATAAATTTAAACAACTATGAAACTATCAGAATCTATAATAATGCAATACTATTAGGAAATCTAATAAGAGTATACACATGAGATTCAATTATTTTATATCAATATCAGTATCTTATATCACATGCTCAGTAATAGACATCATGTGCTTAGTAACAATAAGATAGTAAACAGTGAATTAATAGCATCAATAGTGACAGTGAATCAATAGCAATATCATTAACAGTATTAATTTTAGTAAAATCAATGACAATAACAGTAAACAGTATAGTAGTAGTAAAATATTAGCATCAATATTAGTATTGTGACATGCATTTCACTAATCACAATAAACAAATAAGGAATTCTGGCTTTGCTTTTCCAGTAAACAATAAATCAGTAATCATTGGCTCAGTAAATATAGCCATCACACTTTGACTATCGGTACAGTAATTAACTCCTTACAACTCCCAATCAGTGAATCAGTAGATAATAACACCAAACCAAAATATTTAAAGGAAAATCAATCAGCTCATTATCCTATACAGGTCAGTCAGTCTCCAACCAACATCAGCAAATAACCAATCCTTATTTGTTTTCACATATATTATTACAATAGTAATAGCAGTCAGCTATTACTCAATCACACGCCAATATCATTAAAGATGTTTGTATTTATAACATAATCAATTAAAAATATCAAAATAAAATTACTATTTTGTGCAAATCGTACAAATACAATAATTCTTATTTTACTCGATGAAATTATGAAATCAACAAGTCAAAATGTCCAGAATCATCGATACAACTTATAAAAAGTTAAATGGTTGAAGTTCGGTAAATCCGAAAAAAATTAAAATAAAAGTAATTTGGAAGAAATCCAACGATCAGAATCAAAATATTTGAAAACATGAATAGGATAAAAGTCACCTACTATGACCTGAGCAATTTTTGTACAAGAAGAAAAATGAATCGGCGACCAAAATTAGGATTTTTTTCCCTTCCTCTCTTCCCCCTTTTTCCCTCTCCTTCTTCCCTTCCTTACATAACAAGCCAGATGAGGGAGGAAGAGAGAGAGAGAGAGATTGCTGAGTATAGAAAGAAATATATATATTAATTTTAGTGCATAACGCCTCGATGCTCAAACCCTAGCGTCGCTGCGCTGCATGCTAAATCCAGAATTACTATATAACATAACCTTTAATGTCACGATGACAATTTATGGTGCTGCTACGATCATAGACACAACGTCGTAGCGCCCATAGGCACAGCATCACAGCGCTCCAGTTCAAACAAAATTTCATATTATGCTCTCTCTAAAGTAATAAATATCATAGGAAGATCCTCCTTATTCTCTCAATACTTCTCCATCAAACTTCTAAATAAATGTATAGCTTCCATAGTAGACCTAGTTGGCATGAATCCAAGTTGATTTTGAGAAAAATTAGTATCATGTCATAACCTATACTCAATAACTCTCTCCCATAGTTTTAATGTATGACACATTTACTTAATTCTTTTATAATTCATACACTCATGTGCATCACCTTTATTCTTAAAAACAGGAACTAACACACTCTTTCTCCATTCATCTAACATCTTATTTAAATACAGAGAAAAAAAAAACAAGATAATAAATATTGAGGAAAAATAGAAAATAAAAAATAAGATCAACACACAAAAATACAAAGAATTTAAATACATGATTATCAAATTAATGACTACACCCTATTGTTGCAACTGCATATTTTAATATGGTTTGATAGTGAAGAGCTGCAACTTTAATTCCTCTAATACAAATATAAGATGGCGACCCAACATCAAGTCTGTGAACATATTATCTTTGCAGGGAAAAAAACTAGACTCCATAACTAAACAAATTGTGTTCTGGAATGACTGAATAGTGGAAATTTAAAAAATTGCACTGATCCATAAATTATTATATCCTTATATTCAGTAAAATTTACACTGAGTATTTCTATTGGGCGCTATGAAATACTACAAAGATAACAGAATTTGGACATATGGAGTTATCAATTTTCATAAGTAGCCGCTGCTTCTTTTGAGGATTTTACCATCTATCCCCCTAAAATTAGCAATAGAACACATGTGCTTTACCTAAATGTAGTACTAGGATCAGAAAGCATTTAAAACTTTTCAATCTAAAGTTGCTCAAACCATAATTTCAGTAGCTGCTAATCAAACACAATGATTAGTTCAATGCGTTCATATGAATAAAATCATTATAGAATTATAACTTTCCTATTATTTTTCATGCTGTTGCCAAAAAAAATGGAAGTAGAAGTTCTGTAGTAAACTTCACCAATTATCACATTTAGAAATGCATGCCTTATACCTTCGGTGTGATTGGGAATTTGGGTGTGAAAGACTCATTGGGCCGTTAGGAAATATCTAAGACAAGGATTTAAGACTTTCTACAGCATATATTGAGGGACAATGGGTTTCCCCCCTTTTTTTTTTTTTTTTTTAACAATGGTTAAATGGTTGTCTCCTTCCCTGGACTTGTCTAGTAGGGTAGATACATTGAATTGGCCTGGAGCCACGTTCTCAGTTCCTGTAGACAGGAAAAGAGAGGAAAATAGTGGTATAAATTAGGGAATTTGAAAACGGAGTGAAAGAGGCAGAATGATGCAGGACTACGAAAATGAAATGCTCTTTAACTCATATAGATTTGCATAACGTATGATTAGAATAATTCTAGAACAAAAATACTAGCAAATTCAAACAATGTGTCGAAACACTTACTGGTTATCCGCTTAGGCTAAATCACATGGTGAGAGCTTTGAATACTTCCAAAAAGAAATAGAAAACAACACAATGAATAGTAGTAGCTTTCAAAATAATCCATAGTCTAACAATGAGAATTATAAAACATAGATGAGCACTCAAATCTTATGTTTACTAAGCTTAAGCAAGAGCAATGCAGAGGAGTCTGTCATGACTGCAATCAAGCTAAGAGAAGTTAGACTAAAAGATATAAGATGCAAGGAAGAAGAGAAACCTTCGCCAAGAATTAGTGGAGATCCTCCACTCGACGCCTTCGAAGTGTTCGTCAATAGCCTCTACCAAATAGATCAACGCACACTCCAAGTAATCCTCGACAGTGAGAACTACCCTTGGATTCACGTCGAAGAAAGTAGATTGTAGGATGTCGACGAAACCGTCTTCATCCCAAGTTATGCCGTAATCAGTTTCTAGATCCGCCATTCATAGGTGCTAGGGAGCAACTCTCTTCTCTGCTTTGTTAGGGTTCTTGAGATGAATGAGGAGAAAGAAGTTTCTCTTTGGCGATGAGGAATGAAAACTAACAATCAAAAATCTGAAATAAGTTTCAGATTTTTGTTGGGTGAGAGAGTTAATTGGGAGAGGGGAGATAGAGAGAGAAAGGGGCGGGTATGGGAGACTAGACCGGCGGCAAGGATGAAGAGGTAGGGGAATTTCTTTCCAAAAGAAGAGGAGATCAATTGGAAAGGAAATTAAGGGGACAATGAGAATTTCGGCCAAAGTGGGACGAGGGGTTTGAATTGTTTCTAATAGAGGAGGTGGGGGTATAAGGAAATAATTCCTAATTGGAGCCCAAGATCGGGCCGGCGGCTAAAGAGGGGTAAAGAGGACTTAATGAGGCTAATTAATGCTTCTTAATTTGGTTTAAAGAATTAGGAAAGTAAATAATTCAATCCAATTTAAATTTCAAATTCAAATGGATTTAAATTAGGAACTTTTCTAAAATAGAATCATTAAATTAGGAAAGGATTTGAAATTTGAATAATTTCAAATTCAAATCAATCCCTAAATTAGCCAAACCAAAAGAGGAAATCACAAGAAGGGTGGGGAGAGGAGTTTGGTCGGCGGCTAGGGAGGAGGAGCCGGCAGCCAAGGGGCCAGTTTGGGATTGAGCCGTGAGGTCGGGTGGGGTGAGGGGGATCGGATGGAGGTTTTACTAAGGGGGTTGGATTGGGGGTGGGGTTAGCTCATTATGAGCTATGTTTTTAGATCATTTATTAATTTATTAATAGCTCATTATTTTATCTCTTCTTCTTTCCCTTGTCTATTCATTTCCCGTGGATGGTTCTTGGGTTCCCGTGCCTTGGCTCCTTGGTTCCCACGGCTGCCTCCTTGGTTTCTTGCGGCTGGCTCTTGGATTTTCGTGCCTTGGCTCCTTGGTGTCAACGGTTGGCTATTTCCGTGCCTTGGCTCCTTGGTTTCCACGGTTGGCTGCTGGTTTTCCGTGCTGGGTGGTTTTCCCTTGCCTTGGTGCCTCGGTTTTGTGTTGGTCTCTTCGGTTTCTGCGGCTGCCTCTTCGGGTCCTTGGCTGGGTTGTTTCCCGTGAAGTGTTGGGGGGATTTCCGTGGTTTGAATTGCTTGGATTCCTGTGGTAATTCAATAAATTGACTGTTTGGTTTCTCCTCTCATGTCTATAAATAGTAGATGTTTTGTGGCTGTTTAAGATATGTTATATGAATGATTTTTGGAGATGTAAACCTGCATGTTTCTTCTTGGAAAAGCTTGCGAGCTTTGTCCACTTCTTCTTTTTCTATCTCTTGGGGAGACTTGCGAGTTCTTTCCACCCTTCTTCTCGGCTTCTAACCTCTTTCGTCTCTCCGCAAGTACCACCTCACCTGTATCCTTCTTCTAATGGATGAAAGCTTCTTTAGGTGTTTGTTTTAAAGTCATAAATTTGTCAAATGTTTGTAAGCGTCAAAGTTTGTAAGAGTCCTTGTTTGTAAGTCCTTTTATAATATTAAAGTTGTGTTTTATTTTGTTAGTTATATTTTGTCAAGTTTTGAATATTTTATGTCTTTTTATCATCCTAGAAAGAGTTTGTTTGTTGTGATAAAAAATTTGGGTCCCTTCCCAAATTTTTGGGACCTAAATTTTTGATTGCATTAATTTGGTATCAGAACAAGTTAGGAAGTCCTAAGTTTTTAAGTTGGTTTGTCAAGTCAAGTCTTATTGTGTGAGTCTTGAGAGTCTTGAGAGTCTTGAGTGTCTTATGAGTCTGTTTAGAAAGTTTTGTGTGTCTTGGTGAGTCATAGTAGTAGTTGTATGAGTAGTTATCATATAAGTTTTATTTTGAGTCATGTTGTCATTTGAGTCTTAGCGTCAAGTGAGCAATCTCAAGCCTTGGTGTCTCTTGATGCGACGCCTTCAGAACAAAGCTAACTCATCAGGAGATGAGTTCTCAAGAAGGGGAGTCTGATGTAGGCAGGGGGGGTAAAATCAAACCCAAAAAAATTTGGTTTTGACATCCCTTGAGCTTGCTAACTCATTAATTTTTGAGCTAAGATTTAGCTCATTATGAGCTGGTTTTTAGTTCATTTATTGAACTAAGAGTTACCTCATTATGAGCTATATTTTTAGATCATTTATTAATTTATTAGTAGCTCATTATTTTGTCTCTTCTTCTTCCCCTTGTCTATTCGTTTCCCGTGGATGGTTCTTGGGTTCCCGTATCTTGGCTCCTTGGTTCACATGGCTTCCTCCTTGGTTTCCTGTAGCTGGCTCTTGGATTTCTGTGCCTTGACTCCTTGGTGTCCACGGTTGGCTGTTTCCGTGCCTTGGCTCCTTGGTTTCCATGGTTGGCTGCTGGTTTTCCGTGCTGGGTGGTTTTCCCGTGCCTCGGTTCTATGCGGGCCTCTTTGGTTTCTATGGCTGCCTCTTCGGGTCCCTGGCTGGTCTGTTTCCCGTGAAGTGTTGGGGTGATTTCCGTGGTTTTTGATGCTTGGATTCCTGTGGGAATTCAAAAAATTGACTGTTTGGTTTCTCCTCTCATGTCTATAAATAGTAGATGTTTTGTGGTTGTTTAAGATATGTTATATGAATGACTTTTGGAGATGTAAACCTGCGGGTTTCTTCTTGGAAAAGCTTGCGAGCTTTGTCCACTTCTTCTTCTTCTATCTCTTGGAGAGACTTGCGAGTTCTTTCCACCCTTCTTCTCGGCTTCTAACATCTTTCATCTCTCCCATGTACCACCTCACTTGTATCCTTCTTCTAATGGATGAAAGCTTCTTTAGGTGTTTGTTTTGAAGTCATAAATTTGTCAAATGTTTGTATGCGTCAAAGTTTGTAAGAGTTCTTATTTGTAAGTCCTTTTATAATATTAAAGTTGTGTTTTATTTTGTTAGTTATATTTTGTCAAGTTTTGAGTATTTTATGTCTTTCTATCATCCTAGAAAGAGTTTGTTTGTTGTGATAAAAAAATTTGGGTCCCTTCCCAAAATTTTGATTGCATTACACAAGCTCTCAATACTCAAGCAAGAAGAAATTTTAATAAGCAATCATTCATTAACCTCAAAAGAAAATAAGGAGGGCTATATAAAGCCTCATACAAAGGACTCAAAGACAAAAGACACAAATGCCCCTTGGGCTCGCATACGACATCCCTTCATAAGAGGGTATAACGGGAAACTAAAGAAAGCAAATAAAATGCGACAACATAAATAAGAAAATACATAGGAAAATCAAAAATACAAAGACTCGATCATGGCCGTAGATCGGCGGCCACGCCTCTGGTAAACCTTCCATGATCTGATGTCCCTATCACAGAAGGCCAGCAAGTATTGAAGAAGAAGAAATTATAGAATAATAAGAATCAATTTTCATTCAATAAAAACTTAATTTCAGATTGCAAACTTGATCTATATTTATAGAAATCCAAAACACATCTTGAAATCTATTTAAATTCAAAAAAAAATTCAATGTTTAAAAAAAATTATACTCTCCAATGTTGATTATGCTATATTATTATAACTCTGTTGATTATGCTATATTATTTCAAATATGATATAGTAAACAAAGAAATCTTTAATATTTAAGTTGAAAAACGACAAAAAAAAAATTAAGATCAAAACAAAAAACTGAAAATCTGAGGCATCATTGGAATAATAGCATCTATAAAAATAAAAATTGACATAAATGATTTAAATAAATATAACAAAAAGGAAAAAAAAAACCCCTCACAGATGAAATAAATACAAAAAGTTAGAAAAAAAAATGAATCTATTGACTTTCTAGAGTTTTAAAAGTAACTAGCAACACCAAGATTCTCTCCATTAAAAGTTTAGGGTTTTCCTTTGGATACAACAACAACAACAACAACATCAAGCCTTTATCCCATACATAACTTTAATGATTTGAATATAAGCATTATTTGAATATAAGGGTTTTCCTTTGGATAAATATGAGAAATTGGTGGATTGAATACCGGGTAATTTTCTTGATTCCCTTCACTAGCATTTCTCCTTCTACTCTCCTTGGCCCACCCACATTATTGGAAATTCAAAATGCAATTTTGCAATTAAATCCCAACTCAATTCAATTTTACAATAGTATCCTTCAAGGTTAATTTTGCAATTTTCTACGAGCCTCCAGGATCACAGTGTGATGGTCCAAAATAATTGTGGTTCTCCATTTGATTCCCAAGTCACTCAATCTTAAAAAATGGATTCAAGGTGTATAATTCAGTTCTTATATGATACAAAGCAAGATAAACCATACAGATACTGTTCACAAGTGTTGAAATTTAGAAATCTTACAGAAACAATGGTGATTTTTCCGGCATGTGCCACATTGGTAGATTAGTTACAATATCCTGAATTTATTAACTTATTATCAAGTATACCGGCACATAAATAATTATAAGTTTTTAGAAATCAATAATAAAATAGGAAAATTTTAGCAAGCATTGATTCCATTATGCTTAGACACACCATAAAAGGAAGGGAGCTTGGATGTAAACACTTACTTCTCCATGTTCCCCATTCTTCTGTGAAGAGTGGCCACATCCAACGGGCAACATCATTCCAGCAGACCTGCTCGCATGGAAAGATAACAGTTCTCAAAAAGAAAAGATTTAGGAAGCTTTTTTGAATTGATAGGGTGAAAAAAGGCCGTTGAAAGTTGCATCATTAGCAAAAGCTTCATGAAAATAGTTGCACAAAAGAGGGAACTTCTTTTTGAAAGAGCATTCAAATAAATGCAAAGTAAATGTCATTTTTAATTCCCATTAAGATGTTAAAACAACAGTTTGTAAGAAAATACACAAGAATATAATGAAGAAAACATGATAAAATCATAATAATAAATTTCTGGTTTTATTGTGAGTCTAGTATTACCAAGCTATCCAAAGCATATTAAAAATAAATAATTGCGTATTCATAGCATTTCAAACAAATAGCAGAACAGATGGATCGTAAATGGTTAATCAATACCTTTTTTTTTCAACCATACAGTTGTGAAGAAATTTAGCATTATTGGAGAAATCATTTTCTTTAATCACAGGCTATGAATATTGGAGAAATATTTGTAGATTCTTCAGTATCCTTATTTGTGCAAGTGGGCTTGTGCTGATGAGCCCAAAGGCAATTGCAAGATTCTATATATGCAGATTAAAAGGAACTCCGCCTCTTCATTCTCAATGTCCAAGGCAACTTCAGCAATGTTAACTTAATATCCTTCCATTTTCAATTCCTTGCCATCTCATTTAAAATTTGTTCAATTTCATTCATTTGGGGATGAACATTGTCACCTGATAAGAACTCATGTACATTACCATCAGCTTCTATTATACTACACCCAGGTATCTTGACCACCTTTCTTTTCTTCATCAAACTCCTGACCTCCATCTGATTATCCCATTTCCCCTTTGAAGCATATATGTTAGATAGTAGGATATGGAATCCATCATGCTGGGGCTCAAACTCAATGAGCTTCCTACCCACTCCCTCACCTATATCAGTGTTGCCATGCTTTTTGCAAGCACCAAGCAAGGCACCCCAAGTAGAAACATCTGGAGCAATGGGCATGTCCTTTATGAGTTTCTTAGCATCATTGAGCAGACCCGCACGTCCTAGGAGGTCGACCATGCATCCATAGTGCTTAATATTTGGTTCTAAATTATAAATATGCTTCATCGAATTGAAATATTCCCATCCTTTATCGACCAAGCCGCCATGACGACAAGCTCCTAAAACACCAACAAAGGTGGTCTCGTTAGGTAGCACGCCACACCTCTCCATATTGGAGAACTTTTCAAGAGCTTCTTTGAAGAATCCATTCATAGCTAAACCAAGTATAAGAGCATTCCAAGTCGAAATGCTCTTTTCCTCCATCTCGTCGAAAATCTCCAATGCAGTCTTGGTGCAACCACACTTCATGTACATATCTACCAAGGTTGTACCCAGAAACAAATTAATTTGAAAGGCTTGCTTCCTTATGTAGGCATGAACCCATTTGCCTTGTTCCAAAGCAAACAGGTTAGTGCAAGCTGAAAGAACACTAACTAATGTAGTTTCATCAGGCCTAACTCCTCTAATTTGCATCTCATGGAACAAGGCCAATGTGTCCGAGGAGTGTCCATGTTGGGCATAGCCTGAAATCATGGTGCTCCATGACACCAAATCCTTTCGAGGCATGGAATCAAATGAATGTCTTGCTTTATCCACAAAGCCACACTTCAAGTAGCCTGATATCATTATATTCCAAGAAATTTGATCCGAATAACCTAAATCAAATAATAGTTCGGCAGCATTAATGTTCCTATATGATAAGTACATATGAATCAATGAATTCATAAGACTTAAATATGTTTGAATCCCAATTCTGATGATCAATCCATGCATGGCTTCCCCTTCCTTAGTAGCTTCCAATGAAGCACAAGCAGAAAGTACACTAACCATCACAACCTCATCAATTTGAATTCCACAAACTCTCATTAGGGTAAACAACTTCAATGCCTCTCTAAACATCTCATTTTGTTCATAACAGCTTATCATAGCTGTCCAAGACACAGTATCTTTACTAGTCATTTCATCAAATAGCTTTCGAGCATCCTCAACAAGCTTACTTCTACCAAACAGAGCGATCATTGAATTTGAAGCAATTGTGTTCTGCTCAGGCATATTATTGAAGATGTAAACTGACTCATCCACATCACCAATCTGCACATACGCTGCCAGAATCGAGTTCCAAGTAACAGAATCCAAAACAGGACTTTCATCAAACAGGAATCGAGCATCCTTCAAATGCCCACAAACAGAATACATATTGATCAAAGTATTGAGAACATAAAGATCTAAACACAATCCAAATTTTAAAATATGGGAATGTATCTGCTCACCTTCTACTACGCAAAACCTCAAAGAGCAAGCTTGGAGTACAATCGGGTGACTGTAGTTATCTGGAACCAAATCACATTTCAGCATTAACCTGTACAGTGGAAGACAACATTGAGGAACATTTCTGCGCACATAAGCTCTCATGATGGTGTTCCAGGAGAAGGTATTGGAGTTCTCTATCTGGTTGAGAAGCTGGCGAGAGTAGTCGAGAGCAAGAAAGTGGAAGCCGGTGCAAAAGGAAAGAAGGCGACTTGCAGCGAAAGAATCATTAATGAAACCGGAAACGGTCATCTGAGCGTGGATTTGGAAGAAATCTTTAAGCTTCTGGCATTTCCAAAGGCGCTCTTCGAGAATAGAAAGGTTTATGGAGACTCTTGGATTTCGAGCAATGACTGATTTCAGAGACGAGGATACTAGTTTTCTCTCCATGGTATATGAACGCTGGACACCTTTGAGAGAAATCCTATTCAAAAAGTCAAGGAAAGGCATGGATGATATCCTCATATAATTCCCTTGTCGAAGTTATAACTAAACATGGAAGAATATTAAACAGGAAACTATGCCAATTTAGCATTTTGCACAGTGTAGGCATGTAGATTAATGATGGTCTTACAGAAATGGAAAATGAAGATGGAGTTCCAGTAGCATTGGATATTGCTAAAGCTTAGTTCCATAACCATAAAGAAAAGTATAGAAGGTATGCAGAGAAGAAGAAAGCAGATGAATTTTATTTCATTTCATAATAATCTCCTCAATAGAGAGTACAAGTATAAATAGATGTATCTCTGTAACGGTGCTGATGCACATATGCAGTTTTAAAGGAACAGTGCTGATATAAGAGCAAAGGCAGTGCAAGTGTGACGCCCCAGGCATCCATAGTGAAAGGATTCGTTGACAGTCTTGATCAACCATCACTTCTTGCTCCATTGCTTTGACCTGAAATTGTTAACCACATATAATGAGCTTCAAAAAGCCCAGCAGGTCACCAAAGCCTACAATTGAAATCAATGCACGGTATAGAAGCAGTATGCATGTCAATCAGTCAAATCATAGCAATCAGTTACACATGATCATTGAATCAATGCATATACGAAAATCAGTACATAAACGATAATTAGTGCGTAAACAGTATCAATAAGAAACAGTAAACTCCTCGATCCACATCCACAGAAGAATCAGTAAACAGTTTAAAGGTTCGTAAAGCTCAATAAATCAGTGCTTGCGTCAAATCTCTATAGAAATCATTGAATCTATATCATTAAAGAAATCCTCATATCATTAATATCGATTAAATCAGTCAAATCAATCAATAAATCATAATAACATTTAAAACAGTTGGAATCAATCAATGGAATCAATCAATGCCATAAAAATCGTCATTTGCAGTCAATATCACGTGTGCAGTGAATCACATGTCACTATTCAGAACGTGCATAATGTCAGTACAGTGAATCAGTAGTATCAATATCAGTATCAGTAACAGTCCAGTGACATGAACAGTATGCTATAACAGTGAAATCATGCATTAACAATAAATCCGTACAGTGACGATAAATCCGTACAATAACAATAAATCCGTTAGTATCAATAAATCCGTCAATAGCAGTAACAATACTGCTAAACATACAATTTAGTACAATAATCATATAGAGCAAGTAGAAGTACTGGCTATTAAGATGTTTTTCAGTCTTGTATCAGTATTAGTATCTTGTATCTGTTGGCTCAGTAAAAAGAGTCGTCACTCTTTGCCCATCGGCATAGTATTCATCTCCTTATGACTCACTTCAGTAATCACGCGATCAGTAGAGGATAACACCAAAACATTATTTAAAGGAAAGCCCGTCGGCCCACCATCCTGTACAGGTATCATGTCTCAAACCAACGGTTCAACCAGTCTTTACTTGTCTTTCATACACACAGTAATATCACAGTAATATAACAGTGCTTTCAATCATATAACAACATTCATCATTATCTTATCAATGCATATCAACCAATAAGCATAATTTAGCTCAATCTAGAAAATCCCTTAAAATATCATATAGTAGACAGAAGTCGTAAAATGCACAGTTTCAGAAAATTACCAAATTACTATAAATCATATAAATAATATTTCAAAACTTTATTCGTACTGAAGCACTAAGTTTCAACAGCCATATTATTTTATATTCGGTTCAAACCGCACATAACTCAAAATATCCGGCGAAAACTTTTTAGAAAATACTCAAATCGTGTAAAAATATCATATCAGAAACATATCAAAAGTTGTGCGGTAAAACTTTCGTCAATGCAAAATTATACGCGTTTTTCGGTAACGGAAACACAAATCTGAGCACAGAAATATCAAAAAATTGAAATCTTCAAAATCAGAAATAGGATTCAGATTTCTTACTTCGAGACAAACAAATCTTCCAACTGCATCGTCGGACGAAAAGCGCTCCGCGGTCTCCAAAATCAAGCTTTCCCTTCTCTTTCCTTCTCTTTCTCTCTCCTGCCTCTTTCTCTCTCTTCAAAATGATCCAAAATATCTCAAATCGGATATTTATCAAACAGGATCGTCCAGGACGATGCCCAGATCGTCCCGGGACAAACTCCTCTGAACACAGATCGTACATACGACATTAAATCCAATTTGTTTCGTCCCTGGACGATGCTCTCGGGTTCGGTTCGTCCCGACGGTTCGTCCCACTGTTCCAGGTTCGTACAGATGAAATTGGCAGATTTTTTCACAATTTTCTTCAGTTCGTCCGGGACGAAGGCCAGTTTGTCTGGGACTAACAACACTAAAAAAAATCAGCTTTTTAAGGGTTTTGCAGCAAGTTTGCTGAAAAACAGTACTATCGGCTAATTTGAGATGGAAAGGTTATCAATCTTATGTATGGAATCCGATTGTGTTTATCAACCAGGTTATTATGTTGCCTCGAATTTTAAATTTGTTGTGATTGATGTGGGGTACGGGAGATTTATCCAAAAAAAAAAAATTAGTTCGACACCCCAGCACTTACCTAAGCGCTCCGACACTGTCCCCGAGTGCCCTAGCATTGATCTACAGAGAGCAGAGCGCCACAACGCTCTGGATTCGGCACTGCAGCGCTGCAAGTTTGAACGTTGCAACGTCATCAAACAAAGGCTTGAGCATCGCAGCACCCCAAACTGGTGTTGCAGCGCTGTGAGACGAACTAGATGGTTTTCTTTCTCGTTTTTATGAAGGGTTGCGTCGCTTGGGGTAATTTACTTGATTTTTTCTTGTATTTCTGATAGAGTAAGACATAGAGAACAGTACATATGAAAAAGAGAAGCAAGGAGAGAGTGAGAGAGAAGACAGATCTATACTTATTTCTTCCAATATTCATAGTGAATTTCTTGGTGTGGTGTGGCTCCATGATTTCTTCCCTATTTTGAATTTTTCCACATTAAATTCTTGTATCATTTATTTTTTTGCTACTTTTACTTTCTTGTTTTTTTCGTCATTGTGATGTTTGCTCCTCATCCCCAACAACCACTCTACAATCTAGTAAGTTGATCAACAGAAGATCATATACATTAAGTAAACATCGCAGTCAAATAGCATCCCTGGCCACAGTGGCTAACGCTCTATATTATACTTTAGTGAAAGAACGGTCAACAATCGTTTGCCTTTGCACAAACATTGAAGCTAAGGCCGTCCCAAGAGAAGTACAATATGTTGTTGTAGAGTGACGATTAATCTTATCAATAGCCCAATCCGAATCTTATTATGCATGTAACTCAAACTTGACATAACAAATGGGTAGGTAGAGAGTTCCATGAAAATATCGAAGAATTTTATATACATATTAGGCTGATTTAGATGAAGACAATCAAAAGTTTTGTTAACTTGTATTCCAAGAAAATAGGCTATAGGTCCCTGTTGCGTCCTGGAATATTCACGACGGTAGAGAAATATAAATTTTAACATCTTAGTTTTGTACGAAAATCTAGCACACAAGCAAATAAAAGATAGAGTGTAGCGTTCTTAAGAGACACCAGAGTTTTTACATGAAAACCCCTCAAAATGAGGAAAAATCATGGGATCTGGCCTAATTTGAATGAATCTTTTATTATTTACAGTCGATTACAAATGAGGCCCTTCCTTGGGGGGAAGGACTTGGGTTGATTTAGCAAATGTACATCATATTACATGGTGGAAATTTGAAGAATTAGTATTGAAATGTTTTTCTAGTTGGCAGAACCATAGTCGGTGGGGGATAGAGGTTGAAAAGATCATAGTCTGGTGATGGTGGTCGGAAGGACCATCAGGCGAGGGAGGTTGAAAGGATCGTTGTCGACGGGGAGACATGGGTTTGAAAGATCATAGTCTTACGATGGAGGTTAGAAGGATCGTAGTCGACTGGAGATAGTGGTCAGAAAGACCATTGTTTGACGAAGGAGGTAGGAAAGACCATAGTCTCTTTGATCTCTTGATTTGGAGCCATTTTGACTTGGATTGAGTCAATTTTGATGTCGTTGGGTTTGTGTTTTCGAGACGTTTAGTTCAAATATAGGTTTGTTGAAATCGGAGTTTGGATGATCCCAATTTTAATTTTGGAAGTTTCCAACTTCATTTTGCCTTGAGATTTGTGCCCGATCAAGATAATTTTTTATGATGTCTCAGTCCTAAATTTCTCATGTGAAAACGAGTGTGCAGATCTTGGAGAAGTGCCTCAATAGCTTCTTCATGATTTCTATAAGCAAGAGATCATTGACATAGAATATATTATAAAGGGAGGTTGATCCTTCTAAGGTAAAATAAAACGGGCTTATCAAAGGTGTTGGTAGTGAAACCATGGTGTAGCAAATGAGTTTGAAACGGTAAAAAACTATTGTAAAGGCGCATGTTTCAGCCCATAAATGTTTTTTTTTCAAAGTAGACAAATATGCATGGTTGTATCATGCCGACACGGTTTCATCAAGCAAAAATCATTTAAGACATCCAATGGAATGATTTGTAGGTTGTAAGGGACAACCATAGTGAAGAATGTTATACCTGGACCTGAACTGAACCGGTCCGGGATTTCTTACAACGCAAGCGAATCACCCGCGCACCCTCTTATGTGAGATGAATCGAGCGAGACGAGCCTCACGCGAATCATCGTTCGCCTGCATCCTTCCCCTTATGTACACCAAAATCTCTCCAATCGAAAAATCCACGTGATCCTCCCGCCCTCGTAGCTCTCTATTTAAGGCAAAGCTATGGCATTATGCATATCTTCCTTCTCTTCGTCAACAACAACCAAAAGCCTCATTGCTCCTTCCTCTTTATTCATTTCTCGCCAATTGTCCTCGAGGTGAACTCTCCCCTATTTTCTCTTTTTCTCAGAATGTTTTCTCTAATTCGACGTCATTGTTAGGGAAGGATTTCCATTTTATTTCCTTCTTTCTCTTGGATTGAGTTTTGAACCTTCCTCTTCCTTGCCTTGTTGTGTGATATCTTTTAACAAGGGGTAAGTTAGTGTTATCATTAGTGTCATTTGAATTCTTAGATTTAATTAGAGACGTCAAATCTTATTTAATCATACACATGATGTTTTCTTTATTTTGCTTCATTTGTTTACTCTGATGTTTACTCTTATTTAATCATACACATGTTGTATCTCTTGCATATCATATTCTCTTTGTAAACGCAAAACATGATTTCTTATCCCTTAATCGCGTCCCATGTTGCCGGGGTGTACCGACAGTACCACCTTCCAGACCCGGGGTGTGACATAGAAAACTAGAGCCATTGGAAGTTTGGCAACAAGATTAAAAGTGTAATTGTAATATAAATTAAATTCTTGTTTAGATCATTGAGCAACTAATCACACATTATAACATGCAAATGGAGTCATTAGAGTTGTATTTGATTTAAGAAATTCATTTACAACTATTGACCTTATTTTTGGCATAGATATTTATTGAACCCAACTAAGTTATATATAAGAAGATCATGATCCTCATTGGTCATAGGTTGAGTTATTTGTGATCACCTTAGTTTGTCATTGTGCTCGGATTTGAATTATGTGGGTTGCATTATATTCAATAGAATGTTTGGGGATGCAAACCACATATTCTTTGAGCATGACAACAATTTATTTTTCACGTGTTGTTGTGTACGTGAAGTTTCATTTGTATGAATTTTTTATCCGCATGAAAATTTTTAATCAGGATAATATATCGCGAAACATATTATGAAAGTGAGTCCAAATTGTAGTCTAAATCAAGCTTGATTTGAGTTTAGCGAAGAGATTAGATGACCCCATCAGGCTTAGTTGGGTGGGTGGACGAGCATGGTTGGGAACCTCCTAATCCATGTTTGATTCCCCTCTCTTGTGGGGCGACCCTTAAGTGGGGAGAAAATGACTGCGGGTCTTGCACCTGTGGGACTGGTTGCTTGTAAGCTCGCCGAGAGATTAGTTATGCTGCCAAGTGCCTCCTATGAGATTGGCAGCAGGTAGATACCCCATAAAAAATAAATGAATTTAATTATTTAAATTAAAAAATATCTCTCTCTCCATTCTTCATTGATGATAGTTGCTTTTAAATCTAAAAAAAAAACTTTCATTTTATTAAGCCATGTGCAACCATCATTTTCCTTCTTGAGGCTTGAGCCACACGCCAAGCCTATTTCACACAGAAGGTTTTGTAAGAGGAGATAAAACAAAAAAGATAACGAAAGCAAGAGCTATTCTACAAGCAACCGCAGAATCCGGATTCTCTGTTCTTTCTCCTCCACGTGCTCGAACCACCCATGCCGCCGCACCTTCATATGCCGTCGAGCCCCCCAGCGTCACCTAGCCGGATTGTCACCGGACCTCACCGCACAACCATCGGCCAGCCTTTCCCGGAGCTCCCATCAGCAAACCACCTCGCCGCACTGCCGTGTCGATCGCCGAGCCTTTCAACATTTGTCAAGGTATGATTTTTCTGTCTAGATCTGAGTATTGTATGTTATTTTATTTACACATCGAGTTTTAAGAACATGCAGAAACTTTTTTGGTTGCTTGCATTCATATTTCAATTCGTTGGCATTAAGTCAATTGAGGTTTGAGGTATTTTATTTCATGCATACTGCCAAGATCATATATCTACTAAATTCATCTAACAAAAAAGGAAGAAATCATAATCTATGATTTCTTGTTAAAGGACTTGTTGAGTTTGATTTCATTAAGAGGATCATCCTTGAACATAACTTTATTCTAAATATTAATAACACATTTGGGTCTGTGAAATTATTCACTTGGTTGGTCTTCATAACTTCATGACCGATTCTTTCATATATATAATGATTTCTTGATTATAAATATCCCAAAATTTTATATTTTCCTCCGATTTAATCAAATTCAAATTATAGGGCCATGTTAATTATTATTTGAACCTCCAATTGTATACGGATGATATGATATTAAACACCTAAGAAATTATTTTGAACATATTTGTTTGTTGATTTATTTTCTTGAGAATGCACGCACCTAAGTTTATTGTATTTTGCTCGGTATCATTTAAGATATTAATATGTATGATAAATATCATCACTTTGGATATTAAAAAGATATATTTTTAATGCTTTCCTTCCCGATTTTCTTAATTTTTTGAAAAGTTTGATTATAATTCTTAATATTTTATGTATATGTCACATACGAGTTCATGTTTGCGTAATAACGATCTTGAATCCCTAAATCACATTACATTTAGATAATGATAAATGACAGTCTTGAATGGATTTTAAAATAATTTTTAAAAAAAGTATTTCCTTTGAAAATTCAAAATATTACACATTGTATCACATTTCAAATCTCTCTCGTCTATCTTGTTTATATGAATAAATATTTTGTATGCATCAATTATTGCATTTAGGTAATCGTGTGTTCAGACTTATCTTTGCATTAATTTATAATCCACACTCTCTTATGTTGAGAGAGATATTGGTCTGAGTATTGATTATGTTGTTATCATCCCCTCGACCTCAAGTAAGGTCCTTTTGGTTTATTGAGGCATGCACTTGCCTAAGTTCCCTACTCGATTTAATCAGTTAGTTGAGATATAATTGCTTGTGCTTTACATTCTCTTTGTTTGTTATGATGTGTACACATATTACACCTGGATTGTTATCTTATGCTTCACCCATACATAGGCCTAGTAGGGTAATAGTTCGGGTTCTCCATTTCTACCCCATGGCTCAAAATGGTCCCCTTTTGATAGCCTATGACTTACACATACATGAGTTGAACCTTAGAGGTCCAAATTTGCCCCTATACTATGAGCCATGGATCATGTGGGTCATGTTATTGCGGCTATCTACTTGTGCCATATCATGGCATCCTTTCATATGAATATGGATTTTGGATACTTATAAGATTTAGGAGTTTCTTAAAGCTCTTAAGAAATACTAGAAGATATTTAAACAATGATTTATTTTTAAAATAAAATACTTGAGGCTTAGCAACCTTAATGACTCTTATTAAACTAATAAAATCCTTAATTTTAAAGGACAAATGGCTTAGGCACTAGGAGTTTTTTGACTCGTGCCTTTGATCCTAACTCTTCCTCATGAACCTTAAGCGACTTTGCATGATTTCATTAGTGATTAGTCTAGTCTAGATGTTCCTAGATTTGTCTATGGAGAATCTCATATGATATTTGAGTTGTCCATTGATTTTCTCATATGACTCTAGCCTTCCCCTTAGATAATCCTAAGTGGACTAGAAACCCTCCCATGTAGTAGCTTTGCGGCTCTATAACATCTTATAAAAACCATATTATCCCTTGACCCTAGCTTATGTTAGTTGACTATAGATGGCTTGGTAGTCTCCTTTTAGACTAGCTAGCGGGGAGCCTTAAGTGGTATTGTATGGTCATGGGCCATTTAATGACTTCTTCATTTAGCCCTAGCAACTCTTAGATGATTCTAAGTGTGCTAGTAGCTTTAGACCCCTTAGTGATCTTAAATGCATTAATAGCTTGACCTTTAAACCATTCTAGTGAACCTAAAATTGTTTGATGGGGCTTCTTACCCTTTAGACTCTAGCACATCCTATTGGAGCCTAAGATGTTTAGTTTTCTCCTTAGGAAGGGGAAGAGGAAATTGAGAGCCCAGACACTTCCCGTGGCTGACGGGAATTGCTTTGCCCTCACCTAGGGACTTTTCCTCTCTCTAGAGCTCTCAACACTCATGAGGACAAAAATACAAAAATTTATTCTTAATCATCATCATATCTTACAATATCGAAGGCCTTCATATATAGGCCTCAAAATAAAATAGGCTCAAAGATTAAAATGTCCTCTGGGCTACAACACAAACTAATCCCGTATAGGGGTACAATGGTAAAGACTAAAACATAAGCACAAGAAATACATAAAATCCATCATAAATAAAGAGTCCTAATCGTAGCCGTCGATCTACAATTCATCATGTGATAGACGCGCCAGAATCTCCTCCTGATGTTCTCCTCAGTAGTGCTAGTAGTAGTTAGATGAGCAACAGGACTTGTGAAATAAGCATTCTTAATAGGGTAAAGTCCTCGAAGACTTGGATGCTGTAGAGGATCTTGTTAATATTGGAATCCTTAATGCCAGTGACTCTCTAATACCATATTGAAGCTTATTTCCATAACTTGCATAATATGTTAGCTGCATGGAGAATAGTGTTGAAGGCATGCAAAGATGAAGTTGAATTGTATTTTATTTCATAATAATGTCTTCAATAAAGTGTACATGAATAAATAGAATTAGCTCTATAATAATGTCATATATAGTCAAAGCTGATGATGCAACCGTCAGTTGGAGAGGAACGGTGTTGAAATAAGAGCAGAGAAAGTGCGGGTTGGGGATGGAAGTAAAACACCGTGTTGAAACAAACAAAAAAGTAAAAAAAAAAAAAGTATGAGGACACCAGGATTTAACTTGGAAAATCTCAAAATAGGGAAAAAATCACACCACACAAAGAAATTCACTTTGAAAATGGAGAGAAATAAATACAGATCTCTCTTATCTCTTACTTTCTTCTTGGTTCTCTTCTCTCTTACACTGTTCTCACAGTTCTCCTGCTCTAACTACTCACAATACAAGAGAAAGTCAATAACTCTAAGGGATGCAACCTTGAGAAAAAATGGGAAGGAAAATTATCCAGTCCGTCTTGAACCGTTGCAGTGCTAGTTTTGAGCGCTGCGGCGCTCAAGTGTCTGCCATTATGATGCTGTGGTGCTCAAGTTTGTAGTGTTGCGGTGTACATAGTGTTGTGCCACCAAATCTAGAGCTCTACGACGCTCTGCTCTCTGTTGATCAGTGCTGGGGCGCTCGGGTACACCTGATCCCGAGCAGGGGGTAAACCCCACAGCCCCCAACGAGCATGAAAAAATGACTTTAAGGTTCGATGCAACAATACAATCTGATTGATCAAAATAATCATATTTCACACCGAACTAACACAAGCCTACACAAAAGAGAAGTGGAAGGCTGAAAACTTATAATAGTGTTTGAGAACTGATCGCTTATTTCCATAACCTGAATGACTGCATTTTACGTTAGCTGCATATATAATGGTGTAGAAGGCATTCAAGGGTATGCTAATGTTATTCAGAGCACCATGTTATCTAGCTCATCATCAATATCAATATCTCATGCTTTATCTAAACTATCTGAGATTTAATTTTTGGATCGTTCTGTATCTCCGTCCATTCTGGTTGAGTGAGACATTGAACCCTTTTTCCCCATAGTTTCAACCATATTAGACGCAGTCTACTTCTTCTTCAAAGTCCTTTTCACATTAATTCCATCTAACTGATTGCATTGAGCATCTTTTATTTTCTATTAATTTTGCCCAATTATATATATATATATATATATATATATATATATATATTTTCTAATCAAGTATTGCCTTATAAAAGCCATAGGCAGTCTTGAAGAGGAGAACACATAGGAAGAGATATAAATTAATTAGAATTAGAAGGGTTTTTTTTTATTCTTATAAATCTCTCTGTAATGGCTAGTGAGAGTAATGGAGTTTCCAAGCTCAACATTCCTGAAATCAAGTTCACCAAGCTCCATCAATGGGCAGATCATTGATTCTCTCTGGTATTTGACTCTCTCTCTCTCTCTCTCTCTCTATATATATATATATATATATATATTTCTGATGTTAATTTTCTTGGGCTATTTATGAGTCTGTTGGCATATACAATATACATGAATGCTTGATGCATGAAAAGTTGTCTTGAAATTTCCAAAAATGAATATGATGTCTTATTTCTTATTATAGAGATTACAATTAGCAACTTATCTTGAATGTTTATGATTGAGAAATAATTTAAAATAAAATTAGAAATTTTATGTGTGTTTTTTCCTATATAAATCATATAAGGATTTCCTTATGGAAGTATTTATAAGATATTGTTAGTAATCAATATTTATTTTTAGTAGTTTTACTTCCTAATAAATCCTTTTTTTCAGCAAGGAAATTCTGATTAAATTTCTTTCTCTCTGTAAAAATAATAGTTAATGATGTATGTAGATCAATAATATCTCATAAGATTAAATATTAATTAAACATTAAATTAGTTTTTAACACAGATCGAAATAAAAACTGACAAGTCTAATTTGAATCAGATCTATAAGAGTCAAATTAATGAAAGTTCTAACTATACATTTGCTGAGAGGTGCATGGCCTATAATTGCCTTGCTTGAAATAACTATGAATGATTCATTTTATTTTCCTTCCTGCATCAACATTAAGCAGACAAATTAAATCATAATTTGTAAAATTAAATAACTTAAATTAATCATTAATTAACAGTTTTTTATGGGCCTATTTGAGATCAGTTTTAATTATGCTTTCTGAAAAGCATATACGTGAAAAGGTTGGAGTAGCTCAAGTGGAAGATAAGATTAGAGAGAGTTGCCTTAGATGGTTTGGTCATATAAAACGGCAACCTTCCGATGACCCGGTTAGGAAAGTAGATGTATTAGATTTGACTTATGTTAAGAAAGATAGAGGTATACCTAAAAAGACTTGGCTCGAAAATATTATAAATGACATTTCTTTATTACATTTAGATGAGAATTTGACTCTTAACAGAACACAATGGAGAAAAAGATTCATGTCGTAGAGCCCACATAGTGGGATAAAGGCTTGTTATTTCTAAAAAGCATATTTAATTGAAAATTTTAGTTGTTTTTTATTTTTGGATTTTAAAAATCTGAATGGTGTTTGTTCATTTATAAATTATCATCTTCTCTATCTTCTATAAGGTTCTTGAGGAGATAATTTTCCTTTTTCATCTTGGTTTTATTAAGTTGAATCTATTGTCAATAAATTATAAAGCTATGTAAGCTTAGGTTCTTAATCAAAAAAGATGATTGAACATCAATAATTGATGTTTATATGATTCTCTAGAGTTTGCAAATTGAAGCATCTGTATCCTTTGTGAGAGGTTGAGTATCCAAGGAAGATACATTCTTGAGAGTGAGGGGTGGGTTTGTTTGTAGTTAGGTGTTTAAGCCATAGAAAACACAAACAATCAAATGTTTTAAGATGCTTGTAGGTGGGTAAATGGCCATTTAGCATCTGAAATGGAACTCGAAGATTGCAGGATTTTGTAGGTAAGCGGTTTGTAAGATAGTTGGTGGTGAGGAGAGCTTCAGGTCAGAACTTGTTAGGAAGGTTAGCAGTGTGTAAGAGAGTTCTGGTTGTATCTAGTACATGCCTGTGTTTTCTCTCAGCAAGACTATTTTGCTCCGGCATATAAGGATATCTTAGTTGATGTGTAATGCCTTGGGTGAAAACAAATTTCTAGAAATTGTGAGACATGTATTCACCTCCCCCATCAGACTGAATGGGTTTAATTTTAGAGTTAAAGAGATTTTTCAGCCATAGTTGTGAATTGTTGGAACTTTGAGATGGTTTCTGGTATGCATTAAAAACAACCAACAAAATCTGGAATAATTTTCTATAAAAATCAAATAGTATCTATAGCCATTCTAGGATGGAATTGGGGCTGGACCCCAAACATCTGATTTGATAAGATTGAGAGGTGTGGAATCTTGCATTAAACTTTTAGTAAATGGTAGTTTATGGCTTTTGACCTTATTACATGACTTGCATAGAAAAGTATAAGTGGATATGCATATGTTTAGATCTACTTTAACTAAAGTATGTAAAATAAGCTGAGGATGGCCTAAACGGGCATGCCGTAGAGAGTTGGAGTTGATTCGAGTGTTAAAGGCAGTTGAGCATTTATTGTTGTTGGAGACAACCAGAAGGCCGTTACGGCTATGACCACGAAGAGAACTCGATTGTTCAGTAGGTCCTTGATAATGAAGTCAACGGCATCAAAGGAGATGGAGCAACGATTTTTAGAGGTGATTTTATGTACAGAAAGAAGGTTATGAGTGAGTGAGGGTACATGAAGTAAATTATGAAGTCGAAGTGATGTAGTACAAAAGCATATAAATAAATAACTCAAGATCGTAGCCGTTGATCTCCGATGTCCTCATCACGAAGCTTATGATTGGGATATGGCGGAGACAAGATTCCTTGACTGCAATGTTGAATGGGAAGCGAAGTGCCATTAGCAATGGATATGGAGTTAGTGTCGTGATATGGATGTGTTTGCTGAAGATTGTTTGTGTCTGCTATAAGGTGTGTTGAAGTTCCAGAATCCAAATACCATTCTATGGGTGAAGCATATTGCTCTTTGGAGAGCGGGCCTCGAGATGGAGAAGTTTGTGGCTTGTAGTTTAGGTTGCACCTATGCCACCAGGAGGTGGCAGTGTGACCCATTTTTCAACAAATTTGGCAGGTTGGTCTTTGAGTATTGGGAGGAATATATCCATTGTTGGAGGAATTATAGTTGTGGGAGGGGTTGTTTGACAGTGAGACCGTGACCATGGGAATAGCGAGCTGGAGTTGGTGTGTAATTTATGCCCCTAGGAGAACCATCCTGGTTGTGTGAAAGGCTATTGTATCACGTGTAGGTTGTAAATCTTTGGAGAACTCATTTGGAAGATTGATCTCCTCACTGCATAGAAAGGAGTATAGGTCATCAAGGCTAGTGGGTCGGAATCAGAGGTGACTTTTAGCACTCTAATACCATGAAGAGACTAAGTAGCAAAAGTAAAGAGAAGAGAGGATGAAGTTGTTTAACAATAGTGTATTTTATTAATGTTTTGGTTATAGTGCTTGTATATATAGAGAAAGGTAGGAGATAAAAAGTTGGTTATTCCTGTACTGCCGCATATAACAGAGGAGAAGTGGATTAGAGTGAGAAGCGGCTACAGAGTGTAGGAATGATGGATATTAGTGGTCCTCACAATGTTGACAGCTTCTATATTGTGTGATAACACTAACATTCCAACCTTATCATTTGAATACAATTGTTAGATTGTAGGAATGAGGAATCTGAGGTCTATCACATTGTTATTGATAAATTGATGTTGTATAGTTGTCTCTATTCTCCATCACTTTTGCAATTCCTACTATGAGAATTAGTTAATTATCTTCAATTGTGTAATCCTGTCTTCTTCAAATATGGTGAAGAGTTTATTCATGTATCTTTAATTATACAGTGGATTATTCCAATTGTGCTAGACTTTGTGATTCATCTCCTTTTTATTTTTTCATATAAAAATTCTGACATCTCTTACAATTTCTATATATATGTATTGTATATTTATATAAATCTAAAAAATTAAACACTCTACCATGATAAATTTTTTAACACATAGCAGACATAACATCAGAGTATTTTTTTGCGGAATAATTTCTTGGGATATGCTCATTATTTTTTATTGTATATGAACAAGATAATAAAGATAGTATCCTTCAATATTTTCAGCCGGCGAAGATTTTTTTCATTTTTTATTTTGCTAGCACAAGGTTATAAGGTATTTGGTATGGCATTAGATCATCCATTTTTGTTTAATCCATTAAATTCTTGTTATGGTCAAGCATCTTCTTATATGTGTTGCGTCTCATCCATTGAATAATTAATTTTTCATTATATAAATTATTGTTTTTCCCAGCAATATCAATTTAGTTAAGCCAAGCCTCGAGTTTTTTGGCAGAAAATCAAGTTCGATCATGTTTTTTTTTTAATTTATTTGACCGAATTTGGTGCTTTAGTTTTATTTGACAGAAATTTTAATTTTCTGCTTAACTGAACTGTTAACCAAAAATATTTGTGAGGATGAATATATTTTGCTCTCTTACATTTGCTTTTAAATTAGTGCTATACATAAATAATTTATATTATATTTATCTTAAAATAGATTCAAATATTTTAAAACTATCTTGATAAACAAATTGATATGATTCAAATTTTTTCCTCAAATTTGTCTCTTTGAGAAAATAAAAACTATAAATTTACAATTAGATTTTAAAAAATAGACTTTTATTTGATTTAGAATTTAATAAATTTAGATTAATGGCTGTATACAATTTATTAGAAAAAGGATCAAAATAGTCCATTCACTTTTTATAAAGGATCAAAATGATTTTCAATTATATTAAATGATCATTTTATTCACTTAAGTTCTTAAATGAATTAAAATAGTCTCATGGTAGGATTATTTTGATTCATCTTTAAGGAGTTGACAGATCAAAATGATCATTTAATATATTTGAGGACTATTTTGACCTTTTATAAAGAGTCAAGGGATCATTTTGAACATTTCTCACATTTTATTATATTGATCAGTTTCTTTGGTGCTTAAATATTTGGAACAGAGGATGCTGATATAATGTTAAAGATTTATTAATCCTATATGGACTTCCATATTATATTATATTATATATATATATTCACTTATCCTCTTTAATCTTTGTTATTTTAAGAATTTATTAAGTTCAATCAGGTTCTTTAGATGATGCTATTTATATCCCGAGTAGCTGATGATATTACTCTACATGAATTATAGATTCTTTTATAGCATGAATTCATAATTCTTATTTATGTATCTTTTTGGAAACTTTGGGGCTATTTTCTCTATAATTTTCATTTTTAATTTATTATTTTATATTTAAAATGGTTGTACATATTTCAGCTTTTTAAGTCCTTTGATTTTTGATAATATTAATTAAAAAAAACAGAAAAATACGATTTCAAATACAATTCTGTATAATTTTACTGTCATTCTCATTGCATATAATTTACTTGCAGAATTTTTATTATTCAATCACTGTCAAGAATCTTATCACAGAATAAAAATCAAACACGTAAAGACAAGTTGTTATTTACTTTTTTGGAGCATTACGTAATTTCTAAATAAACTAATAATATTTTTTTATGTCGACTGTACTATTTTATATTCTGAAAGCAAAATAATAGCCATATGTGTAATTTTAAGATATTATATTCTATGGTCAGCTTTGGCCCATCAGCTGTCCTTTACTGTTTACCATTTTTCTAATCAAGTTTGGCCTTTTAAAGCCATAGGCAGTATTGAAGATGAGAAGAACGTTGAGGAAAAGATTAACTTAATTAGAATTAGAAGATTTTTTAAACTTTTTTAATAAATCTCTTTATGTTCATGGCTAGTGAGAGTAATGGAGTTTCCAAGCTCATGATTCCTGAAGTCAAGTTCACCAAACTCTTCATCAATGGCCAGTTCGTTGATTCTGTCTCTGGTATTTCATTCTTTCTCTTCTCTCTCTCTCTCTCTCTCTCTCTCTCTCTCTCTGTTTATATATCCTGATGTTTTTTTTTTTGGGGGAAAATATATATATCCTGATGTTATTTATATTGTACTATTTATGAGTGTGTTGGCATATAGATGAATGTTTGATGCATGAAAATTTGTCTTGAAATTTTAGAAATTTAATATGATGTTTTTTTTATTATGTAGAATATAATTTGTAAATTATCTTGATGTCTATGATTGAGAAATAATTCAAAATAAAATCAAAATTTTATGTATTTAGTCCTATACAAATCATATAAGTGTTTCTTTATAGTGATATTTATAAGAAAGTGTTAGTCATATCAATATCTGACTCAAATTAATGACAGATCTAACAATACCTTTGCTGAGATTAGATGGTGCATGGCCCTATGATCGACTTGCTTGAAAAATTTAAAAACTTTTTTTATCTCATTTTATTAAAAAGTTATAATTAATTTATGATGTAAATAATTTAATGCAGGGAAGACATTTGGAACAAGAGATCCTCGAACAGGAGATGTTGTAGCAGAAGTGGCAGAAGGTGACCAGGAAGATGTTGACATCGCTGTTAAAGCTGCAAGAGAGGCCTTCGACCATGGCAAATGGCCTCGCATGTCTGGCTTTGTAAGTTATTCTATAGATCACTAAACTATATATATATATATATATCTCAACTTTTGTACTTCTTCAATGAACTGAATTCAAGCTATTTATCGAAACAAACAAGAATTATTCATAGAAATCGAGCTTTTTATGAGCAGGATAGGGGAAGAGTAATATTGAAGTTTGCGGACTTGATCGAACAACATGGAGAAGAGATTGCCATGCTGGACTCCATCGATTCTGGAAAGCTAGTGCATCTGACCAAAGACTTTGACATTCAATTTGCTACCAATTGTTTCAGATATTATGCTGGTGCTGCTGATAAAATTCATGGTGAGACTCTCAAATGCATGGGTGAGTTCCAGGCTTACACTCTTAAGGAACCAGTTGGTGTGGTTGGGCACATCATCCCTTGGAATTTCCCAACTGTGCTTTTTGCCGCTAAGGCTGCTCCGACGCTTGCCACCGGATGCACCATGATCTTCAAGCCGGCGGAACAATCACCGTTATCAGCTTTGTATCTTGCTCACTTGGCTAAGGAGGTGAGTAGTTTGATTAGTAAGTCCATCTTCTATCTACTTATTCTTCTTTTAGCAATTGAGCATTTGGGCTAAGTGAATTAGTGTCGAGTCCATCTTTTATTCTGAGCATATTTATTTTGATTTCAAGTTGATTAAAATTCAAACATCAACTTTGACATGAATTATAATCTGTAGGGCAGTCAAACACGACCAAGCATATATTCCTTGGAAGAAGTTATTAGGGTCATGATCTCATTAGAGCTTTATCTGTCACCCTAAGACTAACCTCTACTACATTGCCAAACAGTGGTGGCATTAAGGAGAGGATGAGGGTGGTTTGTGGCCCTCTAGATTTAGGGAAAACCTCGTGTAACTATATATAAAATAACAACAACAACAAGTCTTTATCCCACTACATGGGGTAGGCTGCATGAATCCTTTTTCTCCATTGTGTCCTGTTAAGAGTCAAATTCCCATTTAAATCTAATAAAGAAATGTCATTTCTAATATTTTCTAACCAAATTTTTTTAGGTCTACCTCTATTTTTCTTAACATAAGTTAAATCTAATACATCTACTCTCCTAACAGGGTCATCGGAAGGCCGACATTTTACATGACCGAACCATCTAAGGCGACTCTCTCTAATCTTATCTGTCACTGAAACTACTCCAACCTTTTCCTGGATATACTCGTTTCACATTCTGTCTCTAAGAGTAAGTCCACTCATCCACTTGAGCATCCTCATCACATCAGCAATTAACTTAACATCATGCTTCTCTTTTAATGGCTAATATTCTACGCCATAAAGCATTGTAAGTCTCACCACTATCTTATAAAATTTTCCCTTAAGATTGAGTGGTACTTTTTTATCACACAACAAACCTGAAGCATTCCTCCATTTCAACCATCCAACTTGAATTCTATTAATAATATACCCATCTATTTCACAATCACTCTGAATAATAGACCTAATATATCTAAAATGTGTACTCTTATTTATGATTTGATCTCCCAAAGTCACAATCTCCAACTAAATCTATTCTACTAAAATTATACTCGATATATTAGGTTTTAGATCTACTCAAATAAAAACCTTTAGACTCTAAAGTTGACTTCCCTAATACAAGTTTACCTTCAACTCTCTTTCTAGTCTTATCAACAAGAGGAATATCATTAGCAAAAAACGTACACCAGGGTACAACCTCTGGCAAATGTCTAGTGAGAGCATCCATGACTAAAGCAAAAAGATATGGCTTAAGGCTGATCCTTGATATAATCCAACAGAAATAAGAAAATACTTGGTCAAATTACTTTGTATTTGAACACAAGTAATAGCTCCTGCATGCATATCCTTAATGACTTGAATATAAGCATTATTAACCTTTTTTTTTTTTTACTAAAATTCTATAACACTTCTCTTGAAACTTTATCATATGCTTTGTCTAAATCAATAAATATCACATGTATATCCTCTATATTCTCTCTATACTTCTCCATCAAACCTCTCAATAAATGTATAACTTCCATAGTAGACCTACTCGGCATAAATTCAAATTGATTTTGAGAAATATTAGTATCACTTCATAACCTTTGCTCCATAACTCTCTCCCACAGTTTTAAAGTATGACACATCAACTTAATTCCTCTATAATCCGCACAATCTTGTGCATCATCTTTATTCTTAAAAATATGAATCAACACACTCATCCTCCACTAATCTGACATCTTTTTAGTCTTAAAATAATATTAAAAAGTTTAGTAAGCTAAGAAATTCCTTCTATCTCCTAAGGATTTTCACATATGTATTGAAATATCATCAGGTCCAACAGCTTTTCGACAATTCATTTTCTTTAAAGTCTCTCTAATTATAGTTTTACTAACACGCCAATAAAAACAAAAATCATTATTTTCATTTAGGATGCTAAGGTCACTAAAGTCAATCGTATCTTCACAATCTTTATTGAAAAGTTTAACAAAATATCTCATTCACTTTTGTTGAATATCTTCTTCTAATAAAAGCTATTTTTTTATCTTTAGCCTTAATGCACTTAACTTGAACTAAATCCTTACTATTTTAATCTCTTTGTTTGGCTAATTTATAAATATATCTTTCGTCCTCCTTAGTATCTAATCTATTATATAAATCATTAAAAGCTAAAATCATTGCATCACATATTGCTTTCTTATACTCCTTACGGGCCTCATCATTATATCTTTCCCAATGATTAGAATTTTAATATATAAACCAATTTTTATATCAAATCTTCTTATATTTGATCTTGCACATTTTCATTTCATCGCCAACTATTTTTCTTATTAGGTGTTTTTCCCTTTGATACTCCAAGTGCATCTTTTGCAACATTCTTAATATCACTAGTTATTTTTTCGCACATAACATTTGCATTCTCATGCACAGACAAAATCTTTCGATCAAGAATCTTATTTTTAAAAATATTTTGTCAATATTATTTAAATTGCTCCCATCTATCCCTAAACAACGTTTTACTTCCTACTTTTTATCACTCTCACTTGGATTAATCGGCTTCTAGTTCATTTGTATGAGCTTTATAATTCATTTTGAGTTGAATCGAACTTGCTTTGAGTGAGTCATTTTCTGGCCGAAGCATATCAATTTCAGTTTCGATTCCATTAACATTTGACCATGTTTCAAGTTTTGAACATAATTAATTATCTTCATGATAATCAAACCTTGATCAAGTAAGTGTCGAAATCTCACATTATTGTCGAATAAGAGCTTCATTTGTGGAACCCCAAAACTAGCATCGACTACATTGCCAAACTTCGACACATGAGGTTCATCTGAGACGTTTGCAATTATTTGTACAATTCGTTGTGAAACTATTGAGGTAAAATCAGAGTTTTTGAACGCTATTGCAGGCATTATAGACTTTTTCTTTTCAAATAATGGCAGTCAGCAACTTACTTATAGCTATCACAATTAATAGTTATGAAATGAAAAACTCTTTCATCTTTGAAAATTTAAGACAGGGATTTCTAAGGCTTCTTTTGGGACGCGGCTTTCTTCTTGCTTCTTAAAATAGCTTTCTAGTACTAGAAAGTTATTTTAAGAAACAGTAAAAAAGCCATCCCAAACAAAGCCTAAATCTCTCTAACGAGCAATCTTTGGCTGTTATATGATAGCAATGATACATTTATGCAACAACGGCTAGAATTCTGTTCTCTTATTGTAGGCTGGTATTCCTGATGGAGTTATCAATGTTATCACTGGCTATGGTCCGACTGCAGGGGCTGCTATTTCTTCTCACATGGATGTTGATGCTGTAATTACCTCAATCTTTCTTAATCTCGTTCAAAATAAAGAATTCTATACAAATTGAATATATCATTTCTTAATTAAAAATATGAAATATGTTTTATCATAATTAAGATTATGTTAATTTTGTAATTACTTCCCTTCAGGTAAGTTTCACAGGATCAACAGAGGTAGGGAAATTAGTTATGGGAGCAGCAGCAGCAAGCAATTTAAAGACTGTTTCATTAGAATTAGGAGGAAAATGTCCCTTAGTTATATTCAATGATGTTGATATCAACATGGCTGTTCAGACTGCCTGGCAGGCTGTTTTCTTCAATAAGGCAATTAATTACCCTTTTATCTAAATCTCATTGATATATGTTATATGATATTTAGTCTTCGTTTGGGACAATCTTACTGGTTTTTGAAGCAGCTTTCTAGTACAAAAATGGCTTCCCAATCAAAGCCTTAGGCTTTGTTTGGGACAGCTTTTTTGCTGCTTTATAAAACTGTTTTTTAGCACAAAAATTTCTAATTCAAAATTTTTTTTGTACTAGAAAACAATTTTAAAAAGCGGCAAAGAATCTGTCCCAAACGAAACCTTAATCTTATAAATATTCCAAATATTCAGATCTTCTAACTTTCTTACTTTCCATTTCTGATAGTGTTTCTAACTTCAATAATAATTAAAAAAAAATTGTTAACTAAGTTTTTCTTGTTCTAAGTTTATAATTAGTAGACCGAACTATCTGTGCAGGGGGAAGTGTGCATTGCAGGATCCAGGATTTATGTGCAGGAAGGGATATATGATGAATTTTTGAAGAAGGTAACTGACAATGTAAAAGATTGGGTGGTTGGAGACCCTTTTGATCCTCAGGTTCATCAAGGGCCTCAGGTATGTTGCATTAAATTATTTTAGTAGATTTTTAAAAATAAATTATACAAAACATTTCTTTTTGGATATTCATAAAGTTTTTTAGAGTTTATTGTAGCTAAGTGTAAAATAAGTTAATGGGAAAGATAAAGGTTTTGAAAGTTATGCTCCACAATCTAATAGTGGAAAGTATCATAAGCATTTCCATTGTAGAAAACTGAGGTGGTAATTTACTTACGGCGGTTATATTCTAAAAAAATCTAAAGTTTCGTTTGGGACAGCTTTTTTATTGATTTTCAAAGTAGTTTTTTAGATTTTTGTACTGAAAAATTGCTTTGAAAGTAATAAGAAAGCTGCTCAAATGAAGCCTAATTATGAAAAGCTCATTCTCAGCATCAATTGAAAAGAAAACAGAATAAAATTTTTGTCACTCATAAGTACATCATAATAGCGCACCTTAAATATTTTATGGAAATTGTTACTTTAAATGAAAGTTCAGAGTTATCTATTTCTTCTTCACTGAGAAAATTTGAATTGCAGGTTGATAAGGAGCAATTTGATAAGGTTCTTAGATACATAGAGTCAGGCAAGAGAGAAGGAGCCACACTTTTGACAGGAGGAAAGGCCATAGGTGAGAAAGGGTACTACATTGAGCCCACAATCTTTACTGATGTCAAGGTAAGAATGCCTAAGCTATTTACTTGTCAATGAAAATATTTGATTTATTCAAATTATCTTTATATTAAATTTTATGTAAATATTTTGCTCAGGAGGATATGTTGATAGCTCAAGATGAAATATTTGGTCCAGTTATGTCCATCATGAAGTTCAAGTAAGTTCTAAAACCTCATTTTCAGACTCATTTTTGTTTAGATTTTTATTTCATCAAAATATTCTGATGTATGTGATTTCAGTAGTTTCATCAATTTTAAGATTTAAGCTTCGTTTGGGGCAGCTTTTTTACCGCTTCTTAAAACAATTTTTTAAGTTTTTATACTAAAAAGTTGCTTTAAGAAGCGGTAAGAAAATCATCCCAAACGAAGTCTTAGAGTCTGTTTGGGATAGCTTTCTATCTGTTTTTGTTTTCAGACACTAGCCACAATTTCATTTGGTGTTTGTTTTCTTGCTGTTTTTTAAAAAATTCTATGATGGAAAGTTGTTTTTTCAATCATAGTATCAAAATTCTTTTCTCCATAGTAATTTTACAACCAACTCTATAAAACTCTACAGCCGCCCCAAACAGGTCCTTAATTTCAACTTATATATTTTTAACATTTGAATTTTACTCTATATTTTTTTGACATTATTAGATTTGGCTTATGTTAAGAAAGGTAGATATCGGCTTAAATAGACTTGGTTAGAAAATATTATAAATGACATTTTTATTAGATTTAAATGAGATTTTGACTCTTAATATGACATAACGGAGAAAAATGACTCGTGTAGCTGACTCCACGCAACGGTATAAAGACTTGATGTTATTGTTGTTTTATATTTCTTTGATATTCTTATAAAGTAATAGTACCATATAAATAAGTAAATTTAATCATGAATATTAATATTAACCTTTTTTTTTATTGTGTATGGATTAGGACAATAGAGGAGGCAATTGAGAAGGCCAACAACACGAAGTATGGATTGGCAGCAGGAATACTGACAAATGACCTGAATACTGCTAATCGTGTTTCCAGGTCGATTCGTGCCGGCGGGATTTGGGTCAACTGTTACATGATTACTGAAAGCAGTATTCCTTTTGGTGGGTACAAAATGAGTGGTTTTGGAATGGACAGTGGGCTTCAAGCTTTGGAAAAGTACCTCAAAGTCAAGTCTGTGATTACTCCTATTTATAACTCCCCTTGGCTTTAACTTCATATTGTTGTAAATGTCCAATGTTCTACTTTGGCTTATATGATAAAATAATAAATGCTTTTATTTGGGTTTTTTTTTTTATATTTTTTATTTTTGAAAATATGTTGAAGTAGAAATATGATTAATGGGCTCTTAATCATAAATTTTCATTTTTCATTCATTCAAAATTTTAAAGATAATATTAACATTAATGATTTGATTGAAATCAAGTGATTCATGAATAGATATAGGCTTTATTTGGGATGATTTTTTTGTTCTTTTTTTTTTTAAGGTACTAAAAAGTTACTTTAGAAAGCATACAGGTGTTAATATTTGACACGATATAAAAATCTTACGTGATCCAGACTCGAAAATTTCAGGTTTTGGTTGAATTGAATTGGGTTGGGTATGGTTTAGGGTTTTTGACATGTTTTAAAAATTAGTAGGGTTCGGGTTGATTCGAAACTCGATAATAACCCGCATTGATCGGAGCTGTCTGTGTAGTGTCCCGAGACCAATCTCGCATTGCACGTCATGTCCTGAGGTGACGAGGCCAATCCGAGTGGTGTTTGTCTGTCATGCTGACCCGCCTGCTAGATGCTATCGCGTCCTGCCGTTCCCGCTGTCCCCAGTGATGATACTGATGGCTGTCGTTGCGCCGGCCATCAGCCCATCTCTGCCGACCCATCATAATTGGTGTTGGTCGCATTGCCATGTCCACGGGTCGGGTGGTTTGACCTAAATAGTGTCGAGTCAGTTCTAGGTTTCAATTTGCTAAATCCGAGTTTTATGAAAAAAAGGGGGGGAAATGGGATTTAAGATTATGTAAGATTTAGGGGTTGTTTGACAACAAGTGAGATTTAATTTTAGTGAGATTTAGTAAATCCTATAAATCTGAACTTAATAAATCAAAAGGGTTTTAAATTATGAAATTTTTTTGGTATGACAAAAAATAAATTATGTTAAATCCTGAGAAACTATTTAGTAACATATTTTAGTATTTATGATAGTTAGTGATTTAAATGTGAAAAAGATAAATATAAATTCAAAAATAAATTAGAATTAAAAATAAAAATTAATGTGTTATGAATTTAATAAAATATTAAGTACAAGTTAATCATTAATTAATATTTACACTATTAATTATATATTTAATGATATATATATTTTAAGTTATACTAATTAAGCTAATTATAGTAATATTTAATTACTAATTATATAATTAATTATTCAAATAAGTTAAATTTGATAATTAACTTATGCACTAATTATAAAAATCCTTAAATCCGGGATTTACCCATCGCCGGGATTTAACGCGCCTACAAAAACCGTTTGGCTGGATTTAGCTTAAATCCGACTGAAATACCGCTGTATCCGATACCAAACAGAAGATTCTGTAAGATTTAAATTTGTTAATTTGCAGTTTAGACCTTAATCCAGCTCGAATTCTGTTTCCGAACGGCCCAAGAGGTTTACGGCGAGTTTTTGACCCGAGGCGGCGAGGTGTTCAGCGAGATCTTCGTTGAGTGAACTTTCGGTGTTTGAGGTAGAACGATTGACCGCTTTAGAAAGGGTTATTCATATCAAATTCACAACAGCCACTGCAGCTTGCTCGGTGAGATTCTCAGCTATTTTAAATTTTCTTAGTACATTTATGTTTTGCTAATCAATTTATGTGAAATCTCCCTTCTTCACTTTATTTTTGGGAATAATGTATAAAGAAATTTGAAATTTGACTTCTTGATGTCGCCATTTCTACCTTGGTCTGTTATAGCTTTTGATTGCTTGTTTATGAACTCACATAATCAGTTTTTCCTATTCTTAATATATTTTGGCAATCATAACTTATATACTACAAATAAAGCACAATTAACTACACAAAAAAACTTTTTCATAGCAAGTCCTTATAAAATCTAGGGGTTTAATCTAAGGAAAAAAAAACTCACTATAGAATATAGCAGTAGTAAGTTTTATGACGTATTGGTTGAACAAAAATATTATGCAAATTTACATTCGAGTGGGCATGCAGCATTTAATCTATATTACTCTATAAAATTAAGTTAAAACTTTAACATTCTTAAATCTTTATCTTTCATTTCATTAGTTTTATTTAAAATGACTATGTATTTCTCAATATTATTGTTGTAGTAATGACCTTGCTTGTTGAACTTAGGAGAATTGTCTGTGAATCACACTCAACTATGGTGGGGATATTGAGTGAAAGAGAGAAAAAGGTAGAGGGAGAAGGAACTATTCTAGAGTAAGTAGTTTTGTGATTTTAGTAAAATGAGATGAAGTATAGAGAATTTAGTTTTTAGAGGCTAATTAAATAATATTGCGTAAACTAGGCTCTCCCTCCAATCTCCTATTTATAGATTTCTCGAGCGCTATAAAATTGGATACATACATTGTAATACAAAAAACAAGAGAAAATATAATAGTTGTGTAGCCTGGTCGAAAGGTTTAATTGTAAGAAGTCCTCTGTCAAGCTTTTCAGAAGTCGTCGACTTGAAAGTCAAATAATTGAGAATTGATCCATAGTTCATCTTAAGAAGTTATCCTTCTTGAAATAGTCATTAGAACCAACTTAATAGATAATTGTCGTTAGGATCAACTTAGGATCATGATCTCCTTCTTGAGATGAGTTCCCTGATAAGCCAATAAGGATGAAATTGAGTAAATCGAGTTAATTTGACTTGAAATGGCTTGATTTATCTTGAATTGGGTTGCTTTAACTTGAACCAGGTTTTTTTGGATATTTGGATGTGCATTTAGTTATCAAATTCTCTTATATCCTTTGAGATTTACTGCAAAAGAAATAAGTATAAAAAACATTCTTTAGTAATTAATCATTGATCCTTAAGAAATGCTATTTTAATGTTGGATATTACTATATTAGTCAATAAAATTGATGTTAACTTTTAGCGCCGTCCTTTTGTACACCTCAACAAATACTTAGCCTTTAAAAGAGAGATGGTTTCTTCATATTTAATTATATGCTTCATTGATTCATTCTTCCTTTGAGCTTGAGTCGGGGTATTCAGCAAAACTTTATCCCTTTCAAGAATAGAGGTTCTGAAGGATAATATTAACATCTCAAAATAATATATCAATGCTAGCATGTTTGACAAATGCAAGAGAGAATGAACTCCTTCTAAAAAGAAGAGAAGAAGAGAGTTAAATTAAATAGACAAAGGCTAAAGGCAAGATTCAAGAACTCACTTCTTTGTTGAAACCATTGGCTGGCCAACAACAGTCTTCTTCTCCCTGCTTTTGGGAGAAAAGATGTTGATCTTCTGGTGACTGATCTTCCCCATGCTGAAGTTGAAGAATGGAAAGTAAAATTTATTTATTTATAGTAAAAATTACGCTATTTTTTCTCTTAATTTTTTAACACATTTTTAATATACTCAATTTTTATATGAGTTAACTTTCAAGTGATGTGCCTATTATTGATCCTTTTTCTCGCCGTGATCTTCCAAGTGAAATCAGCTAAGTGATTGACCTGTAAGAGACTAGTGTCTCTTAGCCACCCATATATATTGAGGAAATTGAAGTCATCCAGCTGCTTATTACAATTATTGAGGGTGAAGCCTCTCAACCGATTGCTGAAGTAATTGTGGTTGAAGTTGCTAAGGTGTCTGTTGAATAATTAGTTGAAGGGTTGAGAATTGAAATCGGCTAAAGGATGATTGAAAGTATGACTTTAACTTCAGCTTGGGTAAAATTTTACATTAATCTTATTGAGAAGTCTTCTTCCAAAAATTTTAATGAAATCCTTTATCTTTTGGGGCCTCCCTTATGACCGAGTTGGTTGTAGAGAAGGATCCCTTAAACTTAGTGAGTCCAATGCCTAAGATTTTGAAGAAACTTGTTGTGCCGACTACTGATAAAGGGAAGAAACTAATTTCAATATTGAAAGAGTTTTTCTATGACATTCAAAGTGTCACTTCAACTACTCTAAATAACTCACGGAAATTGTGCTCTTTAAGAAGGTTGAAGTATTATTTGTTGAAATCTGCCAATTGAAGTTGTCCATGACATTTATGAAGGACGAATATAAATTGAAGGAAGCTGGCTTGTAGATACAAATTGTTAAGTTGAAGACATCATTTGCCGACTCCATTGAAGCCCTTCGCCAAGAGGTCATCATAATGAAGTTTGAAGTTATTGTTCTCCGAAGATATATGGAGCTAAAAAAATCCAATCAATTCATGGTTGGGGGTGAATAAATCTTGAAGCGACTTAGAGATAGTGGAAAAGTCCCCAAGGAAGTTGCCAATGATCATTCTTTTCATTTTTTTTATAATTATTTTTTTAGGTTGATTGTAAGTTACCCAATGTAACTTTTCTTTTGAATGTTATTAAAATAGTCTTATTTCTTTGTATTTGATTAGATGCTGTGAGGCTTTGATGCAACTATTTACGATTTTCTATGTAAACAAATATCAATATAGTCATTGCGCATCAAAATAAAATAAATTATAATTTAAACTTAGGATTTGAAAAGGCGCTTTAAATGCGATGTGACGTGGCCTCGGGAGTCTTATTTTAAGTTATAAATAGCCAAGTACTTTGTATTTCAAACTTTTAAGTTTCCTCTTTGATTATCTTCATGAGTTTTAGTGCTTTTATCTTTTTTTTTTTTGATGAAATTTTTTGAGAGATCTATCTTTCAATCATGGTAGCCTTTAAGTAAATCTATAAAACATTGATAGTGTTACCTGCCTTTGCCGACCAAGTTCTCAATGGCAAATTTGCACTTTAACGAACCGTGCCCATGGGAATTGGACTTGCTCGGTCAGTTGCGGACGACAAGACTCGCTCGGTAGTGGAGGCTCGCGAGCGGCTCGAGCTCATTTACGGTGGGACGGGCTCGAGCTCGTTTACAGTGGGACGAGCTCGAGTTCGAGCTCGCATTTGATTGGCGAGCCAGCTTTTTGACTCACGAGCCGAGCTCGATAGTGTCATTATTCAACTCGACTCGTTTACACCCCTAGCTCAGATCATGCTGAATAGCTTTGCGAGTATCATGACCCTAGTATGTTATATGAGGAAGACGAAAATACCATGGTCGATACTATAGTTCCTGCGAGTATCATGACCCTAGTATGTTATATGAGGAAGACGAAAATACCATGGTCGATACTATAGTTCCATCAACTCTTCTTAGTGCAGGCATTCAAAGACGACTTTATCTATTTTCTTCCGATCACATCAGCATGGTTGGCTTGCAGAACAAGATCATGATCAGGATAAAAAATTGGAAGAACAAGCAATGTTTTATAACTCCAGCCAAGAAGTTTCTGATTTCTCCTAATCATTATCGTTCCCTGCATAAAGGTCCTAGCTTCCTCTTTTGGGCAAGGATGAGTACTCGCACTTCTCTGAAATGAAAGATCTTAGTTTGAAAGTTTTGTCATTCATTGATTGATGCTTGTTGGAGCAACTTCTCACCCATAAGTTCCCTATCTTTACTTTGAAACATTCTTTAATAAATTGAGTTCCATGGGGCAAGTACTATAGAGCTAGTATTATAGGATGAGTTCTTAGAGCATTTTATTTATTTATTTATTTTTAGCTTGGATCTATTGTTCAGAGTGATGGTGAAATAGATGGGGATATTATCAGCAGAATTCAAGTTGGATGGTTGAAGTGGAGGAATGCATCAGGCTTGTTGTGTGATAGAAAAGTACCCCTCAAACTTAAGGGAAAATTCTATAAGATGGTGATGAGGCCTGCAATGCTTTATGGTGCCGAATGTTGGCCATTAAAAGAGAAGCATAATACTAAGTTAAGTGTGGCAGAGATGAGGATGCTCAGGTGGATGAGTGGCTTTACCCTTAGAGATAGGATACGTGAGCATATACGTGAAAAAAAAATTGTAGTAGCTACAGTAGAAGGGAGTAGCTCCAGTAGAAGATAAAATTAAAGAGAATCGTCTTAGATGTTTTGGTTACATAAAACGGCGACCTTCCGATGACCCGGTTAGGAGTAGAAGTATTAGATTTGACTTATGTTAAGAAAGGTAGAGGCATACATAAAAAGACTTGGTTAGAAAATATTAGGAATGGCATTTCTTTATTAGATTTAAACGAGAATTTGACTTTTAATAGGACACAATGGAGAAAAAGGATTCATGTAGCCGACCCCACGTAGTGGGATAAAGGCTTGATGTTGTTGTTGTTAGCTTTTTCCTATGAAGTCCCTTGTTTAGAACTTAAAGTTTGCCAGCTCTTTGCAGAGGCTACTTATGAGGATGAAGAGGTTGAGACGAGGACAATCTCCCTCTTCTACGGAGGACTCTGAATTAGCCTTTTACGGCTCCTATTAATTTCAACGATAATGAGGAAGAATATTCTGGTGTTGAAATTATTGAGTCTCAAGTTGAGGATGAAGAGGCTGTCGATTCTCATTTTGAAGTTGATCCTTATGCTTGAGAGAGTGCTCTTGAGAAGTCTTTCGCTACGGGACAGTCCAAGTCACCAGCTCTGATGAGTTCTTCTTTAATAAGATGACTTCAAGCATAAGGTGGCATCAGAATAAGTGGGGAGATTGTTCAGGTGAGAGTCGAGGAATGACTTTAAGAAGACCTTCAAGAAGTCCAAGGTGAAGGGAAAGAAATTGTTGAGGAGCCTCCTTTGAAGATGCTAAGGTTCTTAACAAAAATAAGCTGTGAGATGCTAGCTTCTTCTCCAGTGTTGATGAAATGCTTTTGTGATGAATAAGTGCCTGATATCAGGTCTTATAAATAATCTTTTCATCTGACCGTTCTAGCGAATGAGTACTTGTCCACAACTTATGACCTCGGCTTTACTTTTTTTTTAAACTCATTGTAGAAGAAAGATGGTTGACATCCAGTTGGCATTTTCCACTATGCCATGATGAAGGCGACTGGGACCAGTAGATAGTTGAACCACATAATGACGACTAACTATAAGAAGACGCCCCCTCATTTAAAAAGGTAGAATGTTGCAATAAAGAGCTTGGAGAATAAATTCGTTGGCTTGAATAAGCTGTCAAGCGATGAGAGAATAAGCTGTCAAGCGACAAGAAAATAAAAAAGAGAAGTAGCTAAGTCGATGGATCACAAGGTGAAGGACGAGATCTACAAAATGGATGCAACACTTGTAGTGACATCATCCATTTCTGTAAAGAGAAGACAAGATTTGGAAGTTGCCCATTACAGAATAAACGAGCTCGAAGACCAAGTTAGGTTGATGCAAGAAGAAGGAAGAAGAAAAAAATAAAAAAACAAAGTTGGTTGGCGAGTTCTTTGATATTCTCACAAAGACAGCCGAGTATCAAGAAACATGTCCTCCAAATTCACGAAGTACACTTTTATCTGGATGTTGATAGGCTAATATCGAGTATTCCATTTAAATAATATGAATACCAAATGATATATTTAGATACGATGAATACTAAATATGCTGTCAACAATTGGAATAGTTATTCAAAGGCAAATATCGAGTAAGTTTTCAATACTTAGAGTACTTTCTCAAAGACGAATGTTGGGTAAGACTTAAACACTTAGAATGTTTTCTCAAAGGTGAATGTCAAATACTTAGTGTTTATTCAAATCTATGATGCACAGACATGAATGCGGTGACATAGACACGACACGAGTATGAGACGCATCAATTATATAAAATTATAGGCATGCCAGTATAATTTTTATATTTTAAAAATAGTTTATTGAAATTGAATAATCAGAATTTTAAGAATAAATGATAAATAATAAGTTATTTCACTAGAATTTGTGTTTAAAATGATTAAAATTAGGATGTCTAGAGTCGTGTGTCGATATCTTTTGTCAGGCATTGAGAGGAGATAAAAATGCTATCGAGACTTGGACATTGATTTTATTTTTTTAATAGACCACTTCTCTAACATATCACTAAGCCTTTTATTATTGGCATAATGATATCGACCTATTATTGTTGTTGATGCTAGGGGGGTGGCAATCAATTGAGAGTTTTTCCCCCTACTTGCAACAGAAAAAACTAAATCGGAATTTAGTAAGATTTGTAATATTTATATGTCATATTTATGCTTTGCAGAGATGTCACGAGTCATTCCATGATTCCATGTTTTTAGTACCATGGCAAAAACTGAATTCTTCCTTCCTTCATTTCCTCCAAATTAATGTTCCAGTATCATCCCCCATTTCCCACACTTTCATGCAAACATATATCCATTAACTTGGGATAATAAGAAGAAACCCGGGAATACCTTTTTCATGCTCTCGTAATTGCAGCATTATTCAAACAACACAGATTACCTTAATATTTTCATTCATCTTGTACTTTTATTGATGGTCTAAAATGTATATTCTAATACTAATTGCTGATTTAATTATAAAATTCTATCCACATTTGATGATTTTTTCCCTTGTCGATTGGTTCATATATCCATGCTTCGCTTAGTACATTAAGTGTTAAATAACCATGACAATCCTTTGTAAGTTGCAGTCTAATTTTCCCTTTTGGATTTATTAACTAGATTTCATAATAGTTTCAGTTTGAATAATTAGTACTACAACAACAACAACATCAAGTCTTTGTCCCACTACGTGGGGTCGGCTACATGAATCTTTTTTCGCCATTGTGTCCTCTTAAAAGTGAAACTCTTATTTGACTCTAATAAAAAAGACCATTTCTAATATTTTCTAACAAAGTCTTTTTAGGTCTATCTCTATTTTTCTTAACATAAGTCAAATACTCAAATCTAATATCTCAACTCTCCTAAAAGGGTCATCGGAAGGCATCCGTTTAATGTGGCCAAACCATCTAAGGCGACTCTCTGTAATCTTATCTTTCAGTGGAGCTACTCCAACATTAGTAATCTCTAGAAATTAGACATGCAATGGAGGGAAGGCAATATCAGTTACCCGCATCAATATGCCATGAAACCCTCAACAAGTGTAATATTTAGATTAAACGGGTTATATTCAGTTAATTGGATTATCTTGACCCTAAAATTGTATTACTCATAGTAAAGGAGTCATATGAGTCTTGTGAAGCAGATTTTGGGTTGGGTTAATTGTCAATCAAACCCGAATCATATCCATGAACCCAAATGGGTGCCTCTAATTTGGCCAACTAAGTATTAAAATAATATTTGTGGCTAACTTGGAGAATCATTTCAACAAAGTTTTATTAATACATGTTTGTAATATATTTTTAAAAGCTTTAGAAGCTCTTGTATTTGGTCATCATAAGTACGTTATTAAAAGGTGTAATATTTCTCTGTTGCTTTTTCAATTTGTTCATTCATGATAAAGGTGCTTTGTGGTACAATGCGATTGTGTTAGCAAGCCTTGTCAAACTATTCAAAACGCTGTTTAAAGCATACCGATGTATTTTACTAATTTCTAAATCCGGCCTTTTGTAGCGACATGTCTTTTTTTTACTTTGCAAAAAAAAAAAATGTTTTGTTTGTTATGCAAAAATATGCTTTATTTTTTTAGAAATTTCTCAATAAACTTGGCTTCAGTAGTTACAGAAATCCAGTAAGATTATAAATGTTTTATTGGAATCAAATTTTGGTTAGTGAAGAACATTTCCAACTTAATACCATAATGTTTAACTGTTCATAGAAATTTGTTTCAAGCTTCTTGTTTTTAGTGTCAACTTATCTATCTTGATCATGTTTGTTTTGATAATAGCCACGGGCATCTTAAGCACATGTACTTTTAGTAGTTTGTATGATAATATATCATCAGTAACAGCCTTTTGGGATCACTTACTAATCATATTTTTAAAATTAATTTCAGAGTTTGAATTTAGAACAATGAGCCTGATTTCTCAAAACACCGGCACTAAATTCCTTGAAAATAGAGATGCTGACGAAGATGTTGATGCTGGAGGGTCTTCACCCTGCAAGGATACTGTAGAAAAGGAACCCAAATTAAGCAGGTTCAAGAGAAGTAAAAAGAGAAATAGGACATATAATAAATATCAAAAGGCTTCTAGAATGGAGGAAGAGGAGAAAGAAATCAAGAAACTTGAGAGCTTCTTATTTGGAGGCCTCAACTCATCAATCCAATTTGGTAAGGAGATTGCTGGCGACGATAATGAAAGGCCACTCCCTTTGTTTTTTCTGGATAAATCTGCTGGTGATGACATGATAGTTTATAAAGAGGACATTTGCCAAGATAGCAAAGAGAGAAAGCCTGTGTGGGTTGATGAAGAAGAGGAAAGAACAGAGGTTAACATATTGTCTGTGAGAAGGCTGAGGAAGCTGAGGAAGGAGGCTGATGAGAAATTGATTTCAGGTGCTGAATATGTTTCCAGATTGCGTGCTCAACATGCGAAGCTGAACCCGCGAACGGATTGGGCTGAGGTTAACCAAAAGAGCGGCGAGGTTTTCACATCCGACGATGAATCTAATGATGAAAGTGGTATCACAAATGCTCCTGGTTATGGTGATGCGGAAGGAGACGACGTTCTTCGTGGCAATTATGAGCTTATCGACAAGAGTTCAGTTAAGTTACTTCCTGGAATATTGGAGTATTCAAGGCTGATGAATGCCAATTCTGAGGAACCGTCTAATGGTCCTATAAACTCAGTTCAGTTCCATAGAAATGGGAAGCTGTTATTAACTGCAGGTTTGGACAAGCGGCTGAGGTTTTTCCAAATTGATGGAAAACGCAACACTTCGGTTCAAAGCATTTTTATGGAAGACTTCCCAACTAGAAAGGCTTCATTCTTACCTAATGGTTCTCATGTTATTTTGTCTGGCAGAAGAAAGTTCTTCTATGTTTTTGATTTGGTAAAAGCTGCAGTTGATAAGATAGGTCCTTTGACTGGAAGAGAAGAGAAAAGTTTGGAACTTTTTGAGGTTTCTCCAGATTCCAACACTGTCGCCTTTATCGGCAACGAAGGTTATATTCTTTTGGTTTCTACAAAAACCAAGGAGTTGATCGGAACGCTGAAGATGAACGGAACCGCTCGATCATTGGCCTTCGTTGACGACGGACGGCAACTAATTAGCGGCGGCGGCGACGGGCATATTTATCATTGGGATCTTAGACTAAGAAGATGCATTCATAAGGGTGTTGATGAGGGCTGTATAACAACTACTTCATTGTCTGCTTCACCTGATAGCAGCTTATTTGCAGCAGGCTCTAGTAGTGGAATAGTAAATATATACAGAAGAGATAATTTTCTTGGAGGAAAGAAGAAGCCGTTGAAAAGTATTGAAAACCTAACCACAACGGTCAACTTTTTGAAATTTAATCAGGATGCTCAGATATTGGCCATATGTTCACATATGAAGAAGGATAGTTTGAAATTGATTCACATACCTTCTTTTAATGTATTTTCAAATTGGCCGCCTAGGTCTGGGTTGCAGTATCCTCGCTGTGTGGATTTCAGTCCTGGTGGAGGTTTCATGGCTATTGGAAATGCGGCTGGAAAAGTACTTTTATATAAGCTGAATCATTATCAAAATGCTTGATCAGAAGAAGCAAATTGTTCTATATCGCATTGGTTTGCTCATCAGGATCTTATTGGTATGTTTCCAACTCTTATTATTGCATCAAGATCTAAAAATTTTGAGAGACTTTTTTTTTTTGGAGTAATGTGTTATAAACTTAAGTTGGATGGTTGCTGAAATTTTTTTAAGAGGTTTCTACTGCTATTTTTATAATTTTGTGCGAGGTTTAAAATTGTGCAATTGGGTATTGAGACATTTTTTGTTGGTGAGGTGAGGCGTAAGCCTCAGGGCGTTTTGAGACGGAAGCCTCAAAATTAAAAAATTACGTTAAGTCAAAATGAATGGTAAAAGTAATTTTTTATATAATACTCAAATAATATGTTAAAGAATGACATATTACCTTTCTATTGAATTATTTAGTAATAAATTGACATACATATATAATAAAAAATGCACAAGGCGTGAAATAGAATTGAAATTCAAATGTTATAAGAGTAAAATAATATCAAATATATGAATGACATAAAAGTATCATATAATATCAGTTTTAACTCTAAATTCATTCTTTCTCAGTTCCCTGTTCATCTATATTTAATTCAGAAAAAAAATTGAAATAGTTGACAAAAATTTAGATTTCATCTACATTGCCATCACTAAGAGGGATTTTATTTGAGTAGTCATCATAACAAATTAGTTTCTCCCCTCTCTCATCCCATGGAATCTAATATCTCTAATTTTACTTCTTCATATATTTTAGTCATATTCTTCTTTTATAAATATTTTTCATTATTATAAAGTTGAGATTAATACTCTTAAAATTTTAGAGGAAGTGGTGGTGGTTGTGTACGAGTTTCAAGTGATACCTGGCATGGACTACGATGATGATGACTATAGAGAAAACAGATAGTTGGAGGTCAAGTCAATCGATAGGAGTTGTTGCATCTTGTGGGTGCATTAAAGTGTAATTTGTTCGGGGTTTTAATTTAGGATTTAAGTAAGTTTTAATAAAAAAAAAATGTATAAATAGGGTGAGGCATAATCCTCTGGTCAATGAGGCGTGGGGTGCCTCAAGGCGGGCCTCAGCCAACCTGATGTGCAAGCTTTATAAAAAAAGTTAGGCGTAAGCCTTGATGCATTTTTTTGTCAAAATTGTGCTGAGGCGGGCCTCATATTGCGCAATTTTAAATAATGATTATATGCCTTGGTATATATTATGTTATGTATATGAACACAATTTCATAGTAATCACACACCATGATTTTATCAATTAAGAAGAAATATATTAACTTTTGATCAAATTTTGATTACGTTGGTCTTAAGTTTGATTTATTTTGAGATGAGTGCAATATATATAAAATTAAAAAAAAAATCAAAATAGTCCATAGATGATTCATATATTACTAATTTAGTCCCATCAATTTAGTTGATTGACAATGCAAAATTGATCCAAAATGGTCCCTTATGATGTAATTGTGATATAAAATTGATTCCAATTTAGTATCGATAGGATCATTTTGGATCAATTATGTATAGTCGAGAGTTTAAATTGGAGAAACGTTATGTTCTGAGACTAAAATCACTATATACGAGTAGGCGGGGGATTATTTTAAAATTTAACACATATAAACTTAATTAAATTTTATATTATATTCATATTAATAATTGTAAAATTGAGTTGATAAATAAATTTCGTTTAATTTAGTTGGCTCATTAACCCTTTAATGCTAAAATTTTAAAGCCACACTCCAATCCCATTGCCCAAATTTAAACAATAATAATGATAATAAAGCTAAAATTTTAATTCATATAAAAGCTACAATTTTAATTCACTCCAAATTCAAATTCAACTCAAATAAATTCAACTAAAAATTTACTTAAGTTTTCTTTAGCAAATCATATTTTTATTTAAATAGGTTTTATATTGATCCCTAATGAGTAGCAAAAGGAAATCATGATTTTAAGGCTTTGTTTGGAACAATATTATTTGACTAATTTCGTGATAAGAAAAATAATTAGTAAAAAATAACGAGTTTAGAAGATAGTTTTTTCCAATGATATTTTAAATTTTGTTCTTTAAAAATTGTTTTTTGAAAGATAATTTTGAACTATGCTTAAGGCTTTATTTGGGGTAAATTTTTTACTGCTTTCTAGATTAGTTTTTAAGTTCAAAGATTTTTTTAATTTAAATTTTTATGCGTGAAAGCCATTTTAAAAAGCAGCAAGAAAAAATATCAAAGATCCATTTGCATTATTAAGTCTATGATAGGCGTCTTAATTTGAGTATAAAATTTTTTTATACTAAAAAGTTATTTTAGAAAGCAGTAAGTAAGCTGCCAAAAATGAAGCTTAAAACTCCAAACATCCATTTTTATTTAGAAATTTGTGTATTATATATTTTTCATTCAATGTTAAAAATCTTTATTAAACTTGATTGGTATTTTGTTAACAATTGAATTTTTATTTTACTTAAATATTACTCATTGTCTTATAAAAAAAGGATTATATTATTAAAAAAAAAAAGCCAAATTATAAAAAAAAAATTACATCATAGTGATGGAGCTATTATATATAAATTGTAGCTTTTAGTTGAGACATCAATCTATAATGGTTGTCATATTCATCAAGATTTCAGCTAATTAATCAAATCAAGATGATACAAAAGAAAATTATTAAATTTAGTATTAAATAAATTTTATGAATAGACAAATAAATAAAAAAACTATGTATTATTCACGGCAAGCAGGAGTCATTTCTATTTTTCTCTTATAATTAAATATTTATTACTTTAAACTTTTAAAAAATAATAAAAAATAAACAAACCATTTTTTTATTATTAGTAATTTCTGCATGTTAGAAAATTTTGCCGTGATAGAAATTAAATTTTCACCGCTTAGGCTTCGTTTGGAATTACTTTTTTACTGCTATCTGAAACAGTTTTTTAGTATAAAATTTTTGAGTTATGAAACAATCAAAAATTGCTTTAAAAAGCAGAAAGAAAGCTTATTGAGTTTTCTTAATTTTTATAATGACTCAATCATTTATAAAAAAAATATAAAAATTCATTATTGATGAAGATCACATTATTACTTATTGCACATTGATTAAATTTATCTATTTTTATGATAATTTAATTATTTAATTAATAAATAAAGAAATAATGAATGATAGAAGAACATATTCTTTACTTTTAAAAAGTTATAAGCTTAGCTCATGAAATAAAAATTTTTAAATATAATGGATTTGGACCCTCCAACTTATTGAATGTTGATAGGCTAAAATAAGAAATCCTATTGATTTGGTGTTATTGAAGATCAAACCAACTTTGCTCTCTAAATTAAACAAACTTTAAACATGAAAAAAAAAAAAATATATAATTGTTGCATTAAATAAGCATTTTTCACGTGTTTGATGTAAATATTTAAGCAATTTAGCTTAAGCTTTACACTAATTGGAAAATTAATTAAGTTAGATATCAACCTTATGAAACACATGCCTTTTTTTTATTGATTTGTTTTTTTTCTTCAATAGATTTATTATTTTTGGATTTGTTTTTGTAGATTTAAATTTAATTATGTTTGGTTTATTTTGATAAATTTATTCTAAATCAAGGAGAAAGCTATTGAGTAATAGGAATAGGGTTAAGAGCTTATACTTATATTTGTTATATTTGATTGATTTATTCAAATAAATCAAAATCCTAAATTGCATCTATTTTTACAATGGTACTTTTGTAATTTATAATTTTTTTCATTAAGAATTTTGACGATTAATTGAAAAAATTAAATAAAATTTAGATTTCATATCTTCTTTCTATATATATTTTTTCAATTATAATTGTCTCTTGAAGACAATGAAGGTGCAATAATTTAATAATAAAATATTAGTTAAAATGTCTTAATACAACAACAAAAACAACAAGTATTTATCCCACTAAGTGGGGTTGGCTACATGAATCTTTTTTCACTATTATGTTATGTTAAGAGTTAAATTCTCATCTAAATCTAATAAAGAAATGTTATTTGAAATATTTTCTAACCAAGTCTTTTTGGGTCTACCTCTATCTTTCTTAACATAAATCAAATCTAATAAATCTGCTTTCCTAATTGGGTCATCGAAAGACCGCCGCTTTATGTGACCAAACCTAAGGCGACTCTTTCTAAACTTATTTTCCATTGGAGCTACTCCAACCTTTTCATATATATGCTCATTTCTATCATGTCTCTAAGAGTAAAGCCACTTATCTACCTGAGCATCCTCATCTCTACAACACTTAACTTAATATTATGCTTATCTTTTAATGGCCAACATTCTGCACCATAAAACATTATCACTATCATCTTATAGAATTTTTCCTTAAGTTTGGGAGAGACATTTCTATCAAACAACAAGCCCAATGCATTCCTCAACTTCCACCATCCAACTTGAATTATACTAATAATATCTCCATCTACTTCACCATCACACTGCACAATAGACCCAAGACATTTAAAATGTGTACCCTTATTAATGACTTGATCACCCAAAGTCACAATTTGATCCCTCTACTAGATCTATTATTACTAAAATTACACTTTATATATTCATTTTTAGATCTACTCAAACGAAAGCCTCTAAACACGTACAAAGGTTGACCTCCATAATTCAAGTTTACCTTCAACTCCTTCTCTAGTCTTATCAACAAGAAGAATGTCATCAGTAAAAAGCGTGCACCAGGGTACAACCTCTTGTAAATGTTTGTGAGATCATCCATGACTAAAGCCGAAATATATGGGCTTAAGGCTAATTCTTAATGTAATACAATTGAAATAGAAGAATACTTGATCAAACCATCATATTTGAACACAAGTAACAGCTCTTGCATACATATTCTTAATGACTTGAATATAAGTATTGTTAACCCTTTTCTTATGTAGAACTGTCCATAACACTTCTCTTGAAACTTCATCATATGGTTGCTCTAATTTAATAGTGCAATTAAATTATTTATACTAATTAATTATGGCATTTACCTTTCTCATAAGAAAACTTTGAATATGGACAATAGCATAATTATTAGGAGAAAAGACAAAGAAAGTTACAGAATGAAATGTAAAACTAATGAGATATTTTATTTTATTTAGTCTAATTAATATAATATTGTGTCCAAGTTTATGCAAATTTGGAAACATTATATTTTGGTCCACACACATTAAAAAAAAAAACATATTTGGCAAAGCATCTATTAGGTTAAATATAAAATCAAGATTCTTTAAAAAAAAAAAAAAAAAAAACCAAAACCTTTTTTGATTTATAATTTGAAAAAACTAAATAATAAACATGATATGATCAATCTAATACATGTGTCATTTGCTCATCAACATTGTTAAATCATCTATGAAGGCATCAATAGATTGAATCTCTTGATTTTATGCTTCATTTGGGACATCTTTCTTACTGCATCTTAAAGCAGCTTTTTAGTACCAAATTTAATATTTATAATGAAAAGCTACTTTAAAAAGCAGTAAGAAAACGGTCCCAAATGAAGTCTTAATCAAATCATAGATGCTAATACAACTTATTAAATCGATACCGTTAATATCGACAATCAAATCTAATACAACAAACTGATCTAAATAACTCTATACGATAGCGAACATAAATATTTGATTGAAGCGAAATCATGTAAATCTTATTATTTCGATAATTTATCAATTTTCTCATTTTCATTTATGATTATTATAGAAACATAATTTTTTATCTATATGATTTTTATATATTTTTGTCTTATCTCATCTTAGTAGTTTAGTAGGTGCAACCATTAATTAAATATTTTTTTAAAGGATTATTCTCTCAACCAAAATTTTTTCCTTGCTTACACATAACAAACTCTACACTCATTTGATTGGCCGATTTTACAAGAGGCAGCTTCCACGCCATCATAAAATAAATAAATAAATATAAGATAATATAATATATATTTTTATTATATTTTGAAAAAAAAAATTAGACAAATATGCTATTTGTTTTTAGTATAGTAATTATAAATTTATAACCAGACAATATAATAAGCATAAATTTTTTTGGGTAATTTAAAAATATATCTATTTGTTAAAATAATGTCCAAATATTATATTTGTATTATAAGTGGAATTTTAAAAAATTAGTGGCTTATAAATATTAATTTTTTTAGTATTTTTTATTAAAAAAATCTATAAAATTGTATATATTTTGTTGAATAAAAGGGAAAAAATTCATACTAATTATTAAATATCAAAGTTTTTATGACCCTTAAAAAATATTGGAATAGTAATAAAAGCTTGAATCCAAATATAAAAGGACATCTAATAAGGTTGAGATATTATAATCCATAACACTAATGGACAAGCTTCTTAATGATCTAACTAATTAACAAGTTTTCATCCCTCATCACTTAAATGTTAATTTAATAAAATATAAATTAAAAAACAATTTATATTCAAACACTACCTTTGAAAGTATAAAAATTATTTTAAAAAACATTTTGATTCTTATGTCAACTAATTTGTAGTTGAAATAATACATTTCAATGAGACGATTCCAAACAGTCAGTAAAAAATCTCACAGTTCTAAGTTTATCGGGACACAAAATAATGAAAGAAATTTTTTTTTTAATGAAATGAAATTGAGCAACTAAACACAATTATAACATAAGAGATATTTGATCCATGAATTTATATTGATAATAAGTTTCAATGTGTTAAAGAGCTAACCCTAGCTAGACCATCCTGAAAAAGCTCTCATAACGGGGAAATTATTGGGTCAAGTCACCAAATGTGTTCGAAGCCCAATAAAAATATGTCACATTACCTCCTACTCGGTACTGCTCGGTACCGAGCTCAATACTGCTTAGTACTGTGAATACCAAACGTAAGCTGTGTCCGGTGACCTGGCCCAATAATTTCCCCTCATAATGAGTCAATAAATAGGTTAACATCGAGGTTCTTCGATATCATCTAGAAGTTTTGGTCATCTAAACTTTTCAAAGCCAATTTAACTTATAATAGAAGCATGAGCCATTTCTGTTACTTTGATTATCTTGATGTTAGATTCAAATTTGTTTATGGATGATGCCCGATATTACTATTAGGTTATTTGAGGTTTAGGATTACAAAACCAAATAATTAAGGCAGCTTTTGTCAATTATTTTTTCATTGCTTTCAAAAAATAATTGTACAAACAAATTATTTAAAAAAATCAGTAAAAAAAAAAGAATCTCAAATGATTCAGATTCTTTGTCTGAATCTGCATCGGTTGTTTCTCCTTCTCAATTGCAGGAGAGATTATTAGGTGCGGAGTGCGGACGGGGAAAACCGTCCGCACAAGCCTTATTCCGCGCTACGGCACTCGGTACCGCTGGGTACCGCTAGGTACTCATATTTGTGCCGACGGTGCACACTCCACACTATTCCTGACTTATTCTCTAACACTTTATGTGGTTTCACCTTCTTTATTTTCGTTTGGGATGGATTTTCACTACTTTTTAATGCGTTTAAGTAATTTTTATACTGAAAAGTTGATTTCGAAATTAATAAGACGGCTATCTCAAACAAAATTTAAGCTTCATTTAGGCAGCTTTTTTTACTATTTTATAAAGCTATTTTTTAATATCAAATTTTTTAAAAAGTAAAAAAAAAAAAACATGATGATCTAAAGTGATCCCAAACAAAACTTTGTGAGGCAATTTTTTTTTTAATTTCCAAACATCAAAAAATTCTTGAAGATCTGTCCAATAACATTCGGCCATGTCATCATTGTTTATAGACGTGTCATCTCAAAAACCAACCACGTTTCACCAACTGTGGGCCCGGAGAAGCCAATTGTACACGTAAAGGTGCCATGATGTTACGGCCCGGAGACGTAATATCTCTTCCCGCTCTTTTCAAAAAAAAAAAAGAATTCTCTATACGAACGTCCGCATAAAAATCTTATGCCGACGAAAGATCTTCCCTCCGTACAACTTCACACAAACACGAACGGTTGATAAATATCCGCATTAAATTTTGCGTGCGGTAAAGCGCACGTCTTTACCTCTTTTTTTTTTAATATAGGATTTTATTTATTTATTTATTTTTGCATGGATAGGAAAACCGTAAAGGTAAGATAAGGATCGGATGCTTTTAACGGCCGTTACTTGACGGCAAAGCAAAACCAGATCCCCAAATAATAAAATCTTTAAAATATGCCACGTGGCTCCATCACAAAATTTTAAATATAAATTTTACAACAAAATAAAATATATTATTATTGTAAATAATTTAAACTAAAATTTTAACAATAATTTTCAAAAGATTTGAATATAAAATTTTAATTTTTTATTAATTACAAACAAAATAAAAATATTTAATTTAATAAAGATTTGATGTTGTTATTAATTGTATGTTATACCTCTAATATAAATTTATTTTGGGACGGTTTTTTTATTGCTTCATAAAATATTTTTTAGTACAAAAAAATAATTTTAAGAAACAATAAAAAAATCATTCCAAAAGAAACATAAGTCATCAAAGTTAAATATAATATTAGCTTTTAAAACCTTTGTAATTAGTATTTTAAGCTCGCAAATAATTTTTTAAACCACCATTTTGCTAAAATTCTTTCAAAGCACCCACTTCTAGTTTAAGGCTTCATTTGGGAGGGCTTTTTTACTGCTTCTTAAAGCAGCTTTCTACTACAAAATTTTTAATTTTTGTACTATAAAGCTATTTTAAGAAGCAGTAAAAAAGCTGTCCCAAACGAAGACTAAATTTTGTTCATATTTTAGTGATTTCAATAGCTTAAAAATAAAATGCTGCATTAAGACTTACTAACATTTGTAAAACAAAAGTGAAATATATTTCTAGCAGATGAATTTCACAGTGAATCGCCAAAGTCTTTTAAAATGCTGTAAAAACATTTTCTTAGTGTAATTTTAATATAAAGTTGCTAAAAAATTTACTTTTATCATAAATATTTTCATAAAAATAATAACAAATATGTAAAACTTAATACTAAAATATCTAAAACTATTAGTGAATCAAATATCTATATAAAATGTGCCTTAATTTTATTTTCTTAAGAATGCAGCAATTATATTCAGAGAAAAAGGTGCAAAATTTTTTTTACATAAATATCCTATAATTTTTGGGTCTTCACGTCACGTCGCCACGTAGTCTTTTTTAAAAATATCTTAAAATATTTTTTTATATTTGATTCGTAATTAATTTACTTACATAGTGCTTGGAAAAAAGAAATATATATTTTTTTTTGATAAAAAAAATTAGTAACGTGACACGTGGAATCCTTATGAGCGCATGATCTATATAAAATCTTCTATAAGAAATTATCTCGATGGAAATCTCGCTTGCCAATACTGGGCGGCAGGCTTAACGCCGTTAGTTGGTCGTTAGAATTATTTTAGAATTTATCCTTATATTTATTATTAATTATATTATTATATTTGTTAATTTCGTGCTCTTATGAAATATTAACTTGGAGGTAGGGGTGTCAATTCGGGTCAATGGGTCGGGTTCGGATCGAACCCGAAACTGACCCGGCACTATTCGGGTCAACCTGAACCCGACCCGATTCGGGTCCGAGTCAACTCGACCAGACACAAATGACCCGAGATTGACCCAAAATTGCTAGTTTTCGGGTCAATATTCAATTTTAGGATCAAAAACAGGCCAATCACGGGTTTTCGGATCAAATTTGAGTTTTCGTGTCAATTTTGAGTTGTTGGGTCAACCCGAATCCGACCCAATTTTTGAAACAGGTTGATTTGCTGAACCTGAAGTCGACCCATTTCGGATCCGGGTTGACCCTAACCTGAATTTTTCCGAGTCGGATTTCTAGTCGTGTCATTATTATTATTATTTAAAATAAGGGAAAAAAATTTCACAAAAGCATGCAAAATTTCTAGAATTCTTAAGCGGCTTGCACAGTATATTCAGTGCACTAAGCTGTGGGCCCCATCATGAGAAAAAAATAAAACAAAATTCAAGCTAACCAACACATAGCGTCAGCTAGCAGTTAAAAGCGCCGTTAAATCTTACGGTTGGGGTCGTATAAGAACCTAACAAAGTTCTTATCGGCGGAGGCCAAATAGGAGATGGATTCCGGGAGGCTCGCCGGCGGCGAGGGTTCTGGCGTGAGAACTGCGGCGACAGAGGCACTGGAGGCCATTGTGAACGGGGTGTGGTCGGAGGATAGAGAAACGAGGATGGATGCGGCGAGGGAGGTTCGCCGGCTTACCAAGACGTCGGCGAGGCACCGCCGCCATCTCGCCGGCACGATAGAGCCGTTGGTAGTGATGCTGCGGGATGAGAATTTGGAGTGTGCGGAGGTCGCCATCCTTGCTCTTCTCAATCTCGCCGTGAAGGATGAGAGGTAATTTGGGTTGTGGGTTTCGCCCTCGGTTCGGTTTCTACTGTTTTGATTTGGTTTTTCGCTGATTTTTGTATAATTTGATTGGAAAGGGGGTCACGATGAAATCTTTGATGTTATTGTTCTGTTCAATTGATCTCTATATGCTTTATTGGAGGATTGGTTTGGTGGGTTTGATGCGATCGCTTTACGGAATTTAGAAACTGTCTTGGATTATTGCTTTGATTGCAGTATCGATGCATATATTTTGATTCTAAATGCTAACTAGTTTTATATGAGAAACTGGATTGCGATTTGGCTGACATTCTTGCTCTTCTCAGTATAGCCCTCAACGACAACAGTTGATTTTGTTTGGAGTTTTGCACTCCTTGATTGAATTCTACTGGTTTTCTCTGGATTTCCATTGATTTAGCTATAGTTTCATTTGAAAGGGGGAAAAGTTGAAATCTCTGTTGTTATGATTTTGTAGAATTGTTATGCTTTTCTGGATGATTGATTTTGTGGATTTGATTGAATAGCTCGAAGTAATTTGTAAATTCTCTTTGGTTATTACTATAATCTCAATAGTAATTCGTGTGATTTGAGTTAGATTGAATTGAATTCAAGCTTTGTTTTTTGTTCCTAGTAAGCCTGACAAAATCTCTGCCTTCAAGATTATTTAGGATTATTATAGGTTTCAATTTGATGTCATTTTCTGGTATAACTTAAATGGATAATAAGAGAAAGATCCAAGATTAGTCAATATGAGCTTGATAGTTATTGAATTTGTTTTTAGATGAGTGCTGAAAACATATCGTGGCAGCTTTGAGCCAGTATATCCTCATTTAAATTTTCTGATGAGTTTGTCTTGGGATCCTTACTGAATTTATGGAAAAGAAGCTAAGGTGATGTTTACTAAGAAATTCTAGTAATTTATAATAATGAGATTGTAAGCTGGAGGTGATCTTTTTTTTTTTTATCTAAATCTATTACTTTTGCCACATCTGTCATTGAAATCCATCCATGTTAAGCATTTTCTTCTTTTTTTTCCTGCACTGCATCGTGTCTCCACATGGGGACTAATCAAGCAAAAGATAATCATGCTTTATATGTATTTTATAATAATCTAGTTGCTTAAGCTTTAGAAGTTTAAATTAGGCTTCATTCGGGATGGATTCTTAATGCTTCTTAAAATAACTTTCTAGTACAAAAATTTAAATTTTTGTACTAGAAAATTGCTTTAAAAAGCAATTAAAAAACATCCCAAACAAAGACTTAGTCTGATTAAAGGTGGATTACATAATAAGGATGCAACTTACTAATTTCTTGTGGCTATTGATTGGTTAAACATGAAAAAAGATGATGATTAGTGTTGCCTTATGCTTGAATGCTAAGCAACTTGTGTTTGTACATTTACAGATTGAAAATGGGTGATTAATTTATTTCAATTGATTATTTTCTCCTCTGATTGTGATGTTACAATTAGCTAAAGTTCACCTATAATTTGTGTTATCCTGGTAGACCGGTCCATGATGGACCGGTCCAGCCGGCCACTTGCCAAGGGCCGGCCCAAGTATACAAGGGCCTGACCAAGCAGGGTCCGCCCTCTTGAGTTTGCTGCCCAAGCATGGGTGGTTCCCACTTCCCACTCATGTTTTCAAATAGGAAGGGAGGGGGGTGGCTAGGGCTAAGGCGATAATTGTGCTTAGGAGGTTTAATTGCATGCTTTAAGTAGGAAGAAAAGATTAGGATTAGGATTATGCAAACTATTGTGGTTGTTTTCGTTCTTGGAGTTAGGTGTCTTGGGCTCTAGCGGCGTCTAGGGATTTGGGAGAGATAGATCCTCCTCTCGAAACGAGGATCGATTGTATCTTGGTATTTTCCTTATGTTATCTTGATTATTGCAATAGAAACTACTGTTTTTCTGATTTTTCATTGGATTTGTGGAAGTTCTCGCTGTTTTTGCCAAAATAATTAGGTTATACTTGAGATCTTCAAGTACTTCCTAACATATTCCTTTATAGTAAAATATTCTTCCTCTATTTTCATCACCATAAAGAACCTTCTGAACTTTACTTTGTATACTGATGTCTAATATTTGTTTCATTTTCTTTGGTACTCCTCTTCTGAACTTTACTTGTTCTCAATGAATTGAATCATCAACTAATTTCCAGCATTTACTAATCCACTATTTCACATTTCAGGAACAAGATCAAGATTGTCGATGCCGGAGCACTTGAACCCCTCATTTGCTTCTTGCAATCAACAAACTCAAATTTACAAGAGTATGCCACTGCTGTCATCCTCACCCTCTCAGCCACTTCTATCAACAAGCCTATCATTAGCTCCACCAGCGCCATCCCTCTCCTCATCAGAATTCTAAAGATCGGGAACCCGCAAGCGAAGATTGACGCAATCCTGGCTCTCTATAACCTCTTGACAATCACCTCCAACCTCGAAGCCATCCTCAAATCACAGACAATTCCCCCATTGATTACAGTCCTCAAGAGCTGCAATAAATCTTCCAAAACTGCAGACAAGTGTTGCGCCATCCTCGAATCTCTCCTTGCCTACGATGAAGCAAGAACAGCTCTAACAGCTGAGGAAGGAGGAGTGCTTACGCTCGTCGAAGTGCTCGAAGATGGCTCTCTCCATGGCCGAGAGCATGCTGTTAGTGCCCTACTAGCCATGTGTGAGAGTGATAGAAATAGATACAGAGAGATCATTCTCAAAGAAGGCGTGATTCCAGGCCTTCTCGAGCTCACGGTTCATGGAACACCAAGATCTCAATCCAAAGCCAAACAACTACTGCATTTGCTAAGAAATTCTCCATATCAGAGATCAGAACTGGAAACAGACACATTGGATAACATAGTTTCCACCATTGTTTCAAGAATGGAAGGTGAAGATTGTGCAGGGAAGGCAAAGAAGATGCTTGCTGAAATGGTGCAGGTGAGCATGGAACAAAGCTTGAGGCATTTGCAGCAGAGGGCTTTAATCTGCACTCCATCTGAGATTCCCCTCAATAGCTGCAACTCTGAGGTTCCTCTAAAATGAACCTGATTTTTTAGTTGTGAAAATTTTACCTGGAATAAGATTTTGGTAGCAGTGGTGGGAGAATTAGCGTTTGGGACATTATGTTTCTATGAGATACATACTTACAAGGCTGATTCCACCACTGTTTGATAGAATGCCAGTCCAGGCCACTCTGGTATCAGGTGACTGGTTTAAGAGTCCATACTTTTATTTTCCTCTCTCTTTTACCTTTTTCTTTTTAGTTGTAATCTCGTATTGGAACTCTGTACTTTGCTTGGAATTGTAATGTCCATTGCTCTTTTTTCCTTATAAATATCTTCTACTGAAATATTTCTCTGTACCCGTCAAGGCTTAGGGTGGTTGGTGGGCGAGAACGGTTGGGAACCACTCATCCCGGCTTCGAATCCCCTCTACTACGGCCTAGCCTCTTCAGTGGGAGAAATTATTGTGTGCGGAATCCGAACGTGTTCGGAGGCGAATCCGGGCATGCCATGTCAGTGGGGCCCAGTGCATCCAAAGACGTGGCGCATCCGGATTATTCTTCGAATGCATTTGGATTCCGCATACAATAATTTCTCCTTCAGTGGAGGCAAAGCAAGTGTGGGCCCGATGCTGGTGGGTGGCCTCGCTAGATTCTGCCGAGGGTTTAGTTACTCTACCAAGTGCTTCCTTTGGAGTGACAGCGGGTAGATAGATCCGTTTCTAAAAAAAAAAAATTCTATGTTTTTTTTTTCTACATTAGTATTTCTGAACTGTTTGATTAAATGCAGCGAGGTATATTGGTCCTGAGGCTTTCACCATCAGCCTTATCACACTTTTTGGTTTTATTTTTTATTATGTTTGATTATAATATTATGCTTGTAAATAATATCAGCATAAGTATATTACATAAAATTACGGTATCTGCCATTATGCTGATTTTTTTTTTCTTTGTTCTTTTGATCATTTAGGTTTCATTTTCATTCATGAATAATATATTGACTGTGAACCGGCTCAAAATAGCAGTTGCAATTGTATATTGATTTATGATTTGGTGACCTAATTGTAAGATTTTGACCATTTTGGAAATAAAACAATGGCTTGAATTAGTATCAGCTAGGGGTGTTAATAAATGACCCGGTCTGACAATCTAACACAGGTCTAGGCCATAAAATTCATATTGAAGTCGATCATTTCGAGTTGAGTTTGGGTCCAAAATTTCTGACCTGTTAAATTAATGGGTTAGGTTCGTGTTGATCAACAAACTTAATAGTGACCCATTTGATTTTTTTTTTAATTCTTTTGCTTATACTTTCCTACTTTTGATTAATCAAACGAAACTTTTTAATTTTAATTTTTTGTATTAAAAAATCGTTTTAAGAAGCAGTAAGAAAGCCGTCCAAAACGAAGCCTGAGTGTTATAGTTGTGGAAGATAGTTATATCATTAATAGGAAAAGCTAAATATCTGGCTTCCATCAAAGTCAACAGAGAGATGGTTTGGTTTATGATTAATTATTTTGTGCGGGCGCCGAATGCCGTCTGAAGACTAACCAGAATGCGCCACGTCACTCCTTGCTCTGTACCGCGACTCAGTACTGCGGCTCGGTACTGATGACATAGCGCATTTTGGTTTTTATCTGAACAGCATTTTGCATCCGGTCTCAGCATAGAATAATCTCTTTTGATTGAGTGGCTTTATAGAAGAATTCAACTGATCATAGAGAGAGACATGTTTAAGCTTTTAGCCATTTTAGTGGGAAGCTTTTGTATTAGAGGAGTTAAGAGGATTAAGCTCTCATAGCACAGAAGGAAAGATGATAAGAACAATGGCAACTTCTTCTCTATGTACTTCAGCTTTTATTTTTGTAGTATGTGGCTATTTTCTCTCTTGTTTATTGGCATTAAAACATTAATATCTCTATAATTATTTTTTTGTGTATAAAGAAATTTAGAGCCACTCATTTTTTAAGTCTTAGACTTCATTTGATACGGCTTTTTTACTGCTTCTTAAAGTATCTTTTAGTACAAAAATTTTAATTAGAATATTTGCATAATTCTCTAATAAAAGATGGAAAATTATTTACGTAATATCTAAAGTTTTGTTATTAATGAAATTAATACTCATTCAAAAAAGAAAATTAATTGATACTTATATTTGTGTCATGTCCAAATTTTCAATTTTTTTTTTTGAACGGGGTATCTACCCGCTGTCATCTTCAAAAGAGGTACTTGACTGCATAACTAATCCCTCGGTAACCAACCCTATAAATACCGGACCATTCTTTTCTCCCAACTGAAGGGGTCGCGCCGCATGGGAGGTGAATCGAATGTGAGTCGAGGGTACCCAATCACGCTTGCCTACCAACCTAGCTAAGCTCGATGGGGGATAATTTTCAAAAATTAATTAAAATAAAAAATAAAAGCTATAATTTTATTGTGCACTTTTATAAATAAATGAATTTATAAATAAAACAATTAGATAATAATTTTATAAATACACCTTTTTGTTTGTTTTTATCTTGCACATGATTTTCGCATTGTATATAGTGTTAACATTTTCTATTATTTAGCGTACGTTTAGTTTCACAACAGTCCGAACACACAACAGCAAAAACAGCAATTACCAATTCGACACGAAGAGATATTGAAGAGATGACAGACCTTTTATTTAATAAAAACTGTCTTCTCTGTTTTGTCGCACAAATTGAACACACCGCCACTCATAGTCAAATTATTACTGAGCAGCAGCGAGCCACGTGTTCCATGGGACCACCACCGTCTCCGTTACGCCCGGCAAAATAATACGGTCAACGGTCTTAACTCAAATTTTTATATTATTTTATAATGTAAAATAATGGTAAAAAATAGAAATTTATAATATTTTTTTAGGTGAAATTATCTCCAACAAAAATAATTATTTATATTTTTAGAGTCGGCCATTAGAAATTTTTATGCTATTTATTATTTAACATGTTTAAACATAAATTTTATATGAAGAACTTCTCACTTAAAAAATAAAACATATATTACATTTAAAAATTAAAAATATAGAAGAATATGATAATTTTAAAAATAAAACAAAATTTTAAAACATATTTAAGTAAAAATATATAATACATAAAGTTATAATTATAGTATCATTTTATGATATCATAAAATAAAAATATAATATAATAATAATATTTATAGTAATTTTAAAGATAAAAAAATATTTATATAATGGTTAGTAGTGGTTTGCATGATAAAATAACGGAAAAATAACGGCGTTAACTGCGGACGATATGCAGACAAAGAAGACTGATCGAGAAAGAGAGAGAGAGAGAGACCGCAGACACGGGTTTTGGAAGCTCTATCTTGTGAGACGACGGCCCTCTCTTCTCCATTGGCTATGGCGAGTACGATTTGGAAGCCACTGGATTAGACTTGCACAGTGAAAATAAGATCTTCGATGTAGTCTGTTCGTAGAGATCGAGCGGAGCGCTTTCGATCGAGTTCTGTTTTGCATCATTTGGTTTGGAGTTGGAGAAGATTCCCTGGAAATGGTGGATTTATGGTACCTTCTTGAGTTAGGGGTTCGTTTCGAGATCAAGGAGCCTTGGTGAGGTATCAATTTCTTATTCTCGTTTTGTGGGTATACATTATTCGGTTATTTGGCTGTATCTGTTGAGTTCTATGTTTGAGCTTCGATTTGGCAGTCATTCATCGAAGTAAGAAACTTTTGTCACAAAATTGATAGTTTGGGGTTATCATAAGTTTGATAGGTTATGATTTGTTAACCAGCAAATTTGTATCTGATTTTATTTAGAAAATATCATTGTTGTAAATTGTAGTGATACGACGCTTTTTTGGGGCGTGATTGGGAAAAGAAGATGAATAACTCTTTTAATTCAGGAGTAACTAACTAACTTGATCTTTGCAGGTTGTCTACTCTCATAGAGTGATGCTTTTCGGGCTGGCGAATCATGGCAGGAGAAGTTGAAGAGTGCATTACCCATCAGGTTTTCTTCCTTATTTGTGGTATTGTTTACATTTTGTAAGTATGACTTGTGGATGATTAGAGAGGGGCTCCTCTTTTGTATCTTGGATATTACGATTGTATTTCTCTACCATTAATAGTGAAATTTGGAACAACGAGAACAAGACATTGCTTTCAATTGATTAAACCTGCAAAAAAATTTATGCGTTGATCTTCTTTTCTTCTTTTTCTTTTTGTTTTCTCGTTGCTTTATGCGGTCTTATAGGTTTTGCCTAATTCCCATAGTTCACTTGGGGCTTATTTTGTTGCTTAAGTTGATGCTAAGACGAATGGTCTAAGCTAATCCTTTAAGCATAGTATGTCATGTGGCTGGTAAAGAATATAACATGTTGTAAGACAGAGCAAGTTAAGAAAGCTATTTGGTTGCATTTTTACTTGTAAGTAGGCATGAATTATTATTAATTTATATTGTTCAAGCGTTAACTAATTAAATTACCATAAAATCCTTTAAATATAATATAATTTTCTTAATTAAAAATGTTTTTACTCATAGTTAATTATTATTATTATTATTATTATTATTATTATTATTATTATGAGTGATTAAGTGATCGATTAATTATCTAAGGCTTAAGTATCATAATTATCTTAATAAATTTTTTTCTTAATCATAGTGATTTTTTATATTATGAGTAATCAAGACATTAATTAATTAACTCATGCTTAATTATCATAATATAATAGTTATTCAATTTGAATTATCTTAAGAAAATCATATTTGATCCTTAATCAATTTAAATCATGAATTAATTATTGATTTCATGTTAATTATATGTTTATTAATTATTATCTATTTATCATTGTTAAGCTAAGCCTTTTTAGCTAGGTTTTCCGCATATGTAGTATGAGTCAAGCATAGGAGCACCTAGGATAAAATAGGCTCTCAAGTCACAAGCTAAGATAAGGACAATAAATGTACCATTTGGTGCTTTAACATGTTTAGGCACCAGCCAAGCAACCCTTTAGGGTTCATCCACTTTTACATGTTTTGTGGCTTTAAAAAGCTGCCTGAAAGTTGGTGCACATCATTTCAGCAAAAAGGCCTGAGCTGTTTTTCTAGAAATTTGCTTTGAAAAATAGCTTTTAGAATGACGTTTTGAATCTGCTTCACAAAGCCGCTTTAACAAAATTTTCAACATCCTTTATTTATGAAAAATAGAAACTCAACCAAACTAGACCTTAATGGTTAATATTTTTCTAAGAACACTTCTTGCCAGTAAATAATAAAAAAAAAACTTCTTGCCAGATGCTTTCTTTTTGTGTTTCACCTCCTGATTATCTTGCTTGATATCATGTCAATAAGCATGCGTTTTAAACCTGAATGCTTCATCTTTTCTGCTTCCCACATGGAAGTCCTTTGTCAATTTTAATGCTTTCATCAGCATAAGGTTTTTTGATGCAGGACTACTTAGAGGATGTGTTTATGGCTTCATTTTAAACATTGCACAATTCTTTGATTAGAACAATTTAGTAATAAAATTATGAGCAATTCACAACGTCGATTAAAACAGTTAAAGGGGTGCTTTGCGTAGGCTAAATCACATGCTCCAAGCGTTGAAAATTTTCAAAATAATTAAGATAAGTAAAACAACGCAAAGTAGTAGTTTTCAATGTAATCCCTAATCTAACAACAAGAGTTAGGATGCATAGAAAGCACACTCAAACCTACTATTACTAAATTTAGCAAGAGCAATTGGAGTAGGCTTTAGCGATTGCAATCTTAACCAAACAATAATTTAGATTTTAGAAGACTTTGAATGCAAGTGAAGAAGGAAAAAACCTTTTCTCAAGGAGATGTGGAGATCCCCCACGATAGCAACTTCTCTTTGACGAATATCCAAGGTCAACGCACTAAGTTGTTCTCTTCGTAGTTGGCTGAAATAGTAGTCCCAATCCTTCTAAAATCTGGAAAGAAAAAGTTCTCAGATTTCTGGCTAAAATCTGAGAAGAAAATTCCAGGTCTTATAATGTGAGAGGGGACTGGTTGGACATTGATTAAGTCCAAAGTGTAAGAGGGCATTTCACGAGAGGAGAGAGGAAGCGAGAGGGGTAAGCGGCTAGAGGAGAAAACAAAAGGAAAGGGAGGAGGGAGGCGGCGGGAAACAGAGGATTAGGTTTTGATTTCCTCAATCAATTCATAAGCTTATAGAATTAATTGAGGGAATTAGTGACAGAGGGAATCCGTTCAAATCAATGATAAAAGAATTAAGAAATATTTCCTTTGGAGGATGGTAGGATTAGGAAACTAATCCTAATGAACTTCATAGATGGGGCCGGCGGCAATAGAAGCTAGGGAGAAAATCAAGGAGGGAAATTAGGGTAGATTTAATAGGCTAGGAAAATTAGGTAAGTTTTCAATTAAATTCAATTTAAATTTGAAATTCAAATTGACGTAATTAAGAAACTTTCCTAAAATAGAAGAGCCAATTTAGGAAATAATTTGAATTCAAATTCAAATGAATTTGAATTTCAACATAATCACAATTAAGCCCAACCCAATTAGGAAACCAAATAGAAGAAGCTAGGGGAGTAATGGTCGGCGGCCATGGTCTTGGCCGGCGGCAATGGGTGTTGGTGTTGCTTGGCCGTGGGGTGTTGGGAGGAGGATGAGGAGGGAAAATTTGGGTGCTAGAGAATCCGGTGGCTAGGTGATGAGGGAGGGGTATGAGGGGATCAACGGGAAAAGAAAAGAACGAGATAAACAACGAAACCACGAACCCGACTTATCTAGGTTGATGGGTAATGCGCCGAACTTCTTCCTCTCCTAGGAAGCTCTCTCCATTAGAACTCTCAAGCTCTCAATGCTCATACAATAAGGAATTTTCATAAGTAATCATTCATTAACCATAATAGAATAAAATGGGGCTTTAAATAGCCTCCTACAACATGACTTGAAACAAAAGACACAAATGCCCTTTGGACTTACATACGATAACTCCCATAAGAGGGGTACTACGGGAAAGAAAACACATAAGCAACTAAATAAAAAAATTACGACGACTCTAAATGCCACATAAGCAAATAACAAGCTACATGAAAATAAAATACATCAACGACTCAAAAATATAAAGACTCGATCGTGGCCGTAGATCGTCGGCCGCGTCTCTGATAAACTCTCCATGATGATCTAATGTCCCCATCATTTTTACTAATATTATTGAAGATGGTTTATACATGGAGTATATCTTTAGTACTAATAGATCTAATGGTGAGATTGTGACATTGGATTATTAAGTCATTAAAAAAGTGCACATTTTAGATATATCCGGTCTATTGTTCAAAGTGATGGTGAAATAGATGGGAATATAGACATCAGAAGATCATTTGTCTGCATTTATGGTTTGCATCTGGGTTGCCCTCTAATGGAATATTGTTTCCTGGCTCATCTGTCTTTGGCAGGTTGAGAGTTTATCAAGTGGTTCCATATCATTTGGAAGATTTGAACTTGAATCTTTGTCCTGGGAGAAAAGGTCATCATTCTCGCATAATAGATATCTTGAAGAAGTTGAAAAATACTCCACACCAGGTTCAGTTACTAGAAAGAAAGAATACTTTGAAGCCCACTTCAAGAAAAAGGCCCTTCTTCATCTGGTTTCAGTGGAGAATCAAGAGGAGACAGAAACTAAACATGCTGAAAGCAGCAGTTCTGTTGATAATGATAGGGTCATGGAAGATTTCATGTGTCATGGTGACAGTAAACTGGTTGAAGTTTCTTGGGATGATAGAGATGCTCCAGCTGTCTCAGATGAACATGAAGCAGTTGAACTTCAAAAAGAGGAAATGTCATTAATAGAAAATACAGGATTTCCATCTTTCAACAGTGAAAAACACACAGAACTATTTACTGAGCGTTTGACTTCTGATGATGCGCTTCAAAGTCAAGCTGGAGATAATGGTGTACATTTAGATGAAGGTAGTCTTTGTGGGATTGTGGAAGATAAAACTTTGGATTCTAATGCAAATAGTGAAAAACTGGCTGACAATAGGGATGCTTCATCAAAGAATCGTGAGACTAAGAAAAAGAACGCGTCCATCCAAATGAAAAATCAAAACGTTTCAATGAAGGTACAATTAAAGGCTGTCAGTTCTATTCACTGCCAGTTGATTATATTTATTATTTTACATTTTAATCTGAACGTTAAAGCTGAGTTCATCACATATCCAATCTATACCTCATTGCAGTGAAATTATGTTGAATATTATTTCATATGGTGCCCCTTAAGTAACAACCAAAACCTTTTTTTGGGTATATTTTGTTGGATTTTTTTCTTTAATAGACTGCATTGACAGACTCATGATGTAATTATTTTCTTTGTAAATCTACGAAAGAATTTCCTTTAGGATTGTCATACATGCTAAGTCTTGATTATCATTTATTATAATTCTTTTCAAGTTTTACGCAATTATTACCTAAATGCAGCTCTCCACCGGGTCTTATTCTTTATTTGTAATGAGCCTTTTACATACATCGTCCTGGGCATCTCCCTTATATTCCGCTTAAAATCATTAATCTCATCCCATTTATATAGAGTTGGCTTTTGAACCATCTTTCATTCATTCCTATTGAGTTTTATATGAGCTGTTAATTCTATTTGCTGCATGTATTTATGCACAAGTTTTAAATGTGCTGCATACAGAATTATAGTTACTGTATCTCCTTCAAAGTTCTTTTTACGTTGAACTCTCTTTTTATTCACCCAAAGAACCCCATTCATATCATTGCTCGCTCCTAGACCTCACTCACAATACAATATGATGTAGGATGTGTTGGCTCAAGAAAAATGGTACGGATGTATGAATCTCGCTTTGCAGCTGTAAGATTCCATATTTCTTGAGTCAGATTGTAGCTAACCATATTTCCCCTGAGGGTTGTTGTGGGCTCTGAAAATTCCATTTTGTTGTGTGATCCCGGCCTCTCCATGCCATCCGTCAATTTTTCTTTTAAGTATTTGTGTGACGACGACGATAGAGAGTTTTAACGAGATTAGGTTCCGGGGGAATTTTCAGAAGGCAGATTGGGTTTTAGATAAGACACTACCCAGAGATTTCACCCTCATTTAGTGATGACTTTTTGATCTGAGTTTTGATTTCCTATAGGCGCAAGCCCCTATAGTTAATTACCCCTCCCGATAACGAGAGAGAACTTTCGATTAAGGCTAGTCATTAACGGTGGGCGAATCGTTGTGCCGTTTGGGGCTTTAGTCGGTGATTTTGGTCGTGAGGTGGGATCGGGGGCGGTTACGTGAGAGATCGGAAGAGAGGCGACGATTGCAGTGACTGTGTCGTGGGTAGCCGTTACAATCAACAATTGTGCCAGGGTTTAATTAGATCTGTGGTTCTTACCCCTCTTAACACGCAAGAGAGAACTCTCGATAAGGATGAATAAGTTTAGGTGTTTTAGTCTTAATTGTAAAGAAAAAATAGAGGTAAACCCGATTAAAATCCTATGGTTCTGTTGTCCCGGGTATACCAAATGTTTTAATCTACCAACACCAATAATTATTGACCATAGTGTCCAGAGAATCCGATTAGCATCCATGAGTACCTCCTCTCAGGGATTCCGAATAGACTGAGGTGGTTAGATTTGATTTTTTTTTTTTATTTGTGGTTTACATCTATTAGAATACCCAGAAGTTAGTTTAATTTGGGTTTATAACTTTGTTTAGAAGTTACACATAAATTTGATTTGAAGAGGGTCTTATGACTTCTCTTAGAAGTAGCTCAGGTGTTTAAATTTGAGTCGGGACTTACGGCTTTCATTGAAAGTAGTTCGTTAGCGGGTCTCGGCTCATATTAGAAGTAGCTCATTGGTGGGTCTTACAACCAAGCTCTACAGCAAGGCTACCCATTAGATTTTTGAATTTAATTGACAGATCTTATGACTCCCTTAGAAGTTTTTTAAAAATTTAATTTGGAATGAGACTTACAGCTCTATTTAGGAGTTGCTCGAAAATAGGTCTTACAACCTAGCTCTATGGCAAGGCTGCCCGATGATTTAATTGCTTGAGTAAGTCTTACAGCTTTCTTTTGAAAGTTGCCTAAAAGTGATTCTTACAATCTAATCATTTAGATTAAGATGCCCGACAATTTGAATTTGATTATTTAAGGATTTGATATTTAGAAATTTCTCAAATAATAAGATTTACGACCTTCATTAGAAGTTACCTAGTTATTTGGGTATGACGGGTCTTACTGCTTCCCTATACAAGTAGCCCATTGGTATGTCTTACAATTTAGCCATAAAGGCTAAATTTTTTTGTAGAATTTTGGAGCCCCATTTTAATTAAAGAGATGTATTAATCGGTTAAGTTCCAAAAACTTTGGAATTAAGTGGAATTTTTAGAATTTTAGCCTGCTTAAAATTTAAGTGACATTCAGTTACATTGAATTGGCCAGAAGGTACTTTTGGTATGAATTAGAAGTTACCTAATTATTTGGGTATGACGGGTCTTACTGCTTCCCTATAAAAGTAGCCCATTGGTATGTCTTACAATTTAGCCATAAAAGGCTAAATTTTTTTGCAGAATTTTGGAGCCCCATTTTAATAAAAGAGATGTATTAATCGGTTAAGTTCCAAAAACTATGGAATTAAGTGGAATTTTTAGAATTTTAGCCTGCTTAAAATTTAAGTGACATTCACTTACATTGAATTGGCCAGAAGGTACTTTTCAGGAATTGTAAATTGCATCTTATGTAGGATTTGGAGATGGAGACTGACATTTGTGAGATTACCTCACGAGAGTTTCTTATGGTACATTGGCTTGTATCATCTAGATCATAAGGTATGACCGGCATCAATTTCTTCAGCTTCTTTAACTCTGGGAAGTTGTTATTAGATAATTAGATAATGCTAATTACAGACTCTGATTGCAACTAATTCAAAGTAGCATTAAAACTGACTGAATTGATGTAGCCAAGCATGCATATCCGATACTGATTGGGGACCTAGAACTCTGCATCACATTTTTATTGTTACCCTCTCGCCATTCATAAGCTTATAATCTCCCCAAATATCCTTAGTTTTTTTTTCCTCTTTTTAGTTAGCTTCGCTTGTTGAAAACATGAAATATTTATTCTTCTTCTAGTCATTGTGTTTGCTAATTCTCTAGCTTTTAATCAAAAGTTCAGTCCACATTACAAATCTAGTCTTGATTTTAGACTTAGGCTTCATTTGGAACAGCTTTTTTACTGTTTCTTAAAGTAGCTTTCTAGTACAAAAATTTTAATTTTTATACTCAAAAGCTATTTTTAGAAGCAAGAAAAAAGCTGTCCCAAACGAAGCCTTAGTTAACTCTTGCCCATTTTTCACTGCAATAAGTTGTGGAGCCTTTGGCATTGAAACCAACATTTATCTATTTTACCCTAATCAGCTTAAGTTGTCTTGTTTCCACTGAATGCTATAGTACTATCAAAAAACAAATTAGGATTCATTTGATAAAAACGATTATATTGTTCTCATCCTTGAAAAATCAATTTGTGGATTTTGACCGACTATATTCCTTCCTATCTTCAACATCCCTTAATACTATCTTCGTCCATTTTCACTTCCCAGTTAACCTACATAAACTTAATTTCTAGCATGGAACTATATAATGTATGCACATAGCAAGGCACATTTTCTTCTCTTTCCATACTTAATGTACTCCTATAATGTATTTCGGACAATTTGAATTCTATGGTACATTCTGGAAGTTACCCGTTGAATCTCTCTTTGATTTACTGAACTTTTATCTAATTAGTTTAGCATGTTTCTCTGTCATTCAGATTAGTGACACAGTTGAGCAGAAAGCCGGTAAATCAAAATTTAAGTCAAATTTGCCGACTCAGCAGATGTCAAAGAAACCTTCAAGGAACGGCAGCTCTGTTACGTATGGAAAGCTTAAGAAAGCTGACAAGCAAAATTCACCAGCAAAACTGGAAAACCAAATACCTTCAAAAGTTTCATCTTCTACATCCATAGAAAATGTGAATTTTAAAAAAATGGTAAGGAAACCGTGTACTTATCCAGTTTTTCTTCTTGTATTACGAAGACTAAAATTTTAAGAGTTTAGTCGAGTCTCTGTAAGTTTTGTAGAATGGGAATTTTTTATGTCATGTTAAAAGTTAGTTTTTTTATGTGATTATTTCCTTTTTTTTGTTTTTTAGTAGAGTTGACATTAAAGGCAAACTATATTTAAACTGCCAACTGAGTTATCTAAACTTTTTCAATTGCTTGCAGGCTTCTAGAAATATGAAAGCTCAAGTTAATTCAGAGCTTAAAAGGTGTTTTTTAACGGTCTTGTCAGAGTTAAAAAATGCATCTCACTTGATTGATCTAAGTCTTTGGCGGTAGTCGTCTCTCTAACATTATGTGCAATTTCCAGTGAGGAAGGTGTAAGAGCAAAAAAAGCTGAAGTTATGTCCCATCCGGTTGAAAGAAGAGCAAGTAATATGCGCCAACATGTGAACAGGTAGCAGGACAGAATGACTTTTTATTAGCTTGGTTTAGTGTTTTGTTTGATTATGTGTGATACATCGTTTGGTTTGATGTCATCTCTCAAATTGAGGTAATATAAAAAAACATTTATATTCAAGACTGAAGTAATCTAAATAGCAATTAAATTGGATGCTATTTAGATTATCTCTATCTTGATGGTTGGAAAAGAAGAAAAAGGTTAAAGGTCTTTTATCACCTTTAATTATTCCAAAGAATATTGCATTTTTCAAATGTAATGATTTTTGAAGTGGGTCGAAAACCCTAACCCGAACTTGACCCCACTCGATTTGGGTTCAGGTTAAACCAAACCTAAAGTTTTTCGATCGGATTTTCGGGTCATGTCAAATATTGACACCCCTAGTCTTGCATTAGGTATCTAATTGTGATAAGCTTAAATATCTTAACTCTATTTCACCTAAAAATGAGGATGTAGATAAAAATATAACTTTAGAATAAAAGCTTAATGATTAAAATGAAGAAGTTCCTCATTAGTATTATGTAATGACAAAATATCATGGAGATTTAAAATATAATTTTTTAAAACTTTAATTAAGTCAATTTTGATGTATGATTTGATGTTGGATAATAAACGAGTTAGTGATGGATAAGTTGAATTTTTAGGAATGAGATGATGTAGAACGGGTAGGAGGCTTTGTTAGGGAGAGGATCTCTTCTCCAAAGTCTGAAGGAAATTCTGATTTCTTGCCCAGAACCTGAGAAGAAGCTCAGATTTTCTCTTGAGAAAAACAGGAATTGCTGGACAGCAATTTGCTGTGGTAAAAAACAGCAACTATTAGGCTTCTTATTGCTGGAGACGTGAGAGCAGGGGTGGGAAAACCTTGGCTGCAGTATTAGTAGGTAGAAAGTTCCATGTGGGAGGAGTTTGAGAAGGATTGGGTGGAGAAAACCAACGTACAGAGCTTGGATCAATTCGGCTAGCACAGGATTGGAAGTTGTTTCCAATTTGAAGGGGGCTGAATTTTGGGAACAGAAATTTGAGATTGGCCTTGGAAATTTCGGTCAACAGCAGATTGAAATTCCCAATCTTTTCCCAAAGAGGAACAAAGTAATGTAGACAGTTAAAAAAAAAAAAAAAAAACTGCAAGGAGATTGACGGGAATATGGGGAGAAATTAAGGAGTAAATTCCTAATTCTCCTCTACAGAATTTGGACAGTAAATAAAGGCTTGGGCTTAAATGAATTCCGGTTGGCAAGAGGGAGGACTTATTTCCCAAAGAGGCTTAGTATGAAATTAGGAAATAAATTCCATTTATTCATACAGGGGCCGGTGGCTTAACAGAATAAAAGAGGGGTTTAATGAGGTGATTTAAAGCTCTCAGATTTGAATTTAAAATTCAATTGAATTTAGAATTCAAATGAATTTAAATTAAGAAGGAATTAATGGAATTTGATTAATGTTAGGGAATTAAGAAAAGAAATAATTAAATCCTTTTTGAATTTGAAATTCAAATAGGATTTAAAAATGAAAACTTTTCAAAGAGAGGTTATGAAGCAATTAGGAAATAACTCCTAATTAGCTCATAAAGGGGCCGGCGGCTTGCATGAATAAGGGGAGCATTGAATGTTGTGATTGAGGGCTTCTAAACTTGATTTTAAGAGTTACGAAAGTAATGAAATAAATCCAATTTGAAATTCAAATTCAAATTGATTTAAAATAAATACTTTCCTAAAATAGGCGAACTTAAATTTGAAACTAAATTTTGAATTTCAAATTTAGATAATTTGAATTTCAAATTAAGCCCAAATGTCATTCACCCTAAATTAGGAAACCCAAGAAGGAAGGGGGAAAGGTGAGGTCGACGGCTAGGGAGCCATGGCCGGCAGTTTGGATGGGTGTGGTTGGTGGTGGGGATGGTCGGCGGCTTATGGTGGAAAAAGAGATGACGATGGTGGATGTAGGTAGAGGATGACGACGACGGCTAGGAACAATAAGAAGGAACGAAACAAAACAAAGAAGAGATAAAAATGAAAGATACAGATAAAAACCGCGAGCCTTGGACTCTTCCGAAGATTGACGGGTGATGCTTTGCCCTTTTCCAAGGGACTTCAAGTCATGAGCCCGGATCCATCCAGCGGTTGGTGAAAACTCTGATTCCTCCCATAGAAATCTCACTGTCGTCCTCTTCACAAGAACACAAGTGTGGAACACCAATTTTTAATATCAATCATCCATCACTATTACAATAGCTTAAGGCCCTATATATAAGCCACAACATAAGAAAACTCAAAATACAAAATTGTCCCTTGGGCCACAACACTCACATAAACTAACCTAGAGGTAAACCAGAAAATGCATTAAATAAGAACTAAAATTCATAAAAAACTCATAAATTAAGATTTAAATAATAGCCGTTGATTTACGACGCCTCCTGTGATAGATGCGCCAAATCTTCGTACCGATGTCCGCATCATGAGAATGTTTAGATATTTATGTTTCACAATTAGGAAGAATATACTAACTGAAAACTATATTATATGTTGGGAATGATACATATTGAAGATAAATAATGGAAAGTAGATTTATATACTTTGGACATGTACCATGAAGGTAGAAAATTCGTGCATGAGATGGCTTGAAAAAATCAGTATCAAATGATTAGATAGAAAAATAGGTCGACCTTAGACCCATGGTAACATGGATAGATACTATGTAAAAAGTATTTCCTTATAATAGGTTTATTGCCTTATGCAACACTCAGAAAGAGCGGATCGATAAGGTTTCACAAAGTCAGCCCCAAACAATTAGGATAAGGCTAATTAAGATAATGATTATGTGATTAAGATGATAAATAAGGATCATAATGATGACAACAGCAATGATGAGGACCATGAGTAACCATCTCAATGCACATTTCATTTTAGGGCTATTTGGTTATTTTGGCGAATGTTAAATTCATTCATATTTCATTTTTTATATATTCAAAACTCTTCAGTTTTTGGCTGAATTCCAAAAGATGAGTCCGCTTTCACCAGCTGCCCATCTGCTCGCCGGTGGTGGCCCACTGCTGCATTACTTGCCACTGTCACTACTCTCCCGAGTATCGCCGCCACCGGCTACCACCATCTTTGAGCTTTATATTGCATTCATTTTATTTTAAACCAAAAAAAAGTAATCACATGAATTGTTTAATTCATCAAAACAACTCTAAACATGTCAAATACATTTCATTCCTTCTACATTATATTAAAGTTTAGTTTGTGTTTCTTTTTCAGCAAACCAAATGTCCCCTTAATTTGTTCAGATAACTGCTTTTGATGATTTAATTAAATTCCCTAATTCCCTGGCAGAACTAACTGTACTTGTTTAAATCTCCTGGTTCTTTTTACATTGATTGATGTCTGCTTCTGTAGGGTTAAATTGATATCTAAGGCTGAAGATAAGCAAACTTCTGCTGTCTTTAAATTCAAAAGTAGTGAAAGGGCTGAGAAAAGGAAAGAGGTAAGAATTTGGATTGTTTTTAATACATCTTCTTGAATATGTTCTTTTCTGACTGAGTAGCTTATATCTTAGTCCATGATCTGTGCTTTTTAGTATTACTTGAAGTTGGAGGAGAAGCTTCATGCCAAAGAGGCTGAGATGACTAAGATTCAAGCTAGAACTGAGGTTTGGTTTCTTCTTTCTAGTCTCTGTTTTTTATTTCCCATTTTTAGCCTTCATTTGGGATAGCTTTTTTATTACTTCTTGAAACAGCTTTTTAGTATAAAAATTAAAATTTTTGTATGAGAAAGCTGCTTCAAAAAACAGTAAAAAAGCCGTCCCATACGAAGCCTTAGTCTATGTTATTAACTGTAGAAGCTGGCTGTTTGCTAATAAAATGTTTCATTCTATGAGAAGATGATTATGATGTCTTGCTTTTTGATTTATTATTCGTTGCTGAATATATGTTATTTGAATTAGTATTAGGAATTGAGATTGTTCTGCTCATATTTTATTTTCTCGTTTGAAAAATGAATTTATGTTGCTTACCTACCAATGGCAAGCCATTTGTACAGGAGGTGAAAGAAGCAGAGATGAAGCAATTTCGCAAAAGCCTCAACTTCAAAGCAACTCCTATGCCATCTTTCTATCATGAAACTGCTTCAAAGGTCTCTGAAGGAAAAAAGGTATATTACCCTGTAACTGTTCCCAGCTATAAAATTTTAGCTCATCATCAAAGATAAAATGATTGGATCAATATCTAACTTGAAACGAACAACACCACAAAATAAGGCCAAATTATCATTATGCAGTCATCATTTATGCTTCGTTTGGGACGGCTTTCTTATTGCTTTTTAAAGAATTTTTTAGTATAAAAATTAAATTTTTTTACTAAAAAACTATTTTAAAAAACAGTAAAAAAATCATCCCAAACGAAACCTTAGTATCATAAAACAATTATGGCTCCATGTGTTAACTTGAGCTAAACGAAATGGGGTAAATTTTAGGCTAGAATATACTGATGAAATTTTTTATCATTATAGTTTCAAATTCATTTGATCTGCTTTGAGATGAGTGTAATATTATCTATATATTATATTTTTTATTTGGGCATTCTAATACAATTTTCTTTTCTTATTAAACTTTCTTGTTTCTTTTATTGAAAGTATTGCTAACTCGTTGAGATAAATTTTCAAAAAATGTACCGTGTGCTTATGGTGTAGCATCTTAACGACTTTGAAGCTACTTTGGCTTATAACCTAGGTTTCGTTTGGGATAGCTTTCTGTCTGTTTCTTAAAGCAGCTTTCTTAATAAAAAATTTTAGACCTTATACGGTCAGTAAATAGGAAGTTTTGTTTAGAGTCTTACACCTTAAAACCAAATGAATGCAGACATCTACCATACTAGCTAAATCTCCAATCACTCAGATCAAGTGTGCAACTCCTCCAGTTCAGCCATCTCATGAAAAATCACTTCCATCTCCTACATCAAATCAAGAAACCCCTGTGCTCTGCGAACCGCATGGTTCGACCCAGCCGGTCTCTCCTTCAGTCTCGAGCTGCACAGACAAAGTAGACGGAACCGAGACGTCGAACTATTCTGCGAAAAAGCCCGATGTTTTGAAGGGAGAAGAGAAAGGCAAGCTCAATTCATCACAAACTCAAGGTAATGGCATGAGAAAGAAAGAGGCGAGTAAGAATAGAATGAGAAGTGAGGTTGTGGGCAAGATGAAGGGTATTGATGGTGGAAATTTGGCTGTTCATGTTGCCTCCTAAGGCATATTTCTAGTATAAATTTGATTAATTTGTTGATGGCAGTAGGTAGAAAGCTTCGAAAGAAAGTTTCTTTCTTTGAGTGATCATATTTGTAGCATTGTTAATGATCTCTGCACTCTCCAGTTACAGTTAATTTTAGGATAGCTGCCACTTTAATGTGTAACCTTAATAAGGATGATGGCTTGTTTGCTGTTTCTTTGAACAAATTTTTTTTTTGTAACAGTTGATGCTATTTAGTCTTTTTTTTTTGGAATGGTTTGATTGAGCTTCGGCTTCGTTTGGGACGGTTTTTTTATTGCTTTTTAAAACAGTTTTTTAGTGCAAAAATAAAATATTTGTATTAGAAAGCTGTTTTAAGAAGCAGTAAGAAAGTCATCCCAAACGAAGGCTTCGTTTCAGATGACTTTCTTACTGCTTAAAGTAACTAAAAATTGTTTTAAGAAGCAGTAAGAAAGCTGTCACAAATGAAACAGAAACCTTCATTTAGGACGATTTTCTTACTGTTTTGCTTTGTAGATTGCAACTAAATTTTTTGTTTAGCAACGGCCTTTTTGTTGCTTTTAAAAAAAAAAATTATACTAAAAATTTAATTTTCTCAATAGTTTTAAAAAATTATTTTCTCTACAACTTTAAACATCAATTAAAAAGATGTTTCAAACAAAGCTTAAATTGTCGCCGTTATGTATTGAATAACTATTTTTATTTATCAAAATAGCAATTAAATGGCATAAATAGATTTATGATATAAAATGGCATAAATACATAAATATCTTAGTATGAATGTATTAATTATTAAATATAAAGTTTATTTATATTATCATTATAATATTTTATGACTTTTGGAAATAACATTTGAGTACAATTTTAAAAGTTTATGTTTGAATTAATTTGCCGACGTGGATTATATTTTTATAAAAATAGTTTAAATCATTTTCAACTAAAAATAATTAAAAGAAGCATAATTTTTTTATCCTTATAAATTTTAATAATCGAGTTTTTCACAGTTCTTATTGAAGGAATAATTTAATTTTTAGAGTTTTAAATAAGAAAAAACATTTCTTTTAAACACAACAAGCACCAGTGGTCTAGTGGTAGAATAGTACCCTGCCACGGTACAGACCCGGGTTCGATTCCCGGCTGGTGCAGTGTTTTATGTTTAATTCTTTTAATTATATTTTTTTCGTTGATAAAGACAGAAAAAAAAATTTGAAGAACAAACGATAGTTATTTATGTTTCATTTGTTCACTTTGAGTAGAATTTGAATAAAAGTAATTTCTTTATTTATTAAATCAGCTGAAAAAAAATGGGGGTATTTATTTTCTTTTTTTTTGTAATGTGATCTTAAAAAAAAATTATTTCATATTATTTTTTAATAGATTTTATATACATACCATAAAATTCTTATCATTTTATGTATTTAACTTAAATCTTTATATTTACATTCAAAATTTTAAATTTACTTATAATTAATGACAAAATATTAACCCTTGTCAAATGGTTGTATAGCATAATAGCTACTACTAAGCTTTAGCTTTCTAGTCTCAAAATAAATAAATAAATAAATATCTTTCAACAATAATATTCCTGACACACTTTTCAATCATTTAAATAGAAATTATAGCAACCAAAATACAAATAAGCATTAGAGAGAGAGGGACTATAAGGGGAAATGGAGAACCTTCAAAGAGATAGATAATGTTGGCTTAATTTGGATTGATATAAACTCTAGACAATATTGACATACTAAAATCCTCGACAACGAAGAAGAGATAAGAAAATCACGGCAGTATCTTGCTAAGAAGGGCATCAAGGGGACCAGTGAAATGTGAATGATGAAAAAAAAGACGATGAAAGCTCCATGAGATCTTGTTAGTAAAACGTGCAAATGACAAAACAAAAGTGAAGAGATCACAATAGAATCTCGTTAAAGGGGATCATAATGAGAATCATGATGGATCTCGTTAAGGAAGAGTATCAATAGGACCAATGTGTGAATGACAAATGCAAGATTGTCATGATGATGGATCGTTAACGAAGATATTTTTAAAGAATTGAGCGTTATATGAGTAAATAATAAAATTTATGCAATGCATATATCAATAGGATATTTTGAGTGTTATGAAGGTGAATTCTCTTAATTTAAATAGCTAAGAGATGATGCAAAGGGAAAGTTTAGTGCTTGAAGATTCAAAGGTTTATTAAGCTAAGAGATCAAAGATTCAAAGGTTTATTAAGCTAAGAGATCAAAGATTCAAAGGGAAAGTTTAGTGCTTGAAGATTTGTGTCATGTAAACTAAAAACTAGAAACCTCAATTGGTGTTTGATTTTTTTTGAGTTATGGAAGTTTTGCATGATTCATGTTCATCATGATATTAGGCAAGGAAACTTCCATTACTTTGTTTTCAAATTGTGTACAAATCAAGTAAAATATTAGCTAGGGATATTCTTTGACAAATTACAATGAGGATATAATAGTCAAAAGTTGTCCTCCTCATATCAACAATTTTGGCTAAAATAGTACAAATGCATATAAAATTTTTTGGCTAAAATAGTCAAAAGTTGTACAAATGCAATATTTGGCTAAAATTTTCGTATTGCATATCAACAATTTCTATGATGCGAAGCAATTTTTTAAAACCAGTATGGGAGATTTGTAGCTGTGAGAAAATTGTTGATTAAATATTTGTACTACAAAGTTGCTTTAAAAAGCAGTAAAAAAAGGCGTCCCAAATGAAGCCTTACTCTCAGACTACTTGTCCTCTGTAATGACAGAAATGTTTTTAATAGATTCTAAAATTATTTGTGTACCTAGCTGTCCTACATTACTGCAAAGAAAAGGAAACTGTAGAAGTTCAAGGGAACACTGAAGCAATAACAACACATCATTTTAAAAAAGAGGAAGGATTAAGATAATGTAGTTTGTGAAAATATAATGAAACTACTGAAAAAATGAATTTTAAGAAGCATCTAGATAGCAAGTCTTATCAACAAATGCAAAAACTAAACATGCCTTGTGGGTAACAGGACTACTCTACCTCTCTTCTGTTCCTAGAAGAAGCCAAAAACAAGCAAACAACAACACAACAAACTGGAAAAAAATGAAACTTAGCTTGGTTGGTTGGTGGGGGAGTGCAGTTGAGAACCCCCAATCCAAGCTCGATTCCCCTCGAGCAGCAAGTGAAACCCAATCAAGTGCAGGCCAGGAGGTTTCTGGGGTGGTTGCCTCTTCTAGGTCAGCCGAAGATCAGTCACGCTGCCAAGCGCCCTTTCAGGGTGGCAGCTGGCAACAGGTGGATACCCGTTCAAAAAAAAAAAAGATCAGTCATACCCTATATCGCATGCTGTCTGCAGGAGATAACAATGCCCCCCTCTCGCAAATCAAAGGAAACATTATAGCTTTGATTGATCCTTAAACATTATGGTTAGCCACTGCAAAAAACATGTAATCAATCAAAGTTATCACATAAAATAAACAAGGAAGAGCTATCTCAAAAGCATTCATACATCAAACCAAGCAATACAAGCCATACAAAATTTGATAAAAAAACTAACAGAAAAGCTTAAACAACAGAGTTTTCACCCAAAAATTTCAGCTTATGATGCCAAATCACTAACAACTTTCTGCATTGCCCTCATCTCATCATGGAACTCTGAATTCAGAACCAAATAAGAGAAATGTTCATCCAAAATCAAACCCAATGCCCTCACGACTGAATCGAATGAAGGAATATCCTCACAAGCACTTAAGCTCAACAATGACTTTGCCTGCGGGCAAGGAACTGCCTCAGGAAACCTCTCATACTTCTTCAACCACTTGCCAAAATATCTAATCAAGCCCAAGATTTCCCTTCCACTAAGCTTCGAAATCACAGAAGATAGCACCAAACGATCCATTTCAGAACTCCCAAACACATAATGCAAGCATAATTCAGCAGGCGAGAACCCATCATGCGCCAACATTAGCAAAATAGATGCTTCTCTAGCCAAGGTTGCAGCTTTCTGAGGCACGGCCTTGTTTGTGGCCTTCTCGATAGCTAACAAAGCTTGCCTTTCCCATTCCTTTTTCACTCCCAGAAAACTATCATAAGAATTATTATCTGAAGGAGACAAGAAGAATCTCAGTATAACAAGAAGCTCGGAAGGACGAAGATCCGAAATGTGCTTAACAGATAAACAAAGCAATCTAGCTTGATTATGTTCCAGGAGCTTCTCCACCAGATTCGTCGCGTATAAATGACCGACAAGTCCGTGCACGATTAGGGTTTCAACCAACTCGAACAACTCCAGAACGACGCAAGCATCAATAATCAAACCCGCTACCTCCTGGCCGATAAAAAACCCGACTTTCTCAATCGCAAACCTCGAAAAATCAAAGCTGAGATGACTATACGCCTCGGGATTGAAACCAAGGCCGAGATTATCTCCGATGCTTTGCAGGAAGGCGTTCAGGAGTTTGAGGAATTCAGCTCGGTCGAGGGATTTTTTTAGCTTCTTTTTCAGGGTTTTGGAGAATTTGGAGGTTAATTTGATGATGTTGGAGTCAGTTGCGGAGATGGACCAACCGGAGACGCGGAGGATGGGAAGGGAGGTAGGGGATTCAGATTCGGGTTTTAAGGTGGGAAATATGTCATCAGAGTTAAGAATGATGGGAACGGTGGGCGAAAAGGAGACTTCGCCGGCGTCGGCTGCCGCCATCGCGCGGATTATGGAGTCGAGGAGCGTCATGGCTTTAGGTATGGAAATAGGGTTTCGGCTGCGGCGGTGATGTAGATGAAAAAGTTGATTTTTTATTGTTGTTCGGAAATCGAAAAATAAATGAATTGGTAGACCCAAAATATATTTTAAAATAAAAATTTCCCTTTTAATATAAAAGCACCAGTGGTCTAGTGGTAGAATAGTACCCTGCCACGGTACAGACCCGGGTTCGATTCCCGGCTGGTGCAATTTTTTTTAAATTAGATTTTTTTTTTTTAAATTCTGTATAATTTGTAACATTTTTTAATATTTATTTTAATTTTGATGGTTTATGACATAAAATACTTTATTGAAAATTTTCACACTACCGACTTAATTCTTTTAATTTTGATTAATTAGATTATTAATTTTTATTTACTATTTAAAAAAAAAATAAATGATATTGAACTTTATCTTTTCAAAGTTGTTTTAATAAATTTGAAATTAATAAAATAATTTTTTTATTCTCGATAGTTATGGATGATCTTATGTTAAATTATCTATAATAATTTTAAACATTATTAAATATATTCTTCTCATTTCTCAATAATTTTAAACATATTTACTTAGGTAAAATTTAGATTTACTCTTTTTCTTTTCTAATAAATTCAAAGTAATTTTATCACATTCTCAAGATCTATTTCAAGAAGCTTCTGCTGAATGTGATAAAATAATTGTTTGATTCTTTTAACAATCAAAAGGTCAACTACTATGCAAATGAAGACGAATAGTTTGATACTTCTAAGGAATGTGATGTACTTAGCCTTGAGCACGCTAACAAAGGAACTGGTCTGAAGCTTCAAGAGCATATCAATCATATTGCAATCGCAATTGTAAACATTGCAACTCAAATGGCTTCTCAGTCTACGACTCAATCAAAATGTACCAGGGTTTCTCCTATTGAGATGATACAAATTGATCGGAGGCATGAACCTTACTAGCTTCTAAACCTCACATTCGTATTGTACAACCAGTTCTAGTGGTTGTTAGGTTATAGATGGGTATACAACATCTACATTTTCTTATTATTGTGCCTCTATTAGATGCTCTTATTACATTCATGGTAGAAATACAAGTCATGGTTGTTGTAGCACCACAGTAGGGAGAGGCCACCACTGTGAAGAATAATCATCAATATTTCGAAGAGTGAAGTAACTCATTACCCTCAATGCTTCGTGTCTCCTATATTTACCCAATTCCATAACACGAAAAAACTTTAGATGTTATATAACTATGCATAAAATACTAAGTGGCAATATCAGAATTGAGTAGAATTTTGATCTTCGATTGGCTCTTTCAAGGCCTTCGATGACCAGATTGAGAAAATATTTATCAATAAGTCTATTAGTGCTCACCATCTGGTCGCTAAGAATGACTTGATGTATATCTAATAGAAGTCTTTTCATGAACACAACACGACGTTGATCTATTGACGAGAATGATTATAAGTCATACATCATTTTTGTTAAATCTTTCATCTATTGGGACGTTAGAAAAAATTGCTTATAATGATAACTAACGTTGAGGGGCTGTTTGGTAGCACCCAAGATTTCATTTAAGTAAGATTTTGTAAATTCTCTAAATTCGGATTTACGAAATACTGGGGGGTTAAATCTGGAAATTTTTTTTGTAGTATTCATGATAAATCCTGTTAAATCATATGTGACTGCTTGGCTATAGAGCGTTAAATCCTGAAAAAGTGGACTCTTCTTCCCTCTCGTACCAATAAAGCATTAAATCCGTCGAATCAGAGGATTTTGGAAATCCAAGATTTACCACGAAAAGGGTAATTTTCTGTCTACCGTGGCTTTCATTTACCGTGAGATTTGGTTTTGCATTTTAGGCCGTTTGGATGAATTTCTCTCAAATCCACCTTAAATTCGACCTAAATCCTACTACTAAATAGCCACTAAGAATGAGACATTAGTTCATTTTGAAAGAGGATAGCTCTTAGAATAAGGGTAGGAAGAAATCTCCACATTTACTCCTACCTAAGAAGAGTGGAGGGAGAATTATTAACTCTGGTCACCGGACGTCTGGACATCCAATCCAGACTCGTCACGTCACCCGAATACACTGAGTCCCGGTGTATTTTGATGACGTGGCGCGTCTGGATTGATGTCCGGACGAATCTAGACACTCGACGTAATAATTTGCCAGAGTGGAGAGACAATCAAAGGGATGAAAATTATAATTGTAGTTGAGAGAGGCCTTTTGCCACTCTAATCTTTTATCTATTAAATCATTCATTAATTTAAATCATTCATTAATTAACCTTCAAAATTTTTATTTGTCATCCATCTTAATTTTCCAAGGTAGGGTTTTTTCTTCTCCGACGATCACAACTCCTCTCCGCCTGCCGGCGTTCCTTGAACAGTCGATCTCTCTCTCAATGAAGGAGGAGGAGCTTCGTCTCTGCCAAATCCAAGAGTGGTATCCACTCTTCAAACCCTACTCCATTCCCACCCTCTTCCACCCCCTTCCCGATGATTTCCTATGCTACATCCTGGGCGAATCCGCCGCCGCCGGCGATACTCCGCCTCCCTTCCTCCTCCCCATTTCTTCCTCCGGCCACGACCCTCTTCCGCGAACCTCCCCCTCCTCCCTCGACCCTGTCTCCATCCTCGACTCAGAACCCTCTTCCTTCCTCAACGAATCCAATTCCGATTCCGAATCAGATTCCGAAAACCCTGCCCCTTCCTTCCCAATACTTGAATCCGCCGTCAATCAATCCATCTCTTCCCTCGGCGGTGCCGTTTTCCCCAAGCTCAATTGGAGCTCCCCTAAAGACGCAGCTTGGATAGCCACTGACGGATCACTTCGGTGCACCTCCTTCGCTGAAATTGCCCTTCTTCTTCACTCCTCCGACCGCGTCGTTCACGATCTCTGCCATGCGGTTTCCTCCTGCTCCGATCACCTCTCCTCCTCCTCCCCTACTTTCTCCTTCTTCCTTGCCCTCCGCAAATTCTACCCCGCACTTCGCCCCGAGATGGAATTCCGCTGCTTCGTTCGGCGCCGTCACCTTTTAGGAATCTCCCAAAGGGAAGTGACGGCGTTCTATCCTTCGCTTCTTGATCGGCGGCGGGAGCTGAGGCGGATGGTTGAGGATTTCTTTGATGAGGTTGTGGGGCCAAGGTTTGGGCTGCAAGATTACACCTTTGATGTGTATGTGACTGGGACTGGGAGAGTTAAGATTTTGGATTTTAATCCTTGGGGGATGTTTACGTTGCCATTGTTGTTTACTTGGGAGGAGTTAGAGACGGAGGGGTTTGGAGAGGAGGAAGAAGAAGTGGTATTTAGGTTGGTGGATAGTCAATGTGGAGTGAGGCCAGGTTTGAAGACTGCAGTTCCTTATGATTATTTGGATACCGGAGAAGGCAGTGGGTGGGATGAGTTCTTGAGAAAGGCAAGTGATGAATTGAGAATGCAGATGAAGGATTCAGAGCCTGGGAATTAATGGTATGGCTTTCTTTTCTCATGCCAAGATTGATCTTTGATTTTCATTTTTGCTTCCTCATGTTAGTTTTGCTTCTGTTTTTTGATTAATGAGAAAGATATTAACCATGTGGACAGACATGAGGATTTGCTCTAAGATTGTACACTTCAATTTTCTCACAAAAATTCTCTAAAAAGACTTAGCATGAAAGCTTTACTTTTTCACAAATCCATTAGTTTTTTTTCACTGGTTAAGTAGCATTTATAAATTAGAATACCTCTTAAATTAACCCTTTAAAAGCATTTAAATATTCCCAAAAATTAGCAAAAAATTTTTTCAAATTGCTGCGAAAAGGGTACCCCTCTTACTGCTAGAAAAACTAGCCGTTACAGTTCATAATTGTTAAAAATCAGAGGTTTGAAAAGAAAAACTTAGATTTATTCCATGATTTCTTCCCTATTTATAGATCTATATAAGATATCTTAATATAGAAACAAATAATTACAAAATAACTCTAATATAATCCTTCTTAAATCAGCTCCTCGAATATGGAAAGCATTCTGCCGTGAGTCTTGCATCCGACAGATTGACCACTATAGCCATTGGATTTGGTTGCATTTGAACGGCTGGATTTTAACAATAATCACATCTTAATGATGATGATGACCGGAACCATTCATTGTTGATCTACTGATACCAATACTTGCTTGGTGCAATTATCTTCAATCACAACCATTCATTTCACTTTGGATAACATCCAAATCATCAATGGCTGCAATATGATAATCTTGTTTTATGTTTTCCTTTTGTATTAAGAAACTGAGCTTGTAATTAAGACCATAATCCTAAATAGTCATATTTCTATTGCTGAAGCTAATTGTTGCAGGTTTCTGATCAGATGATGGGTAAATTTCATAGAGAGTATATAAAGGATATTTCTGCTGCCATGGAAGCATTTCTTCGGAGCTTAATGTTTGTTTTTGTTTTATGATATTGATAAGAAGCTTGAACTTATTATGCAATCTTTTTCTTACCTTAGATGTATGATAAATAGTTGAAAATTGAATAGACATTCTTGTTGATTATTGCTGTAAGACTTGTGAAAGTTCCAGTATTTTGTTTCTCTGGAGAAACTGTTTGTCTTGCCATATTAATGTCGTAATTCTTGGTTAGTGAGCAGTATTTTGTTGCTAAGTCTATATGTTATTCACTTATGAATCATTCCATTAAAAAAAAAAATGTGTACTAGGCTTTGGCTATCTGATGTAATTTTGGAATTTTACTTGTCCTGCTATGGTATCCTTTTTATTGGTGATTTTGCTATGCACAAAATAAATTCTAAAAGAAATTTTTAGGTTGTAGATGAATGACAGGTGATATGTAGCACCACGAATTTGACTTAAGATTGCACGAAAGTCAGATCGGTTTTTAGGTTTCTGTTAGACTGGTCTAGCCGGTCCGCACGAGACCGGCAATTCGCGAACAGGCGGGATCTCCGCCTCCTGCGGAGATCGGGAGGGCCGACCGCTCAAACAGAGCATTTTAGGAAGGATTTTTTGGGAGTTTAAGAGAGAAATTTGAATGTAGGGATTGTTTAGGGATTTCCTTTTGTTTTGTATGCATTAAATAGTTGATTTTCTTAGGGTTTGTGTATCTTGAATTTAGCTGAAATTTGAGATCTCTTAGATTTAGGTTTTCTTTGGGCTCTTCGCGTTGCCAGAGATTTGGGAGAGATCGATCCTCCTCTCGAATTGAGAATCAATTGTATCTCGCTATTTTATTCATCATCTAGTAGAATACAAATCTTGTTTTGAGTTTTCTTTCGAATTTCCTCTGAAATACTTCTGTTAAACTGCTGTAAACAGCAGTTTTGCTGTGTTTTCCTGCTGTGGACAGCAGTCCAGTCACTGTTATCGTTGTTTTTCAGAATATCTACAAGTGTTTCCTATCAAATTGGTACCAGAGCATCGATTGGGGACCTTAGGCGGCTGAAATCCCTTTTTTTTTCAGCGAGCTTTTGGCTTCCGGAAGTGATATTTTTGAGATCCGTTGGGAAGAACGATGGCCGGAAAGAAGGTTGAGTCTTGGAAGGTGAAGTCGGCCAATTGAAAGCTTATTTGGAGGAAAGATTCTTCAACTTTCAAAATCAAATCACCTCCAACAATGAAAGGTTGGAGGGGAAGTTCACCAAAATGGAGGAAATGGTGAAGAAACTACTTGAAATGAAGACCAATCCGGCGATATCGGAAGTAAGAGAGACCACCGACGGCCATGGCATGGGTGGAAATCCGAACCCCTTGCGGGGGAGGAGAAATTCAAAGGTGGAGATCCTAGAGGAAGAGAACGACATGCCTCCTCTAGAGCCTCTTTCGAGGGAAGAGATGAGTATGGGATATGACAGAAGGGGGGCTGATTTTGGTGGGAGGAGAGAGGGATTTTATCGCCGGGGTGCTGAATTCGAAAGAATTCAGCGTCGAGGGGGGATTTTGAAGGAAGAAGGGAGGAACGTCATCGTTGAGGTGTTGAATTTGAAAGTGGTGGAGGACAGAAGAAGTCTGAAAGAGGGACTCGGGGAAACTATTCAAGGGGGTCTTACAGGACAACGATCACTCTTCTAGCACCCAAGGGGCCTGCATCAGGCAACAGTAATGAGACCACCCGGGAGAAGCCAGTAGGAGGAGGGAGTGGGGAATACTTCAAGAGGCTGACAGAGAAGGAGATGTAGGATAAGAGGTCAAAGGGGTTGTGCTTCAGATGTGATGAGAAGTACATGCCAGGGCATAGGTGCAAGGACCGAACTCTTCAGGTTCTCCTTGTCTGTGAAGACGAGGAAGACGAGGAGGGAGGTGGGAGCAGATCTGAAGAGGAGGAGAAGTTGCACCTGGATGTGACAGAAGTCTCTCTGAACTCTGTAGTGGGATTCACTCCGACTCACACTATGAAAGTGAAAGGAGAGATAGCTGACCGTGAGGTGGTGGGTGCTAATTGATAGTGGGGCTATCCCACAATTTCATTTCCACTCAGGTCGTCAACCATCTGGGAGTGAAATTGGTGGACACCGGTTGTTATGGGGTGATGATGGGTATAGGGAAGGTGGAGAAAGGTCATGGAATCTGTAAAGGAGTGGTGTTGACCATCCAGGGGATTCAAGTAAGGGAGGACTTTCTCCCACCAGAATTAGAAAGCACTGTTGTCATCCTGGGGATGAAGTGGTTGCAAACCTTGGGAGAAACCAGGACAATTGGGGAGCACTCACGATGGAATTAATGGTGGATGTGAGAAGGGTGGTCATAAGGGGAGAGGCAGGGCTATCTAAAGCCATCACATCACTTAAGACCATGGTTATGGACGTACAAGAGGTGGGGGAAGATTATATGGTGGGACTACACAGATTGGATGCAATTAGATCGGAAGAGGGAGGGGATGTTTCTCTGTCCATGCAGCCCTTGATTCAGCAATACATTAAGGATTTTCAGTCACCTCAAGGTTGGCCACCTCCACCGGAATACGAGCATATCTCCACCTTGAGGACAAGGTGGATTTTTGGGAGGGAAGTATTGTTAGACCGGTCCACTGGATTGGTCCAGCCGGTCCGCACGGGACCGGCAATTCGCGAACAGGTGGAATCTCCGCCTCCTGCGGAGATCGGGCGGGCCGACCGCTCAAACAGAGCGTTTTAGGAATGATTTTTTGGGGGTTTAAGAGAGAAATTTGAATGTATGGACTGTTTAGGGAATTCCTTTTGTTTTGTATGCATTAAATAGTTGATTTTACTAGGGTTTGGGTATCTTGAATTTGGCTGAAATTTGAGATCTCTTAGATTTAGGTTTTCTTTGGGCTCTTGGCGTTGTCAGAGATTTGGGAGAGATCGATCCTCCTCTCGAATTGAGGATCAATTGTATCTCGCTATTTTATTCATCGTCTAGTGGAATACAAATCTTGCTTTGAGTTTTCTTTCGAATTTCCTCTGAAATACTGCCGTTAAACTGATGTAAATAGCAGTTATGCTGTGTTTTCCTGCTGTGGACTGCAGTCCAATCACTGTTCTCGCTATTTTTCAGAAGATCTACAAGTGTTTCCTATCAATTTCATTTGAGACAATTTTCTTATTATTTTTAAAACAATTTTTAGTATAAAAATTTTATATTAGAAAATTGTTTTAAAATGCATTAAAAAAGCCATCCCAAACAAAGCCTTAATTTAAATAAAATATTTCATCTAATTTTAAAAGAAATAACTTTTCCATTTATAGTAATTGTTAAAACAACTATTCATAACTTGTGCCTTGCATGAATAACTTGTGCCTTGCATGAATGATGAATGAGGCTAAGGCTTCGTTTGAGACGGCTTTCTTACTGCTTCTTAAAGTAATTTTTTAATATAAAAATTAAATTTTTTGTACTAAAAAACTATTTTAAGCAGTAAGAAAGCCGTCTCAAATGAACCCTAAGTATGGACTGAAGTTTGCAGCCTGTAAGTCTATGAGATCACCATATTTTTTTCTCTCAAGATAAAACTAATAAGACAACCAGATTTCTAGCATTAATTGCAGATTAACTACATTCAATCTTTGAACACTTAAAATATGCCTCATTTCATCTCTACAAAAAACAAGAACCCTAACACAAAGGGGATTCTATCAGTTCAATTTTACAATGATGCAAGTTGCTTCCATAAACCCCAAAAGATTAGGATACTTTACTGCTCAACTTTAAAAAACACCATTAATCGATCACTGAACATCTTTGCAATAACAAGATAATGGGAGCTGAGTCATTAACAAAAAGATATAATTGATACATGAAAACCTTTCTTAAAACCCCAGCTCCCCAAATTTCAAAAACTAGACCAAAATTGTTCTTATTCCTTTCTTGAGGTAGTAGTTTTCTTCACTCTCTCAAAGATGGGATTCTCCATTATCTCTCTTGCAGAAGGCCTCTTCAATGGATCAGGATCCATCATAGCCTGCAAGAGTATTTTGACATTATTAAAATTTTGAAAAGGAATAATGCTAGTTTAATACAGAAAATACTAGAAGAAATCTATGGTAATTTTATATGAAGAAATTAGGGTTATCAAAAAAGCTAATTGTTCACAAACAGTTTGTGTTTTGCTCGCTAATAAAGGTTTCGTTTGGATCAGCTTTCTGAAATGGCTTTCTAATTTAAGAAATTTTTATACTATAAAGCAGTTTTAAAAAGTAACACAAAAATTATCCCAAATGAAGCAAAAATGTGTTTGATTCACTCGTTAAGGGCATCTCCAACCGAACTCCAAACACATGAATGGCGTCGCTTGCGAGCTCTAGCCGAACGGCAAAACTTCCAGTATTTGATTGCGGGTGAACCGTATTTGCAGAAGAAACGCGCGAAGGAGAAATACAGTTACCTGGGCGCAAAATGGAGTTCGATTGGAGATGAATCACGCCATTTTTTTTGTTACACTGCATTTTGGAGTGAAATTTGAGTTTTTCGGTTGAAGATGCCCTAAGCGAGACAGACTAGAACAGATATTTTAGCTAATTGTTTAAACAAGTCAAACACAAGCACAGCCTTCATTGATTGTGTTCTACATATTAATTGCTTGTTTATTCTAAATTATGTTGTTTATGTATGATTAATTTTAAAAAAAGTACTTGAAAACTTCAACTTTGATATCATTCAAATTGAAGATGGGCTAAATAAGTTCGAAAACGCTACAACGGTCGAATGCAAACATAAAGTCTTCAAACATCATCAAGTGCAAATCTAATTTGAACAAAAAGAATATGAACACATACCAAGCTCAGTCAATCTTCGCTATCCAGATTTTGTTTTATTTTTTGGGGTTAAAAGAAGAAAATGCAAAAAAAAAGTTACAAATAAAATGGAGAATTACCTTCAGAACGCTCTGAAATTGCATGGAATAGCCAGGAAGCAAGGGTATCTTGCCCTCTCTAAGATTACAGAACAGAGGACCGGATTCAGGAAGGGGTGAACCTTTAACAAGTTCATATATGGCTGCTCCCAAAGAAAATATATCAACTTTATCAAGATGCTCATATTTATCCTTGAGTATTTCCTGAGGCATATACCTTGAGTCTCCTTCTTCAATCGGCAAACTCTTATCAGTAAGAATTGCACATCCAAAATCTCCAAGCTTATAAACACCATTTTTCACATAAATATTCTCAGGCTTCACATCCATATGGGCTATGCCTCGCTCATGCATAAAATTCAGTGCAGTAGCCATCTGCAACATTATAGAACGATATCAAGATACAAAGCTTCCAAATATCATAAGGTAAGAAAAACAAATTGAAAAATTTTAAAAACCAAGATAAAGAAGTAGAACAAAATATTGAAAGGCATCCATGGTAAAAGGCTTGTTTGAATAAAAGCTGAAGTTTGATGTGCCATATTATGATAATTGTGATGTGTTTAGTGAGAACTCAATTAGTTTATGAGAAGTGAGAAACATGTAGATAAAAGGTGATAATAATGAGCAGTTGAATATTTGATAGGAAATACTTGAGTTCGCGAGTAATACTACGGGAAATATTTGAGTTCTCAAGCAAACCTAGCAATAATCGGTAAAAAAGCAGCGAGAAAGATGCTGATTTCAGAGAGAAAACAGCAAAAAACAATGCAGGAAATTCAGGATATCGGAGAAAAAAACAAGGGAAACTTCTTCTATTCAATCCACGAACGAGAAAACCCATACACGATACAAGTTTCTTCAATTCGAGAGGAAGAAATAACTCTCCAATTCTCTAGCAAAGCCTAGAGACCAAAAGCAAAAATCCTAGATCTCAAATCAGATTTCAAATTCAAGATAATCCCAAACCCTAGCAAGAAAGACTAATTAAAGCAAACAAAAAATTACATAATCCCTAAACAGCACCTCATTCAAATTTTTCCTCCCAAACCCTAATTTATGCCCTGCCCCCCCTACTTGACTAGTGACCGGTTCAGGTCTAACAGTATTTCACTAGTTACTGATCCCATAACTAACAATGTTCAGGCAGCATAAGAGACCCTGGCATGGCTCAAACATCTATCCAAATGATTCAATACTGATAGGAAAATTGGGGAGGATTGGTTATTCTTTATGCCAGCATTTGTCTCGTATTCATATAATCCCTGAGAGCTTCTTAATAGGAAATATATAAAATTAGGAACTTAAATTTAGTTTAATAATTAATTATAATAAAGTGACCCAATGGATTGGTGAGGTGACATCCACAAGAACATAGATGGATGAGGTGGCATGCAAGGAGTTAAGCTGGCTATAAAGCCTATAATACATGGAGGGTACTTACTATGATCATTCATTGTATATTTTAATATCTCCCCTCAAATTAATGTTGGTTGATCCAGAAGCATCAATTTGTTTGTAAGAAATTGATGTCTCCGTTGGTTCGTTGCCTTCGTAAATATATTTGCAATATGAAGATTTCTCGAGTATGAAAAATAATAATACGAGTGTCAAAGGCTTCTCAAGTAGAGTGACAATCAACTTTAATATATTTGGTCCTCTCATCATACACTGAATTAGCAGAATTTGGATGACACTAATATTGTTGGCATATGGAGGAGAGGGACTATCTTGAGAAAAATCAAATATAAGTTCACTAAGTCAAATAATTTTTGAACAGGATTTAGATATGTAGATGATTTAGACACATGAGGTTGTTTTTTTAATCTTACATGAGATCAAAGAATCACCAACAAATATACATCATCCTTCGATGGACCGATAGATATCAGGACATCCGGCCCAATCCGCATCAATTTACCCACCAAATGAAGAAAATAATGTGAAAATAACAAATCATGACTCAAGTTCCCAATAAGATATTGAATAATTCAACGACGACAATCAAATGTAAGTGATGAGGATTTTGAATAAATTAACTTACTTTCTGAATTGTGAAAGAAATATTTAGTCGAGCGAAATGAGCTTAAGGGGTCGCGCCGGGACCGGTATATTATTGTATTCATATTGTCTTATTCTTGAGATATTTTGATTTCACTTCATATAAATTTAATTTGATGTATTCATATGTATGATTGATTTGTTAGCAAAATGAGCTCTGCTGCTGGCGGGAGTGGATTAGGTGAAGGTTCAAAAGAGCCATCTGTCCACGCCGTGTCCGTGTCCTATATTTTAAAAATTATTATATATTATATTAAAAAATTATTATGTCGTGTCCATACCGCACCCGTGTCTTATATTTTTTAAAAATTGCCGTGTCCCGTGTCTGTGTCGTGTCGTGTCCGTATCGCCGTGTCCGTGTCGGTGCATCATAGACAACAAGCCTTTTTATTCCACTACATGGGGTCGGCTACATGAATATTTTTTCTTCTTTATATCTTATTAAGAGTGACATTTAAATCTAAGAAAAAAATTCATTGTTACTTTCTAACTAAGTTTTTTAGGTCTAGCTCTACCTTTCTTAACATAGGTCAGATTTAATACATATAGTCTCCTACAAGATTATCGAAAGGATGACTTTTATGTGACCAAATCATCTAAGATAACTCTCTCTAATCTTTTCTACCACTAGAGTTAATCCAATCTATTCAATAAATGGATATTAAAAATCATTTCTTCAAGATGCATTTTTAATATCCACTTATCTAAGAGACTATCATAATGAATCAACGTTCAAAATGACCACACGTAGTATAGTCATATTTGCTACAGGAATAAAAGTTTACTCAATGTCATATTATTGTTTGTTAATAGGGACAACTAAAATTGTCTTATAGCGATCAAAGGTATAATTAGAGCAAAGTTTACTTAAGTAAAGCCATTTACACCCTATGGGTTTAGTATATAAAAGACACTTAAGTATATAACATATGCCTAAGAAACAAATTAACTAAGATGCTCTGCATCATGCATATGTTAATTAGTTTGTTACAAGTTTGATATAGGATTCTAGAATGTTCTTGATTTCTCTAGGTTTATTTTGTTATCTTATAAGAATATGAGTTGTAAGAGGGAAGAGGTATGAATATATTTTTGAAAATTTAGCAATATTTTTACTGTTTGTGCGTTCTAGCTCTGAGGAGCTTTATTTGAAAGGCTTCATCGAATGATCTCTCTACATCAGAATGAGATAGAAGGTGAATCCCTCACGAGATATTGATGAGAGAAATGAAGACTTAGGCCATAAGCTCTAACTCAATCTAAAAAAAAAAATTGTAGAGAATTGGTTGTCCTTTATTCAAACATTGGTCTTGTATTTATACAATTCTTAAGAACTTCTTAATAAGAAATATACAAAATCAGGAATTAAAATTAAGCTATACAATTAATTACAACAAAGCAAACCAGGCGAATTGGTGAAATGACAGCCACGAGCACATGGATCAATGAAGTGGCGTGTGAGTGAATCTAGCCATAATACTTGGAGGGCCATTGTTACAATCATTAATTGCATATGTTGATATACAATATCATTTCATAGTTCATTTTTTGAATACTCTATTTGATTTGAAAATGAAGAATTCAGATTTTGAGGCAAAAATAGATTTTGGATACTCTATCTGACTTGAAAATGAAGAATTCAGATTGGTTACATAAGGAAACTTTCTAAACCAAAGAATCTTTATGATCATTATGCCACATTATGTTACACTATTTCTTTATATATATTTAAATGAAGAACATAGCATGAATCAAAGTCCTGAAGGCAATAACATCAGTAAGCTATTCTTTTTACCTTCCAATTTGCTACATGATATCTGTAAAGGAAGGAGACCCGGCAAACCTTCTAATCTTTATTGAACATGTAATTGCATTCCTCATTAGAATGCCTTAAACTAAGTAATTTTTCATACTACCATAAACAGCACATAATGCTTCATCTTGCTAGTTAATTATTAATGAAAAGTTAAGAAAGTATAAAAACAGTGGCCAAGAATAACATACGCCAGCTTATCATTATTTCATTATGTTCCTAAAAGATTGTAGACTTTAAACAACAACAACAACAACATCAAGCCTTTATCCCACTACGTGGGGTCGGCTACATGAATCCTTCTTCTCCATTGTGTCATATTAAAAGTCAAATTCTCGTTTAAATCTAATAAAGAAAGGTCATTCCTAATATTTTCTAACCAGGTCTTTTTAGGTCTGTCTCTACCTTTCTTAGCATAAGTCAAATCTAATACCTCTACTCTCCTAACCAGGTCATCGCAAGGCCGCCGTTTTATGTGAACAAACCATCTAAGACGACTTTCTCTAATCTTATCTTCTACTGGAGCTACTCCAACCTTTTCACGTATATGCTCAAAATTATGTGTTTCTATGTGAAAAAAAAAAGGATTTAGTTGGTCCTAACTTTTATTCTGCTTGTTTGGTGTGTTCGTTGTAGTATCATATGCTAATATTAATAATATCAGCATTTCTAATGCTTGAAACCTTCTTTCCCAATTCCCTACCCATGTTCAACAAGCTATCAAAGCTATTTCTATTAAGGAATCTTCGGTCGTTCCTCTGATTTGGCTTGATTCTGAGCAACCCAAGTCTAAAGAATTTTTGTGTAATTTTTTCCTAGATTGGCAGCAAGTTTCTTGCTATAAATTTTGGTAGCATAGACATTATGCACTTAGCTATTCATCTTATACCTGGTTGGCTTTGGCTGGAGAACTAAAAATTGTTAATAATCTCTTTCAGAGAAATATTCAAGTTCTACCTCTTCGCAATTTTTGTAATTACATGTGACTACTTTAAAACTTTATCTAATCTGATTCCTGGGATGAGCTTCAGAGAGATTATTCTGTGCGGACACCGGACGGGAGAACCGTCCAGTACCGCTTGGTACAGAGAGCGGTACCGGGTGTATCGAAGCTCGGTACTGCTTGGTACCGTGTTTGATACTGAGCGAATAGGAATTAACACACTCATTCTCCACTCATCTGGCATCTTTTTAGTCTTCAAAATAGTATTAAAAAGATTGTAGACTTTAAACAATAAAATTAAATTAAATACATTAAGCAAAAGACCATTAACGTACCTGATATAAAACTTCGAGTACATCTCCACTCGTTGGTATGTGGCCTTTCGATAGGCTATGGTCACAAAGTTCCATTTGAATATAAAGTTTGTCATTTTCAAACCAAGAAGTATGATATCCAACAATATTAGCATGATAACCTGGATAGATTGACATATGCATATTTCAATATCAATAAATAATTGGGGGATATACATACATATCACTAAATTCTTATATAGATAACTAACATCTAAATTTTTATATTTATATAACAACCTAATGTTTAAAGGATATCAAAACATATACATAAAATACCTACTTTATTTTAAATAGATATTTTTTGTTATTGAAAGATTAGAATATTATATAAATAAATATAAAGATTTAAGTGTTAAGTATATAAATATATAAGAATTCAATAGAATGTTATGTAAATCCTTCAAAATTTTAATGCAAAAGGTATGGCTGCTAAAGAAAACACACCTAAGGCTGCTAGAGCTTGAACTTCCCTCAATGCATACTTCCTGCCAGATCAAAAGATCACATTATAATTTAAGATGTCACTAACTAATGATGTTAAGCTAGAGTTAACAACCTTTCCATGTCATTATGGAATTGCTTTATACTATGCTTCACAGCATAAAGACAACCGTCTATTCGCTTTAACGCTTTGAAAACATGGCTAAAATTTCCACTGCCAATTTGCTGAGGAACATATTTTGATCAATAAAAAGCATGTTAATATAAAAAAGATAAGTTCATGAAGCGAAACTTTGAAAGATCTACAAAAATTAAATAACTTTACCTCTACTTCATGGAAATCTGTGCGGTAACGTGAAATGTTATCTCCACCAATTGATGGGGAGAAACCTGCATATAAACAATTTAACTATGGAATATTAACCATCGAAAACACCCTCAAGTGAAGGTTCGAACATCATAGAAAACCTGGATTTTCATAAATTTGTATGAATGATCACATCGTGATTCAAATAGATTGTAACCTTTAAACCATGCAAGCATCATCATTGATGAATCATAAATCATCTTGTTAGTTCAGAAGTGGATTGTTCGTGAAACAAGGGAATGCAAATGATGAAAGGAGGATGATCCTTGTATTTGAATCAAGTTGATTAATTAACTAATTAAGGCTAAGATGACAGATATACACCACTCTAAATGAAATTGATATTTGAATAATAACTAAAACTAAGATGAGAAAGATACACTAATCTATTTTGAAATTGATATTTGAATGCAGAAATGCTATCAAGAATACAAAAACTAACCCAAAGAAAAGTTAAGAATAGCACAGTTGTTCAATACTAAGTGAAAAAAAAAAAAGAAAGGGAAATATACCTGTCATTTTTGCTATCCGATCCCCGAAAACATCAAGTGCATTTGATGAATTCTCAATTAGATATGGATTCCTGATGCAAGGAGGAGGCATAACTCGGTAGCGCAAAGCTACTGCAGATTGAGAAACATAACGTTGTTTCTTTTCACCAATATCATCTGAGCCAAATTCATCGAACTTGAGTTCAGCATCCTCTTCATGGAGTTGAACATTGGTGGATGACAAAGTGCATGAAGTACAAACTGAGTCAAGGCAAACAAATTTAATCATTAGAAGAAAATGTCTACAAAGAGCAAAACATGTCACATTACAAACATGCTAATAAAGTGGGAGATAGTCAAAATGATTCATGTGGTGTGAGACAAGATAAAAAATTGTTATTCTAAAATCAATTTCTAACTTGAATTTGAATCCTATGAAACAAAATCCTTGTTGTAGGCAGCTCAAGTCCTGACAAAAACATTATTATTTTTTGATGTGGTGAAAAAATATAGAGCAAAAACAATCTCTTCCATAAAAAATACCACTTCCGACGTGCCTAAGGTTAATCTTATCAATATAGAATACGGATGAGATTTAAAAAGAAAATTAACAGAAAGAGATTGAGAAAAGCCTTGGGTAAAATTTCTGCGTACCTTGCCTATGTCTCTTGTTCCTAATCGATTTTTCAGGGGATTTGGGGCAAGCAATGTTCTCCTGCTAGAAGCAATAGAAATCCTTATAAAATAGTAACAGAAAAACAACATAAACCAAAACTAATATAAACACTGTGCTCACCTTATTCGGGTTCAAATTATTCGGTATTTCTGGAGTAATATAATCCGGAGTACTGCAAACATTACCAAAAGGCTAAGTTATAAATCTTATCAATCATTAATCACTCATGAACTTCCTCTTTTAATTGTACTTACTGCTTTCCAAGCACCCATCTAATATGCAAAATAGTTCATCTTCGAAACCATAAAAGGCTAAGTTGTCGAAGCATTGTGGATGAATAATTAAGACTGGAAGAGTGTGAGATTCTTTTTATTTAAGCGAGAATGAGTCCTTTGGGTGACTGATACCCCAAATATTTGGGAAAGCGAACCCCAATAGTTTGGGTTAGATCTAATGTAAACTTTTCTAAATAGTCATGAAATTTGATTCCTCTTCCATCCACATTTAAGGCACATTTGGTTGCTTCAAGTTAAAAAGCATATTTTACAAAAAAAAACTGAAATTTGGTTATTGCATGATTTGGTTCAACACTGATTTTAAAATCCCAAATCTTCCCAAAATCACCAACTCTTGCAGCATGATTTCATTTACAAGCAACCGAATGAGCCCTTATGCAATATGTCCTACATTGTTAAACGTTTTAAAAAAAGAAATTTTGATTGCCAACTCGCAATAAGACATCAAACAACCCATGCCCAAAAAACCTCACCAGAAAAAATCTTGGCTCAGGATGCAATCCCTATCCACCGCGACGTCCTCCCCGCCATCATCGACAGAGGAAAGAGCATCGCAGCCTTCCAAAACTTCCAGAAGCTTCCTCTGGAAGCGAGAAGGAGCGGTAGGAGGAGGAGCGGAGAGCGGGTGAAGCGGGAAACGAGGCATTCTTTCGAGATGGAGAGAGAGATCGCCGGCGGGAATCGACCTCTTCATCATTGCCGCCACCGCCGCCGCTGCTGGTGGCCGCTGGCGACTTGCTTTAGCACGGGAAGTGGGAGTTTTCCTCTTCCTCATTATTTCGCCGATCGGCAAAACCCCCTTCCTCTCTTCTCCGTGCTGTGCTATCGAGCTGCGAAAGTCCAAAAAAATTCCATTATTTGACTGCGTGAGTTTTTTCAGAAAATAAAATAAATAAAAATGGCTGGTATTGGCGGGAGGGTGGATTCTATATTTCTATTATGGCTATTTACATAAAAAACACTCCAAATTGTTTATTTACAAACCCATAATGCTTAATTAGTTATAAATACTATTACTAAGGGAGATTTACTAACAAATCACATAATTTTTTATGTATTTATATGTTTAATGTTTGACTTTTTATATTTATTTATAATTTTATATAACATTATAATCTCTAAATTATAATAAAAACATTATTAAAATTAATGTATCAAAAATAAAATGAATCTTTAATGTGTATATTTAAATGTGATTTAAATATCAACATGTAATATAAATTAATATAAAATGTATATATTAAATATATAAATATACAAACATTTTAAGAAAAGTATGCAAATTCCTCTATTATTAAATATTATTTCTAGTTGCCCAATTTCATAATTATTTTAAGGCCTCAATTTTCATGAAAATATTAAATTGGTTAACCGATAGAGAATAAGCAAGTGTATAAAGATACCATCATATATATATATATATATATATAACCAAATAAATTTTGAAATATTTCCCCTTTTTTGAATGTTATTAGTACTTTAAATAATTCATGAAAAATATTAAAATGCTAGTAAAATCATATACCCTAATCGAGTTGAAATGATTCTATTAGCATGTGTCATTAGTTTCAAATAATATCATATTCTATAATGGAGAAATGTACTTATACAATGTAGTATAAATAAACCATAAGAGCCTCATGGTATGAGACATATCTTCAAAGAATCATTGTGGTATGTTTAGTTGTTCTGCTTTGAGGGGAGACAAGTGGAGACAATGGGAATTCAAAGCTAGTGTTGATTGCATGCATCATACTCATAGGCAATATAAGTATTAGCATTGAGGGGACAAGAAGTGACAAAGCTAATGAGAGTCAATTTAGTTGGAGGATCGTAGTTTGATGACGATGATTGGAGGATTGCAATTGAACAACGATGATCAGAGAGTTGTAGTTTGACAACATTGGTTAAAGGATCAAAGCCAGGTAATGGTAGTCAGTGGGCGATAGTATTTGGAGGGTTGTAGTCAAAAGATATTAGCCAAACGATGTGTTTGAAGGGTTGTCATATGGCAATGATAGTCAAAGAACTATAGTCAGGAGATGGTGGTTAGAGGACCATAGTATGATGATGTTGGTATATGAATCATAGTTAAGCGATGGTGTTCAGAGAACTGTAGTCGAGAGATGGTGATTTAAGGATTACAATCAAGATACGATGGGTTGAAGAAATGCAAATAGTGGTCAGATAACCAAAATCAAAATCTATTGATGGTGGCAAAGAAAATAATCAAGAGATTGTGATTAGAGGACTATTGATGCAGCACAGACAAACGATAAAGACAATATCACAAACTAAGGCATTATATCAGAATTTAAGTAATTCATCATACATAATTATCCATGCAAACTCATGCATAGCTGATAATTTATTTTTTAAGTATTGGACGATAATTAAGAATCTTAATTTAAGATCTCTTGATGAGTAGATGGGTCATACTGGGCAAAGAAGTAAAAATCTTCATAAATTGCTTGGTTTCAAGACCACCCTACATGTCTTGTTTAGCTAATTCAAGTTTTCCTATTTTTCGAAGATGATTTTTTTATTTCTCTTCTTTTCTTCTTATTTGTAGGAGGGCAATACATTAATCAATATAATAATAGTTTATTGGGTCCAAAAGCTTTCCAAAGTTGTATAAGCTTGTAAAAGGCATATAAATATGACTTTAAATTTGTTATTTTGGATTCATTGAATAAAAAATATTTTTACTTGTGCAAATCTTAGGTAAAAAGATTTGGTGGTTAATCTACTACTTAGTAAAGCTTGGTGATGGACCCTCTAGAGTTTTGATGAGTCCTTAGCTATTTTTTCTCACTCTTACTCATCCTTTTTTGCCAACACAAATCTCATCTTCTCTGTATAATCTTGAGTAGCTTCTCTCGATCCTAAAACACATCCAAACTCTTCAAAACTCTTACTAAATTCAACTCACATTTGTTATAACCTCTCAATACCTCAACTTCCCAAATAGGCCTAAAATACCCTAGCCAAAACCTAATAAAAAAATAATTTCTAACTATAAGTAATCAAATTAAAAATATCTCAACTTCTCAAACATTTATTCAAAATATTAAAAAAAAAAAAAACATCATCATCATTATTTCCCTGACATATCTATCTTATTTGTCATATGTCATTTCTACATCTATTATATCATGTATGCAATTATGAATGCTATCATGTATGCATATCAATTTTGAATTCAACAAAATTGGATATCAAGCTTTTGAAGTGGTGTTTTCATCATCCCATCTATCATCAGTCAATCATTTCTTTTATTTATTTTTATTAATCATTTCTTTTAATAGGCGACTTTCAATAATCGATAAAGAGACCTCACTTATATCCGTTGGCGTAATCGGTCAATCAGTTACTGGCTAACATCTAGGATTACACTAGAAATATTTTATTTAAAGGAAAGTCCGTCATCTCATCCTCATGTACATGGTATTATGTTTTAAGAGCCAACTCGTATTAATTATAGTGTTGACAATGAGCATTCCTTGATTACATGTAAATGCATCATATACCAAACTTATTATTTGTTTATGCAATTCAACATTCAACTTCATGTATAAAATGCAATTCTCTATGAAATACAGGAAAATTAATATCATATGTATTAACTTCATAAAATCACAACTTTCCATTTTTCAAATGAAATTTCTATATAGACCAGTCAAAATCGTCAGGATAATAATATTTCTCACATACAAAAAATTATAAGGTGAAAGTTCGCTAAAATAAAAGATATCACATTTTTAGCACTTTCAGGAGAGAGAAATATATCAAACTCAAAATTGTTAAAAATAAGTAGAGGAGATGTCAATTATAATGATCAAAATAATTTTCATAATAAAAATGATGGAAGAAGAAGCTCCTCTCTCTCTCTCTCTCTCTCCCTCCCTTCGCTTCCCCTTCTCCTTTCTTTTCTTCTCGGGCAAGCAAAATGAATGAGAGGGCGGTGAGAGATATTTATATTAAATATATTAAAAAAGCTAATTCAGTGCTCGACATTGTTGCATTGCATGTTGATACGATAGTTACTATAAAATAGAGCTTTCAATATCACATCGACGGTTCCTTAACATCGTAATGCTATAGCACCACTATGCTTGCCAGCACGACGCAACAATATTGTCTGTTGGATTCAAATTTTCATACAAATTCATTTTAATAATTTTGGGTTATTATAAGTAGTAGAGTGGTTGAGGTTAAAAGATGTTAGTCAGACAATGATGATCGAATGCTCATAGTTGAGTTATAATGGTTAAAGGATTGTAGGTGATTGAAAGTAGTTCGAGGACCATGTCGAGCAACGATGGTAATAAAAGGGTAATAGTGGTCATAATTGAGCGATAATGGTCAGATGACCAAAGTCGTGTAATGATGGCTGAGAAACCATGGTTAGGTGATGATGGTTAAAGAATCATAGTCGAGCAACTATGACAAAGAAGCATTATTAGGTAATTGTGGATGGACCATAGCTAAGCAACATTAATCAAATGACTTAGTTGGGCAACGATGGTTAGAGGATTGTGGTTAAATTATGTCGATTCAGAGATCATCGCTATAATGGTGGTTCGACCATGTTGGTCAGTTAGTGGTCTGATGGTAGTGTAAAACCCCTTAAGTAAAAAAGAAGCTAAACTCTTTAACATCAAGGCATCTTTTGATATACTGGTTGGAATTTCATCAAAAACTTAGCAATTAAGCATACTCATTTCTAAAAAAATCTTGGAATGGGTGACATCTTGGGAAGTTACACCAACAAGACAAAACCGTGAGACCCTTAGGCAAAAGTGTACAATATCTCGATAGTTAAAAGTTTGAGTCATTACAGATGATATCAGAGTAATACACCAACCAGAATACCAGAACTAAGGTTTATACAAAACAAAGTGCTACACCAAGGGAACCACCTCTTGAATTTTATATGGGATAAAGTGCTACGTGGCGGGAGTCGCAGCTTGAACTTGTAGGGACCACCACTAGAATCATAACCGTCTGGTGGAAAATTATAGGATAAAGATACTAATATAGATAAAAGTTACTTAAGTGGGGGAGAATGTAAAACCGCTAAGTAAAAAAGAAATTAAACTCTTAAATATTGAGGTGCCTTTTGGTGTAATGGTTTGAATTTCATTAAGAAACTCCGCAGTTAAGTATGCTCATTCCGAAGAAATTCCCATCTTCTCTATATAATCTTGAGCTTAACTTCCCTCAACCTTAAAACACATCCAAACTATTCAAAACTCTCACAAATATTTCCTCGCATTTCTCATAATCTCTCAAGGTCTCAACTTCCCAAATACCTTAGCCAAATGTCTCAATATAAAAAAGATAACTTCTAACTATGAGTAATTATATGAAAATCATCTCAACTCCTCAATCATTGATCCAAAATCCAAAAAAAAATACCACAATTAGTTCCCCAGCATCCTAAACTTTTGATCCAAGAGTTCCCCTCCATTTTCCTCTCAGGAAAGCTTGCTCTTTGATAGCATACAAATTTTAGCACCAAATATATCAAAATACTTAATACTCATTTCACCACCAAACAAACAACCCTTCCACCACCACCCTAAATGGATACTAATTAAGTTATTGTCTTCATCATAAGAATCTTACCCTCCATCAATTGTATTAGAGCAACAATAGTTGGAGGATAGTGGTCAAGTGGTGGAGGTTGAAGGATTTTAGTCTGATGATGGTGGTTGAAGGATCATAGTCGAGCAACATGTTCAAAGGATTGTAGGCGATTGACAATGATTGATGAACATAGTCGAGCAATGGTAGTTATAGTCGATAGAATGTTGTCTTAATCGAGCGATAGTAGTCGGAAGATCAAAATCGTGCAACAATGTCCAAGAGACTATAATCAGATGATAGTGGTCAAAGAACATAAGCAGACGACGATGAATAAAGGGTTATATTGGGTGATTGTGGTTGAAGGGCCATGCTCAGACAGCGTTGGTCTGAGGAGCTAGTCGAGAAATGATAATCAAAGGACTATCAAAACATGGCAATGCATAGATAGCGACAATGGTGTGACCATGGTAGTCAAGCAATGGCCTGATGGTACTATGGTAGTGCTCTCGTGGAGCTTTGAAAATTTTCAAGCCTTCGAGCTCTCTTGAAATTATTGAGATTAGCATGCCCTATAAATTTATCATAAATTCAGAACACTCCATCAAATGACCTGTATAAATCCTATTGATCATTGATCATTCCTTCATCATTTAATCGTCATTTAAGTGCCTTAGTGATATTAAATTTAAGCGATAATTGGCTCTTTGGATTCGTCTCATTGAAACACTCAATTTTACAATAAGCATGAAAGATTTAATGAACGTTTGGTTTTTCAATAAGATTGGATCATTACTAGCGTCCTTGGATTTGTTTCTTCAAGAAGTTTAATTTAACTATAAATTTGTTTAAATCAAAATTCATATTCTAATTTAATTTTAAAAGCTTCAAATGCAAATATGCATTAAAATAAAAGTAATATATTAACAAATAAAAGAATTTAAAGAAAAAATGTTAAGCCGATCATTTTCAGAATAAAATCAGATTGACGGATCAATTCGAGCACAACTCATTTAATAAATGGGTCAAAATGTCCGACCAGAATTCAACCTGTTTATTAAACAAATCAACTCAAATTTGATTTTTTAGGTCGAGTCATTTTTTGACACCATAAAAGACCCAACTACTAGTATACTCATTTACTCTAATTTAACATTAGAAAGCATTTCAGTTATTTTACTTGGCCAATGAAGAATTACATGTTAAAAACCAAATGTGATAGAGTTCTTAATGAACTTTTTTTTTTCTTAAAATTAATTAAAAAAATATTAGACCACTTTATTGTAGTTACTTTTTACAATTAGCCCAAATTTTTTATAGCCCAAAATTTTTTATTCAACAGATTGAACAAGCTATGTAGGTGTGGTTGGTCAACTAATCCCTTTTTAAGGACATAAATCTTTGCTTTTTATTATGTTCATAAGGGTATAAACAAATATGCCCATGCTAAATTCATGATTTTCCTGTTAATGCTTGTAACATAGTTTTCATTTGGGACGGCTTTTTTACTGCTTCTTAAAGCAACTTTTTAGTTAAAAATTTTTAAAAGCTGTTTTAAGAAGCAATAAAAAAGCCGTCCCAAACGAAGCCATAGTTGTTGATTCATGTCATATGGTCATTTCCTTCACCTGATATATATTCAGCTATTTTTGTGTATGAAATATTATGAGAGTAAGGCTTCATTACAGATAGCTTTTTTTGTTGCTTCATAAAGTAAAATTTTTGTACTAAAAATTTACTTTTAAAAAGCAGCGAGAAAGCCATACCAAACGAAGCCTAAGATAAAAAAAAATTAAGAATATATTACGCACCAATAAATGTCAATAAACTCCTTCCTCTATATGCGCCATAAAAAAAGAAATTATAAGATGCAGACAATATACATAGAGCTATTGTTCATGTGACAACACATGCTTCTTCTCAACAATAAAATCTGAACAAAGCAGATCTGCATGAAAAGCAAATTTAAGGGAATATGACTGTATTTGTGGTAAAATAATATAATAGAGAAGAGAGCACATCTTAAGTAAACTTCTGGAACAATTTTCTTCAATCAACCAACTGAATAAAAAACTATGAAGTGACAATAGAATAAGCTTCAGTTCAGCATGCTTTTCATCTTTTAAGACATCAACAGAAATACAGTGAGGGCTGGAGTTCAAGTTTATAATCTACAGGGAGTGGACTACGATAAATTATTCTGTGCGGATACCGGACGACGTCCGGAGATCAACCAAAATCCTCCACGTCACCCTGTGCTCGGTACCGCTGACGTGGCACATTCTGTTTGGTCTCCAGATGCTGTTATGCGCCCGGTTTCCGCACAGAATAATTTCTCGTAGACCACAACACGAAGTCCATGGCTATATTGTCTTCAGACTTCCAAGGTTGGGATAAACAGAATTATTGGAATTCCATGAAAAAAGAACCCTTCTGCTCTTCATGATGATCAAAACATTCTCTCATTTTCTTTCACTGTTTTATGAAGAAATCAACAATCCATTGATATTTGATCTAAATTTTATCAGGATATTTGGGGTTTTTATCATTGATTTATTTTGAAAAAAGTGCAATGAAAAATTTAGATTCCTTTATTCTCAACTTCATTTACTGATATGTGATATAGACTTTCGAAATTCCAATGTCAGGAGAGTTGATTTATAAGAATTCCTTGAAAATAGGCTCCTTTTTTAATGATCAAACTATTATTTTGTTCACTATTCCATGAAAAAATCAATGTTCCTAAGTTTAATGTCACAAAGATAAAATGATCAAAGGCAGGCGTTTAAGAGTAGCTATAAAGTATGACAGAGAATGATTAATAGATGAAAAAATGTTAAGAAATAGGTGAAGCCTGAATCATTGATGGTGAACAACAACAACATCAAGTCTTTATCCCATTATGTAGGGTTGGTTACATGAATCCTTTTTTCTTCGTTGTGTCTTCTTAAGAGTCAAATACTCATATAAATCTAATAAAAATGTCATTATATATATTTCGTCCTCATTAGTATCTAATATATTATATAAATAAATAATTAAAAGTTAAATTATTTGCATCGCATATTACTTTAATAGACTCCTCAAGGGCCTCTTTATATATTTCTCAATTTTTAGAGTTTTTACATCCAAACTAATTTTTATAATAAAACTTTTTATTTTTTATTTTTTAACTTTCTTGCACATTTTGACTACACAGCACCCTATTTTTAGCACATCTTTTGCAATATTCTTAAAAGATGATTAACACAGAAAATATAATAATTTTTATACATATTTACTCAATTGATAGCTAAATTTTGTTGTCTCTATTATAAATTTCATTATGATTTAATTGTGAAGAAGATAAACTTCAATTCTTCTGATATTAACATAACACTACCACGCTTTCTTCATAGGACAAAATTTGAATCCACAACTTAACAAAAGATTCTTTCAACTTTGAAAAAAAAAAAGAGACAAATATAGCTCGAGCAACCCTATACTTGATAAATTCACACCAATTTTCCACTACAACAATAAACTAAGAAGATCGCAATGCAACAAAATAAAAGAACATAAATGTTTTCGTCCATCTTATCCCAAACTTTTGGAGTCAACTTTATAAAGCCTGATTCTCTATTCATTTCTACGAAATTTTACAAGAGACATTAAATTTATTCTCGCAAATCTTTGGTAACCAAACTACCCAAAGGCTCCGCATTATAGTTAAGATCAAAGTGATTTGCAGTATCTAATTAAAGAGGTTGCAACTCAATAAAGTTCTCTCAACATAGAAAAGTCAAAATAATGGAGGTGAGCAATTGGAACATTAGTAACATTACCAGAGCAGTTAACATCTAAGCATTGCAAGTCTACAAAATTTGGTCGCTGGAGACCTTTTTCCATTTGCTAAGGATGTTATCATATATATGAGACTTACCCAATGGCTGAAGGCCTCGCCTCAACTTTGACAGTGTTGATGACTGCAATTTGATCCCTTTATCAATCATCTCTTCTGCATATTTGCATGCTTCTGGCAACTGGTTTCCATACCACAATTGCGCAATCAGCGAGTTCCCAATCTGCTCCCCAGCAATCCCATTATCAGTCATAATCTTCCAGACCTTCAAAGCCATTTCCAAATCCCCCGAATCCAAGAGCAGTTTCATAGTAGCATCACAAATTACTGAGCTTGGAGCAAACTCATTCTTCACCATCTCATTAAGCAACAATTGCACTTCTTTAAGCTTCTTGTTATTAATCAGAAGTGGAAGCATCAAATTGTAAGTTTTTGCGTCTGGAAACGCACCATAGAAGACCATATCATCGAAGAATCTATAAGCAGCATCCAACTGATTCAAATTACAATAGAGAGAGATCATTGAATTGCATAATTCAGTATTGGGCAAGCATCCATTTCTTCCTACAAGAGAATTCCAGAGCAGGATTGCCGTCCGTTCATCACTGAGCTTAACACACTCACCAATGGCTTTACCGATAAACTTTATGCCAGGGAAGCATCTTTTCTCCCTCAGCATAGCCAGCCACCTCAGAGATTCATAGAGACCACCTCCATCATCGCATAGGACTATGTTGAGGAAGGAATCATAAGCTGGAACATTGCTTGGATCCCAACCAATCGCAAGAATCATTTCATCAAACAACTCGCGCGCGCTCCGATAATTTCTCTCATTCTCAAAACCTTCAAGGAGAATGGCATAGGAATCAGAATCGAGCGGGATTCCAAGGCGACTACGGCGGATGAACTCAAGTGAAGCTAACGTGAAACCTTCACGACAGAGCGCCGACAAGAGGGAATTCAATGATGTGGTATCCTGGGGGATGCCGTGTTGGCGCAAAAGGGATTCGAAAGCAGCAATTGCATCTGCGGGGCGGCTTGCAGCCGCAAAAGAGGAGAAGATGGAGGCGAAGGTGGCGACGGAAAGAAGTCCTTCGGATTTCATGGAAGCCACAGCATCCCACATGGCGTCGAAGAGGAGGTTCTTGCCCAGGATGTCGATAACGAGATTCCATGAGTAAGGGGAGTGCTGGTGATGGAGACGGGGACCACTCCAGCGGAAGAACTTGACAGCAGCGGCGGGGTAGGAATAGGAGAGCTTGAGGACTTCTTCGACGTCATTGGCGGATATGCGGATGCCGAAATCGTTGAGGGATGATTCAAGGGAGGTTGAAGTGGCGATGATCTCGCATAAAAGGCGGATCTTGGGTGGTAGGTTGGGGATGTCGAGGTAGGAGGGAAAGGACGGGCGGCGAGAAGGAGAAGGAGAGCTGTGCTGCTGGCGCTTGCCGGAGGTGGAGCGGGAGGGTTCGTCGTCGATGAGACGCTTTCGATGCGAGGACATTGCTGATTCACTTTCTTGATTTCTTCTTCGGTTTGGAAACCCTAGGAAATGAAGGTCCACCAGTATTTGAGCAGGATTAAGTAGATCGCTTGAATCCCAAAGCTTCGTATGAAAGCCCCTTACATTCATCATGGCTGTTTGGTGGCCTCAGTCATTTATTTGATTAATTATTCTATGCAGTTGTCAAATATCATTGGTAGACTAATTGGAAGCATCATTTTTTTATTATGGATTACAGCTCAGTATCATTCGGTACCGCGGTATAATTGACATGGCTGCACTTGATTCGCCTCCGAACGTAAAGCTGTGTCCGGCATCCGCGCAGAATAATTTCTCCATTGATTGAGTCTTATTTGCCTATTTTTTCATGTGATTGTGCATAATGGTAAATCAAATATCGCATAGTCATCTTGATTTGTCGTGATGCTAAGAATTGAATTTCATGAGTGTATCATGTCCATCTTTATATTTGGGAATAAGTGCATCAAGCTTGATAGTGATTTACCAAGATCTTCACGTAGTTACGTGAGTACGAAGTCCCATTTGTATGAGATTTTTACCTACGTGAAATTTTCTCATTGGAGCTTCTTCTCGCAAAACAGACTGTGTAATCACATCCAGGTCATCAAGACGCTTCAAATGAGCCCATGCATGTCTGAATCAACCTTCATTCGACGCACATCAATAATTTGAATAAATTATTTTCTAAATATTATATTAATTAGAATTTTATCTAACTAGATTAATTGTATTAGATGGATTAAGTTTGAGGACACATATCTATCCTATCTCATTGTGTGGCATTAGGTGGTAGCCAAGTAAAATAAAAATGATTAGGGTACCTAAGTTGAGCAACTTAATAGGAAATGTAAGCTCTATGAGGTCCCTCTTCTTTTAGAGAAATAAGATTGGAGAGTAAAATAATGCTTAGAGAATGGCCTCATTGCTAAAAAACAAATTTCTCTTAGGATGAAAGCTATGGAACAAGCAACAACACTGGTTAGAATCATCTTGTGTTCGCATCAAAGGGCCAAACTTTGCTAGTTATAAGAGGGTGATTGGAATACACACTTCTTCGATACGATGACCTCTTTAAGGCGTCTGGCTAATCACATATTTATTTTTAAGTTGGTAGATGAAAGAATTTTCAAAAGGATTATAGTGAAAGCAACTAACAGTCACATACCTCAAAACATTACATTATATTTATTTTCTTGAAATCAATATACAATATTCACAAGATCAGTACAATTATTATTCTATCACAAACTCTTTACTATAAAAGAATAAGGAAAAATACAAATAAAATCTTGTTTAGCGGGTGAGGATTTATGCCTTCAAGAGGTTTAGCGGGTGCTCAAATCTTGTTTAGCAAGATTCGGCATAATTCCTGTCAAATCTTGCATACTCTGAGCATTTTTCTAACAAATTAGAAGGCCAAGAACACATTTTCTAAAGCTAGATTTGTCTAATTAATTTGCTCTTTTAATTTATATCAATATAAATAGGTAGATGTTTCTTCTTAATTTGCGTTATGTGTCTAATGTACTTTGTATTCAATATTGTATATTGAAAAATAGAAATAATATTGTACATGCAAATGTAAATGACAATTGGAATGATGTAACTTCCTTGAAATTTTCCATGTATTTCTACAAACAAAATAGTCTTTTTACTGTTGGAAAAAATGTTGGTCATTAGCTATGGCTCAATTTCTTGGAATACAGTTATGATGCATCAATTGAATATCTTGACAAGTTTGTTCACAAGTTTATTGTAATGAAACACATGTTGAAGTGTCCTTATTTGTATGCTATTGATGGATGAATGATTAGGACAAGTTGAAGATTGCTTGGTTGATTTAGCTTTCCATGATAAACAAAATCATTTAATTGTTCATATGGTTATTGCGACAGCGGTGAATGTTATTTTTCTACTTATGCATGAGGTAGGGAAAGATATGAAGAGCAATTTAATTTTCGACTTTCATTACTTCATACAATGACAGAGTGTGTATTTGGGTCATTAAAGAACTAATTTGCAATTTTAAAATGCGACCCATACATTTCATTGGAGACTTAAGTTGAGATTGCATTTGTCTGCTATAGTTTGTATAACTGGAAAATTACAGAGGGTAACGATGACTTCATTTTGCCAGAAGATGAGTGGAGTTTAAAAAGTCGTGATGGAGAAATATATGAAGCTATGCTAGATGATTCACAAGAATGGTTGGGGAGAAGATATCAAATTGCTTTTGCTATGTGGGTCGCATGAAGAATGTTGGCTTTTAAACACATTGATGACATGTATTTATGATTCTATGTCATTTTTTTGTTGACATAGCTTTGTAAATATATCTTCTCTGATAAAAAGTGTAGGGTCATGATAGTTCTTCTAAGAATATATATATATTTTTTTTATGTACAATTTTTTTAAAATCTCATAAAATTATCAATATTAATATGAACTTAAACTATTTGATAAAATTAGAATTTTTTTCACTTTAAAGATTATCAAATCAAACGCACTTCAAGCATTCATAATATATTGATTTTATTTTAATTTTCATATTTCCAACCAAACAGAAAATTTATTTCTTGCATTCACTTTAAAAACAATAAAATAACCTCAAAATGTTTATTTTATATTGTATTTATTTTAAATTATATTTACATTACACTATATTCTTTTTCCTAGCAAGGGCCACCGTCTTGCTTCGCCGGCTCCACCGCGGAGCACTTCACATCAGGTCTCCCTTCTCCCGGCGACGCCAGGTCCGCCTGCTTGCTTGTTTTCTTCACGAAAGCGCAGCCCAGCTCGCGCTTCCCTGCACTCGAGCCGTAGTCTGGCCCGCGCCGCTCGTCGCTTCTAGCATCCCAGCTTGCGTTGCCGTTCAGCCACCAATCTCGCGTCAATCGCCATGCATGGTCTTTCAGTCGTGTGATTCGCCGTTCCTTTCCTTCTTCAGGCACAAACACTTTTGCGAAGGTATATATCCTCTCATATATATCTTGATTGATATTTTGTTGACAAAATTATATCAAACTACCAAGCATTTTGAGATATTTATCTCATGAATCCTGTTGGTTTTCAAATGAGTTCTCTTATGGCAATCTCAATCTAGTACATACATAAAGTTTTCTTGATTGTGTGTGATTTTATGAGAATAATTTTTCATTGAATTTAAACCTTACAGCTTTACGGGTATTGCACATTAACCATTTGATGAAATGTCACAAAGAGGTTAGCTTAGAGATCTTACTTATGGGGAATCTGTGTTGATATATACAGGGGTGGAACTAGCCTCTATTTGGGGGGGGGATTCAATCATGAAAGTTTATTTTATAAACATTAATACGTTATTTGAATGCTTATTCTCTTCTAATACATAAATATATTATGATTGTTTCCCATCTCGTCATCTGTTCACTATTACAAAGCAGCTGAGTACTTCAAGAGATATATGGCCAATCGTCAGAAGCATTGAGTAGGCACTTAATAACCAATGGCATGGGAGCTTTGGTACACATGATGGGGTTGTTGCAAATAACTAGTATCCTAATTTCCTCTCTACTCCTGAGCAAGTATCAGGCAATTTTGATGTTCATAAAAGAAATCAAATGTTACCAAAACTTTGTTATCAAATTTCTATTGATACGTGGCTGAAAGGTTTGTTAGAGTAATGATGACATCAAAAACTGAAGAGATAATATGTACATAAATATTAACAGAGATTTTCCCATTCAAGTTTCATCAAGCCGCGTTATCAAAAGCTAATTTTCTTCTTAATTTGTGTCAACTCTTCTATTATTTATTAACATTTTAATATAGTTGAATTTATTATATGGTATAATACAAGATATATTAATAAATGTAAATTATCTTGTCTAACCTATTTAAGCAACATGCCAGAAATAAAAAAGCTTCAGCCAAGAATGTGATAAATTACGACTTCTATAGAGTAAGAAATTATAATTTTATTTTGTAATAAATTTAAAACATAAGGTTTATCACCGTTTTGAAAATCGGACCGGACCGGCTGGTTGAACCGGGAACCGGCCGGCTAACCGGTCGGTTAGAACCTGGAATCCGAGGTAGCATCCAAGCGGAAAAGAACCGGATGAACCGTCGGTCGAACCGGGAAACCGGAGAACCGGCCGGATTTTAAAGAACCGACCGGTTCAAAAACGAGATGTTTTGGGTGTTGAATTGAACCGTGAACGGGTGAGATTTACTTGGCAGCGAATAATCCTAATCGCAATTTCTATTTCGCTTCTTTCGGCTTTTCGTTCTCCCTCGCAGGCATTTCGAAAATTTTACTGCTCCTAGCTCTTTCTTCAGCTCCCCCACCGACTGGCGTTCGTTCTCCAAAGTCCCAGCTCTCTTCGGCGCTCCCTTCTCCAACCTAAAGCAAGGCAAAGGAAAGGATCGACAAACGATGGTCGACACACGCGGCGGTCGACAGTAAGATCCGGCCATACTCTCTCTTCGGCTCCCCCACCGACTGGCGTTCGTTCTCCAAAGTCCCAGCTCTCTTCGGCGCTCCCTTCTCCAACCTAAAGCAAGGCAAAGGAAAGGATCGACAAACGATGGTCGACACACGCGGCGGTCGACAGTAAGATCCGGCCATAATTTCTTAGTTCTTTTATTCCATTCATTTTCTAGTTTCTTAAACACAATTCCGTTTAGGGTGGAGGGCATTTTCTATTTCGCTTCTTTGGGCTTTTTGTCTTTCAGCTTTTGATATTAAAAGTTAGTTTCTTTGCATCGAATCACTAATGAGCATTTGAGTTCTTCAGGTTATGTTATTTCTTTCAATATATGTTTTCTCAACGAATGCTTAAGAACTAATATAAGGTTCTGAGCTTCAAATTGTAGCACATCTGCACTCAGGTTGCACACACTCGCAAACAATTAACAAGAGCCATTAATTATTGATTATTTTGATATGAAAATATAATGTAGAATGAAAGTATTACAGAAAAATTTATCATTTATTTTATTTTTTAAATAATATTATTATTTATTACATCATTCTGTGTGTTTTGATGTGACTAAACATCATTTTTCTCTTATGTTGTCAAAGTATCGAACTCAAATCAATAGCTAGGATGATCCATCAACTATTTGAAAATACACATAAAATCATCATTGTAGAGATATTTAAAACAATTACTTCTAGCATGTCTTGCTTGTCAATTTAGGGTTTAGGGTTTAGCTTCAAATTTTCATTTTTCTTTGTTAGTTGAGTATTTGATGTGACTAAACATCATTGTGCTCTTATCTTGTCAAAGTATCGAACTCAAATCAATAGCTAGGATGATCCATCAACTATTTGAAAATACACATAAAATCATCATTGTAGAGATATTTAAAACAATTACTTCTAGCATGTCTTGCTTGTCAATTTTTTTGAATCAAGTCCACTACAATATCACTTGATGACCTCATATGTGTAAGTGGAAATTTGGTTATATCTTTGATAGTGCACATCAACCTCATTTGGTCACCTCAAGTTGCATGTCACTTGATTTGTGATGGATTTTATCATGTCTCTCATGTTTCATTCTATTTTTCACTGCATAGGAAAGTGTTCCATCATATAATAAGTTTTACCTTAATTTACGTATCATGTGATTTTGATGAGGTTCTATGTGGCTTTTTTTAACACTATTTTATGGGTATATCATTGGCATTATGTGACTACTTTCTTATATCGATTTACATGTTGCACGACTTTGATAAGATTTTGTACAACTTTCATGTATCAATTTTGAAGTATGTTGTTATCATCTACGTTGATAAAATTTAATTTCAACAACCAATCAAGATAATCTTCATGTTATTGAGTACCACAATGCAATGAAGGTTTATTGGCTTGAATTGAATTATTATCAAGATCTCAAGTGATATGCTGCCATGATGTAGTAATTATCAAGCAATTTGTAGAAAGAGAAAGGGCGATTGAATTTCTTATAAGACTCAATAATGATTTCAATCAACTTTGCATCTTAATCTTAATAAGAGAAAATCTATCATTATTAAATGATATTTTTTTCTCTTATACAGGCTTAAGAAGGAAGAAGGACGGTAATACTCAACACTCCAATCTACAAAACATATGCTATGACAATAACAAACTCCAAGATAAGGAATTTATTGTTACAGACTCTTTCCTTAAAGAAAGGCAAAAGCTTTCTTCCAAAGATAATATAAGATGTAACTCTTGCAAAAAGAAAAAAAAAATAAACACACCAAAAAAAAAAACTCTTTCCTTAAAGAAAGGCAAAAGCTTTCTTCCAAAGATAATATAAGATGTAACTCTTGCAAAAAGAAAAAAAAAATAAACACACCAAAAAAAATATTAAAAACTCCACAAAAGCCCCGTGCTATGGTGAGAAAAAAGAATGATAGGACTTTCTTGTGGAATTAAAAGTGATCAATCTAGAAATTAATAAACTTAGGAATTTTTACAGCACTTTAAAATTAAAATTAGGATAAGAACTTAGAATATATGTTCCCTTACAGGCAAATTAATGGAATTAATAAATATTATGAACCATAGGAAGATAAATATTTAATGCATTCAGAAAACTAAATGGGTTGGAGAGAATGCTAAACAGATTGATAGTTTAGGATTTAAACTATGGTATTATGGTATAAGTCGTATTAGAAATGATGTAGGTGTGATTATAGATAAGAGTTTAAAGAATAATGTTGTAAAAATTAATAGAGTGGTGATAGAATTATAGCTTTAAAGGTTGTTGTTGATGCTAAGATTATTAATATTATAAGCGATTATGTTCCTCAAGTAGGTTTGAATGCGTGTTCAAAATTTAAATTTTGGAATAACCTAGAAGAATTAATACAAAAAATATCTCTCGAAGAAAGTTTTTATTGGAGTATATTTAAATAGACATGTTAGTAGAGAGGTAGATGATTTTATAAGTATTCATGGTGACTATGATTTTGGAGCTATCAATGAAGGTGATAAAACTATATTAGATTTTTTTTTAGCTTATGATTTCGTAAATGTTAATGCCTTATTCAAGAAAAAAGATGAGCATCTCATCACATATAAGAATGAATATAGTAAAACTCAGATTGATTATTTTCTTATAAGAAAAATAGATTGTTTAAATTGCAAAGATTGTAAAATTTTTTTCGAGTGAAAATTTATGTACTCAACATCGTTTATTAGTTTTAGACTTTAAGATGAATGAACGAAAAATATAAAATAAAGTACATCGTAGTTTTAGGATTAGATAGGGACATTTAAGGAATATTAAAAATATTTTTGAAAGCAAGATTCTATATCTTAAGATTTTGTCCGTGCATGTGGAAGCTATTGCTATGTGGAAAAAAAAGTTAGTGATATTAAGAATGTTGCAAAAGATAAACTTGGAGTATAAAATGGAAAAACTACTAATAATAAAAATAGTCGGTGGTAGAATCAAAATGTGCAATAAAAGAATAAAAGATAAAAAATAAAAAAAATTGTTATAAAAATTAGTTTAGCTGTAAAAATGCTGATAATTGACAAAGATGTAAAGAGGTCCGTAAGGAGTCTAAGAAAGTAATTTATAATGCAAAGATTTTAACTTTTGACGATTTATATAATAAATTAGATACTAAACTGGGCGAAATATATATATGTATAAGTTAGCTAAAAAAAGAGTTAGGAGTAGTAAGGATTTAGTTCAAGTGAATTGTATTAAGGATGATGATCAAAGATTGCTTTTATTAGAAGAAAATATTCTAATCAAGAGTTCAAACAATTAGAATGATCCTCATATGACCGTTAGATTGTAATTTGTGTGCTTCCTCTTCTAGTTGCTAGCCCCTCTTCAGATTTTTTTTTGTAAACAACTTTGATTTATTTTTATTATAAGATTTTTTGAGAAGTCTATATATACTCTTCGGTACTATACATAATCGATCAATAAAATTCAAAATAATTTTTCTCTATTTTATTAATTTTTTACACTTCAGTACTTGGGCATGCAAAATGGAAGTAAGAGATGTGCTAATTAACAATACAACAACAACAACAAGCCTTTATCGCACTATGTGGGTCAGCTACTTGAATTTTTTTTCACAATTGTGTTATGTTAATGGTCAAATTCTCATTTAAATCTAATAAAGAAATGTCATTTCTAATATTTTCTAGCCAAATCTTTTAGGTTTACCTCTACCTTTCTTAACATAAGTCAAATCTAATACATCTACTTTCTTAATCGGGTCATTGGAAGGATGCCGTTTTATGTGACCAAATCATCTAAGGCGACTCTATCTAATCTTATCTTCCACTGGAGCTACTCCAACCTTTTCACATATATGCTCATCTCATATCCTGTCTTTAATAGTAAAGCCACTCATCCACTTGAGTATCCTCATCTCTACAACACTTAACTTAATATTATGATTCTCTTTTAATCAACAACATTCTCTTTTAATGGACAGCATGCTGCACTAATTAGCAATAAACAGATCTAATACAAAAGGAAATGAATGAATTGGGATGGATTAGAATTATCATTATTAGAACTTGTGCAAAAGACTTGTGCCATTTGAGTTAACTTATCAAGTTGCACACTGGAATTGATGGAGGAAGCTCCGTAAAGATGACCACATATATTTAATGTTAGTCAGTTAGCTTATCATTTTCTTGGTCAAATTGCAACATGTGGTCTGTACATGTTCTATTGTTGGCGGGATTGTTTATGGCTATGTTTATATCTGGCTTTTCATGGATGAAATTATTAGAAGAAAAAATGCTGGCAACTTTCATAACAAGTGGCTTTGTTTTATTTCTGCATACCTACATGCGGATTATCAAAACCACATATCTCATGAATAATTCAAGAAAAAATGGAGTAAGATGGCATTGGCCTTTCAGATATGACAAATTTATAAGCTCCTGTAGTAAGCTTATCTATTTCCCTATCTGTATGTGCATACGAATTTCCAATATTAAAGAACTCAGATTTTTTAGGTGCAATTGGCACCATTATCACAGGTTGATTCCCCCATAGGTAATACATTGCAATGGCCGAAGCCGCCGAACTGTTTTGATTTGATTTTTATTAGGCCATTTTTTTTAAGAAATGTGGTTTTTGTAGCTATTTTCTATTCTAGCAGTTTACTTTGGTCCAAAATATTCTTCTAACAACAACAACATCAAGCCTTTATCCCACTACATGGGGTTAGCCACATGAATTTGTTTTTTCCATCGTGCTCTATTAAGAGTCAAATTCTCAATCAGATCCAATAAAAAGGTCGTTTTTAATACTTTCTAATCAAGTCTTTTTAGTCCTATCTCTACTTTTTTTAATATAGGCTAGATCTAATACATCTATTCTCCTAACTGGGTCATTGGAAGGCCTATGTTTTATGCGACAAAATGACAATCCATCTAAGACGACTCTCTCTAATCTTATCTACCATTAGAGCTACTCCACTGGTCTTAAATATTATTCTCATTGATATAATTCAAAATCATTGTAACGTTGATAATACATATTATATCGTCTCCATCTACCATTTTATTTATTGTTAATGTCGATTTAATAATATAGTAGAGTAGGCTTCTTTTTATAATGTGTTTTTTGTCACAATCTAGTGACCAAACTCCTCCATAGGGATTTAGTTATCTTGATTAATCCACTTGAAAGGATATAAGATCTTTATAGATAAGGGATTCAATTAGTTTTTTATGTGAGGAGGGGTTGCTCATTTTATCATTGCCATCATCTTGTCAGTGGAAGGGGCTTGGGGGTGGGTTCAGGAGCAAGGTGGATTGCTTATTGTTTTGTGAGTAATTTTGAAGTTTGAGGAGATTTGTAGGAAGGGTTCGGTGCTTTAAGGGCATTCATTTGATCTAAATAACAAGCTCATGCCTGAGTACCATTGGAAGAAACTGCAAACTTGGCAGAATGCTTTTGAAGATAGAATTCTCACTCCAGCCACTTCACTAAGAATCCTTTTTCCCATATCATACCAAAGTGTTACTTGCTAGCCTAACTTTCAACCAAGAAAACACATATATAGTGAAGGCTAAGCCCTTGCCCCACTGGCCTGAGAGGTAGGGGCGGAGGCAGGAATTGTTTTTAGTGGAGGCATAATTTTAAAATATCACCTTTTGATCCGGGTTTGAGATAAACCTTAGTAGTTTTTTTTTTTAATTTTAATATAAAAATAAAATATATGCTTATAAAAACATAAAATATGTTGTCGATATAGTTTGATCAAGACTTTCTGTGTTCAAATCAAGCATCATTTGCATGTGTCCAGGGATCAAGTAGATTAATATTTTATAATTAGATTTATATTTAATAATGTAAATTGATCTCTCTCTATATATCATTTATATCTATGTATAAATCTACATTATTTAATATTTTTAAATTATTTCCTTTATCCTATATAATTAAAACTTTCATTATATCTTTTCTTTTATTCAAATGAAAAGGTGATGAAATGACTTTTTAAAAACTTAAGTAGCTTTTTCTAGTTCCCATATCTTGACTTGTCAAAACAAAATAAAAATGGGCAAATGCCTCATCATTTTTAGCTTATACTTCAAGCTACCCAATTGATTTCCTCCTAGGCTCTGTGATTTTTTGACAGCAGCTCAAGTAGGAGAAAACCACCGTCTCCTTTATGGAGTTAAGACATGTGAGCTGCTCCTCATCTCCTTGCATGAATTACAGGCTACTACCAGTTTCTCTTCTCCTCCATGCGTCACTGTAGTTGGTCATAGCCCATGCCCAGCCGCCCCATCGGCCTCCTTGAGTGTAGCTTAGTTCCTCATGCAAGCCCACCAATGGCCATATCCCCAAGCTATTCTTGCAAGACAAGGTCAGCGGGGCACGGGTACCTAGTGCTGTACTGTTGCTCTGTCCATGCTAAGAGGTGCCATTAGTGCTCCCCATAGTGTGAATTTGCATGCCAACATTTGATCATGCTTTCATTTGAATGTATGAGATACAGGTTGTCCATGCCTATACTCTACCCTCCATTCGCTCTTGCCTTTCTCATGCTTTAGGTCTCTGCATCCATGCATGTTAAACAAGAATGAAGGTATTGAATAATGTTCATTTTCTATGTTTGAATTCAGAAGATGGTCGCCATCCAACGATTGCTACATCCAAAGAGGATTTCAACGGAACACCTTTGCTTGCATAAGGCAAGTTTTGTTGGATTTGTTTGCATGGAATTGGTTTAACAATTTTCTATGACATAAATGATAATTTTGCACAGGAGACGAAGTAAATCAGAAATGATAAACCAATTATTGGAAATTGAGCATGCTCATACAAGAAAAGAAGAACTTGATGATTCTGGCTATGACTCAATATCTGATGAGGTAGTTGGGAACCGTGCAAACGTTTTGCTATATTTGTACTTGCTAACATAAAGATTCAGATGTGCTATCTTTTATAGATTTTCAAAGCTTAAACAAAGTAAAATAAAAAGGATTTGTATCCCAAAAGCATTTGCACATTGAATAGTTTATCCACACCATAAACAGACAAAATATTTAAAACATGTTTAGATTAATTTCTTATTTTCTTTTTCTAACTTCTTCACAGGGCTTGAGGAGGGAGAATCTGATATGTCTAGTTGCATTTTATTCTTTCCAGTTCAACCAATGTGCCTCTATTGTGCATTGCAAGCTAACACGACTTCAGTTGAAATTTTTTTGCTCTAGAGCGTTCCAATGCTATGGCTATTTCCATTTTTTTGTGCGTAGCTCCAAGTCTTTTAATTCTAAAGAAATAAATGATGGTTATGCATCATTGATTATTTTACTTCACTGTAATTTATGGTGAGGTTATCATGTTTTGTTTCATTTGTTATTTCAATGAACCAAGTGATTGGCTGACTGCTTATGGTGTTCATATTAGTAATGTTTTCGAATGAAATGAATCCTTCATGTACATTCCATGATCTATGTGGTTCTGACTTACGAATTTATATTTACTACAGAAGTTGATATTTTCTAATAAGATGCTTTACCAATCTTCCTAAAAAAATGTCTGTAGTTGTATGAATACTGGCAATCATGTCGAGACTGGAACTTGCTAAATGATATCTTTAAAAATGTGGTTTAAATTTTATATCATTACTTTATGATGTTGCGTGGTTTAGCACTCGCCTCATTAGTTATGCATTTCCAATGGATTTCTTACTCTTATTTCTTAATGGAAATGTGTGAGATTCACCATTTATTTTGAAACTCTAGCTTATGCAATAGTTTTTTGTGAAGGCAACTCTTATATGTCATGGAATTTTAGATAATTCTTTTTCAAGTTTATTCCTAGATAACTATGGTGTTTTGTGATGAATATATTGCAGATGCTGAAATACTTTGAAAAGATTTTAAATTCTGCGTTAGAATTATAGGTATCCCAGACCATAGAAATTTGAGCCTTAGTTTGAAAAGATGAGTGAGGCACCTTTTGGCGTGGGCCTTTTGGAAGTGCATTTGTTAGAAGTCATGGAAAATATTCTACATTAGGGGATCTTTAGTTGTATTTATTATGAGTGTAAGGTTAAATGTTTGCATGAATTTGGTTTTTTCAATGGGTTGGGTGCAAAATAAAATAGATCTAAAGTAAAATGTAAATGCATGTGAAATGCCTCAGAAGCCGAGTTTTACATCACAAGGATGTTATCCTCTATTGTAACATCTTCCCAAGAAACCTTTGTGCGTGCAGTCCTTTCCGGTTGTAAGACTCTCACCCATAACTACACTTTGTTGGATTCTCTTTTTTTTGCCGTCAAGGCCATAGAATGTAAGATTTCTCCTTCCTTTTCTGCACAATGTTGGAAGTAGGATCATCTAATCGATAGAGTGGGAGAAGTAGGTGATGATGACTTTCACCCTTCTTCATGACTTATTACCTTCATAATTTTTTTTTTCTTGTAGATTGTAGGACCTTATTGATAGAAGAAAGCATAAAACATTTTACAACATTGTTTTCTCAATTTTTCTGATTGGTACTCATATCATGGTAGGTTTTTATTTTTAAATTCCTCATTTGTATATTCCTTTTGCTATTTGTTTCAATTGATTCTTAGTTTTTCTTGGACAGTTTATGGTTTAAAAAAGATTCATAGTTTTTCTTGGACAGTTTATGGTTTAAAAAATTCAATATTTTTTCAGTTATATAGTTGAAGAGAGAGTGGGGATAATAATGAAGGCATTTCTATATTATAGAACATTAGAACTTGTTTGAGAAAGATTTTCCCAAGTGAACTTGGTTGCAAAGTTATAGTTTGCAATTGCAAAAAATGTTGATTTAAATTTAACAACCACATTAAGAAGAAGCCTTTATCTGATTACGTGGGATCGGCTACATGAATCGTTTTTCTCTATTGTATCATATTAAGAGTCAAATTCTCATTTTAATCTAATAAAAAAAGGCAATTTCTAATAATGTTCTAACTAAATCTTTTTCGGTCAACCCTCTACCTTTCCTAACATAGGCCAATTCTAATACATCTACTCTCCAAACTAAGTTATCGGAAGGCCGACGTTTTATGTGTCCAAACCATCAAAGACGACTCTCTCTAATCATTTCTGCCACTAGAGCTACTCCAACCTTTTCACGTATATACTTTTTTAGCGTTCTGTTTCTAAAAGTGAAGCCACTCATCCACCCGAGCATCCTCATTTCTGCAGCACTTAACTTAATTTTATGCTTTATGTAATAGTAGTAGTCTGTTGATTTAAATTTAAGATAAATAAAATTTTGATGTTCTGCTTTATGTAGTTGTAGTAATCTATTATGGAAACATGTAATGGTAGTTTAGTGGATCGTCATTGGTTTGAATAGTTTATAGGTTATTAGTGCTTATTAAGTTGTTATTAACGTATTAGGTGTCTTCGTTTGTCATAAATGCTGCCCCTTAGGGAGAATTAGGGCATGCAAATATGAATGAAGAAATTGAGTTTTGGCCCTCTTCCATGATGCCTTACTGTAATGGGCAGTTTAGCGGATCGTCAACTGGAGTTTTAGGCAAACTCGAAGTTGCTTAGTTATCATATATCCTTATTAATTTCTGGGTTTTTGCATTTTATTGTTTTGGATCACAACAAAATCTAACCACTTCATGTTTGGCTAACATACTTTAAACTTTACATGCAACCAAACAAAGGAAAAAACTATTTCACTGTATTTACTTTAAATCAAATCAAGCAACACAATTTAAATAGACTAAACTATATTTAATTTGCTTAGTTTTCTTAAAATATATGCATTTTAAATGCATCCAACCAAAAAAACTCTCAGATTATATGTATCATAGAAGTTTGTGCCCAATATTGTGAAGATGAATGGGGCGCCTTTTATCTTGGTAATCAGTTCCATGATTCATTATGTAGATTTATGCCATACATGGAAAATCAAAGTTGCGGAAATAACATGTTAGACCGGTCCAGCTGGTCCAAGAGTTACTGGCGAAATAGCGGAAATGTCCGCCTCCTGCGCACAGGATCCACCCACCCATTTCTACAGAGCTGCTTAGGAAGGATTTTGAAGGAAGTTTAGGAAGGAAATTGAATGTAGGGACTGTTTAGAGATTTTCTTTTGAATTTTTTTGCATTAAATAGTTTGTTTTCCTAGGGTTAGGGCATCTTGAATTTGATTGAAATTTGAGATCTTCTAAATTTAGATTTTCTTTGGGCTCTAGCGGCGTCCAGAGATTTGGGAGAGATCGAACCTCCTCTCAAATTGAGGATCAACTGTATCATGCTATTTTTCATTTCTATTTCATCAAATAATGCAATTTTTCCATTTTTCTACTGTTTTCTTGGTTTTGTGCGGATTTTTGTGAAGAATTCTTTCTGTTTTCCGAAGATTGATAGGAAATACTTGAAATCTACAAGTGTTTCCTATCATAACACTGAGATGGATGAGATCATGTTATGTCCTCTTTTGAATTTGTACCATGATCAGTTATACTGACATAAATTAGCATTTCTTACCATAAGTAATATATCGAAGTTAACTTTTTTCCCTGTGAATGTTCAAAAGGAAAAGGATGCACGATCAAGATTTCCATTTACATATGCTGCTACCAAAGCTAAGCGAGGAAGCTATGATAATCTAGAAAAGGAGAAGCAGGAAGTATGTGAGTGGTCCGCTATTCTTGGTGAGGCCAATGAGTTAGCTGGTTTGCATGGGAAGACGGGTAATTCTTTCAATCCATCTGTTGTACTTGAAGAGAGAAGATCTCATAAGGGTATGTTGTAAATGAAGCTATATTTGTTAAATTGTTTCTTCAACCAATCTTTCCAGTTTAACTATTTTTGAATAAAATTAAATGATTCAGGTAGCCGACCCATACAGCGGTATAAAGCCTTCTTCTTGTTGTTGTAGTATTAAGTAACCTCCTAAATTAGTAAATGCTTTATGCATATGAAACTACTGTTGATGACCTATTTCTTTCAACCATTTGTAAATTAACTGCTATACTAAAGAACTTTATCACAGTTTTCTTATTTTTTTCTGCTGATTTTAAGCAACTTGTCTTTTCAAGTTTGTACATCCATCAGATATTTTATTTATGTGAAAAATTATGTTATTGTTGATGCTAATGAAATTTCATAAATATTTTATTTTGAATACCTATATTAAAAGGTTTGTGCAACTCATAAAGAGAAGCTATTACAATTAGGCTGAGCATTGCCCAAGGGTCTTGACCATTATCAAGTTCTGTACTTTATCATTTCATCCCCCTTTCCTTGATTTTGCTTGATTTATTTTTTATTTTTGTATTTTGTTCTCTGTAGATAGGCTGCAAGCAAACCAGCATGCTCAAGAAATAGCCTGTGTTTGGTTTATTTATATCATTTTCCTAGCTAATCAACCAGGTGTAACCATAATTTGCGAATCGCATAATATAAATGAATAAACTTAGGTTAAAAAAAAATCTCATTTACTGTTTCGATTGAAAAGAATGTAGTTTACATTATTTGCACCACCAACGAAAGGCTGCCCATTTCAATGGGGTCTATCATGGGATTGAGTTGCCCTGTGAGGATCATTATGTAAGTCACCTAACAATCCAATCATTGTTGTGGTGTGTTGGTTCTCGGCAGACCTTGAAGTCCTCTATTGTGTGGATCCAACTGATGGTATCTGCAAGGATAGACAATGCTTCACGTTTGTTTTCTTCTTCTGGATCACTGACGCAGAAGTGCGTGCCAGTGGCCTATGCAACCGAGGGGGAAAATTTTAGATTAAGGATTTAGATTTTCTTATGAAATGAGTTGAGTAAACAAAGAGTAATTTCATATCTCATATCAAAATAGTGAGGAGGAAGCAGCTTGTAAATTCAAGTCTTCTTTACATGTTGGGGTTAATGGCAATGGTGATTAGATCAGCTGAATTGGACTGTGCAGAAGATGCCCAACTGTTGTAAACAAAGAAAGAAAGGAAAACTGGTGGTCTTGCTTGCTTTCCTGAAAGAACAAAAAATGGAAGAGGAATCAGATCAGTCTTCGGAGGAGGATAGAAAGGTTTGGGAGGCTGGGAATCAAGTTCTATAATACCCAAAATTAAATTATAGATTGCAACATGATGTTTATTTAGAAAGATCCAAGAAGCTTCTAGAAATTCATTCAAATTCAAAGAAATAGGAACAAACTCTTAAAAGTTAAAAGTAGTTCACAATTTGTAGATTCTCTCTTTAAAAGTGGTCTAATGATCACTCTTTTATTATGAACGATAATTTTATTTTGGGTTATTAAGTTTCAATTGCTCTCTATAATTTCTTAAAGTAACTCCATCGCATGTACGTTTCACATCATGTTTATTTAGAAAGATCCAAGAAGCTTCTAGAAATTCATTCAAATTCAAAGAAATAGGAACAAACACTTAAAAGTTAAAAGTAGTTCACAATTTGTAGATTCTCTCTTTAAAAGTGGTCGGCACTTAAGAAATGGAGAAAAATTGGTTGAGTGAACTTTGGGGATTTCCTTGATTCTCTCCTTATGCAATTCTTTTAATTCTCCTTGGTTGCTCCCTCTTTTTTTTGAAATTTTAAATTTTAGTTTTGCAATTTAAGTCCCTACTCATAATATAAATAAATTTCAAAATTTTTGTGAGTCTTTTGGATCATTTACTCGGCCCATAGTTTTGAAGTCTTGCATTTGGAAAATCATAGCTTTCATTAGAGACTCATTGTGTGCAAAATCTAATAGGTTTTTCTCTTTTGCAATGAGCTTAGCCGCTGGATTGTAGGGCATGTTGGTTCTCCTCCCTTGAGTTAAGAGTTCGTTCTACTAGTATTATGGACAATTAAACTACTTCCATGCTCTTTAACATTATGACATTTAAGTTGATTTTAACCTACCAAAGCTGATGTGGGAGTCCAATATACTAATATATGCCCCCATGCTATCTCCCCGGAGGGATAGATTAGTGTAGTAAAGGTTCTACTCTTATTAGAAGAGATTTCCACGGTAGGAGCTATTGAGCGTTGAACAACATTGTTTTGTAAACTAGATTTATTCTCCATGATCATTGAGTGGTGTGGTGGTATCCCCTACTGTTCATAACAAGAAAGCCAGGAGAGTTCAATTGTGGTAGGTATACTAGGAGGCCAGTCTTCTCGTGTTTTTCCCACTGTGTTGGCTGATTTCCTGCTGTGGACAGCAGTTTGTTGTGAGATCTTTGGCTAAAGTGATTAGGAAATACTTGGAATCAAGTATTTCCTATCAGTATACTAGGAGGCCAGTCATTCGTGTATCAAGCATATGAAGCATCTAATTAAAACAATTAGATTGTTGCACTGTTGGGATAGTGGAACAAAGTTTCTTAACGCAAGGTTGATTGAATTGGCAAGAGAACAAACTTCGCTCAAGGGATCCTAACTATTGCAGATCTTGACATCGCATTTCAACATGGATTCCCCTTGTGTTGGTCATTTGGCAAAAGGATAAAGCGTCCATATAATTTACTAGAGAAAACTTTGCAGTCTCAGTGCCTTATCCGAGCTTATAGATTTATTTGAATTTTTGAGGTGTTTTTGGAAGTTGGAAGTGACTAGTAATGATCAAAGACCTTCTTTGCGACCTAGGAAGACGCTAATATTGATCTAAGAAACACAAAAAATATAACATCAAATACACGTATTGAGTGGAGGCATCCATGTCTATGAAAAGAAAGGTCATCACTAACCTGACTCAATTTTGTCGCCCATCTTTAAGGAGTTTTCATTCTTTGTTGTTGGACATTTTGGTCAAAATAAATCAAGTGTCTAATCATGATGCATGTCTTGATCGAGATATTGGGCTAAGCAAGAATATAATTTGATCCACACTACATAGATTTAACCAGCACATATTCCCAACTAAATAATTCAACTAGTGCAAAAATCAACCAATCATGCACCATCAATGGCAAGGATTCCTGGTTTTATGTAATGCACAAAATGAAGTAACGAACTTAATTATACTAGCATCAATATGATCTTAATGAAATTCTATGCTGATTGGAAAGCATGAGGCCTAGTACTAAATAGCATGATCAGCTTGATTAACATAACTTCAAATTTCTATTTCTATAAAAAATGGCGAATTAGTGCCCCTACGACAAAAATGGTTTGTTTTTTCTTAAGTGTGTATCAATCAAGTGAAGGTGTATTTCTTGGTCCAAAATCATTTATGTTTGGAGGTTTTATAAATGTCAAGTATAAATATGAAGCATTCATGATTGTGCAAATATGGCTAAAAAACAACTTGAAAAGTGGAAGCTCAAGTATGAGAAGGGTGGATGTTCTTTAAAAAGTCAAGGTAATATCTCACATTCAACATTTCTCTTTCTTACCCCATTGAATTTTTATGTATGCTATGCCATATTAGATAGATCTATGGTAGCAGACACACCTCTAGGCTTAGAAGAGAGATGCAGCTTTCTATGCACTGCTTATTAAACAAGGTAGAGTGTTCATATCAAAGGAAGAAGACAGTGAGCGAAGAGCATCAACTGTCTCTTAACACAAGACAAGACTTTATGATAGAGGACTAATAATTATTTATGTGTCTGCTCCTACAATCATTTTGATGGCATGATCACCTTTTTAAAAGAAAGAAGAAAATGTGGGGATGACAAGGATGATAACAAAGGTGTAATGCGACAGAATCGAGATCACTTAATAGGCTGCGGCAGAAATAGTTGCAGTTTGACAAAAATAAGTTTCCTTTATAGAATGTGCCATCTCATTGAGCAGATTGAGTGAAAATATTAGACTCAATTGCCATGCTAGTATTGTAAATGATACAATGAGTAGCGGATGGACTATGGACGGCCTGTAGTGTACATAGGGCAACCCTTAGCAGATATGATTTTTTCCTCTTTCTATATTAGAGGGCAACTTTTTCAAAACCCTTGTGACCACGTCTAAGCATCGTTTCATATCATATCAAAAAAGCAGTAGTTTGGCAGCCTCTTCAGCAGAACAAATGACATCGACACCTAAATCAGTTGGTTGGATATTGCTTAGAAAGCATATTTATTTGCTTGTCATTGATATATTGATAAATAGTTCTTATGTATTGGGTTGTAGGAATTTTAGGTGATACCTTAAGTGCTCTGATCTTTTTTAAGAGTTTTATCAAGTTTATTCACTCCTTTTGAAGCATCTGCCAACTGCCTGATTCTGAGTAGAAGAGTTCACTTTTGAGGTGGGCACTTGATTGTTCTTCTTAAATGGAGATTACAGGGCTGGAAATCTTACCTTTTAGATGAATATTACTTTGATGGCATCGTGTTCTTTCTAACCGCTCTTGAATTATGAGTTGATTAATCTCATAGGAATTCGATTGCTCGCTGCATCTCAATCAATTTTGCCTGGTTGGGTGCTTTATGATGTCTTCTCCAAAACTAACTTGAAATGCATTTGGAGCATATTTTTTTTTCTAAGCTACCATTTGTATTAATCTATTTCAGTTATTTTCTCTCAGGTGGAAGGGGAAATTCTAGGTTCAAATTTTCCTTCCGATCCTTGTCCAATAAGGAAGATTTTTCAGGGGATCACTCCTTGTCAAGAGATGAAACCTACAACTCTTGTGAGGAAGATATTGAAGGACCAGCAAAGTGGGATTATTTTGAGCATGGAGCTGAAGAAGATACAGTGCCACAGCTTATGGAAAATATTCTGGAAGAGAGTGTTGATCAGGCTAACAAGCCAGAATTTCACAAGCAGCTAGCTGGAGCTCCTTCAGTGTCTGAGCTGCTGGAAGATCTGCAAAAAACGGATCCATCCTTGAGAAGAACTCTGGTAGGACTTTTATAAACTGTTTATGTTTTTCTTGAATGTCTTTTGAATAAATAGAGTCCAACTTTTGAATGAAATGAAATATCTATAAATATGTCCGTAATTGAACTCCAGCAAGGTTATTGCATGAAATAATAAAATTTACATGATTTATTTTCAGGTCATATAAGTTTGGTGTAGTTTCCTTTAGTTTAATTTTAGGATGGGCATGATTGAGGGTCTGGAAGGGGAGAGATTATTCTGTGCGGTGTCCGATTGCGTCCGGAGGCTAATTCGGATGCGCCACGTCATCCAATGCCATGTGTATTGGGTGATGTGGCGCATCCGGATTGGCCTCCGGACGCGTCCAGATACCGCACGTAATAATTTTTCGTGGAAGGGACAAGTGGTTTAGCTTGGTTGAGGGATCGGGTGGAATGCATTGTGAGAAGTTGCATACATTCCATCGAAACAATCACAAAACATATATTAAACTGCAAATAACACATGATATGGAAATACTAATGAGGAATTTTGGACATAAGCAATGCTATGAATATTATAAGAAGATTTGAGGACTTGGTGATTTTATTGTTGCACTGGATTCTTTTGTCATTTTTTTTGTGAGTATGGATCAAAAAGGTAAGTTGTTTGACACTAGCAGTTAAACTTATTTTCAACCCAAAAAATTAAGTTTGTAAGGGAGGGTAAATTATTTAGTCTTTATATGCTAGCATATGCTTTATTATCTGATGACTGTCTAAACTCACTACTCTAATGCGCCTCAACAAATTTTCCCTTTACGCAAGAGCTCTCTTCATTAACCATTAATTCCCCTTGAACGAAAGCATTTTAATATCATGAGTGTCATGCACCAAAAGTTCACTCAACTAAGTGGATCTACAACGGGTCACTATTCTTGAAATAGTTCAATTGTGGTTAAAAGCCACCTATATTTATGCGAGCCAAAAATTATATGAACCACTCAATCTCAACCAGCCATCAATTTTATACCACTTATTAGAGAATGTAGACCAAAGGGGTGCCAAAGTTTAACTTGAGACATAAGTGATTAAAACCCTTTCAAATCAAAAGCTCAAGCCCATGGGTAAGGACCACACATGGTATTTCTACACGTATATGACTTTAAAATTAATATCGTCGGCTTTAACCAACCTTAGTGTAAGTTTCTCTTTATTAATATCACAGATTCATCTTTTTTAAATGAATCTTTTTACAGCCAGTGGATAATAGTAAAGGAAAGACAAGGCGGACAAGTTCTTTCAAGAGAACATTAATGTGTTTAGGTAACAGAGTTCTTGACAATAAAGATGCTTCTGAGTCTATGGGTGACATTTCAAGTGATGATGAGGTGTTTTTCTTAACCCTTTTAGTTGCAAGAGTTTACCATCTTCATTATCATTTGAGGCTTTACTGCTGAAATAATGTGTTTTTTCTTCTCAGCATATTGATCAAGACTATCAAGCATTTCAAATCAAGGGACAGACAATGGCAGATTTGTTTCAGGAAGCTTTTAATACATCTGTAGAGGAAGGAACTGGAATTCCTAGAAGCAATAAGTTAGGCCTTGTGCCCATTTTCAAGCGTTTTATGAATATGAACCTTTTGTTTAAGATGATGTGTGGATATCCTTCTTTGAAACTCTTAAATTACCTGTTTTACAGATTTGGACTTCATGGAAGATTGCAACATGTAATGCAGCTTGGAAACAATAGGTACATGGAATATTTAAAAGAGTTGCAAACAGGAAGGACTCCTTCAAGTAAGCAAACTTTTCCATTTCTTGATTGTAATAAAAGTTGCTTGATTGCTATAAACATTAATGCAACTAATTATACAACTTGATCATACATTTAATTATGCATTTTTAATGTTTTTTTTAGAAAATATAATAATTATGTGCATTTTTCATCTCCAGATGAATCAAACCACATAATTGTAAGGATCTTGTCAAGAACTTTCGAGGCAAAGCTAACAGTTTGCCAATGTTTCTTTGGTGAAAACAGTAAAGTTTGTAATCTGACCCATGTAGATTTTTTTTTTCCAAGAAATCTATCATTTCATCATTTGAATAATGAAACCTTGTGATGATTGGTCTTGGAAGTAGAATGATGAACTTGTTTTGATTTTTCCTTGCATTATTTCATTGTCACTACTCTGATTGCTCGAAGGTTATTTTTTCAGAATTTTCAGTGTGAAAAAGGTTTTCATGAAAGTTTTGAAAATGGAGGATCCGGGACGAAAACAATTATCTTTAGCCCAACGTTCTGCAGCAACGTGGAGCTTGAAGTAGGAAGCATTGTGTGTATTCACCAACCATGGTATGCTTGCTTGAGTCTAATATATATATATATTTTTTCAAATGTCTTCTTCTTTATTTATAGTTCATTTAATTTGTTTAGACTTGATGAGGAGAATGCGTGGTTGGTTCTCTAAGAATCAGGTTGATTTATTGCAAATGATAAAACGCATTTCATATAATAATGAAATCTATTAGAATCTACCACTTGGTTGCACCTCCAAAACTTCTCAAATATGAAACTCCATATTTTTCATATAATAAAACATTAATGTCAAAGATTTATTAAGTAAAAGTGGTAGACTTATGATAATATGGATATTTGTTGTTTAAATATGTTTGTAAAGAATAGGTTTAACATTTCATAAAAATAATTGTTTTATAATTGAGATGCATGCTGTAGACTCGATAAGCGCACAATATCCTCAAGAAGCATACAATAGCCTCGTTAAGCATGCTAATGCATCAAGTAGTGTGCCACGATATCAAAAAGTGTGCAATAATATTGAAGGGGTGGAATGCAACAAAAAGCGTATAAATAAATTGAAAGCGTACTAGCACCTTATACAAGTGTATCTAAATATGTACAAGTGTATCACGTGAGCACGCCAAAAGCATGCAAGTAAGTCGAAAGTGTGCGAGTACGCTATGCAAATGCACTGGAAGACCTGCAAATGTATTGCATGAGCGCACCAAAAATCATGCTAATATATTGAAAGCATGTGTATGCACTATGCAAGTGCATCGAAATGCATGCAAGCCATTTAAAAATAAATTTAAATTACCTGCACGTGCTTCAACAAATGTGCTAATAATGTAAACACACAAAATTGAGAATGCTGCACAAGATTAAAAGTGAACTAAATGAAATATTTTTTTTCAAAGTAAAAACATACGCATGTGTTCTAACTGATGCATTGAACCCCTAAACTTAAGGCCGACAATACTGCATAGGTTAAAATAAGAAATTAAATATCAAGTTCAATCTACGTTGAAAGGATTAGAGTCGACAAGTCTTAAATTAATGAATGAATATACAACTATAAAATTTGTGAAGATATTGGTCTTGCATTAGACCTTCAAAGCCCTCTTTAAAGAAAATTCATCATAAAAATGTCAGCTTTTGGTTTCAAAATTTATATAACAATTCACGAGATCAGTAGTTGAACTCATTTCTCTATTAGCATGTGAACATATTTAATAAGGTTCAAATAACAAAAATATGAATTACATCAATCTTTGATGATGGTTGTATTGCAAGTGAATCTCAACCTGATGGAACTTTACAAACCCCAGTTCAGTATAAATATACTTAAAAATGATGGCTGCGTTGATAGTTCTCTATCGGAGGGGTCCATTCTCAAAATCTATCAAAATTTCAAAATTTAACATCTATTAAAATTCATATATTTGAAGTGAAATTAATAACCTTTAACTTAAATAAAAATTTATCTACACTCCACAATCATCCACAATCATTTAACAAGGATCATGAATTCAAGAATAGCTTTACCTCACAAAGAGCAAATGTCAAATCGAGAATATCACTAAAATTTATTTTCAAACAACCTCGTTAGTAAGGTCATGACATTTATTTCCTACTGCTGGTTTGGCCCAAATGGCGCCACGTGTAAATCGTTAAATCAAGGCCCATCATTTGGATGATTTTATCGCAGATAGACATCGTTGTATTACAGTCACAACCATAGCATGTATGTTCCTTAAGAGTTAACACACTAGGGTAATGAATCGTAAGGCATACTTAATAGGGAAAAAAATACTTAGCTAAGGTCAACTTAAATTTGTTCTTTAGACAAACAGACACCCCAGATTTATATGATACTCGTGGACGAAACAACCTATGATTGTCGATAGGGATCTTTTGATTAGGTTAGGCTGACTACCTCCTTCGGATAGGTATATTAACGGCTGCAAACTAACCGAGCTGAGCCAAGTATGTGTGTGTTCATGTTTGAGTTCATTTATTATCAGCTTGTTCAAATTTGGTTCAAGTTTGCTTCGAACTTTTTTTATTTGTGTTCAAGCTTGGTTCATTTAAATTAATGGGTGTTCATGTTTGATTTGTTTCATACTTATCGAGCGAGCTTTAAATAAACGAGTCTTATCGAGCTATAAACGAGCTTTACTTCTAGATGTCATTAAGTCAACAAACGAGCCTTATTGTGCATTCTAACAAATAATTACATTGAGAATGTTCGCGAACATATCTAACAAAATTTTTTAAACTATCAAACAAGCTCGTTCACGAACATATCTAACGAGAATTCTTGAGCTACCAAATGAGCCCGTTTATGAACATATTTAATTAGTGTTTTCGAGTTACCAAATGAGCTCATTCACGAACAAATGATCTATGATTCATCTTATATTTGTTTATGAACATTTTAAACAAATAAACTAACAAACATTAACAAATGTTTCTTGTTCATGAACAAATTCATTCTATTGAAGGTATAAAATAAAATAAAAGTAATTTTAATAAAATAATAATAACAAGAAAAAGGATTTATGTAGCCGACCCCACGTAGTGGGATAAAGGCTTGATGTTGTTGTTGTAATAATAACTTATTATAACAAAATTAATTCTAAAGAACATAGCATAATGCTTAAATGTATTTCTTGAAACTGGAAAGATAGCACTGAATTTGATTTTCACAAAAGAGATGCATGAATATGTATCCAAATATGTAAAATCAATGAATTATTTTGTATGGGTTTGATGCTGATGTAAAAGAAAAAAAGCAAGCAATCAAAATTTACTAGCAGTTGTATCAAACACGACTTGAGCTTTTATCGAGATTCTTATTGAGCTTAATGTCGAGCTTGTTCGCGATGTAAATGATGTTGTTCGTGGACATAAATGACTCGAACACATTATTGTTCAATCTTGTTTATTTAAGGATCGAGTATTTTTAAAAATGTTCAATTTATTTGTTTAGTTAGTTAAACGATCACAAACGAGCTCTGATTGAACCGAGCAACGAGTAACTCTCGTCAAATGCTTGGTTCTTTTGCACCCTGGGTATATTAGGAATCATAACTTAGGATGACGGAACTATGAGATCTTGATTGGGTTCGTCATCATTATCCTCATCATCACTTTAAGTGCAAGGTGATGAATTTCAAATCATAAATATTAAAATTGTTGTTATTATATGTCATATATTAAGTACCTATTTAATAACTAGCCTTAATTAAAAGTGTTCTCTTATCCTTGGAAGTGGTAATTAGCCACAAGGGCTTATGCCTATGAAAAACCTAAACTTAGTTCTTAAAGTCCTTATAAATGAGGGTGAAATATCTAGGTAGCGTCTCTTATTTAATCTAATCTATCTTCCAAAGTTTTGACCCATAACAACAAAAACAACACCAAGCTTTTAAAACATTACGTGGGGTCGGCTACATACATCATTTTTTTCTATTATGTCATATTAAGAGTCAAATTCTCAATTAAATCTAATAAAAATATCATTTTTAATATTTTTTAACTAAGTCTTTTTTATGTCTACCTTTATCTTTCTTAAAGTAGGCTAGTTGTAATACATCTACTCTCCTAACAAGACCATTCAAAGGTTGATGACCAAACCATATCTCCAATCTTATCTGTCACTAGAACTATTCCATCCTTTTCTCGTATATATTTGTTTCACATTCTATCTCTAAGTGAAAAGCCTTTCATCCGTCTGATCATCCTTATCTCTACAACACTTAATTTTTTGCTTATCTTTTCATGGCTAACATTCTACACCATAAAACATTGCAGATCTCACCACCATCTTATAAAATCATTCTTAAGTTTGAGGGGTACTTTTCTATCACACAACAGGGCTTATGCATTCCTCCAAAAAAATTAACCCATAACATAATTTGTTAAAACTCTCCTCAAATATGCAGAGAGGTCAAGGTGCAAAATTTTTAGATCCCCCCACATTTATCAATGCTCATCATTAATGTTATCCATTAATGTCCTATTGATACCTATGTTTAAGGATTTTATTTGCACCTTTTTCTTATGTGGAACTCATTGTTGACTCGTTGCATCCGATTTGCACTACTCTTTCTTGGATTCTTTATACTTTATTTGTGAGATACTCACTATCTCTAAATAACAAAATCTTTGAGTGCTTTGGTCGCAATTATTTTACACTAAAATTGACATCTTATGTGCCATCTTAAGTTTGTGAGGGTGTATCACTATATCTAAATTGTCTCATGTTCTAAATTATTTGTAGTAGGAATTTTTACTATGTACTGTAGGAATTTTTTCTTATTATTGAAGATATTAATCCTTTATTATATATTCTTATTATTTTCTTCTCTTGTTTATATATATAAGTGCCTATATGTATATAAGCACATATATGATTGAGCTAGAAAGATAATAAAAATATAGGACTTCCCAATTCTTTTCATTCAAACACCATCAAATGCTAAGTTATCCATTTTACATTTTGTCTTCTTATGAAGAATCAGATAATTTTTTTTGGTTGAAGAACAGTACATTTGTTTGTTGATTAAAACCATATCAAGCTGAAATTGAATTAAATAAGTTCAAGAAATTGTTTGCACTATTGAAAATGAATTGATTCATGCTTTGCTTTTCTTCTGTCCTTATGAACAGGAAAGAATTTCAAATAAATGGAGGGGAGACTATCATTCTGTCTGCATATTTCTCATCATGCTTATGAAGGTTTAGATGTTCTGATAAACGCAGAGAGTCAAATGAAGTGTTTTTACTATTTTCATACAGAACAAATTTGGGAAAGTGCAATGGAGTATTACTGTCATTTGCGTCCGTCGTTTGCTCCAGCTTAGCACCAAAAAAAATGCCATTCGAGCGAGGGTGAACAGTGCAATGCCAATAAAGTATGAGAAAGAATATACATAGATTTTTGTTTGTTAGAAAATGGAGTTCAATTGAAGACGAGTTGCTGCATTTTGAAGTATTACTACATTTTGGAGAAAAATTTGAGTTTTTCGGTTGGAGATGGCCTAAGCCAATCATTACAGCATTTGAGTCAATTGTATAATTGAAATGAATTGATTATGAAGACTCTAACCTTGTTATCTATATTCCAATTCAAGAATGCCTTATTAATTACCCTTGTTTAGTACATTAATTGGAGGCAGGGACTGAACGGAAAAAAAAAAAAAAAAAAAAAAAAAAAAAAAAACTGATTCATGATCATGAATCCTAATCAGATTTAAACTTCGCTTGGGATGGCTTTCTTACTGTTTCTTAAAGCAATAAAAAAATTGACTCAAACGAAACTTTAGATTTTGTTTGACATGACTTTTTTAATGTTTCTTAAAGCAGCTTTTTAATATAAAAATTAAAATTTTATACTAAATAGCTGCCTTAAGTAGTAAGAAAAATGTCTCAAACAAAACTTTAGTTTTCGAGAGATGAATATACTTATCAAATCAACATGAGCTGCATCAATTACATGACTATTCTTTGTGAGATCATAGAAATGTCTCTTCAATTACAAAAATAACATCAAAACTTTATCCTACTACCTACTACGTGAGCTATAAAAATGCCTCTCCGATTTAAAAATTTCTATTCATTTGATTCTGTAGCATTCAAAACTATAAACTATGATAGATATGAAGTCAAAATTTTCTTCATATAATTTGATATTTAGGTATTAAAAAACAAAACAATTAAACCTTAATACAGTAAATATATTATAAGCACATAACCAACAGAACAACTAGGGGTGTCAATTTGGGTCAGCGGGTCGGGTTCGGGTCGAACCCGGAATTGACCCGGCACTGTTCGGGTCAACTCGAATCCGACCCGTTTTTAAAAACGGATCAGGTTTCTGGACCCGAACCCGATTCGGGTCCAGGTCAACCCGACCCGACACGAATGACCCGAAGTTGACCTAAAATTGCTAATTTTTGGGTCAAAATCAAGTCAATATTCGATTTTCGGGTCAAAATTGGGTCAAAAACGGGTCAATCTCGGATTTTCGGGTCAAATATGAATTTTCGTGTCACTTTCGGGTTAATTTTGGGTTGCTGGGTCAACCCGAACCCGACCCGATTTTTAAAACAGGTTGATTTGTTCAACCCCAACCTGAATTTTTCCAGGTCGGGTTCGGGTCGTGTTTCGGATCGTGTCAAAAATTGACACCCCTAAGAACAACGTGTACCAATCCCAAATCTTCCCTTCTCTCTGGTTTGACATCCCTTCTCATGTATATTTAGATCTGAGTGTGATGGATTATATAAGAGTATAAAGATTGATGATGATAGATTATATAATTATAGAGATTAAATGATAATTAAGAAATTTGAAGGAATTAATAAATTTTATTTTCATATTTTAATTATAACTATTTTTATAAAAAAGTTATCATAACACTGATAAGTAATTGAATGATACACCTAATATTATAATCTAAGTAAAATAAGCTAATCTTAATTAATAAAAACTAGTGCAAATAAGTTATTTAGTTAACAAAAAAAAGCTTTCTACCATAAAAGAATGAAAAAGGACCGTTGGCACACATACAGAGCATAAATGGACAGCCTGAAGTTTGAATAAACACAAATGAAAAACATAAATGCGAATAAGACATGGTTTGCACAATCCCTTCAAGTATAAACTTCTTTTCCTGAAGTGACTTACAATATGGAAGTCAGTTCAGAAACTTTGCCTGATTCTCCTAAGTTTTTTTTTTACCCTTATTAGCAGTGTGAGATGAAACTTAGCAGCAGCTGAAGTAGGGATAAAGGATCAAAGCACTGGGTTTGGGAAGAAAGCTGAAGAGAATTGGATAGACATTACATGTTAACAACTTTGAGCTTCTTGGCCTTAGCAAACTCATCCCATCCAATAGATTTACGATCGGCGCCATCATAAACAACATGAGAGGGGAGTTTCTTGCCAAATGAAACAAAGGTTCCGCCGTCAACCACCGCCTTGCCGACCGCCGTAGCCTGGTAGCCTTCACCTAAATTTATACCAGCTGTAGGAGTAAGTTCATTCACCAACCTTTTCATATACCTGGAGGAAGTAGAAGAAATGAGTCTCAGATGATACAATCATAATATATTCTTCAATATAATAACAAGAAAGTTATATAATTCTCTTTATTGTTTTTTATAAGAGTGCACGTTTTAGATATCTTGGGTCTATTGTTTAGAGTGATGGTGAAATAGATGGGGATATTATTAGTAGAATTCAAGTTTGATGATTAAAGTGGAGGAATGCATCGGGCTTGTTGTATGATAGAAAAGTCCCCCCAGAGGGAAAATTCGATGATGGTGGTTAGACCTACAATGCTTTATGGTGCAGAATATTGGCCATTAAAAGAGAAGCATATTATTAAGTTAAGCGTTGCAGAGATGAGGATGCTCAGGTAGATGAGTGTCATTGCTCTTAGAGATAGGATATGAAATGAGCATATATGTGAAAAGGTTGGAGTAGCTCCAATGAATGATAAGATTAGAAAGAGTCGTCTTAGATGGTTTGGTCACATAAAACAGCGATCTTCCGATGGAGAGATTATTGTGTCCGGACACCAAACGTGTCCAGAGACCAATAAAAAAAACATCACATCACTAAGCGCTCGGTACCGACAATGGTACCACTCGGTACCGCTCGGTACGCTATCCGAACACAATAAATTTTTCTTCCGATGACCAAGTTAGGAAAGTAGATATATTAGATTTGACTTGTGTTAAGAAGGGTAGAGGTAGACCTAAAAAGACTTAGTTGAAAAATACTAGAAATGACATTTCTTTATTAGATTTAAATGAGAATTTAACTTTTAACAAGGCACAATGGAGAAAAAGGATTCATGTAGCCGACCCCACGTAGTGGGATAAAGGCTTGATGTTGTTGTTGTTGTTGTTGTTGTTGTTGTAACAATACATAAGATTTTACATATTGATGTAAAAGACAAACTGTTTTAAGGTTTTATATAGAGGGATTTGAGCAAACCATTATAGATTCTATACTTCAATTTTTTTTTTAAACTTAATACCTTGATGGGACAAAAAATAATTATTTGTTTATTTTCATTGGTTAGTTTAATCTATATTACCCTTTCTCTTACATAATCATAGTTCTAGAGATCACTAAGGCAACGCAGGATTTTTTCTGCTCTACTTTTAAGAAAGTAACAACTCCAAGATCTATATTTGTACCATTATCACACTTTCTCAATAATAAAATGATTTGTCCCATCGAGGACTACTATAGTACCCTATGGTAAAAGTGGGATAATTTAATTTAGTACAAACCTTATAAAATTGATCCAAAAGTTTGACACCAAAACAATGAGTCCTTGGTTGCCAAATTTCTCTCTGATCTTCATCCATATCTTCTTGGGGTGACTAAGTTCTCTCTCTTTGTGCTGATTTCTAACTAAAATACTCTTGCTATGGTCATGAAGGCTAGACTGAGAGGGGTGTGGATGTGGGGGGAAGCCCTTCTCTGCATGCTCTCACCTCAAGTGTACAAATCATCCTTCAGAGCAATATTAGTTCAAATTTGGATATCCTTCTACTGCCTCATATGCATTTAGATCTTACATGCATGTTCTCCCACCACCATCATCCTAAACTCCAAGATCTATCACAGTTTCTTAGAAAGATTTTGATTGCTTCGTTCAACATACACATACATATATGTTTTCCTGTCATATTATTTCCTCCTTCAGTTTTGTTACAATTGCCTTATGCACTTAGCTAGATTTTGATTTTTTTTCACACATGATAGATAACAAACATTTATTCTCTCTTGACCTTTATTTTCTAACACATCCTTGGTGTTGATGGTACTCCTTTGCCTATCTTTTGCAAAGGCTTTGTCTCTCTTCTATAAAACTTATCCCTCTCAAATTTATTATATGTGCCGAAGTCTCCAATCAATTCACCATTCATGAACTACAAGAGTATCAAATAATTGCTTTATGGCCTTTCATTCTTCTCACAATACTTGTTGAGAACTTAGTATGAGAAAGATTATTTGTGGAGACTTTGAAGCTGGAAGAATTTACTACTCGACAAACACAATTCCCTCTACTTTCTAATCAAACATTACTTAATATAAGCGGCGCTACTACAACTTTGATCAACTTCGATACCATTCCATCCTTTTGATCTAAGTTTGAATGTAATGCTCATGAACTTAGTAAATTTCATCAAATGTCTTTTCTTTCAACTAGGTAAAGTCATAAGAGTGCTCCATTTGAGTTGGTTCATTCTAATATTTTAGGCCCTAGCCTTATTCTTACAAATTTATATCAAGTATTTTATTAGTTTCATTGGTGATCATTCTCATGTTACTTAGGTATACTTGATGATAAGCGGCTCTCAAATTTTGTTTGTCTTTTGCACTTTTATCAATAAATAAAAGTTCAATTTTCTCCTCCGATTAAAATTCTTAGTACTTATAATGCTCTTGAACACATGCATTCTCAATTATGATCATTTTATATTGACAATGAAATCATTAAACGAATTCCACATCCTCATATGCCTTAACAAAAAAGGCTTGTTAAATGCAAGCATCATCATCTGCTTGATGTTGCTTGTACCCTATGATGCACCGACACGACACTTAGAGAGGGTATGCAGTGTCGGACACGGACACGCGTCGGACACGGCATGGACACGTGTCCGACACGGCATTGGAGTGTCTTTTAAAAATTATTATATATTATATTAAAAAATATTATGTCGTGTCCATGCCGTACCCGTGTCCTATATTTTTAAAAATTGCCGTGTCCCGTGTCGGTGTCGTGTCGTGTCCGTGTCGCCGTGTCCGTGTCGGTGCATCATAGCTTGTACCCTAATGTTTCATATGAATGTCCCTTATCATTTCGAAGTGATGCAATTAAACTACATGTTATCTTATTAATCATCTATGTTTACAATTATTGGAGATGTTTTCCCCTTTTTCATTCTCTAGTTAAGGGAATCTCCCTTTTTTATCTCCAACTAGACATCTTGGTTGTATTTTTTCTGCATTTGTCTCGTCAATCCATCCATAGTATATTTTTAGGTTACTCCCATTCTTAGAAAGCCTATTGCTATTATGACTAGTTCACTAAAAGCATTTATACTTCTACAGATGTGAACTTTATGTGTCCTCATCATATTATTTTTCCCCTTATTCATTCAAGCTGTTCCCCTCACATATTCCACTCGTTTGGTTGCCTTATACATGCTGCGCAATACCAATTAGAAAGGTAAATGATTGTGTTGATCACCCTATCCAGTCATATATACCCCTCGAACATCTTTTCCTTGTTTTTTTTTTTTTTTTCTTATCATTGCCATCGGTTTCTAATACCATAACAGCATGGATACTGAAAATCAGAAGAGATGTCTTCAACACATTTATAACAAAGGTTAAATAATTTTCATTATTGTTTTTTACTCAGAAGCACTTAGATAAAAATTAAATTAAGATATTCGAGAAGATATACATATTGATGAAGAGGACAAAGCTGTTTCAATGATTTACAAAGAGAGAGGGACTTAAGCAAACAATTACAGATTCTACAATTCCATTTCTTTTAACCTTTTTTTTTTAAACCAACCAGAATCTTCTTACCACAGAAAAGTCAAGCCAGATCATTAGAACTACAGGAAGTCAAATGCCAAGAAAATATTCCAATTAGACCAATCATAGCAATGACTTTTCCGTTATACAGCAAAATAGTTAGAGGAGTTGCTCTAATGGTACTGGCTTGCCAGTCAAGTTACATGAAAGGAGCATCTTATGTGCTGCAAAGTCTAATATATTTGTTGCTAGTCACAACGTACAGAGGACTCCTTCAAATTGATCCCAAGTTATATAAGTTCCATTTCGAGCGACAAAGAGTTTACACGAGATGCATGAAATTTCACCAACAATTATTAGTCGCAATGACGAGTCAGAGATGCCAAAAGCGTATTTTGAAGCAAAGTGGCATAAACGGTTATCATTATCATCATCATCGTAACCTCAAGAATATGAGGGATATTTGAAATCCTTCGTAATCAAACATCACTAAAGCTTAATAATACCAACTATTTTTTTTGGCCAAGGATATTTTGCTTTCTTCTTGGTTCACATGACATTCTCTCACCTTGATGTTTCATTTGGCTCATAATGATACCAAGTTCTTCAAAATGACAAGCATATATGATTTATTTGAAATTCTAATATTTTCAAGAGTTCACAACACAAAATACACATACAGTTGAAGAAGAAATAGTTTTGTTATGCTTAAATACAAATCAGGTTATCAAAAGCATGCTACATCAAACAAAGAATTAAAGGTCATACCATGTCTTTGTGTAGCTTTCAGGAACAACTATATCCCCTCCAAGTGCCTTAAGCTCTTCAATTGTTTCAGGGTTGCCTGGTTTGTCCTCAATTATACTAATAGTTTGAAGTTTCCGTTCCTTGGCCAATTGTATCACAACTTTTCCCACATCACTATCTCCACAATTGTGTACCAAAGTTCCTCCTTTCAATGATTCAATAAAAATTCAAATAAGCATGCAGTTCCAATTGTCTCAAGTAGAAAATTTTTCAAATCTTATTGAATCACAATCTATTCATTAATTTTTTTGATTGAGCAAGATACAATAGAGTTGATTTAATTAAACAAAGGAAAAACAACAAATCAGTATGAAAGGCCAGTGCAAAACATTGTTGCAGTCAGATATGTATCTGAACCATCAAATCAAGATTTAAAACATTGAATTCTATTCCAAATTAGTAACTGGTCGTTGGTAGATACAAAGTGAAGATCTTTTTTGGTGGTGACAAATACTTTGGGCAACTGAAATATTACCTTGGAAATTTTACGGTTTATTAACTCATAAAACAAACTAATATATATAAATTACGCCCTTTACTCCCAAAGTTTAACCGCAAAATTAAGAGGATGTTTTTCACACAAGGAATTTTCCATTTTGATTTGATAATTTTCCTATTTTCTCAGTTCTGTTGCTTCCTTTTGAAGACGAGTGTTTTGCCCTTCCAATTTAACCCATGACATTTATGCTCAATTATCAGGTTTATTAGATAATCAGTTAAAGACCAAATTACTATTACCAACTTTTAAAAAGGACTTGGAAGATTATTCAGTTTTATATACATTGTCTTGACAACCTGCTCTATTTATGTGCTGTAAATCTCAATACCTGAAGTCAAACTTCTATGATCTCCATCATAATCCAACACCATTGCCATCAGAACCCCTCACTTCCTCCCTTAGTGTTTCAATTTCTTAGCTGACTCACCAACTTCAAAACCAACCTGGCAAATCCTCCTCGTCCAGGAAAACCTAATCACCTTCTAAATCCTCCAAACTCCTTCCATCTAATAATTCTTCATGATAATTATCCTCTTAATGATTTAATCATATTGCAATCTATTGCTGGTTATATTTTTGCGCCTACCAGTAACTGCTTGAGGCTCACCTTAGCACATGAAACAATACTCAAAAGAGCAATTTGGTTTCCTGTATCAACCTTTAGTTCAAAATTTTGAATTGTTTGATGTAATATTGTTTGGAACCACAAAAAATGTATCGCTTCTTCGACTCATTCACATCAAATATCTAAAGTTACTTCAAAAACAGAAACCAAAATACTTTAGAAGTGACTTCTAAAGTCACAAGCGAGGAAGTAGGAACTTCTTTAAATTCAGGGATGCATATAAGGAGGTGAAGAACAATTCAACTAACTCAAGTTAAACAGAACACATCTGGTTAAGGACATTGAAGACAATTGAATTACTACATCGAAAATTAAACACAGGCAAGTTTTCTTGAAGAAACAAGAGTTTAATCACGTTAAATGTGAAACCAGACTTCGCAGAAAGGCTCATTCAAGATATTTATTCTTTCCTTAATATCTCCATGCCTGGCTGAGACTAAAACCCTAAGCCCCTTACAATGCGGTAAAGAAGCTACTGATTAAAATCATTTACAGGGCACTTATACCAAGAGTAAAGATAATCAGTACAACAACTTTGTCTCTAGAGAAAATTAAACAAGCTTGACGATGGAGAACTACTCCTTAGATTCTCCTCCCGTTGCGGGACTTCTGATCCCATGTGAGCCACAATAAGTGATTCATGTGATTCCATTAACAATTCCTGTCAGTTTTATACCGTTGGCTATTACGGAACTTCCATCCCTTTCTTACACTCCTATTACAATACCTTAACAAATCAAAGCTCCTACTATTAAGGAGCTTCCAATTACGTTCTATTTCGGCTCCCTACGATCATAAAGCTGCTGCCACTGCGCTATATTTTTATTTTTATTTTAATAACCTCAAAGGATCTGAGAGATAAACAATGATTCAAGGACATGCCCATGAGTCCAAGAAAAACAAGGGATTGAGAAAAGGAAGAATAGAATCACATCAAAATGGATTTTTAATTCATTGATGCCCTAAAACTCCAGAGGAATATTTATAACATCATATTGACTCATAAGACGTCAAAAACCTACTAAGAATTATAATACCCATTATGGACCTATGACTACTATAACCTACTATTACCTACTAACTTGATCTAACTATCCAATGCATTTATTAATCCTATCACTACTGACCCGTTCAAAATCAAACTTGCCCTCTAGGTAGAATCACATAACAAATAGGATAAATCCATATAGGAAACTTGGGCAGAATCTTCAAGTCAGAAAGTTAGGCAAAAAATATTGGCGGATTGCAGAAGGTGGGCAACCATCAAGCCACACTTCTAGTTGAGGATCCTTCGGTGGCGACGGAATCAACAACCATTTGTACACTCGATTTTATGTGTTTTGCAATTGTAGTAATGCAATTGGGATTGTTATGAACATGCTATGAATGTCGAGTACACAAATTGCAGGGGAGACAAAACTATATTGATTGAAAGAAGCTCAAGTTTAAATTGGTACTTGGACCACTAGAGCATAAGGGTGAGTGTAGATGCCTGTTTAGATCACACAAGGAGCTCGTGAAGGTGTTTACCATTTATTAAGGATCTAAATACATTGCAGAGCACTTTTCCTTTGTTGATGAACTAAAAAACTAGATAATGTGGCCTAAATCTTAATAATGTGGTGGAGCCGTGGGAGCTCTTCTTAAACAAACTAGGTCGTGGGAGGCAAGTTTTGCTCATATTTGACTTTGAATCTAATCAATCAGCGATTGATATCAAGGAAGAAGAAAATGAAGTGAGAGTGGAGATTGATAAGAGCATGAATTTGGGAAAGGGGTTGTGGGGGTTGAAAATGAAGGTGGATTTGGATGGTGTTCAAGGTGAATGGCTTTGCGCGGAGGTTCAGAGGTGGACCAAGCTATCAAATGCAAATATGGATATTTGGAAGACCCAACAAGAGAAAGAAGAAGATGGAAGGTGGGAGAATTGGCAAATGGGACGAGGTGGTGAGAGATATAGTGAGGAAGAATGTGTTGCATTTGCTAGAGATTTAGGGAATGCCAATGACGGGATTTGAAGCGTCAACAAGGACTAATATATTGAGGATCTCATTGTGTGAATCAGTCACTTCTAGAATCATGAATGTCGAAAATGCGTGGGATCGTAAAATCACGATGCCCGGAATTGAGAAATATGGATTAGAAAGGGCACGCTAGTGGGAATGGATTTGAAGTCGATGCAGTTTGAGATGATGTGGATCCATGCGGATGTTAGCTTTGGAGGCAAGGCATGATGAATCCTCATGGATGTAGGAGATCAAGAAATTGGAGAATGTAATATGGTGGGTGTTGGGAAAAAATCAACAGTGTATGATAAAAGGGTAAAGCTCGAAGGAAACAAAGCAGTGAAGCTAGAAAAATAGGAGACGTAGCACCCGATAGTGGTGAAAAGGATCAACAAGAGTGTCAATTGTTATGACCCTCATGAGAGATAAACAACGATTCCACAATACCAAAAACTCTAAAGAAAATGGATTTAAAAGAGGAAGAAGAGAATCATAGCAAAGGGGCTTTAATTCATTTCATTCATGTCCTAATACTTTCATAGAAAAGTAATTATAAAATCACAAGAACTCATAAGCCACCTCTATAATACACATTATAGGCATATGACTACTAAGACCTACCATTAACTCTTAACTCAACCTAACTACCCAATACATTTATTGAATCTATCATTCTCGCAATTTGGATAGGTTTAGATATGGCTATTGACTCTATTTTCAATTGTAAATTATGGGTGATTTTTTATTATAAATGTGGGTCTACAAAATATCATATTTTAATTCTATTTTATTTTCACTTTAGTTGAATGGATATCTCATTGAAGGCAATTTCTTTTAGTTTTCTCTTGATGCAAATAAATATTGGATGTTTTTAGAGCAAGTAATATCTTTTCTTGATGTGATGTTTGGTTCTTCAATTTGAAGATCTCTTATCTTAGTTTCTCTTATTCTCAATGATTGAATTTTGTAAAATTTAGCACATATTTCTTTTTTACTGCAACGTGATTAAACTATGTTAAGAAAGTTAGAGGTAGACCTAAAAAGACTTGGTTATAAAATATTAGAAATGATCTTTCTTTATTAGATCTAAATGCGAAAAAGAATCTTAACTGGATTTTTGTGGAGAAAGCATAAAAAAACTTGTCTTATAAATTACTTGCCAACATCCTTATTACCTCGCAAATCACCTCATGAAGTTGTATATCAAAAGCCACCCATTTATTCACATTTTTGTATTTTTGGGTGTTTTGCAACCAATCTAGCAATACACAAACTGATGTAAATGCCCTTCGTAGCGCATTCTTTGGCTATACTCTTGGTCAAACAAAATATCAAATATTCAACTTGGACATAAGGAAATTTTTCAACTCTAGTGGCATCATCTTTCATGAAAACATTTATCCTTTTCTACGTCCACATCAGAAATCAGGAAAACTATCCCATTTTACTTATATCAATCCAACTAAACCACCAATGGCCCAAAGTAACTTAACACCCACCAACTCCAACTCATAGCCAAACCACAATCATCGTCCATCTCCTGAGATTAAATACCATGAAAATCATCAACAAGGGCTCCCATATCCCAAAAACATAAACATTAACATAAAAATCACAACTCTTATGTCTCAAAAATACATTTTCCCTTCATAAGTTTAGGAAATATGGACACTAACTCATCTCTAAGACTACCAAGTTAACCACACAGCATTTCTTACCCCAAGAACAATCTATTCTCCCACGGCTGGAGTGAAATATCCACTCAATCAATATGTTTTCTACTCCAACATCTCATTTGCTCATCGAATATTTTTGTTAAATATATCTTGTTTGGTTGAAAAAGCCAGATAGAAGCAGATTGGTAAAGCTCCTAATTGATTTGAAGCTGTGCAACTAGAACTTCAAGCTCTTGAAGAAACCAACACATGGATCATGGTCTATCTTCCTCCTTGTCGCAAATCTATCAAATGCAAATGGGTTTTCAAAATTGAACATCAATCTAACAACACCATCCAATGATATAAGGCAACAGTTTCTTGCCAAAGGATTCATTCAATGGAAGGAATCTACAAGACTGAGAACCTCAACTCGGTGCCAAAACTTAGTATATCACGTTGCCTTCAAAGTGGAGTTGTTTTTCCGAATTAAAGCCTACATCAAATGGATGTTCAAAAAGCCCTTCTTCATGTAGAATTTCTAAATAAGTTGATATGGCATCCTCTTTGTTCTCACTGACAGAGGAGCAACTACTATGTCGACCCAACAAATCTTTATATTATCTCAAACAAGCATCGCGGAGTTGGTTCCACAGATTTTCTTACTAAACTCAATATGTCAATTCATTCAATCAAAAGCCGACTACTCATAGTTGAACAAAGTTCGATCAATCATTTACTGCTATATATCGACGATATGATCATCACAAGGAACGATGAAGAGATGGTCATAGATCTCAAGAAGTTCCTTAAAATTCATTTTTTAATTAAAGATCCAAAACTTTTGAAGCTCTTTCATCGAGTTGAAGATGCACGATCTAAAGTGGGAATTTTCAGTTGGCAAAGGAAAAATTCCTTATAAATATTAAAAGTTCAAAACTGACAAAATTCCCAATGAAACAAAATCTCAAGTTAAGCATCATTGATGGAGATCTCCTCAAGGATCGAACTCATAATTGAAGGACAGTTTTAATACCTGGTTTCAGAGAAAGATAATCCAAGACCGAAGTGACAGACTTCTTAATGGAAGACTGTTCGGTCGACGAGAAAGCCCTAATCCCGTCCCAAACAATAGGATTCCGGCAACCAATAGGCGAAATCCTCCGTAAATGCAGCATCGTCGAAGAGTCCTACGAAGACGTATAGCGATTTGAGAAGTTCCCTTTGATCCAATCACGGTGCTGGTGGTGCCCCGCTCGTCGGCGAAGCTGGGGATCGGTGAGCTGAAAGTAGAGCGAGAAAAAGCCGACGAGATATTACAATTTTGATCAAACTTTCTGTTGGCAAATCTGCACCGTTCGCTCGAAATCTGAATGCACGGCTTAGATGTTGTCATCATTCTGGATTTCAACCGGTTTTAGGCAGGCAGGGTGCAAACGAGTCTATTTAAGCTAAGTCAAGTTGTGTTCGAGCCGAGCTCGATTATCAAATACCGAGCTCGAGTTGAGCTCAAAAGTCGAGCACGAGCCTCACTTTGAGCCTATTAATGATCCCGCGTCAGTGCCTGTGCCAGCGCATGCTTTGTCCGCATCTTCTCGCCAACACAAGCACCCTGTCGTCCGCGTCTCCCACAGGCACAAGCCCCGCGTTCGAAGTCCAAACAAGCCATGGTTTTCATTTTCTCGCTATTTCATTTTCCCCGCATCGCTCCTTCCCGCCTTCGTCGTTTTCATCTTCTTGCATGGATCATTTTCATTTTCCACTAAATGCTACACAAGCTTAGTCAAGTAGAAGGGTGTTCGAACTCGGGCTCGTTAAGTTGTCAAGCTCGAAATTGTGTTCAAGCTCAACTTGCAAGCTCGATAAGCTCAACTCGTCGAGCTCAAGCCATCTTGACTCGGTTGAACCTCTAGCCGAGCTGATTAAGGTGTCAACCCGTGTTAAATATCAAGTGCATGTTTGTCCTGAAAAAATGACCCAACCCGATAATGGAAATTTTCAACCTGAATTTGACTTATCCATCTAGAGAAAAAATAGGTCGTTATGGGTTAAGGTAAAACTCACTTAGAACATTAAAGGCTTCTGAATGTGAGCTTATTTTGTTAACTTTGCACAAAAAATTCAGCACATATAAATGAGTAAAATGCGACTTAAAAATAACATTATATTTTTAATATCATAATTTATAAAAATAATAAAAAGGAAAAAAAATAATTTTAATATTGATGCGTTTGACAAAAAATTATCTTGATCGGGCACGAATCTCGATGCAAAATGCAGTTGGAAACTTCCGAAATTAAAATTCGAAAACCATCCGAACTCCGATTTCAGCAAACTTATAGTCAAACTGAGTGTCTCGGAAATACAAACCCAACGACACAAAATTCGACTCAATCCGAGCCCAAATGGGTCCAAATCAATGACCCGAAGCGTTGTTGGAAGGTTCAAACCACAATTTGGATTACCAACGGTTTTCAAACATAATAAGCTTATACTCGAATCGAGCGGCTTGACGAGACAAATCCAACGAGCCCTAGATCGCCAAATTCCGACATCATTAAGGCCTTCAAATGCCTAAAGAACAGTGCATGATCAAGAGATTCAACATCGGCCGTTCATCCGACCACTCCTCATTTACCCTTGATCTCTCACCTATTTACAGGCCATGCCACTCCATAAATCTATAAATAGAGCTCCCTCTCCTCTTGAAAAGAGGACCCAAGCCTAAGGAAAAAAGAGAGAGATCGAAGATCGCTCTTGCTTCCTTTCCTCCTCGACCACCACCTGAGTTTCGCCAGACCACTACCGTTGCTCCACCGGACCACCACCTGAGGCCCTCACCTCCGCCGGACCACCGCCTGACGCCGTTGTTCCGCCGAAGCACCACTTGAGGCCCTCACCTCCGTCGGACCACCGCCTGACGCCGTTGCTCCGCTGGACCACCACTTGAGGCCCTTACCTCCACCGGACCACCGCTTGACGTCGTTGCTCCGTCGGACCACCACTTAAGGCCTTCACCTATGCCGGACCACCGCCCGACGCCGTTGCTCCGCCGGACCACCACTTAAAGCCCTGTGCTCCACCAGACCACCACGTGAGACCCGGACTTCCACCGGACCACCACCTGACGCCCATACTTCTTTCGGGCCACCACTTGACGCTGAGAGTTATCCTGAAACACCGCCCTCCTACTACGGTCTTTCAAACCCCTATCTCCTGCCGACAATGGTCCTCCTGACATATGTCGCCTACTATGGTCACTCCGACCTCCATCATCAGACAATGATCTTTCAGACCCTATCTCCTGCCAACAACGGTCTTTCAGACCCCAGTCTCCTGCCAACTACAGTCTTTCTGACCTCCATCACCTATTATGGTTCTTTCAACCTTCATCACCATACAATGGTCTTCCAGACCCCAGTCTCCTGCCGACTACGGTCTTTTAGACCTTTGTCGCCTATTATGATCCTTCCAACCTCCATCAACAGACAACAGTCTTTCTAACCCTGGTCCCATGCTGAATATGGTCATTCTGACCTCCGTCACCTACTATGGTTCTTCCGACCTCCATCAACAGACAACAGTCTTTCTGACCCAGGTCTCCTGTCGACTACGATCCTTCTGACCTCCGTCGCCTAATATGGTCCTTCCGACCTCCATCAACAGAAAACGATCTTTCTGACCCCGGTCTCCTGTCTACTACAGTCCTTCTGACTTCCGTCGCCTACTATGGTCCTTCCGACCTCCATCAACAGACAATGGTCTTTCTGACCCCGGTCTCCTGCTGACTACGGTCCTTCTGATTTCTGTCTCTTGCTGACAAAGGCCCTTCGAACCAAATAAACATGCTTTTATTGATTATTGTAACTCCTACCATGTAATGCACTCTAGATGATGTTTATTTGTATCATCAAGCCAAGGCCTTCTCCCAAGGAAGGGCCTTATTTGTAATCAACTGCAAATACTAATGGATTCATTCAAACTGGGCCAGGCCCTGTGGTTTTTCCCCCTATTTCAGGGGTTTTTCACGTAAAAACTCTGGTGTCACTTATGAATGCTACACCCTCTCTCTTATCTGATTGTGTGCTGGATCTTCGTATAATGCTAAGATGTTAAACTATATATTTTCTATACCGCCGCGAATACTCCAGGATGCAACAAATATGTTCGTTGATATATTAATGAAAAATGGGTATTAAAATATGGCGAAGAATGCTATCGTCAATTCGTGATTGAGGAAGGCGAACGTTGGCTTCGTATAGAAGGGCCAATGACAAATAATGAAAGTAAATCTTCTTTTGAGATAATTTTCTTACTATTTCTTAAAGCAGTTTTATAGTTCAAATTTTTTAATTGTTGAACTATAAAGCTGCTTTAAGAAGCAGTAAGAAAGTTGTCCCAAACGAAGCCTACGGGTTTTTTACTACTTTTTAAAGCAGCTTTTTAGTACAAAAATTTTAATTTTGTTTTAAAAAATTATTTTTATAAGCATTAAGAAAGTCATCCCGAACAAAACCTAAGTGACTGTTAACAACAAATATTGGTGGTGGGTGTGAGCGATAGCTGTTGGCTGGCATTATTGAAAATTAATGGTTGATGTAAATGCTCACAGATGGAGCTCTTGAACCTGGGGGAGTAAATTAGCCAAGCTGAGCTTGAGTCACCTTTAGCTTGTATTTGATTAGTTAATCGAGTTCGAGCTCAAGCTCGAAGTTTATTCTATGACTTCAAGACGGCTCATTTATTATGAAAACGAGAAAATGGTTATGATTCAAGCAAATATTATATTAAAATTATAAAAGAACTGAGAAATTATAAGAAAATGAATAAATGATCACTTAATATAAATAATTTAGATATAATTCTTAACCATTTTTAACAATTGTACTCAAAATCCTAAATGCAAATATATTTTAAGTGTGTTTTGCTTTGATATTTTTTAAACGAACAGGCTCACAAGCTAATGGGTCGAGTCAAAGCTGGCTCAAACTTAACTCGTTAGCTCATCGAGTTTGGTTCATGAGCAATTTATCAACTCAAATCAGAGCTGGCTTGACTCACTTACACCCCTAATTGAACCATCAAAGAATTCTCTTCTCTAGAATCCTCACATTAATATATAAAAGTATTAACAGACTCGCACAAACCATGATATTGCATCATAAATCATTTTTATTTTATATAAAAAAATAAAAAATATAGATAAATGAATAATAAAAAATTTTATCATAATATTTTTAAAGAGTTCTCTGATCTTATAAAATAATATTTTATGTAACTAAAAAATAATAATCACAATTTGGTAGTTTAACATCTTAATTTCTCTCTAAATTATTCACAATTGTACTAAAATCTTTTTTGTTTTAGAAATGTGCTATGTAATGAATTAATAATAATGAAAGTATTAATATAAACATAATTAAATATAATATGAAAAGATTTATTTATAATCCTTTTAAAACTAAAATTAACTAATGTTCTCTAATTATTATTTTCTAAGCCCTTCTTATAAACTAATATTAAGAATAATTAATTACTTAATTATATTATCAAAATAGCAAAATTTTAAGATTAAAAAATATTATTAAAATAATAATTTAATAATAAATATACTGTATTTAATTCAATATAATACTTTAATCAAACTCTTTTATATTTTATAATTCTATTTTTTTGAAGAAATATAATTACTGTTATATTTCTCATTCAATAAATTATTATTATTTTTAAGAAATATTTTATTTGTTTGTTTGTGTTGGTCCATTTGGAATTTAGCTAATGGCTTCCAACAAATGAGAAAGATTTGAATTTATGATATCTAATGATAGAAACTTATTTGTATTTTTTGGAGTAATTAAATATTCATATTTGTTTTTTTTAGAAAAAAAAAATCACTCACTATCTTATATATCATTTTGTTTTGGTTGAAAGGTATGAGCAATTGTACAATAATTTTGGATTTTGTGATTAAAAATCACAAAATTAGATGCAATTTTTTATGTGTTTTAAAGTTTCGACAATTGTTCTGTTCATTAAAATAGTTTCATAAATTTTAGAAATTGTGCGCATTGAAATGTTGCATGAAAATTATAGAAACCCCCCTCGTTTTTTCAATAATATATTGTGATAACGTAAGAGAAATTATTATTTGGCAGATGCAGTCCAACTAATATGTTGGAATTGAATTAACATCATGAGAAGATAGTTGATATAATCATTCACTCTCTTTCAGAGGGAACATCTTCATTCATAAATATCGAACTTACTGTAGGAAAGCCACTACTCACGGGCCCTGAACTAGTGTTGTCGTGACCATTCCACATGCTCCTCTTCTTTCCCTCAAACAACTTACTCGCCTTTCTCTTCAAAGGTGATCCGAGGTCTTCATCAAAAGTCACTAGCAATCTCAATCAGCTTGCGGCCAATCGTAGGCCCCCTCACCTCAACACTTGCCAATGAACTCATCCAAGTGTATTCACCTGAACCTACTAGACACTATTGAACTCACGCCAGATACCGTCCAATGTTGTCCACTTCATTCAATCATGAGACGGCACATGTTTAGGGCAATCAATATTGAGAATCATTTAAGTCAAAACATTTTTTATTCTTTTTAATATAATATCTACTATAACACTTGGATCCCTATAAATAAAGGGTAAAATGAGCATATGGGATCTTGGCTACGTGAGATTTTGAGCCTCTTGAGCTTTTTTATAGATTTTTTTCAAGAAGCTATTTTCTTTTCATTTCCATATAGGTTCTAAGTCACTAGTCATAGAGTTTATCTGCTAGTAAGGCCACGTGTCATCCTCATATATATTTGAATCTAATTGATACATCATCAAAAAACCAAGTTGGAAACTTCAAAAATTAAATTGGAAACCATATGAACTCTGATTTTAGTAAACTTATAGTCGAACTGAACGTCTCAAAAATACAAACCCAACGACATCAAATCCGAGCTCAAATGGGTCCAAATCAAAGACCCTAAGCACATTTGGAAGGTTCAATCCATAATTTGGATTACCAAACAGTTTCCAAATGTGATGTGCTTATAGTCGAATCATGCGGCTCAACGAGACAAATCCAACGTCCCCAAGATCATCAAATTCTGATATTATTAGGACATTCAAATGCCCAATAAACACTCCACGTTCAAGGGATTCAACATCGACCTTCCATTCAAATCACTCTCAATTTACTCTTGATATTTCTCCTATTTGCTAGTCAAGCCACTCTTAGAAAACTATAAATAGGCTTCTCATTTCTCATGAGAGGGGACCCCAAGCAAGACGAGAAGAGAAGGAAACAAGAAGAGAAAGAAGAAAATGAAGAAAAGGAAGAGAGCTCTCTTGCCACTAGACTCTTCATCGACCACCGCTGGACTTCCAATTTTGCCTAATCTCTAACTGACACAGAAGATCTACCCGGCCGCTAACTGACGCCGGAGTTCTGCCCGACAGATGACGGACACCTAATTTTCGCCCAACCGTCAGTTGAAGCCGAATTTTCACCCGACCACCAGACATCGCTAGATTTTCAATCTGTGTTTGTAACTGAATTTTGACACAGGAGTTGATTATTGTAATATGATCATCATCAATTTTAGGGACGAGTTAGCCACTTGTAATCTAAGCAAATTCTAATAGAATTCTTTTAACTGGACGTGTCCCCGTAGTATTTTTCCTTTTTCGAGTTTAAAAATTCTAGTGTTACATTTTTCTTATGTTTGTGTGCTGAATATCCATATAACGCTAGGATGAAAATTTTCTAACTCTATCGCCGCGTATATTCTAGCCCGCAACACTAATAATCATCATATTATTTTAAAATAGTTAAATGTATAAAATAGCGTATATATGATTTACATAATGATTAAATATATTAAAATTTAATAATTTATTTAAAAAATTATAATAAATGCATTATAATATTATAAATTTAAATTAATTATATTTGATTAAAAAATCTATTATAAATATTTATCATAATTGAATAAACGAATTTGCATCAAAAGCTGTAATTAAAATTAAATAACATAATTTAATTTAAATGATTAACCATTTCGGGTCACGTGACTTCCGCCTGCTCGGAGCAGGATGGGTCCGTGGCGGAGGGAAGTCTACGCACGTGATCAGTAAAGAGACACGTCACGTGGATTCCGTCGTCACCGGTCTGACACGATCCCTTTATACTTCTTGGCCAAGTTTGCAAAATTCCGGCCGAGCGGGCCCCATTTTCTTCACTCCGTGCAATCTATCCGCATGCGACTTCCAAAAACCAACGGCTGCGATTTATCCCGGCTCCCTCAACGGCAATCTTCATGTTGCTCGCATACGGGATGTCCATCGGCGGACCCCACCGCACCCGGCACCTTCCCGTCCGTTATATTCTCTACCGCCTCATCTCCATCTCCAAATTAGGGCTTTAGACTTCTCCTTATTCATCTCTGTTTACCGGACTATGCGTTAATCTCGTCGCGCTCTCGAATTCGCTTGGTGCAGGTCGGGAACCGATCTCGATCGTACGTCTGGAGTTCACGGATTGTCAGTTCCCTACTTGCACCAAGGGAATTCGAGAAAAAACGGCGAAAAAAGAGCTCTTTTTTTCATCTGGCAATCCATTGCGTTCTCTCTCTCTCTGAACGGTATTGGTTTTAATCTAATATTGTTAAACGCTTTGATATCTGTTCCTCTAGTCTTGGAATTGTATACCAATGAAGAACTTCTCTCCTTACAAGGAATAGATTCGTGATTCAACTGTCGAGTATCTTTTAAGTTGGGGAAATGGGGAATGAAATAGTGGTTAGTACTTACTGGATGGTTTTTGTTGATTATAGAGATGTGTTCCAACTACTGTAATTGCTGATTGCGATTTGTTTGCTCATATATAGAAGTGTTAAATCAAGTGAATTCGAGATTAAAAAAGGAATGGGTTTTCTTGTTTTAGAAAAAAGGAAGATCATTCATTTTAAGGAATAGATTTGAGATTAGAGCTTTTTAAGGAATGGATTTGATAACTGTGTTATTAGTTCAGCTTTCTAAGTAGCTTTGTGTAAATTTATAAGCTATATCTTTCTTTGGTTTCTCATGCCTGATCACTAGTTTCCTACTTACATCAAATGAAATTGATAATCTGTTTGGCTAGCTCACTAATTTGCATCAAATACTTCATCAAACCATGCTTTTTTGTTGGTTTAATTCACTTTTGAACTTTGCTTAACCATGGTAGATACTAGCTGAGACTTATGGGAGTCATGAATTGAATTGACTTCTCAATCCATGTGAAACCATTTGCCCATGTATCACTTGTCAAAATGGGTCAAGGTTGCGCTAGATATACCACTGTCCAAACCTGTTTTGAGCTCAAATGTTTCATTTGTTATTTTAGTTCTTTGTAAATTCTTTTATATTATGTTGGAGTTTATTAAAACCTTTTTCCTATAATCATTCTCAGATAGATGCTCAATTTTGAGGTTGGTTTTGGCAACTGGATTGAAAGAACCTCTTATGAAGGAATTATTTAAATTTTGTTTTCCTATAGTATAGGTTTGATTCATCTTCATTGTTAGAGTTATCTCAACTATTCAAGGTTTTATGAATGCGTAGTAGCTTTTTCAATTTCAGCACAGGCCCTTTGATTGATTATTGTAATGCCACAATTCTCATGCTTGGACAAAGTTATCCATGTGTAATGAAAATTTTGAAATTTGAATTTGATTCTATAGATATGCCCTCAAGTCTACCTGATTACGATCAAGTTAGAAAAAAAAAATTGTATGATGGCAAGCAAAAACTATGCAAACTCTAGTTCATGGGCCCTATTATTGCATTTGTAGTCCAATTATACTTAGCTTGAGCCCGATCAATTCGTTAGAAGTATATTTATCAGATCATCTCCTAGTATATCTTTTAGTTTTTTTCCCCTACTGTAGGAACTATTCATTCCTCAATTTCTAGAAGACTTTATTTTTCTGGCCCTATATTAAGAAAAGTAGAAGTAAACCTAAAAAGAGTTGGTTAGAAAGTATTAGAATGACATTTTTTTATTATATTTAAATGAGAATTTGACTCTTAATAGTACACAATGAAGAAAAAAGATTAATGTAACAGATTCCACGTAGTGGGATAAAGGTTTGATGATGTTGTTGTTGACATGCTTTAATCATCGTCGCTTGGTCTATATCTACTCTAGTGATGCCTCATAGCCAGCTTGGATATGGAGCAACAATCACACCACATCTTTTTTGACACACCTTATGCTCTTATGCCCCAAAAAGATGTAATTTATTGTGCCCAATCTAAGAAGGAATGACGGTTCACTATTGGTTATTAGTTGATGCATGATTGCCTTCCATCTATATGTATCACATTCTGTCTTTTTAAAAATTAGTCGTCCTTCATCATCCACCTCAATATTGGGTCCTCCATGGCCTTTAGAATGGATTTTGAACTCTGTATCTTTCAGTCATTAAGATCAATCTCATTAAATTACAGTCAGGAGAGACTCATTGTAGAAAGACCCAGAGAGCTTGTACTTTTCTTTTTAGCATAAAATAAAGTGGTATGTATGTAAATTTCCCTTCTTTTTATTGTTCCTCCAGCTCATTGGAACTCATTCTCCTTCCAACATACAGTAGATGCTGGCCAACTGGACGAACAGCTTTGTTTGGGACGGCTTTCTTACTGCTTCTTAAAGCAGTTTTTTAGTAGAAAAATTTGACTTTTTTTGTACTAAAAAGCAATAAGAAAGTCGCCCCAAACGAAACCTTAATGCATGCTCAACTTCACCTTCTTTTTTTAGTGGGAAATTTGATGCGATTTCCTGCCTTTTTCATCAGCTACTGAGGTTTTTGTCTTTTCTTGATTGGAAACTTTTAATCAAGATAAAGGAATATTGCAGCAAGGAATCTATGGAGCAACTTTTGTTATATCTCTTTGTGCTGTTGGAGTTATGCCTGCTATTATTTTCCATCCTTTGTCTTGTGGAAATAACTTTTCTAATACAGCATGGAATCTCAATTGAAACATCAACATCTTTCTGTCATCCTTCTCTTGTAATTCAGCCCTTTTCTTGTCAGACTTCAGCTGAAGTTATATATGCTGAAGGTGGTTCTGTGGTCCTCCTCCATATTTCTCATAATTTTATGAAATTTCATATCATATATATATTTATGATATTCCATGTGTGTCGACTGTTGATGGTATAATGCTATTCAATTTGGCAAAAATCAATTCTTTAGATATATGCTCAAACTTATGTTTTTTATACTTTTAGTGTATAGATGATGCTATACTCTTTTTTAAGGCTATGTTTGTGACAATTTTTTTGTTGTTTTTTAGTACAAATTAAAGTTTTTATACTAAAAAGCTGCTTTAAGACAAGAAAGTCGTCCCAAATGAAGCCTAAATTTCTGACTTGCTTTTTCTTTTGAAGTGCTTGTTAGATGATGCTTCTTAGTTCTTGTTTGAAACAGCTTTTTGACCGCTTGTAGATAGCAAAAACAGTTGGTAAAAATAATGTATATCTAGAAGATAACTTTTTTGTAGCTGTTTCAAACTTGGCTGAGGGATGAGCTTTAAAAAGCTGTTTTTGGGAAAAATATTTTTGAGGCTGAGGGATGAGCTTTTAAAAGCAAAGATAGAAAAGTTTAAGGTTTCCTTTGGATGGTTTTTTATTATTTTTTAAAATAGCTTTTTAATACAAAATTTTCTTAAATTAGAAATTTTTGTATTAAAAATTTGTTTTAAAAAGAATAAAGAAAGTTGCCCCAAACGAAACCTGAATTGCTTCAAAATAAAACTTTTTTTGCTTCATGAAAGCAGCAGCTGATATAAGTTTTTGAATTGGGCTTTGAAACTAGTTTGGAAAATGAAATTTTTCATAATAATTTCTCAGTCTATTTGTAAAAATATGAAGCCCAATCATTCCTTCTCTCATATTTATGATTAATGAGCTCAAACTCTCACCTTTAGTGTAGAAATCAAAATCTCCTCACAGCATAGTGTAATAATGTATAAGATCCAGTTGATTCTTACATGTTGATAACTCTTTGGGGCTGCTTTTTTACTGCTTCTTAAAGCAGCTTTTTAGTAAAAAAATTAAAACTTTTCTATTAGAAAGCTGCTTTAAGAAGCAGGAAGAAAGCCGTCCCAAACGAAGCCTTAGTCAACTCATGCGAGTGGCGGAGGAGCTTTGGCTCTTCCTTAGTAACTTGGGATGAAATATAGGCATTGATATATTTGTATTTATATTCTAATTAAATTTACTCCAAAGTCCCAAAAAAATTAAAAAAAAAAATTAAAATTAAAATTAAAATGCATTGACAAGTCTTGATGTTATTGCTGTTGTATAAATTTGTAACTCGGTCTATACTTAATTGAATATAATTTATTTGAAGATAAATTTTATGTGCTCTAATTTGAAGAAAATTCATTTGAAATAAGTTTAATTTAATTTGAAATAAATTAAGGCTTCATTTGGGATGCCTTCAAATATTTCAAGTTAAGGTTGGTGAAGGCTTAGAACTTGAAGGAAGAAGTCCAATAGACAATAGAGTTTTGTGTTTGGAGAACTGAATCCAATAAGCCATAGTTTTTTTCTCTTTGGTTGTTTTGAAGATTTTTGGTGCTTTTAAGCTTGTAAAAGGGTTGGTATTAATTCCTTTCTATTTTAAATAAAGAGAATTACATATATATTTATTAAGGTTTCGTTTGGGACAGTTTTCTTACTGCTTTTAAAAGTAAATTTTTTGTAAAATTTTTACTAAAAAATTGCTTTAAGAAGCATTAAAAAAAAATAGTCTCAAATGAAGCCTAAATCTTACCTATTTATGAAATTAATACTTGTATCATTTTTTTTTTTTGAACTATTTGAATCGTGATTTTGAGCATGTAATGATCAAATTATTGAGGATTTGATATAAGTGAAAAATATGGGTGTTGCGTCCTGGAATATTCGCGGAGGTAGAGAAATATATGGTTTTATGTATTAGCATTGTATGAAGATCCAGCACACAAGCAGATAAGTGAGAGGGTGTAGCATTCATAAGAAACACCAGAGTTTTTACGTGGAAAACCCCTGAAAGGGGGGAAAAACCACGGGGCCTGGCCCAGTTTGAATGAATCAACTAGTATTTGTAGTCTATTACAAATGAGCCCTTCTTAGGGAGAAGTCCATGGATTGGTGTCACAAATGTATATCATATAGAGTGTATTTCATGGTGGGAGTTACATATACATATTTGTTTGATCGAAAGGACCGTAGTTGATGGTATAATGGTCTATTCAATTTGGCAAAAATCAATCCTGCTGATATATGCTCAAACTTATGTTTATTATACTTTTAGTGTATAGATGCTATACTCTTTTTAAGGCTTCGTTTGTGACGGGTTTTTTGTTGTTTTTTAGTACAAATTAAAATTTTTATACTAAAAAACTGCTTTAAGAAGTAACAAGAAAGTCGTCTCAAATGAAGCTTAAATTTATGACTTGCTTTTTCTTTTGAAGTGTTTGTTAGATGATGCTTCTTAGGTCTTGTTTGAAACAGCTTTTTGACTACTTTTAGATAGCAAAAACAGTTGGTAAAAGTAATGTATATCTAGAAGATAACTTTTTAGTAGCTATTTCAAACTGGCTTTAAAAAGCTGTTTTCGGGAAAAATATTTTTGAACTGTGGCCAAGGGAGGGGCATTTAAAAGCAAAGACAAAAAAGCGTAAGGCTTCGTTTGGGACGGTTTTTTTATTGCTTTTAAAGCAACTTTTTAATACAAAAATTTATTAAAGTAGAAATTTTTATATTAAAAAGCTACTTTAGAAAAAATTAATAAATTCGCCCCAAATGAAACCTAAATATCTTCAAAATAAAACTTTTTTTGCTTCATGAAATCAACAGCTGATATAAATTTTTGAAAATATTAACCCCAATCATTCCATCTCATATTTATGTACTTATTCTATAATTGTTGCGTGCTAGAATATACGCGACGGTAGAGTTAGAAAATATTCGTCTTAGCGTTGCACGAGTATTCCGCACACAAACAGAAAAGATAAATAAACATCAGAGTTTTTAAGTGAAAAAACCCAAAAAGGGAAAAAACCACGGGGACTCGTCCAGTCGTAAAATTTCCACTAGTGTTCGTTTGAAGTACAAAGACCAGTTCATCTCACAAGTCAAGACGATCAGTTTGCAATCAGCTTCTAATGAAGTTACAAGGTTCTGCAAAGTCCCGGCATGTAATGATCAAATTATTGAGAATTTGATATAAGTGAAAAATATGGGTAACATCATTTAATAGTAAACAAATTAATCCTAATACTCTGCAAATCTTTAAAATTTATAGAGATTGATATAGATATCTTTCGAACTAATGATTGTGTTAAGGTGAATATTCATGAAGATGATATAAGTATGATTAAGCGAGCAACATCTTTGAAAGATTTTGCCAATGTTATAAGATTAAGATTTTATTTGTGATAGCTTTTTTCTAGCTTTTAAAGACAGATTTATAGTACAATAATTTTTTAAATTAAAAATATTTATAGTAGAAAGTTGCTTTAGAAAGCAGTAAGAAAATTATTCCAAACAAAATCTAAGTGATACGATGTTAATCGATTTCTTCGTGATTATATTATTATAATAGTTGATATAATTGCTCAAGTTGCTTAAGCAATTTGAAGTACTACAAGCTGTTGAAGAAAAGAAAAATATTTATTGAACTCATGATGAAGTTATTCCAATCCTTTATGACTCATTGTATGTCAAACTTAATTATGCACTAAATATTTGAGTTATAATGTATTAGCTTTATGTTTTAGATGTATGGAACTATTATTAGCAATTTAAATTTTATAAATTATAGTTAATCTAAGTTTGTAAATATTTTATAATAAAAAAATAATATTACTAATATATTTCACCGTTGTATCAAATCCTATACTTTACACTCTATCAAATACAAAAAAATAGTTCTATTGTATTTATTTTACAAACTATCACCCAGTTCTAAGTATTCAAAATATAATGCATTCACTTTAATCTTTCGAGGATTTAAGAGAGGTCAAAATTGATGGTGGCATGCTGGCAAGAGAGGCGACGAAGACGATGCGGTGATAAAGCAGATGTAGGCGAGGGAGCGATAAGATGGTTTTGTGGGTGAGTAGGCAACAAGCAATGAATGTGAAGATCATTTTATTTATCTGATTTTCAAATGTATTGAAAATAAGAGGGATTTCTCGTTTCAAATCCTTGCTTTACTTTATTTAATTAGTTTAATGTAGACAATTCGAGCAAATTGGGGATGTAGCTCAAATGGTAGAGCGCTCGCTTTGCATGCGAGAGGTACAGGGTTCGATCCCCTGCATCTCCAATTTGTTTTTCCTCACGAATCTTAAAGCTTAACTACAACACTCATTAAAAAAACTAGCTTTTTTCTAATATACATAAAATTATAATATTTTAATGAGAGATTTTAAATCTAATAAATTTATATCTTAGGCTTCGATTGGGATAATTTTGTTACTTGTTTCTAAAATAATTTTTTGATGTGACAATTTTATAATTCAAATAAAACTTTAATCATAATTTTATATTTGATTAAAAGTACTAACATTCAAGTTAGAAATTTTATATTTGATAAAAATTTTATCTTTTGTTAAATTGTTATCTCTAAATTTTTGTTGAATATGAAGTTTGATAGTTATTGATGGGCTTATATATATATATATATATATATAAGCCCATCAATAACTATCAAATTTATGATTTAGTTTATGATGAATATTATTAATGTGCGTCAAATTTAATATTTTTATGTAATTATAATCAATTATAATTGTAAGGGAAATAATTCTTATTTATTTATGATTTAGATATAATTTAATTTTTTCAATATTATTGTTGCAGGCTAGAGTATTCGCGGTAGTAAAGTACAAAAATCTTCAATTCTTACCGTTGCACGAGTATCTAGCACACAAATAGAGAAAAAAGAAACACCTGAATTTTTTAAGTGGAAAACCTTGAAGGGGAAAACCATGGGATCACATCTAGTTGAAATGATTTCACTAGTATTTGAATATATTATAAATTATTGGTTTGTCAACCGTCAGGTTGAAATCTAGTGACGAATGGAGATCAAATAGAAATCCGATGACATTTGGCGGTCGGACTGAAATCCAACGTTAGTTGGCAACCGGGAGGTAGTCTGGTGATAATTTGTGGTTGAGTGGAAGTCTGATATCAGTCGGTAGTCGGGTAGACGTCCGACGATAGTCCAACAATGGTCGGTGGTCGAGCGATGGTCGAGAGGAGTGTGGTGGCAAGAGAATTTTGATTTCTCTTTCTTTCTTCTCTCTTCTCTTACTTTGCTTGGGTTTATTTTGAGCTTCCTGAACATGATCATAAATTATCATCTTGAAGGCAACATACTTCTTGAATTATTCTATGACTCTGAGATGTGATAGTTCTAATTTGGGCTTGGCCTCTTTCTCAAACAATAGACTTCAGGGCTGCTATCTTCTCCTCAAGGATATGTTAATCTTTCACGTATTGATTGATAGCCGCCTGTTCATCCACCAATTTAATATAAATAAGATTCTGCAAAGAGGATGAAGTTGTCATAATAACCAATTCTTCTCTACACTTTGCTATCTTCTCGTCAACAGTCTTCATCTACTTGATCTTAATTGTCACTAAACTTCCTCTCGTACTCTTCTTGAAGATACTTACCTTTACAAACTCATTGTTCTAGTTTTTCAAGGCTTTGGTTAATTCAATTTTAAGATTTATATGTCGCATTAACTGAAACAATAAGGGTTTGTAAGGCACATATCCTTCTAAAAGAGTAAAAAGAAAAATAAAAAAGAAACATGAATTCATCAGTTCGTTAGCTCATCGATGTCTAACACATTGATGTTTCAAAACATCTTCTGGGATGTGTAACTTGGATGGAGAAGAATTTTGACCTTTGCTAGCTAGTAATTGCTCCTCCATTATTTTCTTCTTGGATGATGCCTATGGATCACCATCATTCTCTAATCGTTTAAGGTGAACCTTTAAAGTGTGAACAAAAGCCTCTTGGACTTTGACTGACTTCTTTAATATATATGCATGAGATCTCAGCTTGAGTAGATAATCCCACCTTGAACAAATACTCCTCTACATACTTGCTCAAGTAACATACCTCGCAATGAATGGTGTCTACATCAGAAAAATTGAGCATCTTCAATATATCTTCTACTCCAAAATATAGGAAAATGAGTAAATCATTCAGCTCCCCATTTTTCCAACAGATTCCAATCATTTTGCACGAATAAGAGTCCACTAGTTCGCAACAATTATTATTATTTTTTGAAGGAATTTCAAAGTTGAAACATATATCTATTGTATGAGAAATTTAATATCATAACTTTAAGAATAATTTCTAAGATTTTTAACAACTAAGCTAGTTATTTCTAAAATTTAATATCCGCTTTTGAATTTTGTTCATTAAGTGAGATCAGTTAGGGTTTGGTACTATGTTAGGTTAAAAATATAGTAAAAACATCACATAATTGACCTTCTCCCATTAGTTTATGCATTTGAGTTAAAAATAGTTTTGATCATTGGTATACAAGGCTAATTTTGGCTTCTCTCTGATTATATATTCGTTATAAAAGGGTACCATAACCAAAAGTTTAGTTTGGCGAGAATTGAGTGGCTCATATAGTTTGTGGCTCTTAAAAGTCTCAATCACATCTCTTCTATACTTCTCTTACCTGTGTATAAATTTTTTTTAAATATTACGATAAAAATTTCTCACTCTATTATCATGATTTTTTTTTACATGCATGTGAGGGCGTGAAATATGAATATCGAAGAGATGATATGATTTATTCAAAGTTGAAAGATTTTGCATAAGTCAATGCATCTAATGCTCAATTTTTTAATGATTCACAACTTTATATTTGAATTATCATGTACCATAATGCTATTTTTATGTAAAAAAAAATATGATTAAAAAATACTAAAATATATGCACAACTTCATAGTTTCTCTCAAAAATAAATGAATAGTACTATAGTGCTCAAAACAAAGCTCATCCCCCACCCAAAAAAAATGGTCATGTCAAATATATACAATATTATTTATCTCTCATCCATCAGTTTTTTTTTTTTAAATCTTAAACAACAAATCACAATATCTTTCAAAAAATATAAAAACCTAAAGTCAATCTTCCATAATACTTTTTTTTTGGACTTAATCCTATCTAATATTAAAGTATTTCATTATTTATTTATACCTCAACACTATGTGTCAAGTACACATCAATAACATCTCAATATAACACTATGATTTATTCATAAAATATAAATAAATAAAGTTTTATATTGTATTAGACTTCGTTTGGGACAGCTTTTTTACTACATTCTAAAACAGTTTTTTAATACAAAAATTTTTATTACTAAAAAACTGCTTTAAAAAGCAGCAAGAAAGCTGTCCCAAACGAAACCTTAATCAAATAAATATTATATATCACCTATTTAAGAAAATAAAATTACTTTTATTACAATATGATCTAAGGAAGCCAACATAATCACAAGCATAATATATGTAGAAATATATTAATATTTCATTAAATATGTTCCTCCAACAAAGTATAAGGTAATATAAATATATAATAACACTATAGATAATAAGGAGAGATGTATACTTGTATAGTATGTAGGCAAGTACAGTATACAATTTCTTTGAGAATGTTTTTTAGTTGCTTTGTTGTCAAAGTTAGAGGAATATACAAATAATCAAATTTATTTTCAACTTAAAATATTGAGATAATGCTTGATGGCTAAGTATTTGTTATTTATATTATTATTATTATTATTATTATTGTATTTTTTAGTTATTCAATATAAGATTAAATTAAACTTATCGGTTTACAGACGACTCAAATACAAGCTGACTAACGAGCTAAATTTGAACTATTCATAAATATCGAGTTACATGAGCTCCTCTGCTCACATCTACTATCATTCTCCTCTAAATGGAATAATAAGGCTTCGTTTGGGACGGCTTTTCTACTGCTTCTTAAAGTAGTTTTTTACTAAAAGACTGCTTTAAGAAGCAGTAAGAAAGTCGTCCAAAGGAAGCCTAATTATATTACAAAACTTTTACCTAATTCACATCATAAGTCATTCTCTTAATAAATGGAGGTCAAATTCAGACCAAATACATCGATCGATACTCAAATTCAATTTCAACTAACAAATTTAAACCTATTGACACAACCCAACCAACCATTTAATACTTTTGTACTAATATATTTCTAAACTATTAAAGAACTTCTAAGCTCAATCTGCCCAACTATCTAAACAAAATTTTCCATAGAACAAACAAATAAAAAGTTCATATTTTATAACACAACACAACATATCACACTTTAATGAAGCTTAGCTCACCTCAAAATCTGTGAAGATTATATCATTAATCAGTGTTAATCTATCTTAATCCAAGTGATTAAACTAATATAATGACAAACTAATCAATCATTATAATAAGTACACTATGAGAGCTTCCAAGAAGCCTATCAGAGCCTTAAAAAACTAAGGAGAATTAAGAGCTCTTAGTTAATGCTTATCAGATGAGAATTAAAGCCATGTGATAGAGGCAGAAATAATAAAAGAAGAGAGATAGGAATCTCAAGACGTGGGGAATGCGAGAGAACCGGCGATCCTTTTGCATCCTTAGTGATTTCTCCTCTTCATTTAAGCCTTTCATTAATTTCTATCCTTACTCCCCCCTTCTTTTAGTTCATTGATTAATGACAGCTTAGATCACTTCTGTTCCCTTATATTTTAAGGACTTTGGGTGTCATGTCTCTCTCTTTTTTTAATTAATTTTTAGTTATGAGTCATGTTTGTGTGATAATGACCTATTTAATAGGATTAATTATTCTGTGCTGATATGGAACGATGTTCGAAAATCAATTAGAATGTGTCACGTCATCCATTTGCTGTGTACCATGGCTCGGTACCACTGACGTGCTTGCACATGATTCGTCTTCGGATGTAAAGCTGCGTCCAGCCTCCGCACAGGATAATTTCTGGTTTAGGAGAGAGATGAGCAAAGAGCAATGTTTCTTCTTGGCTTCAACTTTGAAATGATTTGATCAATTTTAATCGATCATAGGGATTTAGGGTCTGTTAGCTTTTTCATAAAGGTAACGGTGGTTGTAAAGTTGTTGTGGGGAGAATAATTTTTTTGAAAGCTGTTTTAGAAAGCAACTTCCTAGCTAGCTAGCACATAAATTTCTTGAAAGTAATGAGAAAGTTCTAGCCAAACATAAACTACGGTTGCTTTCTGAAAAGCAAAGTAGTAAGAAAGTTTTCCTAAGCAGACCCTTGGGGACGATTAGTTAGATTTTGTTTTTCATAGATTAATTAGATATTTAAAAAATAAAAAATCAACAAATTTAAGATAAACTCATTATTTTTTAGTTAGAAATATAGCCTTTGGATGCATCATTATAGCATAATTATTTCTTTTTTTTTATAATTTTATTTTATGAACCACATATCAGACCAATTATTTCATCAATCAATTTTTTTAATTTGATATTTTTTTATTTATTTAGATGATTTTTTATCCACCCTACAAATCTTATATTATATTCTCTTGTATCTCCCTCTTATATAGATATAGCCTTGTCATGCAAGAAGCACACAAGTTTTTTGTTTCTCTCTTCTTCTTCATTTCTTCTTCTCTCCTCTTTTTCTCCTCCTCCTCTTCACCTATGGCACTAGCTAGAGAGAGAGCAATATATGGTCCACAATCCACTTTCATTCAAGGACTTGATCCTTCTTCTCTTGCTCATTCAACCTTCAGAGATCATCATGGTTTTCTTCATGATGAAATATTCTCCAATCCAAACACTTTCATGTTTGAAGCATCAAATTTCCCTTTACAAGAAGCTCATCCCCTCATCAACTTCAAAGCCAGTGCTGATCATCAATTGATGACATATTCGACTTCGACGGTTCTAAGCTTCGAGCGAAATCTCGATTACGGAGAGAATTCTATGAGTTGGATTGATCATGCCATGGAAGATGAGAGCCCTATCAATCATCTTAGCTCAAAGAGCTTTGATACAAATTCTTTCAAGTATGAACAAGAGAGCATTGGGAAGGAGAAAGGGTTAAACAAGAGAGCTTTTATGGTGAATTTCTCAAATGTTTATGCAATTTCTTATAAATTGTGGTAAAAGTTGCAATTTATTGAAGCTTTTGGTGTTCTTTTTCTTGCAAGGACTGTGACATGGAAGCTTCAAAGAAGCATGGTGGGAATGCTAAGAGGCAAGTCAAGGCTAAGTTGAGTTCATCAAAGGATACCCAAAGCATTGCTGCCAAGGTTTGTTGTGTAATTTTGGAGGTTTATTTGGTTTGTAATAAAATTTTGTACGAAGATTGATAGATTTATATTGAGAGAGAAACAATTTTGTGTTGCAGAATCGGAGGGAGAGAATAAGTGAAAGACTTAAAACTCTACAAGCTCTTATCCCAAATGGCACAAAGGTGAGCTTTTTTTCAACTAAGGGCTTATACTTTTCTGAATTTCAACTAAAACTTCATAAAAATCACATTTTTTTCATGTAATTTATTTTAATTTTTCATGTAAACATCATGTAATTATTTATTTCCCATTTTTTACAATTTCTTAATTTATTTTATTTTATTTTGTTTCCTTTCAGGTTGATTTGGTTACTATGCTAGAGAAAGCAGTAAGCTATGTGAAGTTCCTCCAATTACAAGTAAAGGTAATGATCAAATTATTAAAATCATAAAGATTTTTGTTAGTTTTATCAATGAAATTTTAGTTTCCACTATCAACTTAATCATAAACTTAAAAAAAAAAACAATTTTATATATTTCGTTTAAATTTTAAAATTATTTGTTCTTTTTCTTAATTGTATTTTAAGGCTTCATTTGGTTCTATCTACTTTCTTATTGCTTTTGCAAAACTACTGTAGAGAAAGTAAATTTTTAAATATATTGTAAAAAACAACTTTTAAACATAAAATTTTTTAAAAGTACAAAAAAAAGACCAGACAAATTGTGATTGATGTCTGAAAAACAAAGCTGTAGAAAATTGTCTCAAACGAAGACAAAGGCTTCGTTTGGGACGGCTTTTTTACTGCTTTCTAAAACGGTGTTTTAGTACAAAATTTTTTATTTTTGTACTAAAACTCCGTTTTAGAAAGCAATAAAAAATCCGTCCCAAACGAAGCCAAAATTTCTTTAAATAATAAAACCACTTCCTCATTAGTTAGTTCCAAAGTACAACCCAATAGGTTCGAGACGATGGAGCCGACTAAAGCTTCGTTTGAGATGACTTTTTTATTGCTTCTTAAAGCAGTTTCCTTGTACAAAAATTTTAATTTTTGTAATAGAAAGCTACTTTAAGAAACATAAAGAAAGCAGTCCCAAGGTTTCATTTGGGACGACTTTCTTCCCACTTTTTAAAGCAGTTTTTTAGCACAAAAATTTCTTAAACTAAAAGTTTTTGCACTAAAAAACTTTGTGCAAATTTAGTTGTGGGCTCGATATGATGCAACAATTATGATTTATAGAATTTGCTTCCTATTACAAATATGTAGATTAGGACTGGTAATGCAAATTATATTAAAGAATTACAATTTATAGTAACAAAATGATATATTTTACATAGAAACATATTTGATAAATATATATTGGAAAATCATTCAGGTGTTAGCTACTGATGAGTTCTGGCCAGCTCAAGGAGGAAAAGCACCTGAGGTTTCTCAAGTGAAGGAAGCCATTGATGCAATCTTATCTTCTCACAGAGAAAGGAACTTCAGCTCTAATTAAAGGAGAATTCAAGAGCTGAAGAGGAAGTGGAAGGATTTTTCTTTTTTTTTTTTTTTCTGATTTCTTGAGGAATAACTGAGAGTTAGGAAGAAATTGTAAGGTTTGATGGTTTAGATAGATTAATTAGCATAGTTTTACTAAAATTTTCTAACTGATCCCCCCTTGTATTTTTCCAAGAATTTAGCTTTCAAGTTAAATATTTCATTAGTTATGAGTATTGATTGAAAAATATTTTCTTAGTAAAATATATTGGAAAGGACATGGATGTTTATAAATGTCTAAAATATGATGTTTTTATTTTAAAAAAGAAATAAATATTTATTGTGAATAAATATTAATTTATTTAACTAAATGAATAATTATATGATTGAAAATAAAAAGAATATGTATATTAATGACTAAATGCATGAGGTAAAAAAATAAAAAATATTTTAAAAGTAATTTCTTGTTGACATATTTAAAAAAGGCTTTAAATAAGAAAACTTTTCATAAAATAAAGAAGTACAATACATAGTATATTTGCAATTGTATTTTTGACAAAATATAAAAAATGAAGGTGTTTTTTGAATAATGTACACATCCTTAATTGTAATTAATTTCTGGCTATAATACATGAAAATGCTTACTAAGATTATGATATCCCTTTAGGGTTAGGTTTAACTCCGTAGATCTTGTCACAATAAGAGAATATTTGAATATTACAAATTTTTTACATTCCTATAATTTTTTTCTCAAGATTATAAGCTCTTTATTACGAGAAATTATTCTGTACAGATTCTGGACATAGAGCTACACCTGGACTCCAATAAAATACCTACACGTTATTTTGTAATATAACTCCCCCCTTACCTCTACGTTTTTAGTGCAATGATGCATGCATTGATCTTGAACATCTAATCTAAATTCAATCATGACCGTCCATTTCATTCTATTATAAATTCCATTAATTGTAGCATCAACAAAAATAACTATAATAAAATAGTAATAGTATATTAATTTTGATAGAATTGATAAGTAGCAGTTAGCCATAATAACAGTCTTATAAATTAATTAATGAGAGGATAACTAAGTTTATGAGAGTTTGAAATACTAAGCATTTATTAATAGGAAGTGATATTAAATAATTAATTAATTAATTGGAGTTAATGCAATGTTGAATGCATCAACTAATTAAGAGTCATATTAATGCATTGATGATAAAATCTATAGTTTAATGAAGTGATAGAATTGTAATTAATGCTAACAATTTAAGAGCCATATTAATGCTTTGATGATAACATATATAGTTTAATGAAGTGATTGAATTGTAATTAATGTTAACTACTTAAAAGAGTTACATTAATGCTTTGATGATAATATATATAGTTTAATGTGGAGATAGAATTGGAATTAATGTTAAGAACTTAGGAGTTATATCAATGCTTTGATGATAATATATGTAGTTTAATGTGGTGGTAGAATTGAAATTAAAGTATGGTAATTCGGGTGTTGGGCTAAGCTGGTTGTTTTCATAAAATTCGAAACGAGCTTCTTATATAATTTATTTCATGTATTTACACTTCTTCTCCTTCTCTCTGTCTCTCTCTCACTCACTATACGTATGGAATAATGTTCTCTGGCAATAGATTTTGCTATCAGTATGAGTCGATCACAAAGAATTGCCGGAAACCTAGCTGTATCGATCTCTTTGCGATAATACTTTTATGATAGGTTCTTTTTTGCAAATAATATTGATGTTTGTGCAGACTAATTGCAAATGTCTTGAGACAACTTTTTTAGCAAATGATTTTGTATTGCTTGAATAAATGGTAGATTGATTTTTGTGATTGAATTTGTGACGGAAATGTGTATCACAAATTTATGCTTTTTCCGCCTTTATGTCCCCCCTCCCTTCTCTCTCTATGTGAAGTAGAATTAGCATAATCATCTATCCAATTAAATTTCAGAATATAGGCTTTGAATGCAAATGAAAATTAATTATTATCTTTATTATCAAAAAAATTTGAAAATCATTTGGTTATATTACAATTATAAAAAATTGTAATAAGGTTTAGGTGATGCATTTCCCTACATGTAGTAGGTTTAGGCTTTGTTTGTGACAACTTCTAATTTTTGTACTAAAACTCTATTTTAAGAAGCAAAAAAAAAAAAATCATCCCAAACGAAGCCTTAGTCGATGCATAGCCAAATTTTGCTGCTACTTCATCACGTCTTCTTCCTTGTTGAGGGTCGTTCACATGTTATCGGTCCAGCTCGTCAAAGCCCTTTTTCCAGTGAGCTTCCGTCATTACTTCGTAACATCTTCTCCGCTGTTGAGAGTTTCGAGAGGATCGTGAACATGTCATTAGTCGATCTCATCGATGCCATATCCTCAGTGATAGCCTACTACGACATCTTTTCTTCACCGTTTACGATTTTAGAAAGATGAGAAATGACATATGCAGAAATATAACATAGTGATAATTTCACAAATAATAAATATTTAGCTATCAAACTTGTATATTATATAGATTTAATCCCCCACTAATTAATAATTTGTCAATTAATTAAATACATATTCAACGTTGAATCCTTATTTATATATTAAATTATGCATTAATAGTTAATTAATTTCCAGTGGAGAAATATCACAAAATATTGCCATATTCCATTCATCTGCACAGATAGATTGAAATCAGATGCACTGTACTTAGATTGTGTACGAACGTATCTCCAATTGATTTCTTTTATATTTATATTTATATAATATATTATGATTTGATTTTATTTTTATTTTTTACAGCATTATTGAAATTAATGATATGTAAAGCTTAGAAATTAAGATTAACGGCTATAATTACATGAGATAATTGAGAATTCAAAATATAGATAGGGACTACAATGCATGGGTTGTGAAGGATGCTTCCTATGTATTAAATGATTTTGATTGTTGGAATATAAAAGTGTGATTGCTAGAACATCAAAATTCGTTTTGATTGAGCACGAATTTTGATGTATATTTGAATTAAGATTTTAAAAAATATTAGTGTTGCGGGCTAGAAAATACGCGGCGATAGAGGATTAATTCTACGTCTTAGCGTTGAACGAATAACTAGCTCACACACAGAGAACACAAGATTTTTAACGTGGAAAACCCTTAAAAAGGGAAAAAACCACGGGGCCTAGCCCAATTGAAAATGATTCCACTAGAACTTTTCGGGTGCTCCCAAAATTAATTTTTGAAGTTTCCAACTAGCTTTTGCCTCGAGATTCGTGCCCGATCAAGCTAATTTTGTGATGACGTATCAATTAGATTGAGGAGTATTCAAACTCCGATTTCAATAAATTTATAGCAAATTGAACGGCTCAGCGAGATGAATCCCACGATAACAAAAGTTGATGATCTGATTATGATTGAGCCAAGATTAAGAGCGTGAGGCATAATGGGAAAGCTTGAAATATTATGTGGAGGACCAAATGATCTCTAAATTTGGTATACTTATAGTCAAAACGAGTCTCAATGATAAGATCACTTAATTCTGACATCATTAAGACAGTTAAATACTGAAGAAATTATTTATGATCAAGAGAACTAATACAGACCATCTGATGAAATGTTCCATATTTTGTCATCTTTAAGGAGCATATCATTTAAAAAATTTATAAGTAGACCACAACTCTCTATATGAGATGGGAGCTAAACCTTGATCGGAGCATAGCCTTCGGCTTGATATTCAAGAGAGCTATAATGCTCTAAGGATCACTTAGCACCACCGTCAAGCCACCATCCTATTATCATCATTGGACCACTACTCAACACCGTCATTAAGCCATTGTCCAACTGTTGCGGTCAGAAGATCACCTGATCGATGCCACCATTGAGACATTGCTTGACCACTAATATCAAAATATTACTCAATCATCACCATCGCATCACCAATTTTCGACCAGCGTTGCTCGACCATAGACCTTCCCACCATCTTCACCTTCCTACAATGCTTTAACAACCACGCTCAACTATAGTCCTCCAGCCACCATCAACTACACTCAACTATAGTCCTCCAGCCACCATCAACTGATTATGATTCTTTTGATCACTATTGCTCTAACCATTGTAATAGCAAGTATTTTAAGTTAAATAAATTTTTTCAGGAGTTATTATAAATTAAATTTGAAATTGTCTTCGCCATAATATTCATATTGAAGTGCTTTAATTAGAGTAAATGTAGTTGGCAAGTGATGGAGGTCATAGGAATCGTAGTTGGCAGACAACAGTGGTAGAAAGAACAGTAGCCGGCAAATGACAGAGGTCGGAAGAACCGTTGTCAGACGATGATGGTCAGATAGATCATATTCGGGAGACGATGATTGGAGAATTCTTAAGTTAGTGGGCGGAAGGACTGTAGTCGAGATGGTAGTTAGAGAGACCGTAGTCGAGCAACGGTGGTTGGAGAGATCGTAGTTGGCGGGCGACGAAAGTCGTAAAGACCGTAATCGGGTGATGGCGGGTGAAAGGATAATAGTCGGGCCACGTTGGTGTTCATACAAAGGTTCGACGACGTCCAATGGTGCGGCGAAAGTCTGACGACAGTTGGTGGCCGGGCGGAAACCCAGCATAGATAACATCGAGGAAGAGTTCTAGCGATAGTCAGAGAACGGTGAAAGTCCTTTGACGACCAATGGTTGAGAAGAGATCCCCAAATTTTCTCCTTTTCTTTCTCTCCATTTATGTGAAGAATGTGGGGCTATTTAAATTTTTTTGGGAGTGGCATGGCTAGTAAATATGTAAAAAATCAAGGGCATGCTGGGAGTGTTCATCAGACGGCGCTTATATTGATCCCATTGATCATGAAACATTTATCAAGCATTTTGATGCCCTAGAGATGTTAGAATTGAGGGATCTTAGGCTTGTTGGATTCCTCTCGTCGAGCCGCTCGATTCGACCATAAGCATGTCATATTTGGGTATCATTCGATCATCCAATTAATGTTATGAAGCTTCCAAATATATTTTGATCCTTTGATTTGAACTCATTTGGGTTCGGATTGGACCAATTATTGTGTCATTGGGCTCGTCTCTATAAGATCTTCAAGTTGACTATCAGAATTTGGATGATCCCGATTTAAATTTTGGAAGTTTATAATACATATTCGCATTGAGATTCACGCTCGATCAAATCAATTTTTGATGGCATATCAACTATACAATGAAAATATATAATGAAAGAAAATTGTTGTTAACCTATGATGTACTAATTAATTTATAGTATGGGTGTCAATATTTGACACGACACGACAACCCGACCATGAAAATCCGGGTTGGACCTGACCCATTTGATAAACGGGTTGGGTCCGGATTCGCAAATTCAACCCGTTTGATAAAACGGGTCGGGTTGACCCAGCAACCGTCAACCCGAAAACCCTCGGGTTTGACCCGAACCCGACGGGTTGACCCGAATTGACACCCCCTAATTTATAGAAATAATTATAGACGTGAGTAATAACTATTCAATTTTAATCCTATAATGAGTATATGATATTAACATGAGGGTGCCTTATTTGCATAAATTATTGTTACCATATCGAAGAAGAATTTGTCCCCCTTACACTCATGGACTTCTAGAAGTAACATAGCAAATATCTTCATTCTCGTTTGAAGTATCCAAGCAATAATACGTATAAACTTTTTTTCCATTGATAGCCACATCTTAAAACTTCTTCTTGCAAAGATCTTAAGGATTCGTTTGGGACGGCTTTTTTATTGCTTTCTAAAATGGAGTTTTAGTACAAATTTTTTTATTTTTTTATTAAAACTCAGTTTTAAAAAGCAATAAAAAAGCCGTCCCAAACGAGTTTTAAGAGTTCGGTTGGGACGGCTTTCTTAGTACTTTTTAAAGTGACTGTTTAGTACAAAAATTAAAATTATTGTATTATGAAGATGCTTTAAGAAACAGTAAAAAAGCCGTCTCAAACAATGCCTAAATCTTTTTTTAACATATTGGTCCTCTAGTTCATCCAAGAAAACACGAGGTTGAAAACTCAAAAAGATAAAAATTTTGAAGTTTAGAGGACAGTTTTTAACACCCTTGGGGAGGAAAAGTTATTACGTCGGGACAAAAAATCAGAAATCCATACGTATACCGAGCAATACTAAGTTCTTGGTACCGAGCTCCAGGTGACGTGGCGCGTTGTTATTGATCTCTGGACGCATTCGGTGTCCGGACACAATAATTACTCCATTGGGGAGTTAATAATACTCGTCCAATTCAAACTTATGATTGACATTCACTTAAACAATTCTTTTTTTCTTTAGTATTTATATTTTGGTATAACCGCCGGTGGTGAGTTTGAGCTCCGCCTAACTGCCGCCGGCGCAGAAGAAAGCCGAAGTTGGCCGAATAAGAGAGCCCGTCTTAGCCAGGAAGAGCCGATCTGAGCAGAGCCGACGACGCCTGGAAGAGAGCTTCGTGTTTGACGCTTCTTGATGGCTATCTCTGTTCCTTTATTTATCTCCTAAAAGCGCTGTGAATCGCTCGGCTGCAAGCGAGTCGGGTATTTCTGCAACTAGAGCCAGCCAGCTGCAGGCCTCAGATTCCCGTCACTCTTTTTCTCTCTCTTAGTATTTATTATTTCATTATAATTGAAATCATTCTATTAGTATTTATTATTTCATTACAAAATGGTGTCGTTCCATAAGAAGTAGTTTTATGTCCGGTGACGAATCAGGTGCAGCCACGTCAGTGGTATGGAGCAGTATCGGGCCATAGTACACAATGAGTGACGTGGTGCATTCTGATTGGCCTCCAGACGGCGTTTGGAATCCGCATAGAATAATTAATCGTCTTTCCATATGACTGGGGAGTGCATAAATTATACATAGTGAATTTTGTTGAGAAAGCTTGAAGAGTGTTATGGGGAGGGAGTTATTTTTAAGAGATCGTTCATTATATTGTCTAGAAAGTTTAACATAAATCTCAGCAATAATGTCAGGAATTAGAGGTGAGGTTGATAGCATATAACAACATTATAAGCAATGTTGTACGTCAATGTTTACAGGCCATAGTGAGTGACGAAGCCAATGGGCATCAACATTGGTCTTGATGACATGTATTGATCTTATAAGTGATGGAGTATGCCGAAGCTTTGTCAATTGAGGGCATTAATGAGTCATATGATAGTGCCTCAAGGATCATACACAGATGACGATGGGTGGACAACTTTAGTAAGGCATTGGTGGGTAAAATGATCATAACATGACGTGATGGGAGGATCATAATTAGGAGGCAGTGGTCGAATGATCACTGTCAAGTGACGATGATCAAAGGATTATAATCGAATAATTAATATTGGGCAGATAATCATAATCAGGTGATAATAATGAAAGGATCTTATTCAAATGATAGTAGTTGGAGGATTGAAGTTAAATAATGGTGATCAAATGATCGTAGTCAAATGATGGTGGTTGAAAAATCATAGTCAAGCGATAATTGATTATGAACAACTAAATAATAAAATAAAAAACAATGAAGTGGTTAAGCCTAATGCCTTGCATTAACCATTACTTAAGCATGTATATTTTTGTATATTTATATATTTAAATTTATAAATAATAATCTATAAAAACTTGCAAAGAGGAGGGGAGGTTAACCAGTAAGTAATTATTATATATATATTTAAATTTATCAATTATTCATAATATTATTTAATAAATATAATGAAGGGTTGGGATAATATTTGAAGAAATAAAATGAAAAATCAAGATTAAATGCAAGCAATTTTTATAAAACTAATATAGATAGATATATAAATTATAGATATTAATATGATATCATTCAATAATTATATATTATTCAAAATAAAATCAAATTTAAGTAAAATAAAGTCCCAAATACACTCTCACCACAAACCAAAATGAAAACGCTTATCCCCTCCCTCTCATCTCCACCGCACGCGCTTCTCCCCTCCTCTCCTCCGCCGTCGCCGTTGCCGCCGATCATCTCCCGCCGTCTCGCCATCACCCTCTCCCTCTCTCTCTCCTCCCTCACCTTTCCCTTTCCCTCTCTTTCCGCCGTTCTCCCTTCCCCCTGCCCATCCTCAGCCGCTGTAACATCCAAAGCCTTCCTCGACATTTCCATTGCCGACAAACCCGCCGGCCGCATCATTATCGGCCTCTTTGGCGCTGCCTCACCCGCCGCCGCGACAAGATTCGCCTCTCTGGCGTCCGGCTCCGCCGGCGTCAGCTTCCGGCGGAAAGAGTTTATCAAGATCGCCCCCACCTTCGTCCAACACGCCGGCGTCCGATCCTACGGCATCGACGCTGATCTCGCGCGCCGGGGTTCCGGCATGGACCTCGCCGCCGACGAACTCATCTCTGAGTGGGCGGCGGAGGCGGATCGATGTGCGGGCTTGAGAAGCACGGCGGGAACGGTGGGGATCGTGGTGAGGAATCCGGCAAGATCTGCGCCTGCAACCCGAATCGTGGCTAGGAATGGGCGGATTGAGGTGGAAGAAGAGGGTGAGGTGGGGCCCAACGGGACGGAGTTTGTGATTGCGACAAGGGATTCGCCGGAAATGGATGAGGCGGCGGTGGCGGTCGGGAGGGTCATTGATGGGATGGACGTGGTGGAGAAGATCGCCGGCGTTAGCGCGGTGAGAGATAATACTGGATCGCCATACTTCAGGTAGGGGATACCTAACTTTTTTGAACTCTTTTGGTTCAGTTTTATTTATATTTTACACTTTTTTTTTATTTATATTTTACACTTAGGTAACAACATCTAAGATGTTATTATTTTGATTTTTTTTAATATAAAATGTAAATTTTCTTTTCAAAAGGCTTCATTCAGGGGGAAATTATTACGCTTTATTCAGAAAGAAATTATTACATGCAGTCATCAAACTCTTTGGTGGCATATCAGAATGCGCCATGTCATCCAGTACACAGTACCGATACACAATAAAAAGTGACGTGACCCGTTCTAATTCGCCTCCGAACGGTATCCAGTGACCGCACGTAATGATTTCACTCATTTATGATTTTTTCTTACTACTTAAAATAACTTTTTAATATATTTTTTACTAAAAACTATTTTTTTTAAAACCGTCTCAAATAAAGCCTAAGAGAGTCAAATCGTTTCGTGGGTGGCTCAAGTTTGACTCCATAAATGATTTGTGAGTCAAACTCAATAAGCTGACAAGTCAAATTTGAGCCAACCTCGACTCTATTTATAATAGATCTTAATCTTATCTTCTATTGGAGCTACTCTAACCTTTTCACGTATATGCTCATTTCGTATCCCATCTCTAAGGGTAAAGCCACTCATCCACCTGAGCATCCTCATCTCTGCAACACTTAACTTAGTATTATTCTTCTCTTTTAATGGCCAACATTTAGCACTATAAAGCATTGCAGGCCTCACTACCAATATAAAAATAAATTATATTAATATAAAATATATTAACAAGTATAATTTAAAAAATAAAATTGTTAAAAACATTTAAAAATCATATCTCACTTATATAAATTATTTTTTAATCATTTTTCTTCTTATTTTTCATTTTTTACCGTGTTAAATAATTGATTGAATAATATTAATTCTCTCTTTCATTATAAACAAGTGTGCTCGTGAGCCGGCTCAAACACGTGGAATAAAGCTCGAGCTTGCAATCAAACCCGATTAATTAATCAAGTTAAAGCCATGAGTGATTCAAGCTCGAATGGCTGACCATCCACTGTTTTATAAATAATGACTTTCAAAGCCATTATTTTACCTTTGCAACATCACTAAAATTAAGGATGCATAAATGTTTTCAAAATTTTAAGATTATTTGGTCAACCATCAGATATAATAATTTACTCACAAGAAATCAGTAAAAATAATAAAATATCAATAAAAACATTTTATAAAATAAGAATATAAATATTTAGATAGAACAAAAAAAAAAAATCAAGGCTTTGCATATGAAGGTTGAGGATTACAACAATACTGGAATATAATACATGATTACAGACTTACAGTAATTTAAAAGTTCTCAACATTTGGAATTCTCAGAGCCAATGAAGCTGCTTTCTACCTGCTTCTCAAAGTTTATTTCAGATGATTTGAACTTGAATTTGAAGCCACTCTGACTCCATAAATTGATGCACATTACGGCCTGCAAACTTCCATGAGACAAGCAGAACTTTTGCTTCCGAATCTGATCTCCTTTGCTTGAAAACAACTCATCTGGATCAATGGAGGTTCCCTGCACAGCCAAATAGTCTCGAGCCATGGCGGAAAGTTGAGGGTATCTTGAACTATTCACCTTCCACCATTCTAAAACATCAGTTGCAAAAGGAGCCAGAGGTTCTGATAAATACTGAGACAGTTCATCGGCAGCGGCGTTCGTGGTCACCCGGCGGCGTTTTCGAGCGATTTCTTCAGCAAATGAAACAACATTCTCCTCCTCTGGATCTTGAGAATTGAAGCCATTGGACATGGAAGGGAACTGGCAACTTCCATAATGTCTTTTGAAATGGTTCTTAGCTTCTTCCAGGTTCTTTTCAGAGTTGAGTTTTTCAGGAATGAGCTCCTTCTTTAATCTTGGATCAAGAACTGCAGCCATGTATGTGAAGAGATTGTATCCCCGAGAGCTGAAACCTCGAGCTTGGTTTGCCATATCATCTGCAATGCTCTTCAGCCAGTCATGGCGGCAAGCATCTTTGCAAGTACTAATCAGTTCAAATACATGATCGACAAAGAAGAGAATCAGGCCAACTGTAGCGACCTTGCAGGTGCTTAGATTAGATGTGATTTTATGAAATGGTTCCAGGTAGGAATGCAATTTGTCAACCACGGATTTCTCTGTACTGTTCAGCAATAGATTTCTGCCTCCAAAAATTTCTTCATGCTTCTTAATGGTACTGTCCATGGAGTTTGATGCCTGCATAGTATGGATTGCAATTGATAAGAAACTGAAGAGTGTTAGACTAGTCCAGCTGGTCCATGCGGACCGGCCGAGGCAGAACTGAGGCGGAACCTCCGCCTCTTTCTGTGGCCGACCGCACCGCAAGCGCCCAAACTATCATTTTAGGAGGGTTTTTTTGAGGAAAATTTGAATGTAGGGACTGTTTAGGGATTTCCTTTTGATTTGTATGCATTAAATAGTTTGATTTCCTAGGGTTAGGGCATCTTGAATTTGGCTGAAATTTGATATCTCTTAGATTTAGGTTTCCTTTGGGCTCTAGCAGCGTCTAGAGATTTGGGAGAGATCGATCCTCCTCTCGAATAGAGGATCTAATGTATCTTGCTATTTTCCTTTTGGCTTTCATCAAGTAATACAAATTATCTACTGATTTTGTGATTTTATGCGGATTTTTGTGAAGAATTCTCGCTGCTTTTAGAAGATTGATGGGAAATACTTGTGATCTACAAGTGTTTCCTATCAAAGAGAAGATGAGTTTTTCGAGGATGAAGTGACTAGTTACCTTCCATACGAGGTCGAGCATTGCATAGTTTCCATTCCAAGTTGCTGAAGTATCAAGAGGGAATTTCCATGAACCTTCTTGATAGATTGTAGCCAATTGTTTGAAATCTTGAGCAAGTCCTGATACTTTGTTCAGCTCCAGTGCAAATTCACGGATCTTCGATAGTATTGGTTTTGGGCTTCTGAGACCATCCTCTATAATCTGGTTCAAGGCATGAGCAGCGCAGGGTATGAAGCAGAAGGGCACCTTGCGAGATTCCAATTCCTCTTTAAGGAAATGGCAAGCATTAAAAGTCTGTTGACTATTATCAATAGTGCAGGAGAGGACCTTCTTCTCCAGATTATACATTCTGAGGATTTCTATAATTGCATGGTAGATCTCTGAGCCTGTGGATGGATAAGGAATGTGACGCAAATCGAGAAGAACTTTGTGTAAGGACCAATTCTCATCAATCCAGTGACAGTAAATGAACATAAAATTCAATTCTTCATGAGAGGTGAAGAAATCCAGAGTGATAGAAACTTTAGAACTGATACGCTCTAATAATGTTTTTACATCTTCTCTCATAGCTCTGAAGACTTCTAATGAAACAGCCTCGAACTTGTCTGAGGACCAAAGTGTGACTGATGAATTGAGAAACTTAAGAGAATTTAAGAACCCAACATCCTCAAAAACTGAAGGAGAAATTGAGGCTCCAATATACCACTTGAGCAATAACCAATTTAAATGATCAAAATTGGAATCTCCTTCAGTTGCAGGTTTCAGTAGAGAGAGAGGAGACTTAGAAGATAGGGAATCCTCTAGAGCTTGTTGGGAAGAATTACCCAGCTTATCATATCCTGGATGCCGAATATTGAGATGTCTTCCAAGATTGCCTATGTGCACGACAAGTCAGCAAACAAAACCAATATTTCAAAATCCGGAGGCACAATTTTCAAAATAATCACTTACAAAACTTGTTGATGTCAGGTGCAATATTAAAAGTTGAATCAAATGTTAATCATGAATATGATGCTAGGATTAAGCAAAGCAAAAAATAGTTAGGATTGTGATGCGGACATCCGACGGTAAACGTTAATCAAAGGAAGAGATGAAGATCAATGGTCAAGATCTCTCCATATTTTATCTTAGTTTATTAATTGTATTTTTTATTTAATTATGCACTTTATGTTTTTAGTTTTTACCCTTACTTAAGGGTCTTGTCTTATATAAGCCCAATAGATAAAGTTGTTTTTTAGTTTCATTTAAGGCATATATATAGAAACCCTTGCTCTTGTATTATGCAATGATGGAACATTAGATCTTTAATTCTTATTACCCCTCCATTCTACATCAGATTGGTTAATAATGATAATGATTTCTTAATGACAGATTAATCTCCAAATAAAAATGAGATGCAAATCACTATTATAAATTAGAGATATTTATGCACATAACACCAAAATCATTCTTATTTATAAAAGTAGCATTCAAGTCATTTTTTTGAACTATCAAACATATGTATATGCGGTTTCATGATTAAAACATTGTGAATTTGATAAAAGCAAAATATATAGGTTATAGTTTTGCTGTGCATGTTAATATATGGGTTTAAATTTGAAAATTAGATATTTGAGCATGTTAATTTTATGAATAGTCAATATTTCTGAGCTATTTGTGAAATTGCCTTAACCTATTACCACTACCAATGGCATATAATGGGGTTAATCAACTGATATTTTCTTCTTAAATGTCAAAGGAAGATTAAATACTTTCCACAACACTCAGTTTTGACCTTGAACCTTTGATCTATAAAATCCATAAAATAGAAGCTAGCAATTCTAAGTTTTATACAGATTTCTGCATAATTGGTAATCACCTGTTGCAGTAGCTATAGAATAGCTTTGTTTGCAAAATCTACATCGTCTACTCTTCCCATTAGGGGCAGTTTCAAAGAACTTGAGATACAAGGAAGTCATCGACTTCTTCTTAGGTTTTGGTGCTGAAGAAGCATCTCGTTTCTCTGGTGTAACATCCAGAGGTTCTACGAAGGGTAAAAGTGGCACGTCTGTAATAGTTTTAGTATCCATATCTGACAAAAAAATGGAAAATCAGTATCAATAAAAGGTGCCAAAAGAACATAGTAGAAGAAATTGAAGCTTTCAACTGATTTTTGCCTCTAATAAACCAGAATCTTTATTAACATGAATTTAAAATACATAAAAGATCTTTGAGACATTCACTATGTTTATAGATTCCATTTTAACTGCCTCATTGGAAAAAGTAGACCAAATTTCTCAATCAAAATAGTGGTGAACTTGGAATATTAGGTCAACATATTCAACAAAAATCTGAGATGCAAATCGAATGGGGATAGACTACTTTCTCATGATAGTTTAAAATACTAATCAACAAAAAATTTCAAATCTCAGACAATTAACGTCAAAGTAGATAATTTTCACTGTTATGGATACCGATACTTAAATATCCTAGATACTTGACTAGATGTTCAAAACACCTATTTTATATTTGTAACCAATTTAGGTTTATCATATTTTTGGTGAGAGCCCGATATATCTTGATTATCAACAAACTTAAGTTATAAACATCTCTACTTGAATTCCAGCAGGCAATGTTTGGCTGAATAATTTTATTTGAACAAAATCATTGCCTTGTTAAATCTAGAAAAGATTTTCCAAATTCAAATGAAAATTTCAAATATCCAGTTAAATCTAAACAAAATGCAGATACATAAGAGCACAATGGCTACTTAGAACATGTTCTATATCCCCAACAAAGGCAATTGATAGTTGATTGGTTTAGAAGAACATAAAGTTCGGGTCCTCTTGCGGAGCGAACAAAGAAATAAATGAGGACAGTTCATGTTTTACTTTCTAATAAATAGCTATAAAAATCACTTAAAGCATGGTAAAATAAATTGCTTTAGTCATAATATTGATAAGTAAACGTAAAATGCAAAAAGAAAGGTTATGAATAGATATCCATCATAAGTAGACAAGAATAGAAATCATCTTTGATTTATTCGAAAATCAAAGAATGAGAAGAAGAAGAAAACCTTTCATGCCTTTAGGTGTATTACTCCACTCCATCTCGTGAAAAATTCTTTATTAGTTGAAACTGCATGAAAATTCAAAGAAAATTCCAGTAAAACTAGAAAATCTTGATGGAATCATGGATTGAGGACACTATGCATAATAGGACAATGTGTGTAAAAATTTTTGCTATATTCTAAGTTGCTCTGGTAACTAAAAATCTGAAAAAGTGCAGAAAATAATATTAATTTTTCATAAAATAGAGCTTAAGCATAAGCCCATACAGCTTGGAAGATGTAATATGATTTCACATACATATAGCAAAACCCAACACATGTTATTCCTCCTATCTAGGATATTACCATACAATGAACATAATGAAAGAAAATTGTTGTTACCCTACGATACAATATTATAATATGATGTACTAATTTCTAGTAATAACTATATAAGCGAAAGAAAAATAACTGTTGAATAGTAAACCCAAGTAAGTAGTTCACCCAAATTTCACAATTATAAGGATACTGTGTTCTTCTAATTTCTTGTTAACATACCGAATCAGAATGTCTCTCTCATGCTCATGGACTTCTACAAATAGCACAGAAAATATCTTCATTCTCCTTTAAGTATTCAAGCAACAGGATTGAGAACCACATCTTAAAACTGCTTCATTTGAAGATCTAAGTCCATTTGAACATGTTCATCCTATAAAACTTGTAGGTAGAGAGTCAAACTCTGCCTAAAAACTGGATATCAAGGGAAAAGTACAAATTTTTTAAGGTTAAAGAATATCACTAGAATAGTGGACCAGTGTCGGATTTATAAAATGGAGAAAGGTGTTAAGAAAACTCCATGCTCGTATAATATTCTATTGCGCTTCACACAGTGTGACAAGACATGAAGATGAATTTTGTGTTAAGATTACCTATGAATGGCCAAAGAAATGATTTCATAATAGTGGTAGTTGATAGGTTTTCTGAAATAGCACATGTAGTTCTGTTTTCTAGGAATTTTTGTATCTCTATGTGGCAAAAATATTTTGGGAGATTTACATACATACCATCCTATACTACTCTATTTACATATTTAACACCGAAAACTTTAATATTACATACATGCCACCCATAGTTCATTTTCATATCAAATATGAGTGGTAGAAATGAAATATATGAGAGGTAGGAAAGAAATATGAGTGGTATATTTGATATTAAAATATAGGGTGGTATGTATGTAATATTAAAATTTTGGGTGTTAGATATGTAAATATGATGCTATAAAGTGGTATGTATGAAGAAATCATTCGTGTATATGATCTACCCGCTTCCATTGTGTCTGATAAGAATGTAAGGTTTGTTAGATATTATCTAAAATAGTATGAAAACTATTTGGAATGCAAATCAAGTTTTTATTTGTATTTCAACCCAAGAAATGGACAAACAGAAATTGAGAATAAGAGTCCAGGAAATTTACCAAATTATCTTATCAGCAATAGCTTCAGAAATTCGGAGTTACCATGATTATAGATGAAATTGCTTTTAACGGTTCTATCAACACTACCACTAAAAAATCACCCTTTGAGGTAGTGTATGGGACACAACATACAAATCATATACATCTCATATCCTTACTCGTTGATTCTGCTATAATATTGTAGGGCAGATGCATAAGTGGTATTATAATATGAAAGCCCAATTTGATTTGTAAATAATAAGTAAATAACTAGAAAGGATGCTAATAGTATAGCACAATAATATAATAAAAGTGATTATTTGTAAGTTTGTATTTTCCCTAAATGCTTCCCATGTAACTACTTCAAATAATTTCATTCCAGAATCTCATGCCCCTACAAAAAACTTATAAAGCTTAGATCAAATGAATATATTGTTAGTTTGCCTCTCAACATGAATATTAGATCAACTTTTAACATTGAGGATCTAATCCCATATAAAGGTACTTTTGAGCCTCTATAAATTCAAGCAAGTATCTTTACTGATGGAGTTTTTACATTCACGCCAACAACACTTAATTCCATTTTTGCCTTTGTGAAGCCCCTTAAGTGAATGAAGTTAATTTTTAACTATTAGAATTTCATTAAAAACTCTAAAATTAATCATGCTCATATAGGAGCACTCTTGGGATAAGTAATCTCCAAAGAAGTCATACCAATGGGACAACAATGAGGACATTAGGCCGAAGAAGACAATATCTTAATCGTTGAGAGTTTGGATCATTACAATTGGGATCATAATACACCAGCTGAAAGATAGGAACTAATTGCTACTATCTACCAAGTGGATAATTATGGGCTATGGATACCGAGAAGGATGCCAATTACTTGAGTGGGGAGATTGTGAAACTCCTTAAGTTGAAAGAACTAAACTTTTTAAACATTATGGTGCCTTTTGATGTTATGGTTAGAATTTCATCAGAAACTTCAAAGTTAAGCATACTCGTATAGAAGTAATCATTAGATGGATGACCTCCTTGGAAGTTACAACAATTGGCCAAAATCATGAGGCCAACAAGCCAAAATCAATAATATCTCGATCGCTAAGAATTTTGGTTCTAACAGCCTTCAACTCTCTTGGCACTCCAATAATTGAGCAAACTGTCACACAAAGTAATATAAATTTTTCAGGCAAACAATGTTAGTTTATCTACTAGAAAGGACTTGTCGACAGATGGCTCATAGGTGATTGATAATGAGCTTCAACACATCCGCTCTGACCTTCTAAAAGAGTACCTTAACCATCTATAAAAGAGTTTTTCACACCCTGAGGGAGTTGATAGTAGTTTTGCAATTCAAACTTATGTTTGACAATGACTTAATTAAATAGTATTTTTTTATTTTTATTTTGAAGATTAAAATGATGCCAGATGAATCGAGAATGAGTGTGTTGATTCATATTTTTAAGAATAAAGGTGATGCACACGATTGTGCGAATTATAGAGGATTTAAGTAAATGTGTCGTACTTTAAAACTATGGGAGAAAATTATGGAGTATAGGTTGCATCGTGATACTAATGTTTCTCAAAATCAATTTGGATTCATGTCAGATTGATCAACTATAGAATCTATAAATTTATTGAGAGATTTGATGGAGAAGTATAGAGAGAATAAGGAGGATCTACATATGATTTTTATTAATTTAGAGAAAGCATATGATAAAGTTCCAAGAGAAGTGCTATGGAGAGTTCTAGAAAATAGAGGGGTTAATAATGCTTATATTCAAGTTATTAAGGATATACATGTAGGAGTTGCTACTTGTGTTCAGACATAAGGTGGTTTGACCAAGTATTTTCCTATTTCAATTGGATTACATCAAGGATCAGCCTTAAGCCCATATCACTAGACATTTACAAGAGGTTGTACCCTGGTGTATGTTTTTTTATGATGATATTCTTCTTATTGATAAGACTAGAGAGGGAGTTGAACGTAAACTTGAATTATGGAGGTCAACGTTAGAGTCTAAAGGCTTTCGTTTGAGTATATCTAAAACTAAATATATTGAGTGTAATTTTAGTAATAATAGTTCTTGTAGGGGATTGTGACTTTGGGTAATCAAGTCATTAATAAGAGTACATATTTTAGACATCTTTGATCTATAGATGGGGATACTATTAGTAGAATTCAAGTTGGATGGATGCAGTGGAGGAATGCATCGGGCTTGTTGTGTGATAGAAAAATCCCCCTCAAACTTAAGGGAAAATTATATAAGATGGTGGTTAGATCTATAGTGCTTTATGGTGTAGAATGTTGGCCATTAAAAGAGAAGAATAATATTAAGTTAAGTGTTGCAGAGATGAGAATGCTCAGGTGGATGAGTGGCTTTACTCTTAGAGATAGGATACGAAATGAGCATATACGTGGAAAGGTTGGAGTAGCTCCAGTCGAAGATAAGATTAGAGAGAATCGCCTTAGATGTTTTGGTCATATAAAACGGTGGCCTTTTGATGACCCGATTAGGAAAGTATATGTATTAGATTTTACTTACGTTAAGAAAAGTAGAGGTAGACATAAAAAGACTTTGTTAGAAAATATTATAAATGATATTTATTTATTAGATTTAAATGAGAATTTAACTTTTAACATGGCACAATGGAGAAAAAGGATTCATTTTGTCGACCCCACATAGTCGGATAAAGGCTTGATGTTGTTGTTGTTGTATTTATATTTTTGAAATTTTTGAATTTGTTTAGTTAGCGTTATTCCTTATCATGTTATTTTTATTAGGACTCATTTTTCCTAATAATGATGTAGCTTTATTTTCTTGCAACATAAGGCGCCGCACACTATAATAAATAAGGATCCTAGAGGCTAGATTGAATCATAAAGCATTGGCTACTATTGATTTCTCATCTCTCTAACTTATCTATATCTTTTTCTTCCTCTCTCTCTCTCTCTCTCTCTAAATATATATACATACAAGCATGAATGCATACACAAAAAAAACATGTATGCATACATGGCATATATGAATGCATAAAGACTAAGAGAAATAGCCAAGTTGCATTCAACCAAGTCTCATGGAATATAAACACACACACACACACACAAGCATGCCTGCATAAAGAAATACATATGTATACATGACATACATGATGCCTATATAAAGACAGAGAGATCCAGCTCAAAAAATAAAAAATAAAGACAGAGAGATAGTCAAGATGGGCTCAATCGAGTCAATGTCTAATAGAATTAAATTAAGTCAAGCTAAAATTTTAGCTCGTGGAATAATTATTTTTAAACTTTGATCCAAACAATAACGATTCCATATTCAAGTGGCATTCTGGTCAAAATATCCTTCATATTCATATGTGATAGCATAATTAATAGTTTGACTTACTACCTAATAAATAATAAGAATTAAATTTTTTTCTACTATGAAGAAAGAGATATTATTTCATCCACTCCAATAAACACATATTCAACATCTTCCATATAATGAATATTATTAAAATGTGATGTTGGTCTAGTGCTTCCTCAAATATTAAACAACTCTCTTATGTACAACATCTTAGAATATATGCAATAAAATATATCAACTTTGTGGGTGTGGTTGCTCATGAAGAAAATAGCAATTAGGAAAACACTCAAAATCACATCATATTTATGACAATACTTAAAATATATATTAATCACTAGCTTATAACCAAAATAAATAATGTGTTATTAAATGCATACTACATCACTGCTACAATGTGTGTAAAGAGCTTATCAATTCCCCATTTTTCCAAATCATAAAAATCAAGAAGATAGAATATGAAGATGCTCTGATGATGCATCCAAAACACCTAAACCTCAAGTCATTTTAGGATACGAAATGAGCATATACGTGGAAAGGTTGGAGTAGCTCCAATCGAAGATAAGATTAGAGTGAATCGCCTTAGATGGTTTGGTCACATAAAATGGTGGCCTTTTGATGACCCAATTAGGAAAGTAGATGTATTAGATTTTACTTACGTTAAGAAAAGTAGAGGTAGACATAAAAAGACTTTGTTAGAAAATATTAGAAATGATATTTATTTATTAGATTTAAATAAGAATTTAACTTTTAACATGGCACAATGGAGAAAAAGGATTCATATTGCCGACCCCACATAGTCGGATAAAGGCTTGATGTTGTTGTTGTTGTATTTATATTTTTGAAAATTCTGAATTTGTTTAGTTAGCGTTATTCCTTATCATGTTATTTTAATTAGGACTCATTTTTCCTAATAATGATGTAGCTTTATTTTCTTGCAACATAAGGCGCCACACACTATAATAAATAAGGATCCTAGAGGCTAGGTTGAATCATAAAGCATTGGCTACTATTGGTTTCTCATCTCTCTAACTTATCTATATCTTTTTCTTCCTCTCTCTCTCTAAATATATATACACACAAACACATACAAGCATGAATGCATACACATAAAAAACATGTATGCATACATGGCATATATGAATGCATAAAGACTAAGAGAAATAGCCAAGCTGCATTCAATCAAGTCTCATAGAATATAAACACACACACACAAGCATGCCTGCATAAAGAAATACATATGTATACATGACATACATGATGCCTATATAAAGACAGAGAGATAGTCAAGATGGGTTCAATCGAGTCAATGTCTAATAGAATTAAATTAAGTCAAGCTAAAATTTTAGCTCATGGAATAATTATTTTTAAGCTTTGATCCAAACAATAACGATTCCATATTCATGTTGCATTCTGGTCAAAATATCCTTCATATTCATATGTGATAGCATAATTAATAGTTTGACTTACTACCTAATAAATAATAAGAATTAAATTTTTTTCTACTATGAAGAAAGAGATATTATTTCATCCACTCCAGTAAACACATATTCAACATCTTCCATATAATGAATATTATTAAAATGTGATGTTGGTCTAGTGCTTCCTCAAATATTAAACAACTCTCTTATGTACAACATCTTAGAATATATGCAATAAAATATATCAACTTTGTGGGTGTGGTTGCTCATGAAGAAAATAGCAATTAGGAAAACACTCAAAATCACATCATATTTATGAAAATATTTAAAATATATATTAATCACTAGCTTATAACCAAAATAAATAATGTGTCATTAAATGCATACTATATCACTGCTACAATGTGTGTAAAGAGCTTATCAATTCCCCATTTTTCCAAATCATAAAAATCAAGAAGATAGAATATGAAGATGCTCTGATGATGCATCCAAAACACCTAAACCTCAAGTCATTTGATTATCAGAACTTGACAATGATATTAACGCCAAAGCTCAGCATAAGGTCTCATACACCTTTGATTAGTACATGCCTGCAAATTCAAATGGGCTTGCATGTGAAGCAGTAAATTAAAACAACAAAAAATCATCTTGAATGCAACCTACAAACTAATATTTTAATAGGTTGATTAATTACAACTATTTTCAGAAGATTGTTGAAACTTAACAAACTTTAACTCTCAAGCTTTCACACAAGATTTAAAACTTTAGATTCTTTTCTTTCATAAATCTTAAATACTAAAATGAATAATATAACAGTTTATCAGTATGGAGTAAAATGTAATACTTGATATGCCAAACAATTTTAAGGTTTTACTCCCTTAAGGTTTATCACATTTGGATTTACAATATTTACCAAATCTTATTTGAGTTAAATCCTACTCCTAGCCAAACTGCCCAAAAAAGCATAACTCTTGTTCCAATCATAGAGTACATGAATGGGCTGTTTGGCTGAAGTAGGATTTTAACTTAAGCAGGATTTAATAAATCCTGCATACCCAGATTTAGCAAAGCTTAAGAGGATTAAAACTTGGAAACTGTCTAGCAGACAACTATTAAATCTTGTTAAATTCTAATAAATTGTTTGAAATATTTCTTTTCGGGATTTAAGATTTGTAAGAGGAAAATCCTTAAATCCGTTAAACTGTGTGATGGCGGGATTTGATAAATCTTGGATTTAATCAACAACGGAGCGGAAACAAGATTTATTAAAACAGTGAGATCTACAATCCCCAAAATTATGTTATAATCTGGCCTTAAAAAGGATACCAAACAGCCCTAGCGAGTTTCCTATTTTCTCACGTGAATGAAAACTAAACGAGCATGATCCATCAATTCCCAATATGTTCCACCTTTTACCTCAGCTAGAGATCGCCACCACGAAATCAATGTCCGTCCACGCCGCCGTCGTCGGAGGTCGGTGGTGAGTGTGAGCTCCCGCAAGCCGCCGCCGGTGCAGATCCGGTCAAAGAAGAGATCCGAAAGCACGCCGAATACGAAAGTCGATCTTAGCCAAGAAGAGCCGATCTGAACTCGAGATCAGTCGATGAGTCAAAGCTCTAAGCAGAGCCGACGACGCGTTGACGCTTCTGGTCGGCTTCCTCGCGCCTCTCTCTCTCCCCTACTTTCTCTCTCTTCTGAGTGGGAACTAAATCGGCTCGGCTACGAGTGGGGCAAGACGCGCTACCACTAATAATTTAATTAGACTTAAATAATGAAAATTTCAGTAAATATTTTAATTAAAAATGTAATTATGTTTTAGTTAAATTTTACATTTAATAATTTACATATTATAATATTAATAGTAGTTGAAAGACTTTAGTCCTAATTTTGTATAAAAATCTATCATAAAAAATAAAAGAGAAATTATCAGAGACATCAGAGTTTTTTCGCCAGCGTTCGTCTTCATTGATGTCAATGAAGTGAATTGGCCTTTTGCACGATGGTATGAGTCAATTATGTTGGTGATGGCGAGTGTTAATGCAACCATATGATAGTCATGTAAAAGTTCGTAGATGGACAATGATGGCCTAAAATGTCGCTGGAAATTGATTATTAAAAGACCTTGTGAGAGAATATATTACATATTTGTAATTTTTTATTTTCATAATTAAATATGACGTAAAGAATAACATTACCGTTGACTTTTCCTACTAAATATGAGGAAGATAAGGTTTCTTTTATTCTAATGTGCATATTCCATACAAAGGAAAAATTTTATGATTAATTACATTAAAAAGGAAAAAACAAATTTCTTGAGAATTTTATTTGTTAAAATAGTGATAAATATTTTTATGATTTTAAAATTGAGAGAAGAATGTACTTGAAAATTTAAATGAGATATATTCAAATTAGGAATGGTTATTTTAAGGAGCGGAACAATGAAAAAGTACTAAACATTAGATTTTGAGAAGTTTAGAAGTACTCTAACCTATCGTATGTTAGACTTTAAATTTTTGAAAATTTTGAATGTAATATATAGAATATACATTTTTTTTTAAAAAACTATGCCGAACGTATCTTCAATAGAGGATTAAAATAAGCGCGAGAAGTGACGATTTTTGACATAGCAAATGAGAAGTTATCAATCTCAAATCATAAATCCAAGGTGAGAACTGTTATATAAGCATTAACTCAAACTCAAGTTTAACTAATTGTAATAAACTTATAACTTTCAACCGCATTGAGAGTTTATAAGAAAATCTGACTTTACTGGATTTACAATCATGTCAAGAAAGAATTGTTAATCGCTGTAAAACCTTGATATCAAAATCTGTGTGTTGACTGTTAAAATATAATACTTTGTATATGATGAATAATTATTAAGTCCGGACACTGGACGTAGCTCTACATCCGGAGGCCAATAACATGTCGCCACGTGCTCTTACTCTTTACAGCGCGGCCCGACGACCTGACCCGGATCGGAACCTGGTATTGCTATGTTCGTGTATTGCTAGATATTACTCGGTATTGCTATGTATTACTTGACAATAACGAGAAATACAGCTATGTCAAGACCAATACCTAGTAATACTGAACAATATCGAGCAATACCGAGCAATACCTAGCAAACCGGGGTATTGCTCGGTATTAGTCTTGACATAATGGTACTTGTCGTTATTGCCGAGCAATACCTAGCAATACCTCGATCTGCACAAATCAGCAAATACATAGAAATATCGGGTCCGGTCGTCGGGCCGTGCGGTAAAGAGTAAGAGCACGTGACACCATTTTACTAGCATCCGAATGTAGAGCTACGTCATGACACCAAACCTAATAAAAATTCGTGTAGGAGGGTAGGCCGACGAGTTTTTCTTTAGAGATGGTTTGTAATGTCATCCCGATTGTATATGCAATAAAATCATTAATCGCTTTAAAGCCTTTATATCAAAATGACAAAATCTATATGCATTAAAATAAACTAAAAATGCATTCAAAATTCTAAAATAAAATAGATTGCTTTTAATCCTCTTCTAAGTTCTAACAAATTAACTTCATTTTAAAAATATCTACACTTTATTTGTTTTGCTCACACAAAAAATCCTTAAAACAAGCAAACAAAGAGACTAGCACAACGGGACTGTGTGTGGCCTACGAAGTAAGGTAATCGTATCATGTCGGGCTATAGGCCCGACCCGGCCCATTAATTACCCAAAAAAGTAACTTTGTGTTGATTCTTATCTTAAGCACCGTCAGCCGCCTCAACCCCACCAAACTGACCGCTTGTACTCGGTTGGCATTTTATAACGGAATATTCCACAAATACTTTTTCTTTCATAAATACCCTTCACTTTTTGCCTTAACTTCAATTTCGATGAGACATATTGGCCACGTGAAGCGGGCATTTTAGGTAATGACTCCATCCGAGAACAATCTGTTCTGTAATGTAAAATGACGAGAATACCCTTTGGAAGGTGAATGCGTCTGCTGTCCCAAACGGTAAGATATGCCACAAATATTAAAAAGGACAGGAATTTTAATATATATATTTATTTACCAATAGCTTAATATTTAGTTACAATATTATATTTATGTATATATATATATATTTCGGGTCAAGGGTCAGGTTCGGGTTGAACCCGAAATTGACCCGGCACTATTCGAGTCAATCTAAACCCGGCCAATTTTTGCAAACAGCTCGATTTTTCGGACCCAAACCCGAGCATCTTTGGGTTTGGGTCAACTCGACCCGACCTGCGAACACGACAGAAGTTGGTTGCCAACAACAGGCCTACGGCCTGCGCAACGTCATCACTAGGGATGGCAGGACGCTAAGCGACAATAACGAGCAGGCTGGTCAGCACAAAGGGAAAACCGTCCTGGACGCAGTGCGGGACAACTGGGATGCGGCACGGGCAGCACGGGTCATTCTCCAGTTTCCGGGTCAACCCGACCCGATTTTTAAAACGGGTTGAAAATCCTAATCCGACCCAGTTCTAATTGGGGTAATCCCGAACCTGGAGGAATTTGGGGAGCTCTCTTGCCACCGACCACTATCGGGGTTATAGCCGACCACCGTTGGAGTTAATCCCAACCTCCGTCGGAATTCATGTCGACCATCGCCGGAGTTCCTGCCGACCACCGCCGGAGTTCATGCCGACCACCGCCGGGGTTCCTGTCGACCACCGCTGGGTTTCCTACCGACCATCGCATGAGTTCCTGCCGACCACCGCCGGAGTTCCTGCTAACGTACGCCGGAGTTCTTTTCGGCCACCGGCGGACATCCGCCAATTTACTAAACATCACAGGACTTCCGCCAATCTGCCAACTACAGTCCTCCCAACCACTGTCATTCGATTACGGTCATCCAGATTTTTGTCGCGTGTTGATTACAATCTTTCGAACCTCTGTTGCCCACCTACTACGGTCCTCCCGACCTTCGTCGTCCGATCCTTCTGATCTCCATCATCTGCCGATAAATGGTCCTTCTGACCCCCCATCACCTATTAACTACGATCCTCTCGACCTCCATTGCCATATAACGATCCTTCTGCCCTATGTCGTTCGCCGACTATGGTTTTGCCACAGACACAAACATATCAACGCTGATTCTTCCAACTCCTACTATACAATACACACTATATGATGCATATTTGCTACTTCGATCCAAGGCCTTCCTCCTAAGGAAGGGCCTCATTTGTAATCAATTGCAAGCACTAGTGCATTCATTCAAACTGGGCTAGGCCCCATGGTCTTCCCCCCTTTTTAGGGGTTTCCACGTAAAAATTCTGGTGTCTCTTATAAACTTTACACCCTCTCCTTTTTTTTTGTTTGTGTGCTGGATCTTCGTACAACGCTAAGACGTTAAACTTTATCACTCTCTACCGCCGCGAATTTTCCAGGACGCAACAATATATATAATTAAAAAATATATCTTTGTTATTCATAGGGCCAGGTTCGGATTGAATCAGAAATTGACCCGGCACTATTCAAGTCAATCTGAATCCGACCATTTTTTTACAAATGGCTCAATTTTTTGGAGCCAAACCTGAGCATCTTTGGGTTTGGGTCAACCTGACCCGACTCGCGAACACGACAGGAGCTGGTTGGCAACGACAGGCTGACAGCCTGCGCAACGTCATCACTCGGGATGGTGGGACGCTATGCGATAACGACGAGCAGGCGGGTCAACACAACAGGCAAATCGTCCTAGACGCAACGCGGGACAACTGGAACGCGGCACGGGCAGCACGGGTCATTCTCCGGTTTCCAGATCAACCCGACCCAATTTTTAAAATGGGTTGAAAATCCTAATCCGACCCAGTTCTAGTTGGGGTCATCTCGAACTCAAAAATTTCGAATCGAGTTTTCAGGTCGTGTCAAGTATTGACACTCCTGGTGGGCCTTAATCAGCTAATTTTGGAAGCAAAATTATTAACGAACATTACTTTTAAGGATTAGAGATGTGATGTTGGTTACATTAATAGATCTCGATTTCATTAAAAGTCACCACCCTTAAAGAAAACAACTATTGTAACTCTGCTCTCTTCACCTTTGAAAAATGATAATTTTTGTATGAATATGCTAATTAAATTTAACTTTTTAAATAATTTTAGCCTTTCAAATACAACAATTTTATCAAATTAAAACTCTTAATGATCATTTTTTTTTCTTTTAGTTTTATTCTATATCTATTTGATTATAACCCAAACAATCCTTAAATGCTAATTATTATTACATAATCACTTGAAAAAACTATCATCATAGTATTATAAAATCAAATCATTAAATAATAATTAATTCATTTTATCATTTTATATTATTCCGGCCATTGTTATGTTTCATCATACAATCCTTAAATGCAAAATAATATTTTTTTAAAAAATAATATATTCACTTTTTGAAAAAAAAAACATGCATTAATTTATTAATTTCAATATTCCAATTACATTATGTACTATCACCACTTATATTTCATAGAATTATAAAAAAATGGTTTTTTTGTCTAAATGAATTAAATAAATAAAAAAGTTACAATTAGAAGCTTTTAGAATTAAATTCAGGGAAATGTGAATTTAAATTTTAACAAATTTTTAGTCGAAATTTAAAAAATTTGATCCACTAATTGATATATTGATAGGTCAAATATTTAAATGATTATAGTTAAAATAAGCTTCTTTATGAGAGGAATCCAATGATTTCAATACCGCACAATTATGAAATCATTAAGGTACTTAAATATTTAAAGAATGATCTACGGTTGAAGAAATTAACACAAGCCATCCGGTAGAGTGATTTGTTGGAACATTTGTAAAGTCAGTGTACATTTTAATATGTTCTAACACGATTTGAAAAAGATAATTTGTTATATTTCTGCATTTGAGTCCTTATGTATGTGTATATGAATGTTTGTATGCATGAGTTTTTAAAGTGGGTCCCGAGGGTCCCGGGGGTCCCGGGAGTCTGTTTGGATGTTTGAAAAACTTGAAATTTTTCCAGTAGGGCGCCACTTTGCTGGGTTCAGCGGCACTGTAACACTGATGCTCTATAATTGTTTTTTTGCAAATTAATTATGTGCTTTGGCATCCGAAGGGCATAGTGGTGTCATGGGTTCCTAAAGGGGGTGTTGTGGCCTGCGTCGCGACGCCACCACAAATTTTAATATTTAAAATATATAAATTAACTTTTCATCTCATTTCTTTTCCTTAAGGGCTAACGGCTCAACACATATAGAGGAGGATTCTATAGAGATAAAGTATGTTTTTGTGCAACTTCGAATTCGATCCTTTTCCAGTCAATAGCCCAGTTCTAAAAGTTGTTTGAATAGAGGTATTTTTTATTTTGGCTATCTCAGTAAAAAAAAATCTAAAGTATCCAATTAAATTAATATTTCGATAAAAAAAATCTAAAGAATCAGAAGTTACAACATTTTGATCAGGAGCAACAACGGGAGTTTGCTCGTTGTCTATGAAAGGTAACTTTCTCCCTTTCGTGCGCTTCTTCGACCAAATCCCATAAATATGCATAACCTAACTAAATAATTATGATCAAAACTCGGTCATTCTCGGGTTTCTGGGTCAACCCAAACCTGACTCGGAATTTCAAACGAATCGAAAACTAGGACCCGAAAAATTTTCACACTAATGATGAATTGCTAGTATTGAATTTGAAACGAATCGAAAATTTTCGTGTTGAATTTGAGTTGGATTTTTGGGTCGTGTCCACTATTGACACCCATAAATTCAATACTAGCTATTCAACATTATTGCACTAATATTAAATAAAACTTTGCAAAATTTTTTTTTCATAATTGATGATTAGATCAACTAAAATTCTTTCAGATTTACCCTTCTAATCATAATATTTATCAATAAAAATATAAAATTTATGTTTATACTCACAGAAATAAAAATAAAAAAAAATTATTTTTGTTAAAAAAGAAAGAAAGAACATTATGCCGTTAACATGAAAACAAGAGAACCACACGTTAACTTCCGCGATCCTCGGCGCAACACACCAACAAGTTTAAAATAATAAAATATAGTAACCATCAAGTAGGGGTAGTTTCGTCCACAAGAAAAACAGAAAGACCCACTACATGTGGTCTGTGAGTCTATCCGACCGATAAAAAATTAAGAAATTTCAGAAAAGCAAAGAAATCTCTCTCTCAGATTTCTGCCCAAAAAAAGGCTGTGTTCGATTACGCCACGCCTCAAATCGTCTCCTTTCTATCTATTTCGTTTATATACACTTCCAATTGGTTCAGGTTGTCTTTGGCTCTTGGATCCGCTCAATTTCTAGGGTTTTCGCGAACTTCTTGCTCCAAAATCTTGAATTTTGGCGTCCGTTAGGGTTTCTATGAAGGAAGAGGTTTTGTGATGTTTACACCGCAGAGGAAGGGTTGGGCTGGGTTGGGCTTGCAGGAGAACGGTTCGGTGGTGCGGGCGAACCCTAGGAGTTCGTTGGGAGGGGTTCTTGGTCGGGGAAAGGGTGTGGTTGGGGCGGAGGAAACTCCAGTGCCGCCGCCCAAGGGGTTGTTGGGGGACAAAGATGGCGAACGGGCGGATATTGGTGTCGGTGGCAGTGGCTCTGAGGATTGGAAGAGGTTTAGGGAGTCGGGGCTTCTGGATGAGAAAGTGCAACTGAGGAGGGACAAAGAAGTGCTGACAGGGAGGGTTTCTGCGCTGGAGATTGAGGTTAGTGATCAAAGCTGTTTTCTTTTTTATGTTTGTGTTGTTCTTTTTGGACGGTGGCTACCGAGTTTTGATTATTCGAGTTTTTTTTTTATAATTTTTTTTATTCTAGTTATATCTAGAGTGCATTTGCTATTGTAAAGTAGGGAATGCTGTTTTATATCATTTCTCTCTTGCCTAAGTATAGGCGTCAATCTGAAATTTATAAATATTGTATAAACTGGTATCTATCTTTGGTTTGGTGTTAGCACTATTTTAGAAGCAGGCTACTTGATTAGAAGTGATAGATCTAAAGATAGCTTCATTGTTATGGATAGATAGTAGAACACTAACATCAAGATTTGTGAATTTTTAGACTAATCGCAAGTAGCACTGTTTTGATGAGCGCAATCATTGTAAAAAATAGAGAAAGCTTTGTGATTTTATCATACATTTGATGGTTATATATTCAGCGGTGCAATCTAAAAACACAACATTAGGATTGCAAACTAAAAATCCTCCTTATCATAAACATATACAAACACATATATAATATCATAATACTATAATACAACACCTTACAAGTTATATATTAAGAGAAGAAAGATACAGATGGGGCGGAAACCATGGATAGAGAAGAAGAGGTAGAAAACTGAGACGAAATAGTAGAGGGGAAGGGGAAAGGAGGCTATCTCGCAAGCTAAAACAAACCCGCAAGTTTACGTTCCAAAAATCATCACATATCTCTCTAAAATTGCCACAAAATAGCCCCATTTATAGGGGAAAAAAAGAAAAATATTTAATGCAAGGTAATTAAAGCACCACCCAAGCAACCTCTAGAAACTCCTCAAAAGTTGCAGTAAATAGGGAATGAAGGGAAAACAACCGAGGGGAAAATGAAGCATCAATATAGCAGCCAATGGGCACATAAACTGAAGGGACAACTGTCCAAACCAAAGGGACAACTGCCAATGGGAAAAACCGAGGAAAATAATGCCCATGAAGAGACAAACCAACAGCCAATGAACAGAAGCTGAAGGGATAGAGCACCTTGATTGCCTCAATTCTTCCATGGTGGAGAATTCTCATCTCCTTATGAGATCGTCTGCATAGAAGGTTGACTTTCACCATTTGCAGACTCCTTTGCATCTTGAGATGGAACTTCGGCCTGTTGAGCGTTTGGCTTTTCATTTTTTTGTTTTTGATTTTTTTAAAAAGAATGGAAGACATGACTTACATTCTAAAGCTCTGATACGAAATTGGTGCAACCTAAAAACACAAAATTAGGATTGCAAATTAAAAGTCTTCTTTACCATAAACATAGAAAAACTTATATATAATATCATAAAACTAGAATGTAACACATTACAACTTATATATTAAGAGAAGAAAGATACAATTGGGGCGGGAATCGTGGATAGAGAAGAAGAGGTAGAAGACCGACACGAAATAGTAGAGGGAAATGGTAAAGGAGGCTAGCTCACAAACTAGAACAAACCCGTAGGTTTACATTCCAAAAATTATCGCATATCATAGCTTCTAAAACTGCCACAAACAATCCCATTTATAGGGGAAAAAAGGAAAAAATAAAAATAATTAATACATGTAGTTAATGCACATCCCAAACAGCCAATAAGAACACCTAGAAAACTGTAGCAAACAGGGACCAAAGGGACAGTAGCTAAGGGGGAAAAACGAAGCATTCACATAGCATATAGGGGGGGGGGCTGAAGCAACAGTATAGCTGTCAAGGAGGGGGAAACTGAAGCACCAAGGGGTGAAATCGTAACATCCAGATAGCATCCAAAGGATAGCTTGATTGCATCATTCAGAGTGCTGCCTATACAATTTTTGGTAGAGTGATTATTACAAAAAATTAATTCCAAAAACATTCTCTTAGTATTTTGCCAATTTTTTCCAATTGAACATGACAACCTCCTTTCTTTCCCTGACTGAATCCGTGGACTATATGTTTTTCTTTCGATTATGATTCATTCCATTCCAGATCCTCCAACCTTCGTTCCTTCCTTGCCTAAATCCGTGGACGGCATGTTTCCATTTCTTCCATTGCCAATCATGCTTTAGCTACCCATCTTTCTTGCATTCTTTTACCCTCCCCTTAAATTAGTTGATAAATATCTACCATTTCTATTTTATTCAAAATGTTTTTGAATTTAGTATTGTAAGGCCCTTTTGTGAATATTTGAATTAGGTGACTGCTTGTTGAGGCATAAGTAGTGCAAATCAACTTGCTCTCTAGTTTTCACTTATGAAGTGTCTATCCACCTCCGCATGTTTAGTTCGATCATATTGTACTATATTATGTGCAATGTTGATAGTGTACTTGTTATCACAATATAACCTTATATGTCATTCTAATCTAATATCAAGTTCTTTTTAACTGCCTAAGATCACTGCTTCCTTGAGCAATTGCTCTGAACTCGGTTTTTGCACTTGAACCTAAACCAAAAGTTGTTTTGTTTAATCTCACAAAATTTCATCTGAATAATGTGCTATAGCATGAAGTTGATTTTCTATCATCAATGATCATACATAATCAACATTAATCTAGCCTAATAGTTTCATAGCTCTATGTTTTTTATCAGAGTGATAATCAATTGGCTCTCTAGTTTTTCTCTTACGAAGTGTTTATCCACCTTCACATATTTGATTTGATAATATTATACTAGATTGTGGGTAATGTTGATGGCATACTTGTTATCACAATATATCCTTTATGTCGTTCTCATCTAATCTCGAGTTCTTTTTAACCACCTAAGATCATTGGTCCTTGAGCAATTGCTCTAAACTCATGTTTTGCATTTGAGATTTGAGACCCCTAGTTTTTTTTTTTTTAATTTCCTCGAAATAATGTGCAATAGGCGAAGCTGATTTTCTATAATCAATGATTCACACATAATGAGCACTAATATAGCCTTATAGTTTCATAGCTCCATGTTTTTCATAATTCCTTTTCCAGCATTTGATTTGAAATAGCTGAGAACTCTATAAGTGGTTTGAAGGTATGATTCTTTTGATTCATGCATGAACAGACTTATGAGGCTCACCACCAATGCAATAGTTGGATGAATAGAGATGGGTAGATTAGTTTTCCACTAATCCTTGATTTATTCTGTCGATCTCTATTCATTCTTCATCAATGTCTAGTTTCTAGCTGGGTTCTATTTGAGTTTTACATGGCCTACAATTATCATATTTATTTCTTTTAATAGATCAATGCCATATTTTTACCGTGACATAAATATTCTTTTTCTAATTGAGCTACTTCGATGCGAATGAGATATTTAAGCTTGTTGATTTCTTTGATCTCAAAATTTTCCTTGAGATTTTTCTATAGTAAAATTTATTTTATTGCATGTAATAATTACATCAACATGTTGCGATGCTCCCTTCAATCACATGTTTTATAAATTGTGTATGATCTCTTTGGCTTTGCTAATGCACCATCATGCACATGACTTTTGTAAATGTCCCAAACTATGCCTTGGGATATTATTTCTATTTGTATAGGACCCTTTTTTAGCTTCCATACCTAATTATTTGAAAAAGTAGTTGTTAAATACTATTGTAGCATCCATTTCAACTTTTTCCACATTACTATGCAAAAATGTATTCTTCGTATCATATTGTTGCATGAACCATCAAAATTTAACATCCAAAGAGATCATGATATGAATAGTATTCAGTTTTACAATTGATGCAAATGTTTTATATCTTTATATTAGTCTTTCCATCTGATTTGTATATCATTTTGCTACTAACCTGGTTTTATGTCTTTCTAATTTTCTATCACCTTTATATTTCAATGCAAAAACCTTCTTACATGTTATAAATTTTTTACTTTTGGTAACTCAACTATCTTCCCATTATGACTTTTTCCTAGGGCATTCATATCTTATCTTTTGATTTTCTTCCAATTCTTGTTTCTTAAGAACACATTAGGATTTGTGAAACTTTCTTTGCTAGTATAATGAAAATGACTTATGGGAAGAATATGTTTCCTTGTTTTATTGTGAGTGCAAAGTCTTTTGCTAAATTTTGAAGCAGCTTCATGAGTTTTTGAAGTTATGTTTTTTAACCTTAAAGTTTTCCTTTAAATTTTGGTTTCTTTAATGCTAGTTCTGTGTGTTGTCTTCATTGAATCTTCACTTTTGATGCCTTGCATTTTTAACTATATTTCCTTTTAATATCTGCGCAATGTTATTTGTAAGTTTAGTTGTTTACCCAACTTCTGTGCAGCGTGATGAGTGCTTATACAACATGGGTCTTCTTCTTATTGAAAAGAACGAGTGGTCCTCACAAATTGAAGAATTGAGACAAGCCTTGGCAGAAGCACAGGAAATCTTGAAGAGAGAAGAGGCAGCACACATTATTGCTGTGTCAGAGTTGGAGAAGCGTGAAGACAATTTGAAGAAAGCTTTGGGGATTGAAAAACAATGTGTGGTGGATGTATGGAAGAATTTTTTGCTGAATTCAAGCGAACAAGATATATAAATCTTCCTGTTTATTATCCTTTTCATAGTTGACTTTGTAATAATGTCATTTTGTGATTCATGCAGCTAGAAAAAGCATTACGTGAGATGCGTGCTGAAGTTTCGGAGACCAAGTTTATATCCGAGAATAAATTAGCTAATGCACATGCACTTGAGGCCAGCCTTGAAGAGAAACAATTGCAGATCGAATCAAAATTACATGCTGCAGATGCGAGGCTTGCAGAAGCAAATCGGAAGAACTCTGAATTGGACCGAAAATTAGAGGATCTTGAGGCTCGGGAACGGAAAGCGCAAAGGGAACTTTCTTCTTTACACACTGAGTATGCATTTTGCATTTCACTTGTATAAAGTCTTTATGCAGTACTTTAAGTGGCAGGGGTATTCCTCTCTTAATTATTTATTTCTCTTTAATTTATCAATGAACTTAGGCGGAAAGCATTTGAAAATGATCTCTCTAAACAGCGGGATCATTTACTGGAGTGGGAAAAGGAGCTGCAGGAAAAACAAAGAAGGCTTCTTGATGAACAAAGACTTCTTAATGAGAGGGAGGAGAGGGCAAATGATTTAGACCTGATTCTCAAGAAGAAGGAAGTAGAGGTTGAAGAAGCAAGAAAAAAGATTGATGTCACTAGTAGTACTCTCAAAAGTCAAGAGGATGATTATAAAGTAAGACTAAGGGCTCTGACTATGAGAGAGAAGGTTAGATTCTATCAAATCTTATTTTGCAACAATTACTTGTTATATGTTATGTCATGCAAGTTAATGGATATGCACTTCCTCTATGTTTTAATGCAGGGTGTTGAGATTAAGAGTTCAAATCTCGAGAAAAAAGAGAAAGACCTAATGGAAGTAGAAGAAAAGCTTAATGCTAGAGAAAGAGTGAGCCCCTTAAGTGCTTGAAACTGAAAAAATGGCTTAAATGCACATATGCTTAGCTTAATTATTTTTTAAATGCTAATGTTAAGATAAACTTTTTATTGTAAGATGGGCCTGAATAAATAGTTAGGTTACCCCAGTATGATTTGGAATGCCATTGGTTCCAATTTAGTAAACAACCTCGAGAAGGCTTAAGGCTGCTTTCATCAATCCTAGACACGACATGGCAAAAGCCTTCTACAAAGTGTACCTTTCATCAGCTACAATATTTATAGGAATAGGATTTATGCTATATTATATTGAAACTCTGCTTTAATATTTTTCTTTTAGTCAGTTGAGGTAGGCAGCTTAAGCATGCTTTAGTTGGCCAGTTTTCTTTTCTCGTCTTAAATTAACTACTTTTTTTGCTTGTTCATAATTGTATTTCTTTTTATGCTGTCTAGGTTTGTTTCATCTTCCTTTTTAATGTATGGCGCTCCTTCAATATTTTTTTTTTGTGGAGCAAGAGCTTGACTTATACTATTTTGTATTTTGTAGCTTTTGACTACATTTTAATCTTGATAACATACTTTAGATGTTTATATTTCCTTAATTCTAAGTTAATTTCCCAATTAATTAACAGGAAGAGATTCAAAAGCTTTTGGATGAGCACAATGCAATCTTGGATGCCAAGAAACAAGAATTTGAGTTGGAGATGGCTAAGAAAAGAAGATCCTTTAATGAAGAGGTTAAAAACCATATGGATATGTTGGGCAAGGATAAAAATATAGTCAGATGCAAAGAGGAACAGCTTCTCAAAAGAGAAAATGCGTTAGAGATTGAAGCTGATGAGTTAAAAAATAAAGAAAAGGACATCGACTCAAAATCAAAAGCATTGAAGGAGTGGGAGGACTCCCTAAAAACTGATGAAAAATTGTTGCAAGAACAAAGGAAGCAAGTACTCAAGGATTTCAACGAGATAGAAGCCTCTAGAGCTAAACTTCATAATGAGAAGATAGCCATTGAAGCCGAGGTTCAAAAAGTTATCTTTGAGAAGGAAAATCTCAAATTAACGCAGGAAGAGAAAGAACATCATCTCAAGTTGCAAAAAGAGTTGAAGCTGGAGAAAGATGAGTATCAGATGATGATGGAGTCCCTTGAAAAGCAAAAGGAGGCGTTGAGACAGGAGAGGGAGATGTTTGAGAGGGACTGGGAGGTGCTGGATGAGAAAAGGGTGGCGTTAGAAGCAGACTTAAAACAACTATGTGCTGAAAGAGAGAAGCTTGAGAAATGGAGACACACTGAAGAGGAGAGACTTAAACATGAAGTCCTGGAGGCCAGAGCTTCCATGCATCGGGAGCTTGAAGATCTCAGATTGAAGAAAGAAACATTTGAGAAGATCATTGCTCAAGAGCGAGCTGGGGCTCGTGCTGACATTGACAGTGAACGAGCTGATTTGTCTCGTGAGTTTGAACTGTTTAAGCATGGGCTTGAGATGACTGGGCAGAGAAAGCAGGATGATGCCGAGAAGAAGTTTCAAGAGAAGAAGAATGAGTTTGAAATGTGGAGGGAAGTGGAATTAAGTCGAATCAAATCTTCAATTGAGTCAAATGATCTAGAATTTAGAAGGCTGGAGATGCAACAAAAACAATTGCTAAGGGACAAGGAACAGTTCTCAGATCAGAGACGAAAAATAGAAGCAGATCGACAAGAAATTCAAAAGGACATTGACACTCTTCTTAGGTTAAGCAAGAATTTGAAAGATCAGCGAGAAGAATTTGCAAAAGAGAGAGAGAATTTTCTGTCTGCAGCTGAGCAATGCAAGACCTGCCATAACTGTGGTGTTCCAATTAATAACGTTGATCAACTTGTTCTTCAGCCGCTAGGAGCTACTGTGGATTCTGAAGAAGTTCTATTGCCAAGCCTTACAGATGGCTTTTTAGAAGAGCATGCAAAAGGTGGAAGTCCGGATTTGTCACATGGGGGTCCTGTTGCTGGATCAGCCAATTCAGGTAGCCAGATGAAACGCTGGTTTCAAAGATGTGCTAGTCTGTTCAAGATCTCCCCAAGAAATAATGTACATTCACCCACTGAAGATCACAATGAAACTTCATTTGGTGAGCGACTTGATAAGGTTGCTTTTGAGGATGCTGACTATGAACCTGCACCGTCTGCCTCTTTTGAAAATCAGATGGCTCATGTTGATAGTGGAGATGTGGTGACTGGAGAACTTGTCAGAGTAGATAATGCAGAAGATGATGCAGAAGCTTCTTTAGATGGAGCCAATAGCTCCATGGATATTGTGAAGATAGACTCTGATGATGGCTCACAAAAGACTGCGGCAGTTACGGATGGCATGAATAATGAAGTAGAAGGATCTTCTATGCATGCTGAGAAGGATTTAAAGCCGGAACCCTCTAAGCAGGGGCAGCGACATCAGCCCAACAGGAGAGCAAAATCGGCCATTCGGCGAACCCGCTCTGTGAAAGCTGTTGTTGAAGATGCCAAGGCTATTCTCGGAGAAGTTTATGAAACAATGGTTGATGAGAAACAAAATGATAATGCTAAAGATTCCCAAAACATTCCTAATGAGAACCCAGAGGCATCAGTAAAGGCTGATCGAGCAGTAACTGGTAAAAGGAAAAAAAGGCGTTTGAGGGAAGTGGAACCAGAGGATAGTGAACCTCTTTCTGAGAGTGTATCTATTGGGGGACGCCCTAAAAGGCAGCAGACTTCTTCACGGCCAACTACCCCTGGAGAGAAGCGCTACAATCTGAGACGCTCTACTGTGTAAGCATCAATTTTTCTTTTTTTACTTGTATGCTTCTTTCCTTTGTATTTTTATTCTGTTTATTTAGATAAATTACATGGTTCTTAAAGCTTTGTCCGGAAACAGGTGATATTTGTATGCAATTAAATTATTTCAGGGAAATGTTCTTTCAATAACGTAGACATTGTATATATTTTTGTAAATATTACAATTTGAACTCTTTTTCTTTTGAAATTGGTACTTGCATTCTTCTTAGTATTAGATTTGATGCTTCTTGTGATATTATAAATAACAAACTTGTAGGCATTTTTAAATCCGATTCCATTTAAAATTTCTTAGCTACCTATGTTGGTAGCTTTGACTTTTGGGCCTGTTCTATTGCTTCATCTCTAGACTCTACGATAGTGCTTGCGGTGAGTTGCATAATTTGACATTTAAGCTGTCTAGTTTAACGTCATTTTTTATAGTTGCTGGGTATGTGTTAGCCTTTTAATGGCTTGATTTGTACCATCTATTGTCTGGACAAAAAAATTAATCATTTTATATGTTCCATCAGAATGTTGTTTGCCTGCTTGTGAATAGCCTAAATACATAATTGGGCATTCGAATACTTCCTAAATTTCTTCTGCCATTCCTCTGCATTCTATTACTCTATTTTCTAGAGAAAGAGTCTGAGTTACCCTGTATTTACTCTTTTTTCTAGAGTGAGGGAGGTGGAAGGGAGTGGGAGTGAGAGTTTTATTATTTAAAAATAAGGTGCTATGATGTATACTATTCACATATGATACTTCTAATAGGTGAAATCGAAAATTAGGTACCATGATGTATATATCATAGATAGTTTTAATAGGCTAGACCTCTACTTATGAGTGGAAAGTGAGAATAATTTGCAGAAATGCTTTGATAAGTGACCTAATAATTAGGAGATCAAAGAATGAGTATATGATATGCAATTTTATTGAGTGTGAAATTGATAGATGAATCTACAACAACAATATCAAGCATTTATTCCACATGAATTCTTTTTTTTTTTAATTGTGTAAGGTTGTGAAAATCGGACCGGACATAAAACTAGAAAAAGGAGAGGTTCAGGGTTCAATGGTTCGATTGGGTTTGAGCTGGGGTTGAACCGGATAATGTAATAAATATGAGTATAAATTTTTTACTAAAAAATAAATTGAATTCATACATTTATCTTATGTAACTTTAAATTTAATTCATATTTAATATAATTTTAGTTTATATATAAATTTAATATAATAATTATTAATTTATGTTATATGTTTATATCTAATTTACACCTATAAATTATAAATTAAATTCATATCATAAATTTACATGATTACATCTATAAATTATCAACGTTAGTCATTAGATCATCTATTATTAATAACTAAATAATTACTCTTTTATAATGTATAAATGAATGATAAAAGGATCAAAATGGTCCCTTTATTCTTTATGAAGGACCAAAATAATCCCTAGCTATATTAAAAGATAATTTTGGTCTCTCGTATCTTTGAAGATGAATCAAAATAGTCCTATGGTGTGACTTTTTTTGTTCCTCTTTAAAGAGTTGAGGACTATTTTGATCTTCCTAAAAAGTTATGAGACCATTTTGGTCATTTTCTCATAATTAATAAGTAAATTAAATATTGTTATTTTAAAAAAATGCTTTTTACATTATAAAAATTAATTAAAAAATCCGTTTAAAAATAAGTATTATATGTTGTAAACTTAATAATTTCAATTTATTTAGTTCCACATCACTTGGGGCACAATAACTTGGTATTGTTTATATTGCATTTTGAATTTATTTCTTGTTTGAACTAACATAGAGTGATGAAGCCATATGAGATGCTTTGTTGGAATTTTTTTGACAAATAATTGTTTTAAAAAACTGAAATAAATTAAATTATAAATTAATATGTTAAAGGTAATATTTTATTCTAAATATATTAAGTTAATTTATGTTATTATTAAGTTAAATTATTGAACCGGCTGGTTCAAAGGAATTGGTTCATCTGTTTGTTGGTTGAATCGATAGTTTTGGCTGGTTCATTTTGGTTTGATGTGAAACCGAGTTTTATAATAGCCCAAATCGGCCTTACGACTGGTTCAAGGTTGAACCGGCTAGTCTGGTTCGATTTTCAAAAGCTTGTTATTATGTCTTGTTAAGAGTCAAATTTTCATTTAAATATAATTAAAAAAAATTTCTAGTACTTTTTAACCAAATTTTTTTAAGTTTGCCTCTATCTTTCTTAACATAAGCCAATCTAGTACATCCACTATCCTAACTGGGTCATCAGAAGGCCGACGTTTTATGTGACCAAACCATCTATAGCGACTCTCTCTAATCTTATATGCCACTGGAGCTACTCCAACCTTTTCACGTACATTGTCGTTCCGCATTGTCTCTAATAATGATGCCACTCATCCACCCGAGCAACCTCATCTCTACAAGACTTAACTTAATTTTATGCTTCTCTTTTAATGATCAATATTTTGCACCATAAATAGTGCAAATCTCACCACCATCTTATAGAGTTTTCCCCAAAGTTTGAGGGATACTTTTCTGTCACACAATAAACCCATTGCATTTCTCCACTTCAATCATCCAACTTTAATTCTACTAATAATATCCCAATCTATTTTACCATCACTTTGAATAATAAACCTGAGATATCTAAAACATATAATCTTTTTAATGACTTGATTGCCCAAAATTACAATCCTCGCACAAGATCTATTACTATTAAAATTACACTCCATGTATTTGGTTTTAAATCTACTCAAACGAAAATCTTTAGACTCTAAGGTTGACCTGCATAATTCAAGTTTTCCTTCAACTCTCTATTTTTGTAAAATCTTTTGATATTTGTGGTTGAAAAATTTATGTATGTTGGATTTATTTTTTATAGAAAAATAAGGATTTAAATGAGGTTATGACTTCTAGAGTTAATTTAAGGTGATTAAAATGGATGCTTCTTAGGTACATTATGCGATGAGAATGGTATTGAGACTTTTAAGGCAAATTTTACAAAACAACAATTATGGTTGATACGTTATATGAATGAATGTTTTGTAATAAAGAAGTCATTGATAACCCAATTTAGTGTAGCAAGAATGAGAATTTTAAATTTGGATGTGTGGAAAAATTATGAAGGATATATTTAAAAATATTTATATGAGAGGAATTATAGGAGTTGCACCTCAAGTAGTTGAAAATAGATGCAACTGATTTAGATTTCTATAGAAAGGTAGATGATGCACCACTAAGATAGATAACATTAGTGTGAAATAGTTAAGAAGGAAAATTAGTGGACCAAAGGTAATATGGATTTACTTGTGCCAAAATAGTCACACAATTAACACATTGAACAATACTCTGTATGAATGAACAAATAAGGAGGATTCATTAATCCATCCCTGAATAGTTGGATAAGGCTATTGATTTTAAAATGACATCATGGAAAATGATGCGTTATAAACACATAATCATATGTGCTACTCTCCTTTGCAATGTTTAGAGCCAACATGATTTTTTGAATTAGAAATTTATTGGAGAATAAGGCAATGGAGGAGCGGGGATAGAGAAACTAAGTGATATGAATTGTGTTTATCTGATATGCCTTGTTGTTCACATTGTTTACTTTGATGCATTTTATTTGTTAAACTTTTTTGGGTCTTGTTCTCGTATAATTTTATTTCACTTGGTTTATTACTTTATGTCAATTAGCATTGTATGTATTATATTTTTGGAAAACCATTCGATCTAGGGATTACCTATTCAAACATAGTAACAGTCATCGGCACTGGGATTGTATGCTGTCTTATCCCTATCAGCATTAACATTTCATCCTTCATAATGATGTTTGCAGAGATCTTGTTTTGATGACTTGGACCTGGGATCTTGAGATGGGAAAATAAAAAAAAAATAATTTTTAAATTAGATGGATTTACTAATTTATCTGTTAAATAAACTATAATTATATTTAGAGGCAGCAGCATTCAAATTTAGTACAAAATGTCAATGTTCACTTTAGTTGCCTTGAAAGTATATGTATTCTTTAGGCTCTACTACAGCTGTTGTTCTATAGATTTTGCTATAAAATTCTTAGAGTAGAATTTGAAAGAATTTTCTAGAACTTTATTAGTTTATTCTTAATATTTCTCCGCAGTTTGATATTTTTAGAATAGCTTGTTGATAATATATTACTTTGTTAGCAGCAAATCCTTTCATTTAAGCCCCTTTTTATGCAGATTTGGCAATCACATCGGTCTTATTTGATCTGAGGTTTCTAGTAAGCTGTAATTGAAGTTCCGGAATCATATGATGTGTTAACTCTGCAAAAAAAAGCGCCTTTTGTAGTAGAACAAAAAACTTTGGCTTGGGGCACTATACCGCATGATATTATTTATAGAAAAGTTGATGCTGTCTTTTTTGCGGTGTTGATTTTTTATAAGATTAAGATAACCGTTAACCATATTTAAATTGTACTTAATTTTTTTTTTTTTCAGTGCAAGTTCTGCTGCAACATCTCATGGAACATCACATCAGACTGGAGCAACCAATGTTGGGAAACTTGAGCTGTTACATGAAAGCAATATTGTTGAGGGTGGTCAACCAGTAAGCAATAAGGGGGAAGGCGGCCAACAAGAAAGCAATATTGAACAAGCAAGCAATAGGACAGAGTGTGGTCAACCGGTAAGCTATAAGGTGGAGGGTAGTCGACCGGTGAGCAATGAGGTGGAGGGTAGCCAACAAGAAAACAATATCTTTGAGGATGGCCAACCAGAAAACAATATCACAGAGGGTGGTCTTGGTTCAGAAAGAAACTCTTTCCATGATCCACAGCCATCTCGTTGGTTCGAAAACTCAGAATATGTGCTGCCCAAAGATGCTGTTGACAGTGCTATGGAAGTTCAATCTGAAAAAATTGTTCAGGTAACCAAGGTATGATTAAGTGAAATGATATTTTAGCCTTTGTTTTTTCTTTGAAATGCTGACCTTTCTGCAGTTTTCTGTTATTATTTATCAATCATTTCTTTTTTTAAAAGAAATTGTCAACCTGGTTCTGGTTGGTCAGCATTTCTTTTTTTTTTTTGTTTTTGTTTTTCATCTTGAAGTATCATTAAATACATCTGTTTATAAGTATTACATGGCATCTGAGATATGTTAGCCAAATTTCGCAGTGGATAAATTTCTTATTTGGATGGTTTGAAAATCATTTAAGCTATTATTTAGGTTGTTTGTGTTATTTTATATGTTTTCAATCTTTTGGTCAATTTTGAAGTTTTTTTTTAGTTTGTATTTGTCAACTAAGAGTGGAGTATCATTACGCTTGGGATAATTGGAGTCATTGTGCATGACACGTGTGATGTGGTTCGCTCCATTTTTAAAAAAAGTTCTAAAATTGCATAGCAATGAAGAAGATATTAATAAAGTAATAATTCAAGAGTTAAGAGGTAAATGACGATAGATGTTCATCCAACACATTAAAAAAACGTCAATATTAACCAATAAGTTCTAAAAACAGAGTAAGTTTTAGTGCTTTCAAAATATAGAAAGTTTCATATTCATAAAAATATATTCTACACTAGACATATGATCCTTAATTAGTATCTTCATTCTCACATTATGATCCTCGCAGACAAAATGAAGAACATCACCATCTTGACCCCATACATGATAATCCTCTCATCTATTTCATCTTCAACAACTAGTGTTTGGGCCTAAGCAAAGAAGATGCACATTTCTTTTTCTTTTTTGAAAGAATTTAGAATATTTTGGTTATTTAAGTTATTTTAAATGCTTTCAGTATCATGTTCATTTTTAAAAGTTATTTTAGTTTATAGTTGACTAAAAATGGAGCATCATTACGTGTGATTATTGGATAGCACAGTTTGGCATGGTTCATTCTATTTTTTAAAAAGGTGCCAATTTCGCATAACAATGAAGAATATACTAGTTAAGTTACTATTCAAGAGTTAGATAAAGGACATAAGATGTCCACCCAACAAATTAAAGTAAATGGCACTGTTAACCAACAAGTTTAAAAAACAATGCAAGTTCAGTTATGTTCATAAAACTATTATCTAAGCTAGACATATAGCCCTTAATCTTTATCCACATTCTCCTTATTATCATTCTCACAGTCAAAATGAACATCATCACCATCTTCATCCCCAAAATGAACATTATCAATTTCATCTTCTTAAACTAGTGTTTGAGCATGAGCAAAGTAGATACACAATTCTTTTTATTTTCTTTAGAATAATTTCAATATCATCACAGCACTAACTAGCCACCCCTAATGTTAGGTTGTCTTCAACAAACACCAACTATCATCTTCAATAATCTACAAACACCAACCACCATCTTCAATAATCTCATCATTTAAAATTTCAATCAACCATTGATTGACATAATCAATGTCATGTAAAAAAATTGGGTCAATAGTGTCATGCTGGTTGTAGCACAGATCTGAGCGATATTGCATTTCTCTTATTCCAAATTCTCGTGCCAACTATGCTCCAACTTGTTTCATATGAACATGCAAAGTATGTTAAGATTATTTTATTAGAAACTAAAATGTACTTAACAAAAATTTTGTAAGAATTTTTAAAGTATATTCAAGTTTAGAAATGCTTATTTGTTTAAACATGCGCTAATTACATTTACACTTGGATGCACTATATGTGTGAGGTTAGACACTGCCGTCGTAGATTTTTGCTAAGTTGGAGTAAATGAATCACATGGCAGCCATCAATTGATTTCATGCATAATTGCAAATATTTTAAATTTTGTATAATTATTATCCATATAGAAAAATAATGATTAAGAAAGAATAAGTTATAAAAACTTTAATTTATTTGGTGCTTAAGTGGATCATTGCTGAATGCTATTGAAATATTAAGAGCCCTTCAACTTCACCCTCCTATAGACGTTCAACTCACCACTTAGTTTATTTCTCTCCTCACTATCACAAGCCATTATTTTGTTGCATGAATTGTAATTTTCTATAATTTTTTAATTATTTACCATTGTTGGATTGTTATAGAAGTACTGTAGATTTAAGAAATGGCCAGTTGCATGCAAAGGTTGATGTTGTTGAACTTCTCATCCAAATGTGATATTTGACTGAATTTCTCTTTTACCTTCTTGTTCATGCACTATGTGATTTCATTTTTCACGTGTGAGGACCACAAAGAAATTTTTTGGCATTCCTATGCCCCAAACAAGATATTTCTTATGCATTGTTATTCCAACATTAATTATCTTGCCATAAAGTGTACACTTTACAGTATTCATATTCTTGTTAGGAGGAAAAGCATACTTTTGTGTTGTTTCCTTTCGTGTTTGCATATGGAGAAGGATTGCCTTCAGGCATTTCTAATTTGGTACACCGAAATTAATAATAAAACATTAGTTGATTGCAAAAATTGTAGTAGATCATATATATATATATATAGTACAAAATTTAAATAAAGTAGGAGGAAGAATTAGTTCTAAAGCATGTCCAAGTACTAAAAATGCAAATTGAAAACATAATAAAGAAGAAAATTTGAAAAAAAAAGAAGCCTACGCTGAACGAGAAAAAGCAAAAAGAGGGGAAGAAAAGGAAATGAGAAATAAGAAGTCAAGTGAGGAGAAAAAGGCTAGATATGAGGTTGAACTGCTGTAGCTAGAGTTGTTTTTGGGATTGGGATTGAGCCTTATTCTCGTGGATGAAACAAGGAGGAAAATGGTGCAGATTTGTCTTTTATTTTGAGTAACAATTTGGTTCTGTTAATAGGTTAATAAATGGTAATTTTTATTATTAAAAAGGTATATTAAAAATTTAAAATGGTCATATGGCACGTGCCATGTACTTTGTGTAGACTATGGCTTCGTTTGAGATGGCTTTCTTACTGCTTCTTAAAGCAGTTTTCTAGTACAAAAATTAAAATTTTTATGCTAAAAAATTACTTTAAGAAGCAGAAAGAAAGTCATCCCAAACGAAGCCTATATGAGCAGATGAACCGTGTCATTTTATCCTCATTTGCATCATCACAGCTATGGCGCATGCCTGCTCGCACCAATGCTAGCAATGTTTTAGTTTATTTTGTTGTTGTTCTCGTATTTTTCATGATGCTTTGGATAAAATTTTCTTAATATTTACTCTATTTTCTAATTTTTTCCAACTCCACCTTTTTATCTTATTGTAGTTCATGTATTGTTGCGCGGTTATCTATTTTCCTTTTCATGATGATTCATGTCTTTAGGTGTTAATGGAGTGTCAACTTGCATGTCCAGATTAGCCTGGGAGGAAGTTGGGGATATACCTTATGTGTATTTCTAAGATTTCTTTCGAGCCTATCAATAGAACTCAAATGAGAGGAATTAGGGATGGCATTTTACTGAACTGTTATCTTATGCATATTTTTATCTTTTCTGGTTCTTTTATGGTTGTTTGGAAACTTTAGGTGTTACCCACTTATTGATATTATTATGGCATGTCAAGCAGCAGTTTCAGGGTTTAAAATTCAAATATGATAGTGGACCTTACCATTTACATCTCTTGGGAATATATACTGAACTCCTGATTTTCTAGAGGGAAAGCAGTGGCATACCAGATATTTGTTTCAGAATTTGAATTCCGATGTAGTCATGATAGTAAATTTACAGATGGAACACTGTTCCTTTTCTTGGGAGAAATTATTCTCTGCGGAGACCAATGGAGACCAATCAGAATATGTTACGTCAGCGGTACCGAGCACATGGGTGACATGACGCATTCTGATTGGTCTCCGAACGACATTTGTTGTCTGCACAGAATAATTAATCATTGGCTTGAGGATCTCGGTTCAACTGCTTGCTTGCCTCGCTTTTCTTTTCACCATGAGAAAACATAATGGAAAATGGTTGAGCATTCCTTTCATTTAGGTTGGAAATCATTTAACTAGCTAGGCTATCAATATCATTTTATATTTTTTGGGCCTTATAATCTTTTTTTTTTTTAATGAGGGAGTTAGTAATATATTAATAATTTGCTATTTCATCTGAATCTTCAATTCTGCCTTTCCCATCTATTTCTTTAGTATCGTCAATGTTGCTAAGTTCATTTATATATATGACATTCTGAGTTATGTAATACAGCTTTTGGCATGGACAAAATTCTGATCTTCTAAACTAGCTGATATTAGGGGTGTAAACGAGTTGAGTTGAGTCGAGTTTAGGCCTTATCAAGCTCGGCTTGTTAGTTGGAAAGCGAGCTCGAACCCGAGCTTGAGCTCAAACTCGAGCTCGTCCCACTGTAAACGAGTTTGAGCCGGCTCGTGAGCCATGGACGGGATTTTTAAAACTTAGACAGGCCAGCTGATATCTACCGTATGTTACATTTTGAATGATGAGCTATTGCATCATGCATGATGTAGTTTCATGAGTTCTTTAACTAAGGATATGCCAATACTCACTTCTGTTTGTCTCCTACTTGCGTGTGTTGCATATTGCTTATAATCATCTGATATTCTAATACTTTAATGCTGCTTTTATTTGCAGTTCCCCTCTTAGTTTCCTCCCTATTATGCTTGTTGACATTAGTTGGAGCCTGATGGAATGAAATTATCTCTACATATCACATCAGTGTTCCCTGCCTTCTGACATAATTTTCCTTTTGTTTTCAGTATAAAACCCAGGAAGTACATGATGATAGTATCATTGTCAAGTCGGTCAAGTTCATCGAGCAGATTCAAGATAGGAAGGAAGTAGATGGAGATAACGGCATTACCGTCAAATCGACCGAGTTCATCGAGCAGATTGCAGAAGATGGTGATGAAGTAGATGGAGATATTGATATTCTCAACAATTCAGCCGAGTTCAGCGAGCAGGTCGCAGAAGATGGTGATGAAGTAGATGGAGATGCAGCTACAGCTACTCCTTCAGATTGGAGTTCTGAGGATGAGGATGAGTACTCTAAGAAGCACAATGCTTCCATAGGAAAAAAGCTATGGACTTTCTTCACCACATGATGATGATATGAAGCCTTTATTCTCCAAGTGTAATGAAATATCCTCAGTTTATGACTTTGATTTGTTTTTAACCCTCTCAGAAGGTTTTTTATCCTACCTTGAGTAAGGTGTATTGCTAGTACTAACTACTACTATGTCTTTTTATTTTCTTCATTACATGTTAAATAGGCATATTGGTCTGAAGCAACAGACCTTCCATTTGTCAAAATGTACTGGTTTGTTGTTCTTGTTCCTCAGCTGTAGCTTTAGTTTTCTGATCTAGGAAGCATGATTTGTGAGTATAAATTTACTAGTATTCTGGAGGTTTATGTATCCATTTATCCCTCCATCTTATGAAATATTTTATGGAGTCTTGTAACTCTAAATATTTTTTTATTTGTGGCCATTATTGCAGTGATTTCTGGTTTTATCAAAGTGAACAAATCATGTATGAATGTCATATGATATATTTGCTAATGTGCTGATTTAGATTTTGTTTGGGATTGCTTTATTATTATTTTTTAAAGTGATTTTGTAGTAAAAATTTATAGTTAAAAAAAAATATATAGTAAAGCTGTTTTAAAAAATAATAAAGAAGCTGTCTTAAATAAAACCTTCATAAAATGAAGTTGATGCCAAGAAAATAAATTAGAGTTTATGATATTTCAAAAATAAATAATAGAAATATTAGATGGTAGTCATAATTAAATTTTATTTGGGACAATTTTCAAAAATTAAATTTTTAATAATTTTTTTATATTAAGAAATGATAAAAAAAGTACCTCAAATGAAGCCTAAATGAAAGTTATTTTTTATTGAGACTGAACATTATTCATTGGGAGTACATAGCAAGGCCTACTCCATAGGATCATATCTTCAAATCTATGGAATTGAGATCTAATGGTCAGAAGTGGTCAATTAAAAAGTTCTAATTAAATCCCAACTGCTCATTTTGTACAACTTTTAAGGCATATTAATTCATTCATAAAGTACAATTTTAAGAGATCAAATAAGCTTCCAATGGCACTTCCTCTTTCTTCTACTATCTTTTCTCCTTCATCAATGGTTTCTTCATGTAGTTCTTATTCTTTTCTTTTCTTCGTTCTTCTCCTTCTATTTCCTTTTCACATCTCTCGATGCGAGTGTCGTTTTTTCCCTATCAAATTTCAACAACACAAATTTCAGCGTGATTTTACGATAAACGATCAATATCGTTCGTTTAATTTTCTATACAGAAGATCACCAGTTCCACCGTCAGGGCCATCACAAAGACATAATTCGATCCTCAATTCTATACCTTCGCCATGAAGAAATTTAGGTACTTCAAGTTTTCTTTTTTTCTATACATATTTTTCTTACCAAGCATACATATAAATGGATAGAGATAGTTGCAAGCTAAAGTGTAATCCTTCTTGTAAGGTTGAACTTATGATAAATTGGTCATGTATTTCTTTCTTCTTTTGATGCTTAATTATCTCTATGTTTTGTCATCATTCCTGAAAATTGTTCATCCTTAATTTTTTTCTGATAATTGAGATCTTATAATTAACTAAATTAGTTAACAGTTATGATTGAAAATCATGAATTTGTCAACTTTGTTTCTTGTACTATAAGTATGGTTTAATATATTGTTTATGATATAATAATTAGTTGATAATATATCAAAAAATTAAATATAATTTACCATTTTAACTTAAAATCATATTTAAAAGCTAAGTTATTTAAGCATTAACAAATCATTATATATTTAATCATTAGTTACCATACATTTGCATTAAAAGTTAAGTTAATTTCTTTAATTAAAATAAATTTATCTTTAAACACAAAAGAAAATGAAAATTTAATAAAACCTTGATATAAAATTATTAAAAAATTTTGAAAATATAATTTTATACTCATAAATTACTACCTCATATTAAAACCATCTAACTAAGATGATATATTAATATAATATTTAACCAATAATTATACAAAATTAGATAGTTTACTCACACAATAACAATAATTGCAACAACAAACTTTTATCTCACTACACAGATTGGATAAATAAATTATTTTTTCTAAATTGTGTCATATTAAGAACGAAGTTCTTATTTAAATCTAATAAAAATATGAGATTATTTTTAATACTTTTTAGCCAAATCTTTTTCGCTCTACCTCCACCTTTCTTAACATAGACCAACTCTAATACATCTACTCTCATCATCATGTCATCAAAAGATCAATATTTTATAAAAAAGTATAGTAATAAAAAAAATAAAATTTATAATAATATACTAATAAAAATCCATTATTTTATTCATATAGCTCCTAATAAAGACTAAACTCTCATTGAGGCAGTCATTAAAAAAAAATGATCATAAATGCAAATAAACGCAACATCATATCTTAGACCTTTTTCTTTCATTTAGAAGGCTCTCTTCTTCACTTAGAAGCCTCTCTCTAACAATAAATTATTTCGTGCAGAGTCCAGACGAAAAGAACAGTCTGGAATGCAACGTATTTATCGAGTATTTGTAATACTTAACAAATACTCAATAAATACACAACAAATCAGCATATACTCAAAAAATACTCAACAATACTCACAATTGAGTATTAACTAAATATTTACAAATACACATCAAATCTAGACGGTTCTCCCAGTCCAAACTCTGCACACAATAATTTCTCCTCTCTAACAAACTTCTCTCTTAGAAACAGTTTTCTCTATATCTTTAAAGCTGCTCGCTCTCTCTCTCTCTCACTTAGAAGCTTATGATTGAAATTTCTATTTTCATTGATTGCATTTTCCAAAGAAAATTATATAATAGGAGCGTTTGCGACAACTTTCTTGCTGCTTTCTAAAGCAGTTTTTAATACAAAAATTTATAAAAACAATGAAAAAGCATTACCAAAATCTATCCCAAACGAATGCTAAATCAAGAAAATAAGCCTTATTAATCAATAATCACAGCTAATTCTACATTAATCGAGAAGCTACAAACGGGTTAAAGCCTCCCTTCACAAGATCCTCAAGTGGCCCGAACAAGGGTTGGGGAAGTTGGGCCCACTCATACCAAGCCCACCCAGCACACTTATCGGGCTCCATATTGGTAGGGCTCTGGCCCAAATCCGCCATCTCAGCCCGAACAATCATGGTAACAAAATGGGTCGGATTCGGGCCGTCCAACGCCACCATGTTCACAACCGTTAAGATCTCGACCCGGGCCACATCTATCCCCGTCTCCTCCTTCACCTCCCTCCTCGCGCACTCTTCAAAGCTCTCTCCTGCGATTAAATTTTGTATTTTTCTAAATTAAATTTTTATTCAAATAAATTTATAAACTTCTGATTATCAATTGAATGCAAACATATTATAGATTTTTTAAAGCATGTAGTGATATTATAAAATTTTATGATTTTTTAAACTAATTATCCAACTAATAAATTTGGCTATGAACTATTGCTTATCACCATAATTTTTTTTAAATAACAAAAAATTAAAGGAAAATAGAAATATTGAATGATAATTCAAATTGAGGTGTTGTTTTGTATCATATTTTAGACAGGCTTTAAGTGGTGCTTAGGTTTTCTCCAACCAAAAATTTTTTTTAAAAATTTGAAACAAAAAAAATTTAATAAATCTGGCTTTAAGCCGATGCTGATTACATCCAAGGCTTATTAAATCCCACCATTTTTAACGTATTTGATCGATTTTTTTTCTTTAAAGAAATAAATATTGAAACAAACAATCAGACACAACGAAGTTTAGCAATCATGCTGAAATTATTTGCAAGTTTAAATCTCTCAAGATTAATTAAATTTGGGTTGGAGGAGGAAGTAATAAATCTTAGTTGAGCCAGATAGGGTCTGAGCTCCGATCGAGCAAGCACGACATTGGAGGAACTAAGTGAAGGGAAATACCGAATTCAAGGCGGCCGCCGGGGAGGGCGAAGGTGCCGTAGCCGACGGAGGAGAGGCGACGGCCGAGGAGAATGGAGGAGGATTTGAGAAGGAAAACGGCGACGCCTACCTGAGGACGCCGATCGCCACAGATGCGGTTGCCATTTTCCATTTTCTGAACTTTAGAGAGTAGGGTTTTGGGAATTGGGCCGAGATACTTTTAGCGAGGGATACAGTTCTGATAACCCGCGGAGAAGAGAGAAAGGGTATTATATTCTTATCATCGAACAATTATTAGGTAGGCGACCTGACGTACCTCTACATTCGGATGTCAATAATATATCACCACGTGGTCTTGCTGAATCCGCGCGACCCGACGACTTGACCCGGGATTGCTATGTTCGCGTATTGCTAGGTATTGCTTGACAATAATGAAAAATATCACTCTGCGAAGAGCAATACCGAGCAATACTGAGTTTTTATATGTATTGATTTCACAGAATGGTATTTCTCGTTATTGCCGAGCAAAATCGGCCAATACCGAGCAATACCTAGCAACACACGAACATAACAATCCCGTCTCCGTTCTCGGTCGGGATTGTCGGGCCGTGCGATAAATAGTGAGAACATATGACACTATTTTACTAGCGTCCGAACGTAGAGCTACGTCAGTTGACCGGACCAAATAAAAGTTCCTTATCATAAGTTAATTTATTTTAAATAAGTCATGGGGCATGAATAGAGAGGGATCATATCATCCACAGTTGCAGTCATAACTGCATCTGTGCTCTACAAGATGCATAAAATTGGATTTTTGATCCAGCAAAATGAGAGTGATTCAGATCATGATTACTGGATTCAATCTCAACAATCCAAAACAGATGGCATGACAGATATTACTCTGTGCGGACGACTATCCGTAGACCAACCATAATGCGCCATGTCAGCAGTACCGAGCTGGGTACCGAGTTAGGGATAGCTTGGCGAATTCTAATTGGTCTTCGGACAGCGTTCGGCATCCGCACATAATAATTCTACCATCTATAGAGGCTTTAAACCCTAACATCGTCAACATCACCATCACCATTCATTTGAGATGCAAGATATATTTTATGTAAATCCTTCATATTCACCTATCATTGATCTGCATACGTTGCAAAAAACTGGAATGCAGGGGAGTTTTTGGGTTAAATTTTGTGTATGTTGCACAAAAAGAGTGATATGAATGCTGGAAAAACTGAGCTCCTTACAAACAAACAAAATTACACCAAGCAGTATATAAATTACTGAATTGAATCTGACAAAAAAAACAATACTGAAGGCAATAAAAATAGTATAGATTCCTGAATCTTGACAAATGCCAAAACAAATAAGCACAAGGAGATGAACTTACAGCCAGTTCTAGCATGTTAAGTATGTTAAGCGTAATTGCCAATGCTATTAGTGTTGGGTTGATCATTGCACTTGCTGATGTATTTACCACTATCTAGTATCTACATTAACAGAATATAGTCATAATCTTCCAGTTGCCTAACCTGTAGGACATGGAAGAAGGGGTGTATTTGTTAGCTATACATGATCGACGTTCTGGCTGTCGAAGCTGCGATCAGGTTCGGGCTCCTTTTGCGGGGCAACACCGTTGTTCATTCGAGCTCGAGCCTCTGCAAACATTCTCTGTTGCTCTGCTGCAGCTTCCTCTTCTGTCATCTCTATTCCACTGAACCTAACACCCTTGGGAGAATCCTGAGATTATAGAAGGATAAATATGAAAACTCACTGATATTTATTATAGAAATTTCAGAAGATGAGATGTGCACCAGTGTCTCGAGCTTATGTTGTTCATACGCAGCAGCTACTTCTTCAATGTATTCCCCAAAGCCAAGAACCTGTTATCATCACCTACAGTTAGAATGGACTGACTAAAAAGGTCTCGCTGAGACATCTATGTTTTTAATTGATTGATATTAATAAACCAAGTAAAGACGAGCATCATCATCATCATCATCCTCATCATTTTCATGGTTATATACAAGTGTGTTAGGTCTAGATAAAGATTCATTTTATTTTCCTTTAGGCTGATCTCAAATATTGTAGTATTTTCAGGGACACAATTCAACTTCACTAAACACCAATTTTTTCCCTTTATCTGTCTCAACTTCAAATTTTCCTGCTAAGCACTCATTCTCATGGTCTCTATTAATCAAATTTCAGCCACAAATAGGCAACAACAACAACAATCCTTGCTATAAAAAATGAGCAAGGGATGTGGCAAAATACGATATAAGCTATAGTGCGACTATTTTGCACTATTGACAAGTATAGTTACAACTTATGTCGCCTTTGAGGTTCATATAATATTACTTGTCAAACTTCTCAGCATTGTTGTCAAGGAACAATGTCGAGCCACTGGAAAAACAAAACAAGCAAAAAAATAAAAATAAAACAAAGTTTCCTTTAGCATCAAGCATCTCAGGCAATCACATATCTTAATCGTGAATCCATCGTGGTTTAGTCAAACTTATCTTTAATTTTAACAAAAAATGTATGGATTTAGAACAAATATGAATTTATCAAAGAAAAAAAATTTACAAAACATGGAATACTAAATAGGAATAATTGAAGAATGACTATTCATAGATCTGATATGATGAAGATTTCTACTTATTAGCTTCAAATAATAATGTAAACGATCTAGCACCAAATACTTCTTGTTTCTAGCTTTTCCCATATCGAGATAGCTTGAGAGTCCTTAAGTGGTCTTTGGCCATATTCTTATTGGAAGTGTGTGGACAATCAGTCGCTAAATTTTGTTGAACTTTCAATTCTTCTTAAATTCCTTTCTAATCTGCTATATCTTCTTTCACTAATCCTTCCGATTTGATCAAAAACTATCTAGACCATTTACTGATGAGAGTTGCATCAAGTATACCAAGGAAAAGTGCGAGAGATCAACCTCTAAAGCCTTTAGAACATGTTCTGGAGCAATTGTCCTTTTGTCCTCTCGATTACAGACATCATTGGCCTCCGATGATACAAGATTGATGAATTCTGAGAAGGAAAAAAAAGTTGAACAAAGTAATATTAGATCAGCAGGAAAAAAATTTAGGACAACCCAAATAGTTGGGGTTGTGGTTAATGATAATGATGATAAATCTTAGAGAAACTATAGGTCATTCTTTTAAAGAAATGTCAAAATGGAAAAGCGTTAAAATTTTCTGATTCTTATATAATTCAAACAACAAAAGAACAGAAGTATGAAAGAAGGGCCATTTAAACTGTCAGAAGAACAGAGCATCAGATAGCAGCCATGAATTTGGTTGGCTAAATAACTGTCAAAGACAAAAAGATATATTTAGCATCCGACTAAGGCTTCTTTTGGGACTGCTTTCTTCCTGCTTCTTGAAGTGGCTTTCTAGTACAAAAATTTAAATTTTTGTACTAAAAAGCTGCTTTAAGAAACAGTAAAAAAGCCGTCCCAAATAAAGCCTAAAACAACCCAAATGTCAGACAAGAAAGTTTTTCAGGCTAGTAGCAATGGGAAATGCTCGGCAAAAGCGAACCTCTCAGAAGAATTTTAGAGGGTTTCTTTTCAAGATATTATCACTAATTTTTATATGAAGGAAGCTTGTAGCAGTCTAAAAGCCATAATCTTCAAAATTTAAGATGGATATGAATCAAGGTTCACAGAATAGGACCAAACCTGCAAGTACATCTGGTCAAACCATGAGCCGACTATGGACAATCAGAAATAACTAGAAAAAATGGCTCATAACATTGACCAACAGGAACTTCATTTCATTCATTTTTGAAAAAATTTCAAGACCAAGATAGCAAAACAGGTTAGTAATCTCATTCATAATAAATTTGATGGTATAAAACTCTAATTCTAGCAAAAATTTAGTCATTTGGTCATTTGATTAGTACGTATAATCAAGAGATGGAACTAAAATGTAATATTATTTTATATTTCAGTAATATACATTGCAATTAATTGCATCATTATTCTATATTTTTTAATATTTATTATATCATCATGATTGAAACTTTGAATTTCGAACCTTTCCTATTTTATGTTCAATGTCTGATCAAGTTACCAAAATTTGCTTGGAACCAAAACAATATAACGGGTGGAATAAACAATTACTCATAGGGAAGATTTCCTGCTAAGTTACTAGACCACGAGTGAAATCATAAATACAATATAACGGGTGGAATAAAACAGAATAAAAATTCATCAAAAACAGCTATAAGTTTTGATATTTGATTAAGGCTTTGTTTGATGTGGCTTTTTTTTTTGCTTCTTAAAGCAACTTTCTAGTACAAAAATACTTCAAGAATAGAAACAAAGTCATCCCAAATGAAACCTAAATGTATAAGCAAATAATAAATGCGTTCCAGTAAAAAATGACTGAACTTAAATAGATGCATGAACAGCCAAATCATGATAAAGCTTGATAAAGGATAGAACTAAATTTGTAGCAACTAGCAAATAAATATTAGATTTCAGAGATGGATTCTTACCAACACAACATTCAACAAGAAGATCTTGAGTATCCCTTGCCACACGGACATCAGGTGGAAGCATCTCTTTAATTATTTTGAACATAGTTGCTGAAAATAGTGTAAATTCTACATAAGAAATCTTATCTACAAACAAAATAATATTCAGATGCTCACATATTTTACACCATTATGTTACACAAATAGGACCATGCTTGAATGACCAGATAACTTTGGCATAACATATTTTTCAAAACAGAAAAGAAAGCTGTTTTCATTAATATTTCCCTGCAAAAATGTGCAGATACAAAGGCTTTTAAATATGTAAATATAGGAGAACTCTCACACATTGAGGCACCACTAGGCATAATGGGTTGAAACTTGAAATTCTATCACTAATTTCAAAGGCACATATTTCCCACCAAAGAAAATGAAAATATTCGCTTTGCTACGCAATCAAAAATTCAAAGGAACCTAATACGCCTCGGTATCAACAATAGCCAATGAACAATGAAAAATTTAACAAACAACAAAAAAATTTTATTGATAAACCAAGAAATATGCAAAAACAAGATACAATGACCCTCTTTCGAGAGGAGGACCTTCTCTCCCAAATCCTAGATGCTGCTAAAATCCCTTACAAGAATTGTGGACAACAATCACTCACAAAATTCTGCATACAAAATATAGCATAAACACCATCAAATAATAAACAGCAAATTTCAAATTACTAATATAGACATAGGGTACTAATATAGACATAGGGCACTGGGACGATCCACTTGTAGAGGGGCAAGGAAGCTACACAATCCTCCCTTTTTTGTTTTCTCCTTTTAACTAGACCACAAGATCAAATTCTTTATTTATTTTTTTTTTCAAAGTTGGATCCAGTGCACAACAAGCAGACACTTTCTTTTATCTTGGCTAATAAAAGTCTAATGATATGGAGAAAATAAAAGCGTACTTCCATTCAAAAAAACATAAGACAGTCATGTCTCAAAGCTCTTTGAAAACTACATGATGCAATAACTTGTGTCAATCATCCGGCAGCTTGAGAAATATAAGAGGGTAGCAATAATATCCCCTAAACTTCCCATGATTAAAGCTAAGGAGAGAGAAGGAACGCATTTGAAAGGGTAGACATAAATGAAATAGCAAATAATGGCAATAGATTAATATCCAATGAATCTTCCTTTGCCAAGCATTTCCCATATGGTGCTCATCCTTCATTCCCTTTAAAGACTATCATCAGGGAATGCAAAGGCTTATGAGAAGCAAATGATGACTCATGGTATTTGACGCAAATACCATGCATGAAGATCCTACCAATGGAGGGTCCAAGGAAATAGTTATGTCTGTAAGCTTCCTCTACATTGTAAATAGACCTTTTTCATGATTAAAACCATGGCCTTCATGTCATTCCTGTTGTATCATCTTGGTCTCAAACATCTTTTTCCTCCCACATCTATCTTGCCGCAACCCAAAGTTAGTTTTGAGTGAGGTAGCTACCCCTTCTCTATATCAATTCCTAGCTTCTACCGCTCTCTCTCCACGCCTTATTCATTGATTCAAAACGCAAGGAGTCAAATAAACATGGGCATGTCAACTGAACCAAGAATCCTAGATATAATAGTAGCTGGGAATCAGGGAGAAGTTCATAACTGATTCTCCTCCTCCTCTTCTTCTTATTGCTGCTGAAATTCCTCTCTAATAAATCACAGCCAATTATTATCTTTGGGGCGAATTTTAGATAACCTGGAGCCTCTAAAGTCAAGTTTGGTTGCTCTTGATTGCTTCCAAGCCTTTTAGGCCTATGATCCTTGTCAAAAATAAAGAGAGCGTGGAGAGGAGTAAATTATTGTGATTTGACTTTGGAGCCATTGACAAGGAGAGATATAGGAGGGCATCGAGAGAAGGAAAAAGGGAGATCTGAAATTCAGAAATAGGAAATGCTAAATTTGATTTTACATTGATTATTATCTAAAAAGAGAATCAAAATCATAAGCTAAATGCAAAAATCATCGAGATGATATATCCTTGAAATTCAAAAGTCTAAACTAACTTCCATAAGTTAAAGAAACAACATCTCCTTAAAGTTTGAAAGTCAAACCAACTTATCTAGGTTCGCCAACTGCCTTCTAAATACAAAGATTTTAACATAAATCTATGAATAGATAAGAACATTGAATTCAAATAGAATTATGACCAAATGGAATTGACTCTTCCTTGTTAAGCTGAGTTCTGCAGATCATTCTCCCAAAAGAGGAGAAGTGAAAATAGCAACAACATTGGCAAAGATGGGATTAGGGTGGCAAATTGATAGCTATGTCTATCCCCATTTTCCATTTCAACATCTTATCAACAAATGCATGAGAGTTAAGGAGCTGCAAACACTGATCTTTCTCCAAACCTTCTAATTTTTTTTCCAGGGGTTCCCCCCCCCCCCCCTCTTTTTCTTTTCCATCCCTCTCTTTTGAATAATGAACAATTCTTAATTAGGATACAACAACAACAATAATTAGGATATCTCGATCAAAAAATAAATGCAGTGCTAGTGCCATTCACCTAGTAATTAACATGACCAGATTTGAAGTAAGAAAACTAACAAAATTACTATTTAAGAACTAATGAATAATTAAAAAATAGCTCAAGACCTACATGTAAGATTCAAACTAAAAGTGCATTCAAAGTGAAACATATACAAGAAAAACTAGAAGTTACAGCATAAAATAATGGACCCCAAATTTGAAGGACTTTGGATTAACTCTCACAACAACAAAGGTTTTATATGGAGTTTTCCTATTGAAAAAGAAGCCCAACATTTAGTAAAACACCCACCCATTCAAAGCCAACTCTACAAAACAAATAATAATGAGAGATTATTATGCAGTAATATGATTTTGTAAACATTTCAGTACTATTTAAGGTCTTAAGTGTCATTTCCACAATTGCGAATTTTAGAAATTGAGCCAAATTGAAAAGGACTCCACTTTCCAAAAATCAAAGTTTACTTCTATAAGATATATGCCTCTTAAGAACATACAGGTTCATTCTTTAATATCTTGATGATAATTCATATCGGGAACATTAAATAAGTCCTTTTTTCCATGTGATTGACATCCCCAACTACATTCATAGTTGTTCAAATTGGACCTCATTTTCTTTACATAATTTTTTATAAAGATGCATAAGATAAACACAAGGCATCTCCTTGGAAATTGCTAGGATAGAAGTTAACTAGAATCTAGATTGCTCTTTCCTTTCCTAGAAGAATTACACATTCCGCTAACCCATCTCTACATTTTAAGAGAATGGCTTTTGTAAAGTAAAAAAGATAAGCATTGGGTTAAAAAAAATATGCCTGCTTCATACTTTTTAGCTTTGAAAGGTGCAAGATTGTAATTCCCTCGATTTTATTAGGAAGATGATTCTAAGAATTTCATGATAAACAAACACCTTTTTAACAATCCATGCAGTATTTAGCCAAACACTCGTCCATCAAAGGAATAGCGGAACCAATCTACACCTTTACATCAATACAGAATTTTCCATTTGAAAAGCCACATTAGCACCAATCAATAGGTGCTCATCCAGAAAGTGAAAGAGAGAGAATGTAGTTGATAATGAAATTGCTAGTTCAAAAGCCATCATAGACATTAGCTAGGTGCAAATCCTTGAGAAAGAAAATAAAAAATTCAAGTATTTCTCCATGGATTTGTCATTTGAAGGAACTTGGGAAAATAGAAAGTGAGAGACATATACAATTACCTACAGATGATAGACATGGATAGTAATGGATGAATGCAAAATGATGATATTGTTCTCTGATTCAGGACTTTGGATTTATGTGCAATTGTGACAATAAAGTAGTATCAGGCCTAGTTCAAATATGAGAAAAGTTGAACAATAATGGTGCTCTATGGACTTGTTATTATGCCAAATTCTGCTTACACTCACTAGTTTGTTCCTATTGCAACTTCTCCCATGCGATCATACAGCCACTCCAATGCTTAACTTCAAGCGACTTTTTGTTAATCTTGTCATCAAGCAAGCGGCACCTTCATGCAATTCCTTCATATCCGGATCATGATTGCATGTGGGATTTCCTGTTGGCATGCAACTTTACCACATTATCTCATGGATTGATCGTGTTTAATGCGCCTTTGGGTCTATTTGTTTCTGGCTCTATCATGTTTCAGCATTGCTCTTCCAGATCACAAATTTCTTTATGGATAATTTTGTAATTATACCAAGAAAAGCTGGGCATACACAATAACAGATTTTGCTGAATAAAATTATCATTCTTCTAAAACCTTTGTGTTTGTTGGAAATTGGATGGTGAATTCTTTCAGTGCAGTGCAGTGTTAATTGTTAACTTTCAAAAGTAATCATTTTCTTGTATTAGTGTGATGTCTGAATTTTTTTATAGTGATTTCTTTACCTTTAATGTGTCGTACTTTAAAACTATGGGAGAGAGTTATGAAGCATAGGTTGCGGCGTGATACTAATGTTTCTCAAAATCAATTTGGATTCATGTCGGGTAGGTCGACTATGGAAGCCATACATTTATTAAGAGGTTTGATGGAGAAATATAGAGAAAATAAGGAGGATCTACATATGATATTTATTGATTTAGAAAAAAGCATATGATAAAGTTCCAAGAGAAGTGCTATGGAGAGTTCTTGAAAAGAAAGGAGTCAATAATGCTTATATTCAAATCATTAAAGATATGTATGCAGGAGCTATTACTTGTGTTCAAACACAAGGTGGATTGACCAAGTATTTCCCTATTTCGGTTGGGTTACATCAAGGATCAGCCTTAAGCCCATATCTTTTTGCTTTAGTCATGGATGTTCTCACTAGACATTTGCAAGAGGATGTACCTTGGTGTATGCTTTTTGCTGATGATATTCTTCTTGTTGATAAGACTAGAGAGGGAGTTGAAGGTAAACTTGAATTATGGAGATCAACCTTAGAGTCTAAAGGTTTTCACTTGAGTAGATCTAAAACGGAATATATAGAGTGTAATTTTAGTAGTAATAGAACTAGTGAGGGGATTGTGACTTTGGGCGATCAAGTCATTAATAAGAGTACACGTTTTAGATATCTTGGATCAATTGTTCAAAGTGATGGTGAAATAGATGGAGATATTATCAACATAATTCAAGTTGGATGATT